CCTGCGGAGACTCACCCTGCTCCCCCTGCGGAGACTCACCCCGCTCCCCCTGCGGAGACCCACCCCGCTCCCCCTGCGGAGACCCACCCTGCTCCTCCTGCTGCAACCTACCCTGCCTCTGTTCCCGCTCCTCCTGCTGCGACCTACCCGGCCTCTGTTCCCGCTCCCAGCGCGAGTGTGCCCGCGCCGGCCCCTAGCAAGTCCACTCCCGCTGCTTCGGGCCCTGCTGCTGCCACTTCCGCGCCTGCCCAGTTCACTGGTGCCGCAAGCTCCAACAAGGCTTTCGTCGCTTTCGTCGCTGGTGCCGTTGCCTTCGCTGTCCTGGCTTAAACTCGAGGTTCTGGATTTCCAAGCCTTACATTCTTTACTCTCATTCGACACATCCTACCACTTAACGACCCGATAATGACAAGATTGCGCCTGGCATAGATGGGTTCAACATATATACACTCCTTCCGTAAGGTTTTTGATTCTTGGGTGGCATGGCTTAGCCATGGAGCATTTACATTCTCGCCGGTGTAGTTTTCAAAGGGGGGCAATGTGGTCATCATTGTAGGATGGTTGGCATAATGGCTTGTAAGTTAAGTGTCAGGAGTAGAGCGATAGTAATGTCTTTACACGGAATTGAGCTGAGATAGTAATCTTAGTCACTTTTCGCACACTTCATTCTCATGGCCAGTGTCTTCGCCTGTACTGTTGCATTGCGACCTTTCCTCCGTCGTGATCCCACCAGCATCATGCCAATGAGCTGGTCAAGTCTGTGAGGGCGCGCTCAATGTCACCGCGCACCCCTACAAGGGCCCACAACTGCTCTCATAGCTGTCTTAGCTACAATTAGATGTCTGCAGCTATGCGATCCATGCATTACCTTCTATACTATTGCTGGCTGCCTGTGAGACATCCCGACGTTCCATGATTCACCACTAGCTGGCAGCTGCACCGAATATTTTCAATGTCACACATCGAGAGACCTCACTGCAGACGGACCGATAAACAAGAGGACAAACTGCAGCCACGGATAAGTCGTACCCAGCAGCAACATCAGGTTCGCGCTCGAAGCTCGTATCAGGAAACTTCAAGAAGATATCCCGCGGCCCCGGCATCTCGCACCCGCAGAAAAACTTTACCGCACAACTGTACAACCCAGACAATCGATCCAATATGGCTTCTCACAACGACATCAAGGCCAGCGCAAACTCTGGATTCCCAGACACATCGGGTGCGCCAAGAGAGCAGTTCGAGCAGAGGCAGACGGCGAATAGCGAAGACCACGAGCCCAACCCAGCGAAGAGCATCAGCTTGAGTCCGGCGAGGCAGGCACTTGTCGGTGATGTGCGCGAGCCAAATTCCCAAGTCTACCAATGCTTACTTACTGACACGATCCCTTGGATCATTGCCCTTTACAGCTGCCAGCCAACCGTACAGCGCGTCAAGCGCTACACCTCTGACTGTGTCTACGACGACCAATTCGGGTACGCCAACGACCGCTGGAAAATGGCAGGCTAATGGTTCGCACTACCCAGCCAGCATGCAGAAACATCTTTATAGCTTCGTGACTACGATATCGAACGGCGGATAGTGTAGCTCGGTCTTGTTGCCGGAGTCGACAAGCACAAGCTTGGTCAAAGGCCAACCATTCTGATCTTTGTATCTACCAGCTGTCAGCGAATGCGAGGTAAGGAAGATGTCGATCACTTACCCATCGTAATCATACCATTCGCAAAGCTCTGCTCCAGCGGCCGTCATTCTGAAGACTCGCGCGCCATCACCGAACTCTGCTGTTTCACTCACTCCGCCCGCAGGCTCTAGTACTACGCCAGCTGGTCTAGAGAAGTATCGAGCCCCTTCATTGTCGAGCCAGCTCAACTTATCGATGGCTTCCAGCGCACTGCTCCCATTTACTACAAGCTCGCGCATATACAACACCTGATCTTGTACCTCCAATTTCGCGTTCGTCGCCGTATTGTAGCTATTACTGCTCACGACATCGGAGATGATGCCTGTATCGCGCCCACTTCCGTACGTTCCCGCATACTTCTCCGCAACCTGCGCGGCGAGCGCCTCCGCAAACGCCGGAATCAGGATATCTTGAACATCACCGTACAAGGCTGCTGGATACAGCATCTCGTATCCTTCGAGCCCCGCGGTCTGACTCAGGATTACAAGCCCATAGCCGAGATTAGGCACGACATCGATCCAGGACCGCCAGCCACCGCCACTGCCAGACTTGCCGTAGATACTGTAGGTTTTGTTCGAGTCAGTGACGCTGGTATTGGAGCTGGTCGAGACTGAGCGGAGGCTGATCTCCCATCCTGGGCCGACTTGCTGCTTGCCGTCTGGAAGGGTGTATACCGGCTTAAGTGCGTGGCGCCGATCGAAGGATGTGATGAGGGAAGGTGATGGTTGGAGCCAGATACTGTGGAGGTAGTTTGCTAGGTCGTTTGTTGAGCTCTGTGCTCTGTCAGCACCGTGCAGTTAAGTATCCATAGAAGGGGCCACCTACCCACATGCCAGCGGCTGGATTATATCCTTCCCCGATAACCAGATCAGCCCAGTTGTCGCCTCCAGGCACGCTAATGCCTGGTATGAGGCTATCGGGGATCGGGCCGAAGAAGCTGTTCGTCATATTAAGCGGCTCTAGTATCTCTTGCTCTACAATATCACTCCACGTAAGATCTTCGCGGGTGATTTCGTTGTAGTACGAGGCCACAGCAGCCCCAAGGATCCCGATACCTGCGTTCGAGTACGCCGATCTCTCTCCTGCCTTGAACATCAAGCTCGTCTTTCTAACCTCTTCAATCACGTTCTCGACTGTCTGAGCGGCCCACAGCTCCCCTATACTGTCCGCGGTGGCTTTCCCGGTGCTCAAGATTTGATTGAAGTTCGAGCTGAAACTCTCCCGCGTGATGCCGCTCATGTGGCTCGCCAGCATACGAAGCGTGATCTCGCTGCCGCCATCATTCCAGTCCAGATCCGGGAGGTGAAAGGATGGTAAGAGATTTCGGACTGGAGTATCGAGCGTGATGGCGTGGCGCGAAAGCCGGGACAGTACCAAGGCGCTGGCCATGGCGAAGTTCTTGGTAACGGACGCGACTCGAAAAATGGAGTCGCTGGTAACGACATCTTCGGTAGTCCTAGGAAGGCGCGAGGATGTTTCGTTGAATTTCAAGGCGCCGGCATTGAAAGTGAATATCGGTATTGGCGAAGAGGCGTGAACCACTGCCACACTCAGTCCGTCTCGAGTGACATTGTCATGGTAAGGCTTCTGCAACAGCTCTCTGGCTTCGTTGAGCGCTTTGACTACAGTAGGATGATCAAGTATTTGGGTGTTGGAAAGTAGCTCCGCGGGTGCATCTGGCACGCAAGTAGCTTCGGTCCACGTGAAGAGACCGGTGAGGCCGAGCGTCCAAAGAAGAACCATCGTCATAAAAGTGCTGGAAAGACGAAGCCCCTCGTGAAAGGGTCCTTGTGTACCTGCCCGCATTTCTTGGAGACCGCCAGGTGGGCCCGATAAGCAGGGTCGACAGGGTGCGCCAATGAGATGCTGTTCCTCGATGGATCGACAGACTTGCCTAGGTATCCGTATCCTTGCCCGTACCAATACCTGACCATCCCTATGATTCACCGTTAGGCCGCATATGTTGTTGAATTAGCATAAGAACTACAATTTCTTCCATTTTCACACAGCTGTATTAAAGAAATGCGGATGAGTGTGATTCGCTCGGCGCCGCGTTTAAGCTGTTCTGCAAAAGTGGGGGTCCAATTTTTTTAAGTAGAGAGCCAATTCCTGCGTGCTGTTACGCACTAACACCAGTAAATGCCGCTGAGGTTCAGTTCCATGCATATCGCTAACAAGCATCATTAATCAAAGGCACGGCCAAACAGCGGCCTTGCGTCGGGCAAACATGTTCTGTCCTGACCCGCTTCCGCCTACTCTCGCGGCTTCCTCCACAGCTCCTCCTCGCTCACCTGCCTCAAAGAAAGCATACGATTCGACAACTGTGATGGGGCGTATTCGATGCCACATGCGCCCCGATCCAGTGCTAGCGAGTTCAGGGTCCAGTGCAGCTGCTCAGACGGGTCGTTTGGCAGGCTTGAACGATCGCGAGAATGCGCAAACTGGCGTTTTGCGCCTTCCCCAGAGCTCATCATGGCCAGAGACAAGGAGTCCAATTCCGCCGCGAACTCTGTCTCTTCTTTACTGGCTTCCTGCGCGGAACATATGTTGCTTGGTCGCAGGTTTGCCGTGAGTTCCATTTCGTAAAGCTTATGCTCTCGCGCGAACTCAGCTTCGAGTAATCGGCGCTCTTCGAAGTACACATCGTACTGCTCTTTCGTCATCTGGTCTAGAGGTGGGTAAGATGCGCCGTGTTGCGCCTTCCGCTGTTCCCAGATATCAATGGCCTCTTTCTGGACACACTCGTTGCAGACGAACGCAGGACCTGTCGCGCTGCTGAAGGGCTCTACACAGTTATCGCCACAATCTTCGACGAGATCGGTCCGGATGCGATGCGAGCAGAGTAGCTGGTGATATAGACGACCTTGACATGGTGCAAGTCGTTTGCTTCGAATGTTGTTGAACGATGTGGTTGATGTGGAGTGCAGCGCAGCAGATATGGTAGGCTGTGCGCGCTCTGAGTCAGGTGTACTGGACCATCCCCATTGGCAAGCCATCACCAGATTCGCGTGTGACATGGTGTCCTCTGAGACCTTTGGAGGTGCCCGAAACGCATTGTTCGAAAAGTCCATGGCTGTTTCGTTATCGAAATGTTCCGACTTTGATGTTGAGATCAGATGTGGCGTTTACTAGCGTGTCGCGTTGTTGTCTTTTGGAGGCAGTCAAATAAGTGAGGCTTTCGGGTTCCAGTTGAGTGAAGCGATCGGTTTGCCGGAGCTTCGGAAGTGGCTAAGCAGTTGTATGTTATGTTGTACAGGTATGCAGATGTGATCTTGGGAGGAGCATGATGTATGCACAAGGCGCCTAGAATAATCTTGGATGTGACGCTGTTGCGAAATCCCACGTCCAGGGTTACAGCGCTGAGCTAGGGGCGAGGCGCAGGATCTGGGTGAACGATAGTGTTGGTGCGATGCAGAGCGAAATGCAGACGCGAAGGGATCTGATACTGCGATGTGCTGGGCTGGAATAGAGAAGGTTGGCGCATGCTGGATGACGGTGATCGCGACGCGCAAAGGCCCACTTTGCGGAAAAAGGTGGATCAAGTAGCGCTAACCAAACTCGGCGTGTGGAAGGTTCGAGCGTCCGGAGCCCGACACTTAGTCACCTGGCGGTTTTCCTCAACATATATGGTCCAGCTTCCTCGGCTGGATGCGTGCCAGCATCTTAAATGATCACCGTGGAACTCGGCGTCCGCACCTTGCCATGACCACTGAATTGATCACTTTGATTTTATTGATTGGTTCCAGAAGAAAAGGTTTATACCAAGAATCTGAAACCACGCTCTTGCGCTTCGCCCGGAACTGCGTTAATGGCCCCCTCAACGTGCTCTCCCTTATCCAACTTTTTGTTCAGCCTGCCCAAGATCATCCTCATCACAACAGTCATGATGATCGCGAGACCCGCCGTCGCACAATCAACACTGAGCGGTACTGTCAGATTGGGCTGGGCGCCGCTCTTTGGCTGCGGGTACATGTAACTCGCGTAAATACTGCTTGTATTCGATACCGCGTTGATGAAGGCAAGAGCTGCAGCACGCTTCGCCGGCGGCCTCGGCATCGAATTCGAGATCCAGGCCAATGCTACGACGTATCCTGTGTATACGCCAGGAACCATAAGCATCATGGCTACGTATCGAGGGGCTGTGCTGTGGGTGCATGCAGCCAGGATGAAGGCAGCAACGCCCACGCAGAGTGGGAGGACAATATGCCAGAAACGTTCGCCGGTCTTATCGGCGTGCCATGCATTCAGAAAGGTCGTAAAGACGGCCAAGACATAGGGTGGTGCCGTGAGCAAAAGGGTGCGGATGTTGTCGTAGCCAAGCGTCTTGACAACGGTCTGCTCAAGGTCAGTCCACGTTGTCTCTGCGACTCGAAGGCGTGATCTTACCGGGAAAAAGTTGGTGACGGAAGCCGAGGAAACGATCGATAGAAGCAAGACGGTGAAGATCCAGGTCTTGATGTCCAGCAGGGCGAGTTTAAGGCCGTGGAAGAACGTTTGTTGATCAGCTGAGGTCCAATCATCCTCGCCAATGTCCTCCTGCAACCTGTAAACGGCAAGTTGGCGCTCCTCCTCGGTCAGCCACTTTGTAGTGCGTGGGAAGTTGGGTAAGATGAAGTAGGCCGTAAAGGCGATAATCACAGTGACGATCCCTTCGAGGATGAAGACCCATCGCCACGCGCGCAGACCATGCAATCCGTTCATATTACCTGTGATTCCAGCTGTGATAAGTCCACCGAAGGCGCCTGAGATGAGCGAGCCGGAGTACAGAAGCGCTGTTCGCAGACCAAGTTCTTTTCGCGTGTACCAAGACGAGAGGTAAAAGAGACAACCTGAAAACTCGTTAGTCTCTGCGAACATCCATCTTAAGTCAGTTTAGACGGACCCGGGAAGTAAGCAGCTTCAATGAATCCGAGAAAGAAGCGACACGCAGCCAGACCGGCAAAGTTCTGGACTGCGCCTGTCAAACCGCTGAGAATGCCCCAGATGATCATGCAAGTAGGCAGGTAGAGCGCTGGCTTTCCAGTCTTGTTCAAGAATAAATTCGAAGGAACTTGCATGCCCACGTAGCCAACAAAGAGAATCGAGACGGTTGTCTATTGCTGATTAGCATCTGAAGATCTCCAGAACGGAATTTGGTACCTACTTGATACTGCACACTGCTTAAATTCAATTCGTCCTGCAGACCTGCCAATCGAACCGCAGCGATATTGTTACGATCCAGATAGTTCATGATATACATGAGAATAATCATCGGCAACAATCTCGTATCAACCTTCTTCCTCAACTTTGCTTCAGCCGCGATACGCTCCTCCCGGGACATAGCGGCCACGAGCGGAGGAACAGTCAATCTCGAGCCCCCCGCGGGGCCAGGAAGCGCTTCGTCAATATAATCAGCCCGTGGCTTCTTGCCGATATCATCTTGGATCTCCATATTTAAAGGTGGCGAATGTAGCGTCGTCGACGGAAACAGTTGAACCCAGAACGGCAAGCAAGGGAGGTTTTTGACACACCGACAAGGACCAACAGCACCAAGAACGCCATGCGCACCAAGGCAAGTCTTATACAAAGCTTGCACACCCACCAGTCTCGGCAACTCACCGATCGGAAGCAGAACAATCACGACGACATCGCGGCTTGCCCGTTTGGGAAGCTGCTTTGCGCATCCTTCCGGACTTTCAGCCGCATGTGCTCTGGCACGACGGATCGGCGGACAGAACACATGCAAGCTGGCCGCGGATTGGCAAAGACACTGTTGGGGGTTGGGGCGTGGTCTTGAGCGGTCATCAAAGTGGATTCGACACGGGTGGAGCGCCTTGCGGGGGTGATGATCAGCCGAACCCGGGGTCAGGCGACCGAGGTGAGAAGGAAGGGAAGCCACACAATCATCGTAGTACAAAATTAGGACGTTCGGGTCTTGCAGACATCGAATTCTTGACATACTAGTTTGATGCCGGAGATGTGCAACAGTCATGGTGCCCAACAAACGGGACGCGATCATGTAACGAACACCCAAGAGACGCGCGATATGGGGATTTTGAGTCCTGGACCTCTGACTACTGATGGAAGTACTGGACGTAGCCATGTATCGTGTGGCGTTGCTGTCGACCACTGAGAGATTGATGTCATCGACACCAGTGGCATCTGTCATCACTATGAGAGCAAGCACATAACTTCGAAGGACAGTCATTCACCTTACCAGCCTACTTCATAAGCATCTCAAGTCCAACCGTATCCTTTATTAGTAATTCTCAAGACCTATATAGCCCACAGACCACCACGGTGTCAGGCGTCCAAGAACAGCAGGCCTCCAAGCTAAAGAAGAACAACCCTCTCGGTGGCTCCCGCCATTCCATTTCCCTTCCACCTCTTCCACCCTTTAGGTAAGATCGCAGACAAAGTTAAGGACACGCTCTCTAGCGATGACAAGAGCGGTCCGGCCGACGTCAAGTCCGACGTTATCGGCCTCAAGCCGACCGACCCAACAGGCAAAGACAGGCTCGCAGTCGCAGAGAACGACACCAAGCCAGCGGGTGACACAACAAGCCTGCCCACAATGACTGGCGCGTTGGCGCATCCTGGGAACTAGATTGTGCTGGAGGCGGGGGACTTCCTTGCGGGACAAGGTAAAAAGGGACATGCCACGACGTACGAACAATTCATGGACGATATCACATATGTTAAGAACAGTGTGTGTTTTGCAATGGCCTACTGCGGCGGCGGATTCAAGTTCAATCCCTCGACAGAGAGCTTGAAGCTATCAGATCTTGAGTAGCTCCCGGCAGAATCGAAGTCCAACCTGCCCCTCTCGCAGTCTTCAAAGTCAACATCAACGATCAGCAGCTCGTCTTCCTTCTCCCAGACCGGTCCAGCGATGACTCCACCCAGCGGCGAGATTATGCACGATCCTCCTCTCGAGACAAAGTCTTCGTCAGAGAGCGAGGAGAGCGCGACCTGGTTGGTCGATGTTTGCTTTGGGCTGAGGGGCTGTTCGATCTCGTTACGCAGGGGCGATGAGCCAGAGTCGATGGCCGAGTCGCCGTTGACTTGTTCGTGCTGGGTGTTGCCGTCGCGCAGAGGGAGGCAAATCTCATTCTTCTCTTCTGTAAACACGATTGTGCTCTTCCTGCGTCCACTGCTTGTCTGGGGTGCTTCAGGCTGGGCAGGCGCGGTCTGATTTTGCCGTGTTGTCTTTCCGCCCTTGATCCAGCTTGGAAGGTGCTTCCTCTTCACGCACTGGTTCGCACTTACGACGAAGCAGCGTCCTTCGCAGCCGATCGTGCGGACAAGGGACTCCCACGTATCCCTTGCGTCTGCCGTGGGCGCGAACCACAGGTTCACATTCTGGCTGTACAGACTTTGTCGCAGCAGAGGCATGTAGTTCTCCCAGCAGATAGCCGACCCAATTGTAAGCTTGACGCCCTTGATTTCCGTTGTGACAGCTCGCAATGTCGATGCTGAGCCCTGGCCCCAAATCAAGCGCTCAGAGCCGGTAGGCATGACCTTGCGCCTCTTGCCCAGGACGCCGAGTTTCGGGCATACGAAGACAGCTCCACAGTATAGTGTGCCAGCGCAACGCTCGACAAGTCCAGTAACAACGAAAACACCTGTCTCGCGTGCAATGCGTTCGAGCTCTTCCCGGACACCATCGCCTCTATACTTCTTGCCGCGAGGCAATTCGAGCCTCTTCTCTACCCATTCTTGCCCTGCGCCAGCTGGGGTATCTCCGAGGTCTACAGCATCGTGAAAGTATGCTAGGAACTGTTCGCGCCCCTCTGGTAGGCGTGCGCCGACAGCGGCTCCGAAGTTGCAGGTGCGTGGGTAACCTCCGAGGTAGGCCTCTGGGAAGAGAATGACATCAACTCCTGAAGTAGCGGCGCGTTTCGTGGTGGCTTCGAGGGCGCGAAGGGTTTCTTGTGTGGTCTCGAGCGTGCGGGCTTGCGCCGAAGCAAGCTTGAGGAGCTGCGGCATTGTGTAGTTTCGTCAAAGCGATGGAGAGCTCTTTGTGGCAGTCCGAGAGCAACGTCTGATCTGCGGTATGTCAGGAACTCAGAGCTGCTTATGAATGTGCTTGCGGATATGGCGGGGATCGTAGCTGCGTCATGCTGTAGATGTTGTCCTCGAGTGCTCTTACCGGTGGCTGCACAGACGGAGGTTTCTCTACAATGCGGAAGGATCTAATGGGCGACGATCAGGGAGGCTTTGACAACTTTGTGTATATCTCGAGGGTTAAGTTTGTCGCGCAGCCCTCATGGTTGAATGCTCTTTCCCCGCAATGCAACCAGCCACTGAGCTCGGCGGAGCTCTCGTACTTGGGAAGCTAACATTGGCGAATCAGAGGCCGCACTAGACATCCACTGCCGACTGTAAGCCCATCGGCAGACGCTGATTGTGACTACGAAGCGAAGTCTTCGCATTGATCTTGCTGACGAGTCGTGATCGCGATGTGGAAATGGTAAAGTTGTGTTGCCGATGCCGTGTTGCACCGTGCGCCGTTGCGGAAAGAGTTACCGGGTATATCCTCTTCGATCCACGTGGGAACGACAATAGGTATTGCATACCATTCATACAATGTACAGTACGACTGTACAGTCCAAGCAAAGGAGATGCGTTGTACGCATCGTGCGATCGAAACGCAGAGGTTGCTATAAGCAGCTAGTTGGAGGAGTCAACCAAGGCTGAATCATTGACATGCATGCTGAGCCAAGCGACATAGAGCGGGGCGGCCAAAACGTACGATGCGGCCAAAACGTACGATGCGGCCAAAGACAATAATGCACGTCATTCAGCCGCAAGAAACGTGAAACCGACGACTTTTCGGTATGCCAAGTTTTGTGGGACAGTCGCTTCTTGTGCCTCTGCTGTCGTTGGGACAAGTCCAGCGCTAGGTGGGATAGTGGAGGTCGTTCACTGATGGCTTCAATTGAGCCGCTGATCGTCTTGCTGCACCAATCTCAAGGTCTCTCCCTCAGCTTCTTGTCTGCGAGCTGCGCCGGCTTGATGGCCGCAGAGCTACCCAAACTGTGATACCCTTGAATGTACCACTGGTTCATGTCTCACCATCTGCTCTCCTCCAGCCTGGGTACGGCAGTAAGATTATTTGTACTGCCAAAGCTCTTCTGCGATAGATTGTCCCTTTCGTCGATGCGAACTTCCAGCCTCTGGCTGACTTTGATACCGTTCATGGTCACTTCGTTGTCGTATGTTCTCCCAGCTTCGATTCGAGACGCCGAGTGCGTAGACATCTTCATGCGAGATTTTGCTGTGGACGATGTGGGCACAGTTGTGTTGCCATTGCCGTTGCCTGACATTTCGTAGCCAGAGCGGTTTGTTGTCATGCTGAAGTAGCGGCGGAAGAAGATTTTGAGAGCTGGCGCCGAGGCGCAGATTACAGCCAGGTCGGCTTCGAGGGCTGTCCAGATCCAGCCATAGTAGGCATACCAGGTGATATCGTAGGCTGTTCGAAGTCAGTTTGTAAACATCACTATTCCTGTAGAAACTCACTATAATAATAGACATACGCAGCATAGTATGTACGCAGGATACCGCAGACACATGTACTAGATACGTCAGCTGTCAGTTCCATTGTCATGAGTGATGATTTACATGAGACCTAGTGCAAAGATACCACAAAGTGCGATTTTCTGTGTCCTGGGAATCTGTAACTTCCAGATGAGGAAGACAGGTAGGAGGGCAATGATGAAGTCTTGTACAGTGCTGATGGCCGCAACGGCCACAATGATGGCTCCTTCATCGCGGCAAGTTAATTCGTTCTGGGATATCCAGGCAACATCGAAAATGTGAAAGAAGCCCTTCGCCGGATGGCAGGTGAAGGCAATGAGAAAGATGAAGGTGATGCCGTAGAAGCTGCAGAAGATTATGGAGCCCCAAACCCAGTACACGAAGCTGATAGTGAGTGAAGCAGTTATTCGGCGGTAGAAGCAGAGGATCGATATCTTGATCAGTGTTGTGCAAATCATGTAGTTGATCTCAATCGACATCGTAATCCGAAGATCAATTAGCAACGTCTCCAGTAGTTCAGAAGAGTGAACGGACATTTCTTGCAGTGACCGAAGTCACATTCGTCTGGTCCCAGACGTGCCACTGAAAACCGTACAGGCGGTTGGCTAATCTAAGTGTCAGCCGTATACATTTGACGAAAGACGACTAGTTTACCAAGAACGACTGATATCGTGAGGCCAAACAGCGGTAGCATCGCTATACTCATAATGGTGTCATCAAGTCCATGATTCTTCCCCAGACCCAGTCGTGCCCACATGCGTGCAGCGTATACCAGGAAAGTAATGCCCAAGAACACTACCAATACGATCGACGAACTCCATCCTCGATCCTCCGGGTTGATATAGTTTGGCTGAGGCCAGCTGAGCATAACCTCTGAAGGGGGGTGGAGGCCGCCATCTCGAGCAAATAGTCGGTCGACGTGCGGCGCCAGGACGTCGATATGGGGCATGTCGATGTCTGAACCCGTGTCGGTGTTGGATGCAGTAAAAGGAAGACCTGGATGTCAAGCAAGTAGAACCAGGGTAGGATGCGGGATCTTAATGCAGATGAGAACGAGCTCTGGGGCTAGTGCGTATCCTGGTATAAGAACGGGAAGTGGGCCCTGGGTTCATACGTCTATGCGGCCAACCAGCTGGACGGGGCTTCGATCGGCCGAGAGCAGGATCTGGTCTTGAATAAAGCCGACTATTCTTCCTGGTCGTACACAGATGTGAGCTGGAAGCCAATGTCCGATAGCAAGTGAGTGAGCGGTCGTGTAGCGAGCAGTCATCGGGGTGCGCATCTGATATTCGGATGCGACAGCATTATCAGTTGCATTTTTAGCAGCCGCATGCTGCCCGACCCTTCGTCTCTATGAGCTTCATACAACAATTTCAGATCTTAAGACAGGAGAATGGTGCCCTGACCATCAAAAAGTGAGTCGATTCCTGTGGAGGCAGCAAGATGCCTATCCTCGTGTAACTAGCTGCCCATGTACTAAACTCTAGCAATGTGCCCTACCACTAGTGATCTGCAGTCCGTATTTAACGCAGTCAGAAGCAATTCAGGTAGGAATTGCCGGCCAAATTTGCCGAACTTTGGACCAGAGCATCAAGTAAAGTCAGCCACCACGTGGCAGCGTTTCGGAGGAGGGAATTCAAAGCGCTTGCTGAGACCCTAGAGAGCGAATACGGACTGGCAACTTCCGAGGCGTTTGGACGCGTAGCGCCTACACCCGTGCCGGTCAACACCTTCGACGTCCTTATAGGCTGTTGCATTTAGACCGTCGATGGTTACGGAGTTTGCGCCAGAGTCGACATATTCAAAATTCGCAACGCGGTTGTGAGAACTTGTGAGATGCTCCTCGGGGTGCTCAGCAATCCAGGGGGATCTGCACACCCAGACCATGTGACCTACCGGTACGGTAGTAGAAGTCTCCGTCGCTCGGACTTTAGAGCTAGGTACTCCAACATAGCGTCATTACCTTCGTAACTTCATGGCTTTTGTACATGAAAGTCGGCAGACGGCATCCGTATCTTGGATGCTGTGAAGAACCCTGCTGAACATTCCAAACAGTCCCGTTGTCATCTTCGATTTTCTTCAAGCAAAAAATATTTTGGTTATGAGTCGAAAGACACCTGGTGTGCAGACCTGATGTTGATAGGCACATTTCCAGTCTTCAGTCTTCAGTCTGGTGGTCGCGAGTGAGTTGGCCTGGGCTTCGGAAGCTCTGTCGCCAGGACGATCGAAATCATGCGCAGCTTCGACACGTCTTCTTCGGCCCTTTGCCAGGTGGAAACAGAGTTCCAGGAAGGCAGTGCTTAACGGAACATGAACCGGAGAAGCGATTGTCAGTTGTCACCATCACGAGCCGCCTCGAAGCCGCGAAGAGCGACTGCAGACAATGGGATGGCGTCCGAATCGAGTGCTGGCTGTGACGCCGGATGCAAATTCGTCGATAGCATGTGTTGAGTGGTGCGGAAAGAGCCCCAACGCACGTACCTGCCACCATGATTCTGGCGATCGGCCTGCATGCGTCTCTCCACACTTCCACATCCCGCTTTTGGGTCCCTCACGGGTCACGACAATGGCGCTCCTATTGCTTCTTGGGAATTCACTCTGAAAACACTTGGCGGGATAATCATCATTGCGCAATTAGTGGCAATCTCATGAACGTTCATCGTGGGACCACCATGGTGATCAAGTGGTCCTTGCCCCCTCGACAGCATGTTCTTCTCGTGTCGGGACTACCCTTTGGGCACAGTGGACGACTACAGCGGTCATCGGAAAGTGGGTAGTTTGGCAAGCATGCCACGCCTTGGTCCGGAACTGTAGCCCGCTAACTGCCAGGAGCAACTGCCACAAGGAGCGAACCTCGTTTCGCGCATCAGTCACGGGCGAACCAGTTTCTACAGGCGAAAGACGTCGTGGAGGTTCATCCCATGAGTATCCCATGGGGCATTCGCTGGTGTCATGTCAAAGCTATCGGGATGTTCCACGGACCGTGGGTCGCACCTAGCAGAACAGCGGGTCAAGTGACGTCCTACGCCATCGATAGCTGTTGTCACGGAGACGCGCCATACCGTGCAACGTTGGCACCTTCAGTCTTTGAGATCTCGGTCTGCCAAAGCACGTCACACTTGTGCGTATACAGTCGGCAGCTCAGTCACTTTGACAGAGTTTCGCTAAGTAACATTGCGTCGGTACTAGACATCGAAGAACCTTTGATCATCATTGCTCAGCACATGCTAAGCTCACAGGATGCACAACACTCTGGATTGAGTTCTCGTCTATACCATACCCTCACCGATCAGCAAACTCCAACGCATGGCGAATAGAGTAGTCCTAATAGTACAGTCTTGATATCGATATTCACTACTAGTTATTACTCCACTAACATCATATGATCTACTTCAGGTGATATTGGTCACGGACACATGAAGATCGACCTCTTCCATAGTATGACACCCGCTTGCCTTTCTCTGTCTGCAGCCTCATTCTCTACCTCTCCATCGCCACACATAGAACCTGATCAGCTGATCGTTTCCGAAGATATGTGACCATCTGCTTCAGCTTACTAGCCTTGGTTCCAGCCAACACGAGTTTACCCAGGCAGTCCATACTCAGACAGCAAATGCAGGGTAACGCTGGCCTGAATTCCATAACCATATGACTTCGGGCGAGAAGCTACCGTTAATAATCCACCTCTCAGCCGCCGGCCACGACTACCAGTAACCGAGATTTTTCGCGCGCAGCCCGGGCAGCTTTTCGACACCTGGGCTAGTGGGAGTCCTCCTGGTTGGATTGTGGACTTCTTCACTTTCATGTTTTCGCTCTGTGGAGCGAGGGGCTTCGTGGATCGCGCTCGAAAGATTCCGGAGCTGCCATTGAAGCAATCTGTGTTGGCGGAGCGAGTGAGCCGGCAATTTCGAATAGACCGTGGCCGGAACAACGCTGACCCGCTACGATAAGAGTGTGTGTTCAGAATATGACTACCGCGGGTACAGTAGATGAGCGGCGCTCGAAGATATCCTGATGTGTTGAGGCGGTAACGCACCAGGTACGATGGGTAGGTAGACTGCAGGCAGCGCACCAGGGACGATGGGTAGCCAGCGTCCCTAGAAGTCTCATCATTTTCTTGGAAGGAGCTGTGTCATGAGGGCGGGCAAGCGTCCCATCTTGACCAGACGGCGCAACACAGAGTATTTGACCAGGTTTGCTGACTGGCTTTGTAGGGTCACCCAGCTTCTCAACTGCTCTAAGATTCGGCAGAGGCTGAGTGAGCTGGATAACGAAGCCTGCAGCACCCACAGGTGCCTGGGTGTGCGTAGCAACCTTTCGCATCCGGCACACTCGCCCTCAGAGCTCGTCCCAGTGGAGTTGCGAGCAGCATCTCTATACTCTCGCTTACCCGAATCTGCAGAGCTTTGTCATAGAGCTCCTCCCTTTGCCCCGGTTTTTGCAGTTTACGGCACATGCGATGACTGTACTATTATGCTCTTTGCCAGACGATAGGACAGTCGAGCAGAGCTCGCCTCCCGCGTAGACCCGGTGTCCGCATTGAAGGAAATGAGAGTCTGTGATGCTGTTGCAAGACACTTTTGGTGGTGAGCGCATAACATGACAGCGGAGCTCACATCTGAGTCCCTCTCCGATAGATTGGTCATGTTGATCGGCATGTTGATCGTGAAGAGTGCGGGAGGACGATCAGCAGAACAGGCAGTTCTAGCAATGTGTGTGTATAGACGAGATTGATGTAATAGTTGTAAGCTCAAGCGGAGAAAGCTTCATGGCATTCGTGCGATCCACTGCTATGCATGTCGTAGACGATTGGTGAAAGGGTTGCCACAACGTTGCTCAAGTTGTGTTATCCACTCAATGCATAAGACAGTGAAAGACCAGAGAAACGATACGGCCTCGAACAGTCACAAAATGATTACCGCGAACAGCTAATGAATCCTCAAGTCTGCCGCTTAGATAGAAAATAGTTAGATGGGATAATAATAAACAAGGCGACGGTGAGGCGGCGCAGCATAAGATTAGAGTTCATCGCCAGAGTATAGTTGTATATATTTATATTTTCATTTATCGTATAGACATAGCACGTATAAGGTGTCCTGGCGCAATGGTAGCGCGTTGGTTTTCGGTTCTCGCTGAAATACGCCAAAGGTTGTAGGTTCGAGCCCTGCGGACATCGTTTTTTGCCTTCAGCGTATTATTGCACGCCAGACCAGCAATGCAATGCACCCCTGCCTGTACGCCTAAGTTTTTTTCTATTGGAATAAGAGTATCGTGAAGGTCTCATGGTCGCGTCATGTTCGCACGCACCTAAGCCAAAGCCAAGATTGCAGTTACACCTCGAATTTGTTCAGGATGTATGGACAATGGTCATTCAATCATTTACATTCGTCCATCTCACTGCATGCTAACCTGGGTATCTATTTTGCGGCTGTTGAAATGCCTCACCCCATCCACTGATGCCAAAACCATACTTGGGTCTGAACAGTTCGCCATTCTACCGTCCATCGCTGAGCAGGCAAGGCCTGATACACGCGCGCTTAACGCGGCGTGCTCTCGCAGATTGTTGAAATACACGAGCATTCGTGCTCAATCGTCGTCGATCGTGCACTTAGCTGGAGTATGTCTGCTTGGGCTGGGGAAACGAGGGGCCGAGCTCCTGAATGGAGAGCTTCGCGAGCCACTGGCCCATATCAATGGACTTCTCGAGGGACTCACCCTTGACAATTCCGGCGACGAATCCACCGGCGAAAGCATCGCTGCAGTCATGTTAGTAAACCGCAATAAGAAATTGACAAGTGAAAGACATACCCGGCACCGTTGGTGTCGTAAATCTTCTCCTCGCTGATGGCGTGGACAGGGACCTCCTTAACATCGACCTTGCCGCCGTCCTGTGCGGTAACAGCAATTGTGGGGTCGGTGCCCTGTGTGAAGACGACGGTCCTAGGCCTTTGTGTGTTCTTCTTGGGGCCGTTGGCGATGATCTCGGCGATCTTCTTGACGTCCTTGGAGTCGATGTTGTGCGACTCGGCGAAGGCAGCGGCCTCGGTCTCGTTACCGATGAGGATGTCGACGTAGGGAAGGATCTCATCGAGAGGGTCCTTGAAAAACTGGGCGATGAAGGGAGCAGACAGATTGAGAATGAAGGGCTGTGCTACGTTAACTCGGAGCAGTGCGTCTCGTGGGCCTTCTGTGGATTACCTTGTTCTTAGCAGCGGCCTCCTCAGCGAGGGCCTTGATGGCAGGTACGCAGACAGTCAAGTGGAAACCACCAACGTAGTAGACCTTGGCATTCTCGACCTGCTTCCAGATATGATCCTGCTTCAAGTGCTCAAGCTTGTAGTTGTTGGCCGCAGCAAGGTCGGTACAGAGCGAGCGGTTGTGGCCAGTGATGACGACACCACAGCGACCAGTGGGGGTCTTCTCGTCGTAGAGGTATTCGGTCTTGACACCAGCCTCCTTGCAGATGTTCTCGAGGGTCTCGCCGTACTTGTCCTTGCCAACGCAGCCAATGTACAGGACAGACTCGGAGGGCAGGATGTACTGGGCACCACGGGCGGTGTTCTGCGCAGCACCACCGGCGATGAGAACGGCCTTGTAGTTCTGCATCAGGTCCTCGTAAAGGTCCATGTGCTTCTCGGGGTCGGCAAGGATCGCGTCGTTAGCCTTGAGCCCGTACTTCTCAAGGAGCTTCTCATCGCTGCTCGGGGTCAGAAAAGTTCCATGAAGGTGCTCTACCCCACATTCGAGCGTATGCTGCGACAGAGCGTGCAATTGACTTACCCAACACCCTGGATGTCCAGGAGAGGGTTCTCGAGGCAGAGCAATTCGTAGTTTCCCTTAACAGCCATTGTGTATAATATGTGGTGACGTTGATGAAGTGTGAAACTGTTCGGCGGGACGCATGAAAATGGAGGGGCACTAGCGGAGGCCAAAACTGCCGACCGTGGAGTAGCTCGAGGTAGGTAGAGCCGAGAGCGCCACTGCAGAGGTTGTTCTCATCTCAGATAGTAGTGGATCGACGAAGGTCGGAATCGTTGGATGTAGCTAGAAAACGGACATCATAGGCTGAATCATATATATGTATACACTGACGAGATTCTATGCCACCAGAATCCCTGGAACCTGCTGATCACCTCAGTTGAAAGTAGGCATCTGTTCGCGAGCAGTGAACACCCAATCCATCTTGGCAACACAGGCGCCTTTTGATGTTGAAAAGTCTGAATTAGAACATGCTACATATGTACAGAATTAACCAGGCTGCAACCCTTCCTCTCTTCATGTACGATCGTCAATCTGGTGCTCTCTCTTCCCATACAATGTCGTGGAAACGTGGAAGAGTTTCATCAAGCCATGATCTTCATCCATCTTCGCCTCTGCATGCGAGAGCCTCAAAATATTATACTGGTATCAATGCCTTACAAGCCTGGAGGGGAGAAAAGTCCATTAATGGTGCTCCGACCGGCGGAGTGAGGTACTACACGTGGAAACTGGGATTGTGGTTTTTGAGGGACTGCAAAATACGAAACACTGGCGGGTGGTGTGATGCAACATGCGGATAGATGGTCGTAGATACTTCGCTCCTTCAGGTTGGTGGATTACTGGTGAATGCAGAATGCGCGGGTGACACAAAAGCCGAAACCTCCTGGGATGCCAATCGCGAAATGTTGCATTGTTTGTTTTTGGGTCTGGGTATCGAACCAGGTAGGGACCTCTCTATGAGCATGTGTACGTTGGTTTCGCGAGGAAGCGTGGGAAGGCCTTTGCGAGTAAGATGCCTGCATTGCGCTTAGCGACGGAAGTGTGACTTGTGGGTGAGTGGCGAGTCGAAGGGGCCTGGGCCTCTGACGCGTCCACCTCTGACCAGTGGTATTTGACCTGTGCAGAAGACACAGACATATACAGCAGGGAGTGTGCTTGGTTTCATGCCAAGGCAGCCCATGTGCAGCCATTTCTCACAGCTTTCACATTGGACCATTGGCTGTCCCTCGTCTGTGCTGTGGCACACACAACGTGTACTGTCGGTCGAGAGACTGCTGCGGTCTGTCGACGGCGTCGTGAGACCTTCGGTGCTAGGCGAGCCATTGAAGGTGTTGGTGAATGGATCGTAGCGGCCGTGGCCGTGAGGTGTAGAGGCGTTACTGAAGTCCGCAGAGGCTTGGGCCCAGCGTTGGTTGTGCGCGTGCAGAGTGTTCTTTGAGGCTCGTTCTATATAGCTTAGCATCCGGGCTGCATGTTCGTATGCGACAGAGCTTACGGATCCTCTCCTGCCGGCTACCGACCACCTTCTGCATGGCGCTCAAGGCATCGCCGGGAGAGTCAGGTAACATGTTTTGGGTACTCGGCTCCTTGCTAAACGATGATGCGGTCGGAACGTTGGTGATGCTGATCCTGCAAGAAGCATTTTGGCTATGTGGCCTGCCTGTCCTCACAGAGCCAAAAGATGCTGTATCAAATGCACCTGAAGAGGTCCTCGAGGCCGTCCTTGATGCCGGTCGAGCCGTCTTGAAAGAATTGTTTCTTAACAGCTCATTGCTCTTAGCCCTGGCATGCTTCGAGGCACGGCGCTGCAGCTGTGGGATGCTGAACGAGTTGTTACGGCTCAGGGTAGGCTGTAGCTCATCTGAGTCGAACTCGGTGTCCCCCTCCTCCCACAACGCCGGGTATTGGTGTCTCGTGGTAGTCTGGGAGGTCCTTCGTATGTCTCTAGGAGTGACCTCTTCTTGCTCCGCTGGAACAGTCTCTGTACGAGCTCGGCCAGTCTCGTCGATAATCAGTCGGGTACGAGGCCTTCGACCGACCTCAGGGATGACTTTCAGTGCGCCGCTGTTCGCACGCTTTAGAGGCGACGAGCGGCGTGGGATGTGATGGGCTGCACTAGTATCTGCTGAAGATCTTCGCTCCGAGATGACGGGTCGAGCTCTGCGGAAGCCGCTGTCGGTGTTGCTGCGCTGTAGGCTGGGCCTGCTGTCCTCGACAGAGCCAGACGAGGAATTAGTATTGCTACGAGAGTGCAGACTCCTCGGTTTCTTTGCCTTTTCCTTTTCGCGTCTTGATTCCAGAATCTGTGACTCGTACGGTTGTCTATCAGGCTGAAAGGCGGCGCGTTGCGGCATGCTGCCGAATGACGCAGTCGTGCAGTCAGGGCTGGTAAAGCTGAACAGCATGCTTGGGTCGACACCAGCAGTCGTAGACACGAAAGAGCCGGTTTGCGAGCAAAGTTCCTCGCCAGCTGTACTTGTGTCAAACGATGCTATGGGCCCAGCTGATAACCTGTTCTGCTGTGGCTGGAACTGTGCTTGCATCTGCTCGACCACAGGAGAGTGGAAGGTTTGCCAGCCGAGGTTACCTTGGAGCTTGTTAGATGTAGGTCCAAACGGATCTAATGCTCCAGACATGTCTACATCCATCTGGCTGGCATCATTGCCATCCCAGAAGAGCCTCTGCTGAGGCATTGGCGGAGCCGACATTTGCCCAGCATTGGCGAAGGGCATCATGCCAGGTGAGAATGGCACACCATCTGCGTACCCAAACGTTGTCTGGTTGAACATGCCATCGGACCTTGGTACTTGCTGAAGGGGTGTCCTTCGTATGACTGTTGCCGGGGTCGTGTTCTGATTGCTCACACTCTGCTGCATATTCCTTCTTGACGTGGCATCTCTTGTTGGAGGTGGCGTCTGCATCTGAGAGAAATCCATCCTGACAGGACCCGACAGAGGTCGTTGACCTTCCTGATTCAGCCCAACTTTTCTTAGCGAGCTTGGATCCGGCGATGACGACAGTCTTCGTTGTGGTTCGACAGGTGGCAGAGCTAGATTTGCGGGAGCCAAATAGTTGACATGGAACTCTGGGTCCTCAGGCGTCCGTACCTTCAAGCTAGATGAGCTCGACGGTCGTTCGTTCGGTGTCGAGAGCAAGTGCGAGGGTGTCTGTGCCGGTGTATGCTGCCCATTGACTCGAGGTGTTGCCCAAGCGTCGAGAAAATGGGTCTGATGAGCAGCCCCCTCCGTCTTCGGTGTCTTGAGCGGTGCCCGAACCGGTGTCGAGTCGGGAAACGTCACCGACTTGGGTGTAGAGGAAGGACTGGGAAGAAGGTGCCAATCCGTCGATCTAGCACACGACCCGCGTTAGCGCTGAAACATTGTAAAATGTGAAACGAGCCGGATAAATGTTTCGAGGAGATAATCTTGGGCAAAGCGTATGAAGATTGCAAACGAGCATCGCAAACTCTGGGAGCAAGTTTAGCTGGAATGCAGTTACGAGGGGGTGCTGATGGGTCGATGCCCTGGAGCTCTGGATGACATCCTAGCGCGATGCTGCCTGCCCCTCGGCGTCGGCCATTCCACAATTGGGTGACAGCATAGCAGATCTTACTGTGCCAGCAGGCAGAGTAGGCATCGATGGCTTTGGATGTACATCACGAGCTCTCGTGACACCAACCCAGCAATGACAAGCTGACATCCCATGGCCTCGAGAGAAGGGGGCATATGAGAACTCGAACTGGTGACAAGAGGTCCGTACCCAAACATATGCTGATCGAGACTCATGGCAATCTCAGTGTCGCCGTGTTCCTGTCCTACAAGACCATGTAGCAGTTGTGTAAGACTGTCGACGGAGATGATGTTCGAGTCGTTCGAAGGGTCGACGGTGGTGAAGACAGCGGTGCTTTGGCAAAAATTCTCGGAGCCTGGTAGCAGTCTGGTGCAAACGCAAGCAGGATGGGGTGTTGGAGCTGTGATACCTTGAGTTACGTCCACCCAGGCTGGATCAGGGATGTGTCAGTGCTGTGGTACCGTTGATGCAGGTACCTATGAGGGGGGAGGGGCGTCACAGCGGCTTCAGCAGAAGAGAGGTCTGCAGGCCGGAAACGGTTGCAAGCTCGGACACCGTTGGCGAGGAATGACGGTGAGGTTTTCTTGCATATGCTAATAGGCGAAGCACCAGTGGGGCCGAGGTGAAGCTGCAGAAGAATGGCTGCAAATTGGCGACAATGATTGAATAATGAATTGTACCGATCGTGGCCCGCAGCAACGAGCAGCAGCGCAGGAATGCGTCTCCTGATGAGTCTAGAGTTCGGGCAGCGAACAACTAGGAACTGAGCCGTAATGGGCTGTAGGCATGCTCGAGGGGATATAGCGAGGGAGCGCTCATTATTGGTAATATTGACAGGGAGACATAGAGGAGGTCTGATGCCAACTCATGCCTGATGAGCATGCGAGCGACGGCTTCCGCGAAAGTGCGGACCAACAGAGCGAATAAGAGCTAACAGGCTGCGCCAAAGGTACCACGCTGTGCTAAAGCGCAGACGGGGGAAGATGCGTGGCGGAACGACGGATTGCTGGGCTCGGAGGTGGACAGCGCTGAGGACCAGGTCCGCCGAGATTTGCAACCGCGCTAGGTCCATCCTGGGCGAGAACCAGTCGACAGTCGCTGCCAGAACAGCCGTGAGCCAGTCAAGCTGTCCTGCACCATGCAGGCTGTCTTTTCTGCAAACTCCTGAGCTGCACTCCTGATGAGCTGGCTGCAGGGCTTTCGTAAATGTTGAGTATGCAGCGAATAGGAGCTGCCGAATGTCGAACACCCCGCCAAGCCGCAACTCGATCTGGACTCATAAGCAGCGTTCGAGCTGCGTGGTCGTGTGCTAGAATACGACACACCATGCCTTCTGGGCGCCCTCAAAGCGGCCTCCATGGCCTGTTCCTGAAGAACACGCATACTAGAGCCAATTGCCGTATGCATGATCTCCCCAGCGGAGAAATGCCCTACTGTAGGCGTCGTGCCAATTTCAGCACATCCCACGATTAACCTTCGGCCCCTAACTCCACGTGTCCTGGTACACGACGCCGTGGCTCATATGATTCGAAATCCTACGATATCACTCCGTCATGATCGAAAGCAAGCTCACGGTCCCCAGACGCTATCAAACAATACTTCCTGTGGTTGCTGGCACAACGGTGCACAGGCGGAGTTTGTGAGACAATGGCGGGATCGGCTCTGGCCTTGTCCACGCTATCCCTGACATGGCATGTGAGATGATCGTACCTTTGGTATCCTAGCGTCGCCGGATAGATGTTGCTATCTCTTATGCAAGGTACACCCTCTCCCTTGATTCTAGAGGGGTATCTGGGATGTCATTTCAGCAGAGGCGATGCTACCATGCGGGCACATCGTGTCTGGTACGACGGGAGATGTACCCAGGGTGCCCTTCTTAGCTCACGAGTCACGACTCATCAAAGAGCAAATATCCAGTAAACACAGCTGATCTCGAGATCTTCGATTACCCTGCTTTGTCTTTTAACATGTTGTGCTTTTGTTATTAGCCGAGCCGAGTATGCGGTCCTCGGAGACGAAACGCCTCATTTCGTCATGGAGATTGTACTCGGACTAGGTACTGAACATAATCGCACCCTTTTCAACGGCTGCCGTTTTCATACCGAGCCAACGCCTCAACACCTATACACGCATTTGTCAAGACCTAACGCGGTCCGTCGATGTAGAGCGACTAAAACGGCGCTCGATTATATACATTAAGACAAGAAAGTAAGGTTCATTTCAATAACGCCTATCAGAATGGAGCCCTGCCGACTACTGGGTCGATCTGGTACGAGATGTCAGAAACGTCGGACATTACATCAGTATCCCTGCCCAGGGTAGGCCCTGAGATGTCAGAGATCTCGTCGTCATCAGGGTCATCGAAAGGCGAGCGCTCGATAAGTTGTGTTCGTGAAGTCGTGTGTGGAGGTGTTGCCAGCCGGACGCTGCTATTCCTGGAGGTGGATACAAGGCTGGCTGGAGGAAGGCTGCTGGGTCGGTATGGCGGTGGTGCTTCTTCGAGACTTCTGCCGTCCGCAAAAGGATCTCGGTCTACTATCGTGCCCTGCCTACTAACCCCGCCCGATCTCATAGACACGAGGTCGGAAGTGTCCATGCCAGTCAAGTATGCGCCATTGTTGCCAGATGGAATAGGTCCGAGGATTACAGGTTGAGAAGAACTCGCAGTTGGAGGATGACTTGATGACGGTGTAGACGGAGAATACTGAGGCAGCACTGCCTGTGGAGGAGGAGATGGGGGTGTTATGGGCGCTATGTAGGGTCGTTCGATTGGCCTTGGCTGCATCTTCATCTCTTGAATGTGCCCATGTCCGGCAGTTGTTTGCTTCTGCCGTCGTCGTTTCCGTAAACAGAAGAAAGCAAAGAACGCTATGATAATGACCACGACCGGCACAATACCAGCGGCGGCGTAGATCGGTGTTTTATTGGGACTGTTGTCTGTTCCATTATTCTGTAGGCCAAAATCGTCGTCTGTTGGCTCGGGTGACGATGTACTGTCGGACTGTACCGGTGTAGGCGAAGGTGGAGTGGTGGTTCCCATATCATTGTGGCCCCAGCCAGATGTCTTCGTGATAAAGGTAGACGACGTTGAAGAGGGATGTCCGCGGTCGGAGTCACGACCCCGTGCGGGCCCAGGTAGTCCTGTGTTGTAGGATCGGTCTGATTTTGGTGCATCATCGTCTGGCCTATCTGGCGGGCCTGACATACTCGAAAGGTAGCTGGTCGGAGTAGAAATCTCAGTAGGTATCTCAGTAGGTATGGTTGTGATTTCTGGCTGAGGAGTGACGGGCGCGGGTGAGGGTAGGTGTTCCACGATGGACGTAATCTCGAGAGGGTCGTCCTTCTCATCATCTGTCTCTGTCGGCGTCGGCTTCGGGTATTTGGATTTCTCGTTAGTCTCTTCTCGTCCAATCCTGTTACGAGCCATTGTGGCTTAGGTTCGTTCAATTTGGGCAGAGCTATGCTGACAAAAGGCGTCCTTGTATGAAGTGATGAACGCGATACAGCGTCAGAACTCAAGCTGAGTAGGAGGTGCGCCCAATGTCCTGATAGGTGTCTTTGTCGCCAATAGTATCGGTAATATCCGCAACTAGCTTTCACCGAGGGCAGGCTTGACTGTGTCGCTGATCCTCCAGTGACAGCGAATGCGGGGCCGGCTCACGGAGTTTACACATCCAGCTCTTGGTACTAAGACTTCAGGTATCCAGCAGTTGATGACGCGAGAGCTAACGCAGACGCAGTGATTCCCTCACAGGCTAGCATGAGCACGAGATGACGGATAGGACAGCAGTGTACGTTCAACGTGTAGTCTTGGTGACAAGACCTCAAGTGCGGGAGGGCAGCCCTTTCAAAGAACCGCAGCTGAGAAGAGGCACAGGCACATCCGGTACGCTGGCAAAGGCTGCCGCACGCTGACATATCAATTGGCTTACCTCCGAGCACATACCTGGCTCTGCGGTTAGCTAAAGGCTGGGCTGATGGGCGAAGTTGGCGGTACAGCCTCCGCTAGGAAACAGTAGCCAACCCCGCCTGCTCGACGAATGCAGCTATATTTGGCACTACCGGTAGTTGTAGATCTGTGTTCTGTACCAACAATGAACGTTCTGCAGATCCGATAAGCCTGAAGGCTTTATTGAAATGTTGCTCTTTCAGCACCACCTTAGGGGCGGCGTTCCCCACTTATGCAAGACAAGGCATCAATATGCATACCGGCTCGGAAGCTTGGAGGCATTGTACTGTCTTCTCACAGCATGGGAGGCCGGGAAAGGGTCCGCTCGCTGCACTTTTGCGCCTGCAGCTACTTGACCCAACCATTGGCTCGGGAAGCATGATATCACTCATCGCCAATAAGCACAGTGTATCCTCTATTCTGAAACACAACGTCTCTCTCATCGTTGGGCTTGGTAGCCGGTACCCCGATCCTACCTTTCTGAACTTAGAAGCCTTGGAGGTCCTTATACAAAATACCTCATGGTGCTCTTACTTGCATACACGTACGATGGATAAGCATGTGGCAGGCTGTGTGTCGCCGTTGGACGAATGCAGGCGCTCAGGTAGTCATTCCACCGAGCGATTCACCAGCAACAGCAACGCAGGCAGCCTTTCAAGAACATGGGGACCACCTCGAAAAGTACCGAGCACAGGGTTGTTGCTGCTCGGCATGGCCCGTCCGAGCCAGAGTGACCACTGATTCAGACCCTTGGCAACGTCATTGGGCCGCAGCACGCTATCGGTCGCAGTATGCACGCGTCGCCAATGTCAAACCTCACACATCTGCCCCAACATGGCTGAACGCTTCAAAAATCTCGCGAAGAATGGCTGGCACCCCGAGAAGAACAAAGCGGGCAGTGGAGGTGCAAGCGACTCGAGGCTCGGGCAAGTGGTGGGTCTCGTCTTCCACATTCTTTGAGCGCTCATCACTGACGACTGCAGAAAGGATGGGTAGGCAAGGCACAGGGCAAAGATAACCACGCTGATGCTGCTCGCGAACATCAATCTGCGCCGCTATCGACCCTAAAAGACCCCTCGACCTTTGCGCCCCCGCCGAAACGGTTTCCAGGAGCTTCACCGGTCTCCGGTGAGCCAAGTGCTGCACCGCCAGGCTCTGCGAGACAGCGCTTGCAGGAAAAGGAAGAGATACAGAGAAGGGCAGAGCAGGAGTCGAAGCCGCAAGGACCGTACAGGACAGACACAACAGGACTCAGTACCGCGCATCTACCGAAACCGTCAGCATTCCGACCAAACGCTGCCACACCTCCTCCTGTACCAGCCGCCAGAGGGAAGCCCCCAGGTCTGCCGCCGAGACTGCCTCCCCGCCAAACCGAGAATGTCGACGAGTACACACCGCCCGCTCCTCCATCTTATGGAGAGGCTATACAACAGACAGCGCCAGGCACGATCAACCAAGGAGCTGTCGATCGTCTGGGCCAGGCTGGCATAGCTGTGCCCGGCTTGGACATTGGGCGTAATGCTTCTCCACCCGTACCACCTCGCCAGCGCGCAATGGCGCCTCCTCCGCCAGCACGTCAAGCCTCAGCAGCAGCAGCAGCACCACCACCACCTGCGGCCGCGGACAACGGCCCACAACTCAGCGAGCTGCAGAATAGATTTGCTAGAATGAACACATCTTCCACCCCAGAATCAGCGCCGAGCACGGGGACATCGTGGGCGGATAAGCAGGCAGCGCTGAGGACTGCCAGCAACTTCCGCAATGACCCATCGAAAGTCTCTGGATCAGATCTGAAGAGTGCAGCCTCAACGGCCAATAACTTCCAGCAGCGGCACGGAGAACAAGCTGCGTCTGGTTGGCGGGCAGCGAGTGGGCTGAATCAGAAGTATGGCATCGCGGGTAAGGTCAACAGCTTCGCAGGAGGGTCAAATTCAGCAGAAGCATCACAACCACCCGCTGCTGGAGGTCTAGGGAAGAAGCCCCCTCCACCACCGCCAGCTAGAAAGCCTGCGTTGACCTCCAACAACTCTGGGGATCCACCGCCAATTCCAATGAGCAGCAAGCCCAAGTTTTAGTCTTTAAGCACTACATGCTCCCGTATAGAATCAATGGCGATGTTCACTTCCACTTAAACTTTCAACGGGCTCCCCGGATGTGCTGATCCGTGGTAATTCGTGCTCCGACCAGGATCTTGAACGAGAATATTTCAGGGTACGCACATCCCTGTCAGAACGACTCTCCGGAATCCACGACCGAATGTCACGGCCCGCAACTTCACGTTGTAGGTTTATCCAGAAGATTGCCCGATTCTGCTAGCCTTGCGAGGCTGGAAAACCTCGGACACTGTGAGCATAGCATTGCAAAAGCCAAGCTGTCGCGTTGGAACTTCGTAGCGTAGATCGTGTGTCTAGGCCCACATGTAGCCGAGGCAAATTGGCCTGTGTGATTGGCAGGCTGCCCAAAAAATGTTGTTGCACCGCTAGTCTGCCGTGAGAGAGGATTTCCACCTGGGCATCACCAAGACGCCTGCTTTAAACAGCCAAAAGGCCGAAAGTCGAGTGCCACGTTCGTCACGTTCGTGCAGGGGCCCAGTTGAGCGTTGCGTATAACTGCACGCGCCCGCTGTTTGCTGCTCGAGTGACTGGAAGTCTGGCAAGTACGTACGCGTGCCTGCAAACCAAGAAAGCACACCTGCGCGACGACGGCAGCCTCCAGAGTCTCGGAATCCAGAGCCGTTGGGATTCGATCCAAGCGTGAACGGCCTAGCCTAGCCATTGACGGCGCTTGATCGCAGAAAATCACTGCGACCTCCTTCAGCCACTATTATTGTCTACGCGCGTATCATCTTGCGTGCGAACGACGTCATTCCTGAGAGCTTTCCCACCGCGCAAGCTTTCACCGACCACCTCGCACCGCTATCCTCACGCGACGCATCGTCAACGCTCCCGGCGCATTCATTCTGCTTGCGCGCGCACACAGCTCAGCCAATTGAGGATCAGGCAGCGTCACAATGTCCGGCGCAGGCCCATCACTCTTTCCCGGGGAGGTCCCTGCATGGACCGTCCTGAGGTTTCCCCCAGACGCTGCACCGCCGCCCATCACGAACCCCTACAGCGGCGAACCGACCCTTGCGAACCCATTCCAGATCCCGCAGGACATCTTTGAGAAGGCGCTCGACCCAAAGGTTCCCCTGACCATCGCCGCCATCTACGCCGTCTCTGTCACCTACCTCAACTGGTACAACCGCCAGCACGGCAACAAGCCGTGGAGGATCGCGAGCCACGGCTGGTTCAATGCATTCGTCATTGCGCACAATGTCTTCCTCGCCGTCTACTCTGCGCTCACCTGCGTGGCTATGTTCTACGGCCTGAAGGCGTCATTCCCCAATTGGAGGGAGCCCAATGCCCTTGTTGGCACCGTCGACGCGCTCTGCAAGATCCAGGGACCCCGAGGTCTCGGTGACGCCGTCACCTACAACCCGGATACAAGCAGCTGGGGCAGCAGGAACACCAACATCCACGTTGGGCCCAACGGTCTCCCTGACAGCACCGATGTTGGCAGGATGTGGAACGAGGGCCTTGCTTTCTGGGGCTGGTGGTTCTACCTCTCCAAGTTCTACGAAGTCCTCGACACCGTAATCATTCTGGTCAAGGGAAAGCGCAGCACTACTCTCCAGAAGTACCACCACGCAGGTGCCATGCTGTCCATGTGGGCTGGTATGCGCTACATGTCTCCGCCCATTTGGATGTTCGTCCAGATCAACTCCGGTATCCACGCCATGATGGTATGTCTTTTCTCAGATCTTGGAGCGAAACATCGCGGCGACTGACTGCTTCACAGTACACTTACTATACACTCTCTGCCCTTGGCTACCGCGTGCCCAACTTCGTCAAACGCACCCTCACCACGATGCAGATCACCCAGTTCCTCGTCGGTGCCAGCTTCGCCGCTGTCCACCTCTTCGTCTCCTACACGGTCCCGGTTTCGGTCGCACACAAAATCGCTGAGACGGTCACCTCCAGCGTACAGCCTTCGTCCGTTGCGTCCAGCGTCTCTTCTGCTGTCCAGTCGGTTACTGAGACCGCCTCTGCGATTCTGCCCACCTCAACTGGCCCGGCTCTTGCTTTCTTGTGGAAGCTCATCTACCGCGCAGCTGGCGACGAGGGCCTCGCTGAGAATATCCCTGTGCCTGGCTCCTCAATCATTCCTGCCCAGCAGTCGCAAGTCCCGACCGCTGTCGCTGCCCTCGAGAACCCTGTCCAGCGCTTACTCCACCCCCTCCAAAGCACCCACATCGTAGACAGGATCGTTTACCGCACCGAGTACCAGCACGTTCCCTGCATCGATACCTCCGGTCAGGCCTTCGCGATCTATCTAAACTTGATTTACCTTGCCCCGCTCACCGGTCTCTTCATGCGCTTTTTCGTCAAGTCTTACTTCCGTAGAACGAACCCCAAGGCCAAGCACCAGTCCAAGCATACCCCCATCTCGAAGGCCGCTGGCGACGCTATCCACGGCGTTGAGCGCGAGATTGAGTCGATCAGCGAGGAGGGTAAGAGCAACGGCAACAACAAGGGCTCTGTTCGCGGGCGCAAGGGCGTCAATGGGGATGTTAAGAACCCCCGTTCGAGCCTGAGCCCATCGAATCAGGAGCTCGTCGATAATATCAAGCGCAAGGTTAGCCAGGCTTTGGACGAGACCACCAACAGCGTCAAGAGCACAACCGAGAAGGCACGGGGCATTGCCGATGACGTCGCCAGCAAGGCTAGCGATGCTAAGGAGAAGGTCAAGCAGCAAGCCCAAGACGCAAACGACAAGCTCGAGCAGAAGGCCCAGCAGAACGCTGACGACGTCAATGCCGAGCGGGAACAAGGCCCCAACGATGTCGCTAGCACACCGACCAGCACACCCTCGAAGAAGAAGCGCAACAGGAACAAGAACAAGAACAAGAACGCCGACAGCGTGCAAAGCCTCAACGATGTGTCTGATGACGAGCACCCTGAGCGCAAAACTGAAAAGGAACCTGAGCCTAAGGATATCAACAACACCCTTGGCAAGAACGAGGGTAAGGGTCTGTTCTAGGCGTATTACCTCATGCCCTAGGGAGGGGCCAAGTGGAAACGACGAAGAAAACAAAAGAGGAGGAACGCTCGAGGAAAGGGAAGAGGATGACAACTCTGCTCCAAGAAATGTATTAGTGCGACTTCTGCCACCTCTTTCAGGTAGATCAATATGCATGGTGTAGGCGCTGCATAGAGGCGGGTTACGAGGGACCTCTTCGGTATTGTATATCAAAATCAGACACGGCGAAGGAACAAGTCAGCGTTTGAGCAATGCAATATTTTTACGTTCTCAGTTGGCCTCTCAGTGTTGTATTCCATGCTATGCTGCGTTAACACCATGGTCCTTATCTCCCCTCCTGCTTAATTCCACGCCCATCCTCACCGGATATCAAAGCCCCCTAGACCACCCAGCTCCAACACCTCTTCCTTTCCCCTCCTGCCCGTCCTCGTCGTCCCCACCTCGCCCAAGTCCACTCTTCTCGCATCACTCGCGCTCACCCTTCCCTTTACCGGCTCGCCCCCCTCATCATTCTTGGCAAAGATCTGCAGCCCCCTCAAGTGCGTGTCTTTCCCATTCTGGTGGTTCTCCAGGATCTTGATCTGCACCAGATGCGCTCTCAGTACGGGCATTTTCGGTCTGCGTTCGCGCTGGCGCGGGCGCGGCGCTGTGTTTGGGCTCAGACTAGAGAAGGGCAGACGGGGTGCTGGACGGGGGAGAACGGGCGTCTGGTGCTGGGGGTTGAACTGGGGTGTGAACGTGAGCCGATGCTGCGGCGGCGCGGGCACAGCATCTGCGGCGGGCGTGTCGAAAGTGGGTTCGAGGTTGGGGAAGTTGCTGGGCACGCGCTGGCGCTGGGGCGGGAGGGGCATATTTTCGCTGTCACTGCTTCGGTGTTCACTTGCTCTTCTGTTTCGCGGCCGGTTGAGATCGAGCGTGTGCGCGTCGAAGGCGTCGTCTTCGCTGTCCGGCTCCGATGCGTCTGAGTCTGAGTCTGCGTCGCCGACGTTGGCGAAGTTGGCCCATTGCCAGCCTCGCGGCGATTCGAGACGCATTTCGCCCCATTCTTGTAGGTCGTTCATCCCGGACCCGGCGAGGAAGATGATCCGTGTGGGTGTGTAGGATTCATCTTGTTCAAAGTCGAGATACAGCCGGAGGCCAACGATGCGGACGAGCTTGAAGAAGTGAATGTTGAGGTAGTGTGGTTGAGGGCCATCGGACTGCCAGAAGAAGTTTGGGGAGGGATGGCGGAGCTGGGGTATTGAGCAGCCGGGTTTTGAGGAGGATACTGTCCAGGATGCCAGGGTGCTGATTTCTCGCAAGTACGAGGGTGGTGGTTCGAGGTTCGGGAGTGTCTCTGCTGATGCTACGAAGGGTCAATAAGGTTTACAGATGAAGGCACGTCACCGTGTGTCGTGATGTAAGAGTGAACACATGTTGAGCTCCTGGAAGCCGGCCTGTACAACTTGTATCGAACACGTTCGGAGCTAGGCGACACGAGAAATGGTGAGGCAGTTCCAAATAGAGCACATGGAAGTGTAAAGGTCACGTAGCGTAACACGACATAAAGCCAAGGCATGCAGCAAGGAAGGCTTACCGAGCGCTTCCTCTTCTTCCATATCTTCCTCCCCTTCCATTGCTACCATGTCATCTCCCAAGTCCTCTTCGGGTTCCATCTCTTCCTCGTCGAAATCCTGGTCGCTGTCGGAAAATTCCGCTGGTGGTGGTGGCATGTGATGCGGTGCTCTCCTTCTCGTCGCCTGCGGCATTGTTCCAGTCTATCGTTACCGACGAGAATGCCGTGTAAAAGGTTCCAGACAGTTGAGAGCAGTGGCTGGGACTACAGGGATGGCGGGTGGGAGTTGCAGGAGCGTGAATTGTGGGGTCCGGGGCCTCCTGCAAGTGACGAGTGTGCGTTCTCAAAGTGAATGGCTAAACGCGAGCAGCTGGTCCCGGCGCAACAACCGATGAATGTTTCGAGGATCTGTTCGGCGAGCACGTCTCGACTTGCCAGTGTTGTGTCGCTTTTCGACTTGGTTTGCAGACCGCTCGCAGCAGATGTAGTACAAGGCAATTCTGAAGTTGTTGTTGACTCCACTTGATTGGGTGATGGTTGCGTAAACAGCTGGCAGGAGCGTTATCCCTTGCGCGACCCTTGCAGCTGCTCAAATCTTAAATTGCGCCCAGATCCCAACTCTGACAGTCGCCTGATGATGTTGATTGTGCTTTTCGTTGGTAGATGAGAAGGTTTATTCTTGCGCAGTGTACAAAGTAGGAGCTTGTCGCAACAGTCAACAGTGATTGGCCCGAGCTTGTGGAGAGGCTTTCCTGCAGCTTGTTCTTCCCACATCCTTCACCCGCATCCCGTTGTGCCATGAGTCGGGTCAACCTGCCTGCTGCAGCGAAGATGCCAATCGCGAGCGCCAATCGTCACAAGCGCTTTTGAGGGGTCGCGTTCCCGACGACTGCACGCCACCAGATCCATCCGCTGTCTGTTTCAGCGACGACAGGGCGCACAACCAGTGGCTGGATTTGCTTTTGAAGGTTTCTGACGGCGTGATCCTGCCCGAACTCTAGTGATGCAGTGATGCTCTTCAAAGCACTGGGGCCGAACGATATAGCTCTGGGGAAGAGGATTGACGGCGCTCCTAGGTACCGTACCACTGTTGCATTAAATCTGCCGCAAGCGGCCTGCAAGCCTCTCTGTGGAGACTCCAACACCAGTTTTTTCAGCTCCCATCTCGAAAGGTACATCTCAAGTCTATAAGAGGGGTTAACCCGCTCCTTCGGCGACCTTTCTTTTGCGTGGACCGATGAACGCGACCCAAGAGTTTCGTGATCTAGTCTGTCCTACCTTGTGCACCTACTCATCCCAACGTGGTGTTCAGGCCGGTGTCGTGTAACGTTGCCCATATACTCGAGCTGGCACCCGATATGTAGCAATAGAGCCAACCGTTTGCTGTTGCGCTGAGCGCCCGCCATCGTCTCCGTTCATTACTTACCTCCTTTCACTCCTTACGCCTCTCGCCGTCATCTGGGACGACATATTCGCTAACGGCACGTGGCACCCGTCATTGCGTTCGACACCATTTGATCTGAACATGGTGCATGGTTTCGACGAAATCGCCCAAGCGGGCAAGCAATCAGAAAGAATAACGATCGCGTTCCTGGCGCTGGCATGGTTCTTCATCACACTCCGAGTATGGACTCGCACGTGGATCATTGCAGGCTTTGGCTGGGATGATGCGACTATGATCCTCGCTTGTGTAGGCATTATCATCACTCGCAGAACCAGATCGTTAAAGCTAATGTGCCTGTAGATGATCTTCACGATATTTTGTGGAGCACAATTGTTCATCGAAGCGCATGGCGGTAAGTGCATATTCTATGGAGCAATGATACCGCACTCACAATGAAAGGTGGCACTCATGTCACGAGTATGGAAGGGCTGCAGAAACTCACGAAGGTCAGTCAATCGAAGCGCTTCATGCAATGAAGCTGACCAGAGACAGTGGGTCGTAGTGAGCGAAGCAACCTACCTCATAGCGATGATGATGGTTAAGATCTCACTCGGCATATTCTTTGCGCGCATCGTGGTTGCACCCTGGCACCTTATGCTCATATACGTGACCATCGGCGTCAACGCCCTATCTTCAGTGTCAGCTTTCTTTTATTGCGTTTTTCGCTGCGGGTCAAACGTCGAAAATTATGTTATGCAGCAGCTCAAGATGAAGTGTACTTCGAGAGGCCTCGACAGGTTCGTGGCATATCAGTCAGGTACGAGTCACTGGCTATCATTAGCCGGCCTTTCTTGCTGACGAAAGCTTATTAGCTACCTTCTCGACACTTACTGACCTCGTCTTTGTCATATTGCCGATCATAGTCCTCTGGAACGCCAACATGGACCGCAGCTCAAAGTTCTCTGTTGGTTTCATCCTCTGCCTTGCCGCAAGTGCATGCATCTGCTCGATGATCCGCTTCCAATACGTCGACGGCCTAACTCAGATTGACGACTTCTTCTGGAACGCCACGAACATTGCAATTTGGTCCACAATCGAGTGCGGCGCAAGTATCATAGCAGGATGTCTGGCGACTCTGCGCCCACTCCTCAAGCGCATGTTTGCGACGGCAGGCTCGATTACCAAGTCTCTGCGCTCGTCGAACAGCCGCTCGAACGACAGCTCGCGACAGACTACGAATTCAGCGTCTCTCAACACTCACCTTGGCTCAAATGGGCGCAAGCCGGAGCGGGCGAGCAGAGACAAGCCCACTTTCGCTGAATTCATTGCCGAACCTGGCGAAGTCATCGAATTGTCGAACTCGAGCGACGCAGGCGACGAACGAGAGAGTCAGGATCGCATCCTTCGACAAGATGAAGAACCAGCGCTGGACTTTCTTTGGCCAGTCAAGGTGGTTGAGCGTCGAAGGGAACCAGAACGCACGTCGCCAATGCACCCAAAGCACAAAAGCTGGAGCTCACGATATAAAACAAGCGAACAGGGTAAGACGGTATATCGCCACTCATCTGCGCCATCGTCGCCCGTTTCATGAGCGGTACCTGGAAGAGACCTCGCACATAGCCTCTTGGAATCACAGGCTCGGCTATACACGTATCGAGAGCTCATCTGTTCAAGAGTGCGTTTGCTGCAATTCGATCACGCAGCGCTCGAAGAACGCAATGATCTGGTCATGAGTCGCCTGAGCAGAGGAAAGTCACACCGATTGGAACGACTCACAACAGCATTGTCGTGTCGCGGACGTATGCGTCACGAAAGAGCAAGATTGGGCAACATTTGACCAGGTCGCGTCCAGTGAGGCAATGAATGGTCTTGCCCTTTCCCGGCCTCAGTCATGTCGTGCCGGTAGTACTACACGCGGGAGACTAGCTTCGTCGATCTTCACGCGAAGGCAATAGCTCGAGCAGCTACGTAGTCGGTAGATCAGTGGAATTGTCATAGCCAAGCATCTGAAATCAACAATATCTCCACAAAGATAAGTCACGATGTTACAATATAATGTATTATTGTGATCGTCCTAAACACTTGCCGGTCAAGGCCATGGCAGGATGAGGACGCACTTCCTCTTAGAAGTGTTCAATCGGCCAATTGATATTCGTTCGTTCCTCTTCCTGGCGCTACGACACTACGATGGGTCTATTTCTTCGAGGCGGCCTTGGCGAGATCGTCGAGAGCCTCACGGCGCTTGAACTTGGCATCCTGGATGACACCTAGGTCTGTTAGCTTTCATCGTAAGCTACCGAGCAATCAGTGTACGTACTGGCATCGGCGTCCGAAGAGAAGTTGCCAGTCCAGGTGATAAAGGTCTGGCCCTCGTGCTTGCCAGAGGTGACGGGGTACGCGCGGATAGTTGAGACGACGGAGGTGTAACTCAGCTCGGGCTTAGCAGAGATGATGGAATAGGTGATGTAGTGGTCGATGCTCTTTAGCCAAATCAGCCTGGTTCCGTGCAAAGCATTTGCGCAAAGCAGACTCAGAAACTTACGGAGTGCTCCTCCTGCTTGACCTCGAGCGTCTGGCCGTCCTTGAATGTCCACTGCACGATGTCGGTCTCGGGAGAGGCGCCCTTGACGAACTCGCTCTTCTCGAGCTTCGACCAGAACTTGCTGAAGTCCTGGAGCTTGATCAGGTGCCAGACATCGCTGAAGGGTGCGTCAATGACGGCAGACTCGCTGACGGAGGTGGAAGTAGGGATGGCAGGCATTGTGAATGAGGTCAATTAGTTCTGTGGTGGTGTTTTGAAGAGAGTATTTGGCTTTTGGGTGTGAAGTGTATGTGGAGTGACCTGCTGAAGTTTGATCAAGCAATTGTTTGTATATTTTCTTGGCCCTGGCGTCATGGAAGCTGCCCCTCTCCCCCACTTTGATCGCAACTAGCTACGCGAGACAGCTTGTTCGCCACCCCTCCAGTTCAGCCTCGCATTCAGATATCGTGTACTCAATCGCCACACACTTCTGTATCAGCATGTCACTCTCATCGACTTTGGTGCATTACAAATTCGTAACTCATATCGCTCAGTTTAATAATCTAGGTACTCACATATATGCTGTCAACACTCAAGATGCGGTCCTGCGATCACCACCTGTCAGACTTCGTCTCTTTTGCATTGATTCCCTTCTGATGCAGAAATGCGTCATTGCTGCAGCAAGGGGATTTTGGCTGCAAACAGCAGCGCGGGGAAACCATCAGGATTCGATGTATGTAGACGTCAGACACCTCGGCTACCGGTACTCCAGACATCCACAGCGCAGCCAGAATGAGAGTTGAGCCGCGGGTCCACGCATCGGTGTCAAGGCGCTCACAAGCCCCCGAAAAAAGAAAGACGTTGGAGCAATGCATGGCCAGACGCAGACATCGCCACAGTCGACGCCTTACTGCGCCACATCGGACGAAGCAACCGCCGACATCTTCCCGACCCTTGCCCCTTCTGGACGACTTGGAGGCCGCGCAACCACTTTATGCCTACCACTTAGAAGGCTAGACACTTCCGTGAGACGCGGCAGCGACGCCTATCAGCCATGACTCTTCTCAAAGGTTCCGCTTGATTCGTAGGATGTCCCAAAGAGCTATATTATTGGCCTGTGACAACACGGGGCGCATTTGGCGGCCACACAAGGCTGTGGCGAGGAGGGGAGAACGTACGTACGCCTGCCACGTGAATATTGATGCCTAGACAGATAGATGTGTATAAGTGAACGATCAGGTAGGGTGTGATGCTTCACTTTTCCATCATCAACAATCATGGCTTCTTTCAATTACATGAACAACACCGCTCCCTTCTGGGACTTCGTCGCTAGCCTCGAGCAGCAAGGCAACAACCACCCGTTCTTTAGTCAGAATGGACAGGATCATAACAACGAGAAGGAGCACGGCGAGGGCCACGAAGGTCATCACGGCCCTCGATTTGAAGGTGCTCGCCCTCCACCGTTCGACCCTTGGTCATGGGGACATCAGCTCTTTGGCGGCCCCGGAGGCTTACCTCGTCATGGCCCTCCTCCTCCTCCACCACATGGCCCACATGACCGTCACCCTCCTCCTCCAGGACCCCACAGTCCCCCTCATCACGACAAACACGAACCCCACCACGAGCACGACGGTGAGAAAGACGGCGAGAAGAGTGACAATGACAATGACAACGACAACGACAACGACAACGATCACGACAAGGACAATGGCGAAGGCCCATCTGGATCCGGCTCTGACAGCGAGGGAGGACGACACCACAGACGCCATGGCCACTGCGGCAGCCGTCGTGGTCGTCACGGCTTCGGAGGACGAGGAGGATGCGGTCCTCACGGCGGACCAGGCCGTCACGGCCCTCGTGGACACCATGGCCCGCCTCACGATGGTCCTGGTCGCGGCCCTCGCGGCCCTCACCACGGCGGGCCAGGACGACGCGGACCCTGGGGCCGTGGTGGTCCGTTCGGAGGCCCTGGTTCTTTCGGAGGTGCTTTCTGCGAACCAGACTTCCAGCGTGGCTTCACCACAGATGGTGCATCCATCTTCGCACCGCTGTGGGAGGCATTCGCTGCCCAGCACTCGTCCAATAAGAATTTGGAAACTGCAGCAAAGGACAGCGAATACTTTTCCCCGGAGGCCGACATCTTCGACACATCCTCCTCATACATTATCCACATGTCTCTGCCAGGCGCAAAGAAGGAAGACGTCGGCGTGAACTGGGACGCCGAGAAGTCCGAGCTGTCTGTTGCTGGTGTAATCTACCGTCCCGGCGACGAGGACTTGTTGAAGACCCTGGCCATGAACGAGCGCAAAATTGGACCGTTTGAGAGGAAAATTAGGTTGGGCACCAGGGCAAACCCGGCACATGTTGATGCTGAGAGTATCACGGCGAAGTTGGAGGACGGCGTGTTGAGGATCGAGGTTAGGAAAGAGGATGAGGGGTTTGTGGAGATCAAGAAGGTGGACATTGAGTAGATACCCGGTGACAAGAGCGCTTTCTTTGTCGTCAGCTGATTTGGGTTTCATGATTTCTAGTGCGAGGCGCATGGAGTAACATATAATTTGGGAAATTCTTGGTGTTCATTTGCATGTGACTTTGCCACGATGTTTTGCTCCGCTCTGGTGGCTTTCCACTATGATAGACAGGTTGTTGCATTTTGTTATTGCCTTTGACAAAGTGTACAAATTCCTATTTCAAATTACCTAAGGTGCGTCCCGAAGTGGAGAGACACACTATGTCCCAAGACAGGTTAGCGGTTCGCACCTTCGGCGCCTCCGACGAGCAGATTTGTAGAGTCGTCGCTCACCTATAATGTTCATAAAACTATTCTCCTCCGCGTCAGCAGGCTCCGACTGCGATCTCTGCAGTGTTGATCATGTTGTCGATCATCCCATCAACGCCGTGAAACAAGTTTGTTGCAATACCCCCCTGTCTGCTCGCCACCTGAGCAGTTTGATCAGGTATCGGAGTTTCCAGGATAAAGCGCGTTCAAGGAAGGTCATTTCCCCAGTGTTGAGAGGTCGCTCCAACGCAGGCGTGCGCATGCCAGAATCTCCGCAGTGTGGGGGAGGTGACCCCTACAAAGGGGTCCGGGCCATCGGTCGTGCTAGCGCCTTATAGTGCTCATGGACCTGCATTAGCGCGCTACAAGTGGGCTGTATTCTATCGTAATAATTTCAGCGCTATGCACACCTCGCCCTGCGCTCAAAATAGATGTGGCGCAGCGTACTGACAGATTTGAGGCACGTTCCGTTGTGTCCTTTGCTTGCTTACTGGGTGCCTGAACAATGCATTTGAGCCCTGCCACAGCATCATCTTTCTTGGGTTGATAAGAACCTACATCAAGCAGCGTCTTGATTACCTGCTCCTGGCCGTCATATGAAGCTGCCTGCAGTGCGTTGCTGTATTGTACACCCTGAGCGTTGACGTTGGCGCCTTTATCCAGCAGCATCTCCACCACCTGCTTGTGGCCTCCAGTTGAAGCTGCCTGCAGTGCGTTGCCGTGGCGTCCACCCTGCGCGTTAGCGTCGGCGCCTTTGTCAAGCAGCATCCTAACTACCTGCTTGTGGCCTTCCGCTGAAGCTGCGTACAGTGCGCTACAACTGCCCGATTCCCTAAATTCAAAGATGTGATTTTCGTTACCCTGCGCGTTAACGTTGGCGCCTTTGCCAAGCAGCACCTCAACCACCTGCTCGTGGTCTCCCACTGAAGCTGCCTGCAGTGCGTTGCCGTAGTGTCCACCCTGTGCGTTGACGTCGGCGTCCTCCTCGAGCAGTATCCTTGCAACGGTGCTTAGGCCTAGCAGCGCTGCATAGTAGAACGGTGGGGCCACTCCGTTCTGACGTCTTCTCCAAGACCTCACCCTCCGCTGGGCTGGGTCACGCAATTGGATCCAATTGTGATATGCGGGGTGTCCTATTGACAACAAATCCACCGCTATTCGACTCAGTTCTTCTGTGTTGTCTCTAGTATTTCGAAGATGGCTGCTCCAGAACTGTGCTGCGTATCTTGCGAGTGCAAATGCCTTAAGAACTTTATTTGACAGTGGCTGCTGGAACTGGAGCAGGTACATCAAAGAGCCTTTTGTCAATGCGTTGTGGCATTCGACCTCTTGCATGCTGAACTGCTTTGCCTGTCCTTGCTTGATCCTGTCCGACACAAGATACTCCTGGACAGAATAGTGTGCTAGAGCGATGATACGCTGGCCAGGCCTCCCGCTTCCGTCCGGCTTGTTCGTTGTGATAGTGACTAGACTTGAGCAGATGTTCAGTACCTCCAGCGGGTCTTCGAGCACCTCATCGCGGTCGAACGCTGGGTCGCATGCCACATCAATGGCGACGACTTCGGCCATCTCTTCTACGGAGAGCGGCCGCGCAGAGAACGTTAGCCACTGCAGAATGCGCATCGCATACTCAGAATATTCGAAGGGCCATTTGAAGCCGTCGACGAAACGATCGACCGCACGACAAGCACTGCAGAGATCCTCGTCGGAGCTAGCTGACCTGAAGGTGAGTAAGTCGATCAACATTGTCTACGGACCTTAGCTCTGCGGGTTCGCATATCAGAGACGGCGAAGTTCCGAACTGCCAACATGTCTCGGGACATGGTGTATCTCTCCACTGAGGGGCGCACCTTAGGGCTACTTTCCTCGTGTAATGAACACTTTGCGCTTCAAAAGAACATTTATCGAAACGGCTTTCGATTCGCATCGCCGGCCTCTGATATCTTAGCTCATAGCTTCTCCATCCTTCAATCCAAATTAGCACAGAAGCTTCGCACGCTCATCGGGATAGACCCGCCACTGTTAATAGTGCGTGAAGAGGTAGCCCTTGAGCCGGCATCGCTTTCGGGGACACCCGTTGCGGTACAAAGGCTCTGATCCAACCAACCAGGTCAGTGAGATCTGGATGTGCTGCCGGTAGGGTATCTGCAAGCCATTCGAGGCTACAGACGGATAGACTTGCGGTGCAGCTGGAGCTGAATGGACAGCCAAGTCGTGAGGGGGGCCTTGAGGGCTGGCTTGTGGAGGGATGGTGCCGGCAGCCTGGCCTTGAAAGATGTAGGTGTTGTGCTGGGTGGTAGATCTGGCACTGAGGGTATTCATGCTCATCGATAGTTCCCGACCCTTTTTCTGGAGGTCTTCGTACTGAGTACCGCGGGCTTCTAGTTGCTGGTTGAGCAGACGCAACTCTGCTCTCCTGGCTGCGGTCTGGGCCTTGACGATCGGTTTTTCGAGTTGGATGGCGGAAGGGGTGTAGATGGGCTTGTAATTACGAGGCAGGCTGTTTATGCGCTCGAGGAGTAGGTCGACGTAATTCCTGGTGGTCTCGGCCTCCCTCTACTCCTGGAGTTGGATCTGGTTGCGCAGTGAGGCGATGATGTCGTCACGTGGATCTTGAAATTAATATTGGTCCGCCATGTTGAACTGGTTTGAGGATGCAGAAGTGTTACGATGGTAGTGGTGCTCAGTGATGAACTTGTTTGAGCCGATGACACGGAACATTTGTAGAGCCTGCTGCGCACAAAAAGTGAAAACACGGGCGTAGCATACAAGATTAATCAGCGCCGCCAGTAAATAGCTACTTCACCCTTGCGCTAGGGAGTGACCTATGCGAGTATCAAGCCGTGTAGCTGCTGCGTGGAAGAGGCGAATTCGTGCTATGTTGCTGTCTTGAAGTTCCTTTAAATCACAAAGAATGTCCCATTGTTACATGTACGACTGTGGTAACAGCTCAGGCAGAGCAACGATGAACTGATGGTGCCAACTGCGAGTTGTCACATCCTCATTGCAAAGATCAGTGTGTGGGACTGAAAGAAGCCACTACAGGAACATACATCCAGAATGTCTGGGTGATAAACCGCACATCCAGTCTATCCAGACCGAATGTCTCGGCTTCAAGATCTGCCAAGTTTCTGGTCATTTTTCCTGCGCCGCCGCCGATCATGTACGATTTCAGGTCAAGACCAAAAATCAGGTACAGAAGTTGAGGTCTAGCACTGTTGCTGTTCAGTCTGCTATCTACTAGTCGTCTTAGTAGCATTTTGTGGGGTGAAAACGACTCGTCGGCTCGGTTTCGATACGAGCATTCTCGAGTTCTGATGCAGCCCGCCGATGAATGTAGGACTTGGGACTCAGCGGCATCCATCGGACTGCACTTTATCAAGTGCGGCAGTCGCACGAGACCGCTGCTGAGGCAGGGGATGGAACACAATCAGCTTCTGCGCCTCGGCCAAACGATAATTACCCCAACATCGCCTTGACCTCAATCATGGGTGCGCCTTACGGCTCAAAGTCGAAGGCCAGTTTCTTGTTCCCAACGAGAACTGTAGCACCAATGCGTCCAACCTCCTTCTGCAGCATGCCACCCATCTTGTCCCCCGTCTTCTCTGGTCTCCACACAGCGATGACCACCTGTCCCCAAGCTCACTCAGCCCCAGCACTGCCGATAACAGCCCCGGACATCAATAGCAAAAATTTCAGTGACATTGCAGTGAATCGTTCTACAGCAGGGCCGGCTGCTCAGAGGCTCAATTGAATGTCTGTCGTAAGCGAGTCACCTGGTTAGCAGGCCGTCCAGTCGCCGTAGCAATAGAGACCGGCGATGAAGTACTTGCGCACGCGAAGGCAATACCGGAATCTTGCTACATGGGGAACATGCCGGGTGTTGTACCTGAAAAGCAGCTCCACTCTACTCGTGAGATGGTCGCAAGTCAATGATGATGGGTCGGGCGGCGCGCCTGCTACCTTGGCCACGCTAGTCCTCCTGCGGCAAGCGCGCACCTACAAGCGAGCGAAATTGATCGTTACTTCCAACTCTTCGCTCGAACGAATTCTAACACCAGCAGCAACATTCGTCGCCATGGGTCGTGTCATCCGTAACCAGCGTAAGGGTCGCGGCTCTATCTTCACGGCCAACACCCGCCTGAACAAGGCCCCCGCCCAGTTCCGCACGCTCGATTTCGTACGTCCGCACCGATTCTGCGCAATTCGCAACTCCTGCGCACAGCAACACGACATCGCAGGAGGAGCAGGAGGCGCATACCGAGAGAAGAGTTTCGCTAACAGGCGCAGTCTGAGCGCAATGGGTACATTCGCGGTGTAGTCAAGGAGATTGTCCACGACAGCGGTCGTGGCGCTCCTCTGGCCAAGGTCACCTTCCGCAACCCCTACCGGTTCAAGCACAACACCGAGACCTTCATTGCCAACGAGGGCATGTACACTGGCCAGGTCAGTGTCCCCGCAAAGTACGAGAAGTGACGGGCTCGTAACTAACCCACAACAGTTCATCTACGCCGGAAAGCACGCCGCTCTCACCATCGGCAACATCCTGCCCCTTCACTCCGTCCCCGAGGGTACCGTCCTGACCAACGTCGAGGACAAGTCCGGCGACCGCGGTGCGCTCGGCCGTACCTCTGGTAACTACGTCACCGTCATCGGCCACAACCCCGATGAGGGCAAGACCCGTGTCAAGCTCCCCTCCGGTGCCAAGAAGGTCCTTCCTTCGTCGTGCCGTGGTATGGTTGGTATCGTCGCCGGTGGTGGACGTACCGACAAGCCCCTCCTCAAGGCCTCGCGTGCCAAGCACAAGGTAAGGAAAACCGCGGCCCTGCGTAGCGGGGTCCTCGTCCTAGTGCTTCTCTATACTGACTTCTCCAGTTCGCTGCCAAGCGCAACAGCTGGCCCCGTACTCGTGGTGTTGCCATGAACCCCGTCGATCACCCCCACGGTGGTGGTAACCACCAGCATATCGGAAAGGCCTCGACCATCTCGCGCTACGCCGTTGCCGGTCAAAAGGCTGGTCTCATTGCCGCCCGCAGGACAGGTCTGCTCCGCGGTACCCAGAAGACCAAGGATTAAGCGGTTTATTGAGGTGGCGTTGGTTCTTCGGATTCATATCAAGATCAATAACAGCGCCCGGCGTTCTCGCGCACAGCACAGCAGCGTGCGCAGGGCGGGGCGTTATGATACTTCTCCGGTCACGCTTCTCGGAAAGTCTACGAGCATGATAGGCTATAGGGAATGTGATACCGAAAAATGCATAGGCTGTACTTTTGGCAATGTGAATGATCGCGTTTAAGCTGTACCTGTTCCAACTCTACCTGTCCCGTCCCACAGTCGCACAAGGCGTCTAACATGCTTTATACTTTCTGAGATACCCTTGATGCTGGTGTCTTTGGACCATCCGGAACAAAGCCTTCTTACTTAGCCTTTTGAATCGACATCCTAATAACCAAAGCCGTTCATGTTCCTTTCTCCACATCTACTTGCCGTCGCCCTACTAGAGCTCTAGCAAATCGAGCAGACCAAAGTAGGTGAATCAGCCAAACTAGAATATCGTGGGCATACAGATTTAGTGAACGTCGGACGAGTTAATGCTCTGCAGATATGTCGGGCTCGTCTGGAATCACACAAGCCTTCCAATGCGCCTTCCCAAGATCGTGACCACGCGAGAGCACTAACCCCAATTCGCCATTGGCTCCACATCAAACAAACAACCCTCATCTTCACTCTTTCAACCGAACCAGCTTCATCCCGGCCTGAGGGCCACTTCAACGCCAAAATGGACTCCTCCAGCGCGCCTACATTGCTCCAACAAGCAGATAAAATCCTGCTCCACCCCATTCACCCGCACCTAATGGCCTACTGCCCGACCATGGACCTGATCGCTGTGGTGACCACTGAGGAGAATCTGGACGTGTACCGCCTCAACGGGCAGCGAGCATTTGGTCTGAAGCGCAAGAATGAGGATGTGGCCGTGGACACGATTCAATGGGAGTTCAATGGCAAGAGTATTGCGGTCAGCTGGAGCGACGGCAAGACGGACCTCGTCAGCGCTGAGACGGGGAAGATAGGGTTGAAGGATCTGGAGCTGCCGAAAGATGCGTCAAGAGGAGGAGAGGAGGGGAGAGTGAAGTGTATCGGGTGGGGGTTAAACTTCATTGATGTCGAGGCGGTCCAGAGCAGGACGAGGAAAGCTACGCGAGGGTTTGACCTTACGACGGAAGAGTGGGATGAGGCGAAGGATGGCGCGGACGTTGAAGATTTCCTGCAGAGACAGCCTGATTTGCATGCGCTGGATTGTGCGCCTGATCTGCCGGATCAGCTGGCCGTTATGGACGTCGAGACGCTGTTACCGAAGCTGCCTGCAATTCCGCTGCCACCCGCGCTGCCATTCATGAGGGTGAGCCAGGCAGATGCGGGCGCGTTTAGTTCGCAGGCTGAGGTCGACGCCTCGCTGCATTCGCATCACTTGAAGGACCACAACTCGGTAGACATGTTCATCCGGTGCTCGGAACGCGGAACGGTACATCTTTCCATCTACAATTTCTTGGAGACAGTCACGGTCAGACTACCGCCAGCCTGGAACATCGACAGCACTCCATTGCTGCACACAAGTCATCCGTATGGCTGCAGCCACGGCCTTCTCATGCGGACCACCTCCTCATATACGAAGACGAGGAACATTACCTTCGTTCCCCTCACACTAAATTTCATCCCTAGCGCAGGCATATACCTCCACCTCATCGCCTCCAAAACTTCGCAGCTGCAAAATCTTCTCCTCTACATAACACAATGCCTCCAGCGCATCCGCACATTCTTCAAACAAGCCACCGACCTCCCCTCGAAGTTCATGATGAACATCACCGAAACGCTTGAAGAAAAGAGCCAAGGTGATCTTACGACAAACCTCTTCCACCTGGCCTGCACCGGCGCCTGTCCACCTCTCATTCGCGAATGGCTTATCGACGAGCTCACCGAACAGGGACATAAGCGCTGGGACAACACGGTAACAACCTCGCTCACGATATTACAGGCGATGGTGCACGAGAATCTGATCCCGGCGCTCGACCGCACAGCCACGGTTATATCGCGCCTCCGTGGGCTGGCGATGTACCACGACTCGGACTGGATCTTCAGCGGCCCCGCGAGCCAGTTTGCAGCGCTTCTCGACGTGCTCAGGAACATGCGACTCCTAGCTCACACAGTGTTATCGTATGTCGCAGACGAGAGAAGGCAGTTTGACGCTTTCAGCAGGTGGCTACGCTTCGTCATCGACTTCGAAGCCACCGAGCCCGACAGCCAGGGTCGTGCTGAGATGGAGGGGCGAGATTCGGGTGTGGATATCGGGTTGGTGCTTGAGTATGTTCGACACGGCTTGCAGCAGAGCAGTCTCAAGCCGTTTCTGATGCCTGAGATTATGCTGGAAGCAGAAGACAAGCGGAAAGAGGGCGCAAGCTATGAAGATACAAAGAGAGCGATTGGCGTGTGTGAGGAAGGACAGAACTGGAGACCTGACGCACTGTGTCTGGAGCATGTCCTGGGGCATTTGGCAAAAGGCACGACAGGCTTGCTGCGGCAGGTCAGCAAGTGGCAGGAGAGCGGGATGCAGATGAACAGCGGCATCGCTCTCTCTCCCTCTTCCCCCGAAGGGAATGACACCGTAGACATGCGGATTGTCTACGAGGTTCGTCTCACGCCAACATTCTCTTCGAGCCCACGACACGACTAACAGAACGCAGCGCCCCACATCCTCGCCCCCAACACCCACGCTATCAACATACATCGCCGTCTCTGGCCCGGCCTCACAAACACTGACCATCCACCGCCTCACCCACGCCAGCGCCATAACCTCTTTGCCGCGCGATCTCCACAGCCACAGCACCGCCTCCCTCCGGTTCCCCGGTACAATCACCTCGCTGTGCTTTGCTTCCGACTCGTCGCTCCTCGTGCTACTCCACACGCCAGAACCCAGCGCCCACCCCGCTTCCAGCGGAGACTCTGAATCCACCCCCACCTACAGCATCCTGCGCATCCCATACGCGCCCCCGCACGCCGGCGCCAGCGAAGGAGAAGCAGCGCCGAGCGACACACTCCCATACTCCAGCCTCCCCATCGACGCGGCAAGTCGCTGTCTACCCACAGGCTCCCCACCCTCTCCGTCTGCTCCAGAGGCGCAGACACTCATCCCCGCCGCGGCGCGAGGATACACGATCCACGCCTTCGCCGCGGGTGAGCGGTTCGTGCCGCACAAGCTCGTTGTCAGCGGACGCAAGGGGCGCGGAGTCGTTGTTGTGCTTGCGCAGGACGGGCGGCATTATCGGGTGTTGGATTTGGAGGATCAGGCGCTGAGGGGGGATGGCGGCGAGGGGGGTGGAGCGGAGGATGGGGAGGGGGATGGGGAGGGGGATACGGTTATGAGCGGGCTGTAGGGGGGAGGTGTAGTGCAGACTGTGCCGGCGTAGTGCGACGCGATCAACGGCACATACTGAGGCGTGGCCGATGGACTCGGGAGCGTGTTGAGTTACGGCGGCGTTGGATGGCTGCGAGCGCACTAGTCAGGGTGGTGGAGGGACTCGGGTGGACGTGGATGGGTGAACGCCAAAGATGATGTGATATTCTTTTCGTGCCTCGAAACGCGATGCCATGCCATGCCATGCGTAGAAAGCCCGCCCTTTCCCGTGGGTATACCAACCGTGATACAAATACAACGTGGTGCGCATGCAAAGAAGAAGCGCCCAATGCCATGTCCTGAACGCCTCGTCGTCCTCGTTCTCGTCCTGTGCACGTGTCTGCGCATGGTGCTACGACCAAGGCTTCTCAACCTCGCCCTTCTAGCGCGGGCTTGAGGTGCGCTTGGGCTGGATCGAGTCCCTCTGGACCCTCAAGCTGCGCATGTTACTCCCCGAGCTCGCTCTGCCGCCCAAGCGGCCCTCCTCGTCGAAGCTCGCTCCCTTCTTCGCGTGCTCGTCGTCGTCGCTGTCCGCGAGGTCGCCCAGCTCGAACTGGTTCTCAACGTCGTAGTCGTGCATCAGCCCCGCGCCCTCGGCGCCATGGCTGCGGCGCCCCGCGCTGCTGCCGTTGCTCTGCAAGTACAGTTCCTGACTCCGCCGGGCTTGCATGCTGCGCCGTGTGGGGAAGCCGCTCATGGCGTCGCTTGGGATGCCGTCCGAGAGCGCGTTGCCCAGCGTGTGGCCGGCGTTGGGATCGTCGCGGCTGAGGTTGAGGAGGTACACGCCGGAGAAGATGATCAGGAAGCCGCAGAGCAGGGAGATTGTGTTGACGGCCGAGGTTGTGTTGAAGCCCTGGAAGAGCAGGCAGGAGGCGATGAGGGTGAAGGTCGTAAAGGTCACGTAGTAGAGGGGATTGACGCTGCAGTGTGTTAGTATGGGCGGTTTCTTGACAAGGGTTTCGAGGGACGTACATGTTGGTGCTGAACTGGCTGAGCGCTTTGTTGAAGTAGTTCATCTGCGTGAGGATGCAGCCCACGACTATGATGACGAAGACGTAGGTCGAGGGGTGCGTGAACTGGTTGTTACCCGCGAATGTCATCTTCAGCGCGATACCGAAGGCCTTGATGAACATGATGGAGACGGAGCCGGTGGTGGCGCAGATGGAGAGGTAAATCAGCGGGTTCTTGCGGCCGTGCTTGGGGGCGATTTTGTAGATCATGAAGACAGAGAAGACGGCGACGAAGAGGCAGTAGACGAGGAAGCCTTGACGTTGTTAGCTATGCCGCCAGCGTTTTTATTAGCGTTTTGAATAGCAAAGTAGAAAACGTACCGGGCTGGAGCGCCAGGTTCAGGATCTCGTCGACCGACGACACCTCCTTGTCCGGCGGCGCATGCAGCACAATGATGACGCTTCCAATCAAGCAGATGGCACAGCCAATCTTGCCCAAGAGGCCTAGCTGCTCGTCGAGGAAATAGCTGCCCAGCACGGCGCCGATGAGCACACTCAGGGCGCCGAGCGGGGTGACGAGGATGGCAGGCGCAAAGGCGTAGGCGGCGAAGTTGAAGATCTCGCCTAGGACCATTGTGATGATGCCAGCCCACCACGTCGAGTTGCGCAGGTACGAGTAGCCATCGCCATCGAAGCCGTGCTTCTCCATGGACGCGTTGAGGCCCTTTTTGGTGATGACGAAGCTGGCGCCGATGGCCAGCGACGACGAGACTGCGAGGCAGAGGCCGACATATCTGGCACGGTCAGCGGGTGGTCCGTTGGGCGGCGGGCGGTGGGCGCTGCAGCGTACTTGTCTTCGACCATGATGCCGCTGCGCGACTGTCGCCTAGCCGGGCAGATGTGGTTACGGATGGGTGTGTGGAGATGCGCCCGATTGCGCCGTGTGACAGCAGCGGTGGTAACGCGAGGAGCGCAGGCGATGGCAGTAGTCGCGTGCAGACCTCAGGTGGTAGACGCGTGCAGACCTCAGCACTTGAGCTCTGCGCGCCGTCGCTCGCGCAGTCCGCCGGATCTTCGAGGTGGCAACGCGGAACTGCGTCGATGTCGGCGGCAGCCCGGGCCCTGGAATCACTGCGCGTTTCACCAAACGCCAGCGAGGGACGTATGCCACAAGGGAGGCAGGCAGAGGAAGGCGCTGTGGGGCCACGCGTGTGCAACTCTCGTCACCTGCAGCGTCAAGGGAAGCAGGCGAGGGGCAGGACGGCTAGCAGTGCGCGGTCGTTACGTTGCACTGTTGCAGGACGTGGTTGTTGCAGTAGCGACAGTAGAATACCTAATTATTGTTTCTCCACGAAGACAGGAGAGCGAGAGTCGAGCACGAGCAGGAGCACAGGCACAAGCGCGCACAAGCCCAATCTGGGGAACAGCCGGCTATCGATACCTTATCCAACTCAATTCAACAAGTGTCAAGTGGCGCCATCGCTCAGGTACCGTCTCACCATGGGCCTCCGTTGCTCAGCCTCCAAAGCCAGCGAGGGGCCAGCGAGGGAGCCGGCTCGGCAGGGGGACCATGAACCGAGCCCAGCGCCGAACGCTAGGTCGATGCAGGGGCGCTCGTGCAACACCAAACTTTCACAGGGCCAAGGCCATGACACGCCCAACGCCGTAAACTCAGTAGTGGAACTGCACGTCAGGCTGTGCAGAAGTGTCGGTCGATCCTGAATTCTTTGCTTCTCGACGGACAGCCCTTGCAATCGCGCATCCTCGCTTCTCGCCAGTCTTTTGCTCGCGATTGGAGTTTGGGCCGTCGAAGCCACCGTCAATATTGGCTGGCCGCGTCTCAAGAACACGTGTCTATAGTCGCCATCAACCACGCTTTCCGCAGAACACGAATGCAGATGCTGGTTTCACACGAATACGACTCTGCAGACCAAACGAGTTGTCAAAGTAGATATGGTATAGAGGATACGAATCGTCCAACCGCAGCATCCGGGCGACGTCAGCGGAACACGAGGCTGCCGAGAGATGCCAGAAATACATCTTTGCCGACCCCACAGCTAATTATTGTTGATTCCTACTACTGCTCTCGTGAATACCTAGTGACGCAACTCGTCTCCGTGGTCTCCTCGCAGCCACGCGTGCGTCCTGACTATCCTGACGTGCCAAATGTGGCTGAGCAGAACGCTGAGCAAAAGCCTTCCTCAAGAACCCCGGGGTATCGTCGCCATCGGCTCCATGCCTCCCAAACGCCAGAACCCAACATCCCATGTGTGTGCACCACCACAACTCCTCAATCATGTGTTTGGTTTCTTCTTCCTTTTCTAATCGTCCAGAGGAACAAGCTGTGTATAGACACTGACATACCTTGCTGTTGCGCTATCCTGGCGCCCTTCACGAGGAAGCAACGAGGTTATGAGGGTTCTTAGGTATCAAAACTGTCGTTAGTACATTGTTAGTAGATGCTGCCAAAACAAATCCGGGTGCCGTGTCCGTGTTAACGCGCCGAAGAGGCGGACAGCATAGTGCAGTACGTGTTCGACGAGACGATCAAAGGGTCCAGCAGATACGCGCAGTGCTCAAAGAAGAAAGCTAAAGGTTAGTACTTGGAAGACCTTGGAAGACCTTGGAAAGATTCCGAGGGTGGCGCGCTTCACACCCTGGCTTTTTTTGCGTCTGGCAAGCAAATGTCAGCATCGAGCTCGTTTGCGTGGTGGGACTGGACTCGTACCTGTCGAGTCGGGTGCATCTTCAATCCCGTCGCTGACCTCATCGATTGACCGTTTCTGTCCCTGAGTAGACAATGGTTTGTGAGAGGTCAACGCAAGGTCTGCAGCCGAAGACGTTGTAGCCCCAGGCTGTTCAACCACGCCACCCTCTTCGTCTCCTTGGGCCGTCGTGTCATCATGCAATAGAACTGCATCATCTCCCGGAAGATCTGAGGCGGGGTCTGCGTCTACGGCCCACTCCGGGGCATTGTCAAGATCCAGGAGAGCATCAGCGTGCGTGGTATCCCCAACAGCCTCGTACGTCTCGTCGCCATAATCGCCATGATTGGCGTCGTCCAGTGGCTGCTCGCCAAAGCCAAGGTTGATCTCTCCATCCATCTCTTGGAAGTTGTAGTCGGCGAGATCTTGGTTAGTGTCGCCGGTGTAGCTACCATCGGCCTCAAAGGGATCTCCTACTGTACCGTCTGCTTGGTACTCCTGGAACGGATCGCCCTGCTCGTAGTCTTCCGTGTAATCTTGGAATGCATAGTGGTTGGCATCGTCGCCATACTGTGTCTGCGTAAGCAGAGTAGTGTCACCATCGTGCTCTTCGAAGTCAGCCTCAGCTGCGTCTGCGTCATCGTGTCTATCGTATTCGGGGGCAGCGCTTGACTCTTGAACTTCTGTGAGGTCATCTCCCTGAACAGTAGACGAAGATGGTGATGCCTCACGCGGAGCGGACTTGCCCTCTTGCTCGTCTTCGTCATCACTGTAATCGACAAAGTCTTCAGCTTCTTGCTTCTCGTGCGCGATCTGATCGGGCGTCCTCTCATCTGGAGATTCAGATGCGTCTCGCTCATCTGCCGCCTTAAGCTGTAGCTCGTGCTCCGGTTCGCTCTGTTCGGCAGTGCTCAAGGCTGCAGCTTTTTCCAAAGATTCGAGGTCAGCAGCCTCTTGAGATTCTATATGCTGAGCATCCTGAGTCCCTTCGGACTCCTGCTGCGAAGCTGCGTCATCTTGATGATGAGTGTCTTCTTGACTGAAGTTCTCTTCTTGCCCTCCTTCTTCCTCTTCAACATCACCGAAGGATTGCTCTTCGGGCTCATCAGCTTCCACGTCCTCTTGCACGACGCTGTGAATAGAAGCAGGAGAGCTGGCATCTGCTTCTTTGTTTTCTTCTTCGTCCCATTCCGTGTGATCATGCTCCGTCGAAGCACTGGAGAAGACATTCGAAAAGTGAGTCTCACCCGCAGAAACTGCAGCATCCAAGGCTGAGTAGCCACTACCCTGTTCCGCATACTGTGCAACATCAGCGAGCAGTGTGGCAAAGCGTGGGCGGAACTGCAATGTAATGTAGAAGCACTCAGGATCCTCGTTGCCATCTTGTGCCTGCAGTGTGTGGTAGAGGTCTACCATCCGCTCCAAAGACACAGCCACACAAGCAGTATTGTCTTCATAGAGCTCGAGATTGTGCAGATGGTCGAATCGGAAGCCAATCTCATGTTCGCCGGAGACATCGTCACCAAGAGACAGCCTGCAGGCTTGAAAGAGGTCCGAGATGCTAGACTTGGCAAATGAAATATCGTCAAGCAAGAAGTCGCCACTGCCGTCAAGGTCATGCTGTTTGAACAGCCATAGTTCGTTCCCTGCGTAATTGACAGTCACTGGCCTTAGCTCGATCTGCTGGTCGTTTTGATGATTGTTCTCATGGTCCTGATCTGTGTCCTCTTGTTGCTCCTCTTGGTGTTCTAGGGCGGTCGTATCGTCATGTTGCGAATGTTCGTCCGTTGGAAGTGCAACACCTCCTTCATCGTCAACGTGGACTTCGTCACTACCTTCGTGCTGCAGCTCAGCGTCTTGGATCTCATGCTCGGCACCAGCTTCTATCGTCTCGAGGGTCTTCGCAACATCATCGTCGTGTGTTTGCGCCTCCTCATTGGCGATTATGGTGGGCTCTAGTGGCTGCTCGTCCTCTTGTGTCTGCACGTCCTCGACGTGGTCATCGGCTTGCGCAGATGTCGCCTCCAGATCGAAGGACAGTTGAACGTCTTCCTCTTCGTGAAGTGAAGGACTGTGCATCTTGACTGGCTGCTGTGCCTCATCATCTGAGTAGTCAATCAAATCCTCGTCTGGCGGCGCGAGCATATCGGCTTCAAAAGTGGCTGCACTTTCGTCTACGTTTTGTGAGACTGCGGCAGTGTCGTCGTTGTACACATCATCTTCCTCGATCAGATCGCCATGGTCGGCCATGAAATCATCTTGGTCGATGTGCTCTGACATGTCGATTCCGCCGTCTGTGGCCTCGTCGTTGAGTGACATTTCATCGTCGCGAACCGAGGGTGCAGTGTCCAGGTCGAGATCGATGTCGCCGTCGCCAAAGTCGAAGGCAGTGTCAGAGAGGACATCCATGTTGTCGTCTGGTGCAGAGACCTCGAGAGCTGGTATAATGTGTGCGGCAGTAGTCATCGGGATTGCTTGGCATACAGGCTCAGCTGGTGTAGCTGTAGGAGAGACACTTCAAGGTGTAATCGAACCAAGCGCGTTACAACCGCGTGTGGCGATGCAGCGAACGCGTGCAGAGAAGCTGTACTGCTCGGTTTGCAAAATCTGAACTGGGAGCTACAAGTGCATCGCGTCGAAAGTATGTGGTCGTTCGAGTGGTGCAAGGATGGGATGTGTGAAGTGAAGACAAAGAGGGATCCGTGGGTCTGTGACGCGCCAAGGCTAATGGGGGAGCTGTTTGCGAGTCGAAGTGCAGTTGCCAGCAGTTGAAGCGTTGGTTAGCGAAGGCCCCTGCCGCCTCACGTGATTCTCCACATGGAACTTCCAGGTGTTCAGTGTTGCGACGCGCATGGGTGCTTGTGAAGAGCTATCTGACTGGGCTGTTGATTTGAGCTGTCTGACCGGGCTGTTAATTTCACAGCTGCCTGTCCCAATCTGCCTGACCTTGCCGGCCTTGTATACAGTCCAATCCACGTGTCGACATCTTGGTGGTGTGCATTCCGCTCGATCAGCATCCCCCTCCATCTATCTCCAACCCTCGACCTCGAAGGCCGCACCGAAGCTCTCGCAGCGCCCACGAGCACGCCTTGGAGCTTGACCGGACTGCAGCCTATTTCGAACCTGCCAATTGATCGCTGTCCAACATGGTACAGCTTCTCCCGCCCACGGCAGGCCCTCTGTCGCCAGCACGCTGACGAACGCAGGTGGTCCTCGCAGCGTCGATATGCACACGAGGCGGCAAGGCGGTCCTCTCGCGCCAGTTCCGCGAGATGCAGCGCTCGCGCATCGAAGCCCTCCTCGCGTCGTTTCCCAAGCTCGCCGACAGCAACACGCAGCACACGACGTGCGAACAGGACAACGTGCGCTACGTCTACCAGCCCCTCGACGAGCTGTACATGGTCCTGATCACCAACCTGCAATCCAACATCCTGCAGGACATCAACTCGCTGCACCTGTTCGCCCAGGTCGTCTCGTCGACATGCAAGTCGCTCGACGAGCGCGAGATCCTGAGAAACGCCTTCGAGCTGCTCACGGCCTTTGACGAGATCGTGACGCTGGGATACCGGGAAAACCTGACCATGAGCCAGATCAAGACCTTCCTGGACATGGAGTCGCACGAGGAGCGCATCCAGGAGATCATCGCACGCAACAAGGAGCTCGAGGCGTCCGAGGAGCGCAAGCGCCGCGCCAAGCAGCTGGAGATGCAGCGCAAGGAGATGTCGCGGTCGCAGCGAGCGGCGGGCGGCATGGGCGGCGGCATGGGCGGCGGCATGGGGAGCGGCATGGGACGCCAGTCGTCGTACCCGGCATTCACACCGAGTGCGCCCACACAGACGGTCCCCGACACATACGACAGCTACGAGGCGTCGAAGAAGGCGCCGGCCAAGCCCCTGGCCCTGGGCAAGAAGGGCATGCAGCTCGGCAAGAAGAGCAAGACAAACAGCGCCTTCGACCAGATCGCCGGCGACCTGCCCCCAGAGAGCGAGCCCCTCGTCGCCCCCAAGGCTGCTGCGCCCGCCGCCGCCGCCGCCGCCAGCGCCCGCCAGTCGACCGCGACCGACCGCGACGCCATCCACATCACCACCACCGAGACCATCTCGGCACGCCTCGACCGCGAAGGCCTGCTCAAGTCGTTCGAAGTCAAGGGCGAGATGCAGCTCAAGATCAGCGACGCCTCCCTGACACAAGTCAAGCTGGACCTGCATACGGGCGACACGCGCGGCGCCCAGCTCATGACACATCCCAAGGTCGACAAGACCGTCTTCCGCAACTCGCAGGTCATCCAACTGGCCGACACAACCAAGGGCTTCCCCTCCAACATGGGCATAGGCGTCATGAAGTGGAAGCTCGCCCCGCGCCCCGACGACGTGTCCGACCCACCCATCACGTTCCGCGTTTGGCTCGAGGAAAACGACAGCACCTTCAACGTCACCGTCGAGTACGAGCTCACCGGCTCCGACCCGCTCAAGGACGTCACAGTCACAATCCCGTACGAGACCGACGAGCCGAATGTGGGTTCCTTCGACGCCGTGTACGAGGTCAGCGGCGACAGCATCGAGTGGAACATCGGCGCCGTGGATGCAAGGAACAGCTCCGGCAGCTTCGAATTCGAGGCCCAGGCCGGAAGCGATGCCGAGTTCTTCCCCATGCGTGTGCGGTTCAGCAAGAGCACGCCGTTTGTCGACGTTGATGTAAGTCCTGACTTGCGGAGCTCACCACCCCTCGCTCCAGCTGTGTACAGCAAGTGCTAATCTTCTCCCAGGTCTCCAACGTCACGCTCCTCTCCATGAACCAGGACATCGGCTTCACCAAGGACGTCAAGTCGACCGCCGATGTGTACGAGATCGTATGAGCGCGGAAGCGAAGGACGGGTGTTTGCAGTTCTCTGGTTGGCTCCGGAAAAGCATAGAATAGAGCGGATTTGAATGAACGTCACGAGCGATTTCACTTGCTTCCCTTCCAGCGGCCCTTTTCTTGACGCAGCAACTGCATTTGAGTCGATTACTCCGAGATGCGCAGAGCGTAATCTAGTCTCAGCTCAGCCTCGCGGCTTGCCAGAAGTATGCAGCCCACCCACCCCTCCTATTGCCCCGTGGACGGCAACTCCTACGCCGTTCCAAACACAACATCGGCCATGCGCTCGGCCGGCTCCACAACCAGATCCAGCACCTCCCCGTCTTTCACCGTCCCCTGCACCGTCGTGTTGTATGGCGCGTGCAGCTTGAACCTCCCGCTCCACGTCTTCGGCCACGCAGGCACGATGCGAATCGAGCGGCCCGCAAAAGTCTGCAGCAGCTGTTCCTGCAGCCCTATCGCGGCGGCGCCGTAGTGGTTCATATCCGGGCTAAGCGCGTCAGCACACTCCAGGCACATTACTGCACGACGAAAGACTCACGCCCAGTCGAAATTCGGGCCCTTGAACGCCGAGAAGCGGAATGTCGTGCTGTCCGCAAACCGGCTGAGGGCGTCGCGGGCCGCACCGTCCGTCAGCCCCATGCGCGCGAGCCAGATGCCGTCCTGCTTCCAGCCGTAGTCGGCGTGCGCGCCCTGCGTCTCCGTGTCGAGCGCGTACGTGTTCTGCGCATACGTCAGGTTGGGCAGCCCCAGCCCGAACTCGCCCCACGGGAACACGGGGTACAGCTGCGGGATCTCCGAGTTCTGGATGCGGTCGTACGCCAGCGCCGGCGCGATGCAGATCTGCCCTTGCTGCACCCGCAGCGGCGTGTCCGGGACCCGCGCGAGGAAGCCCGTGTAGTACTCTTTGCTGCCGACGGTGTAGGCGGGCGCGACGGCGAGGAGGTCCGTGAGGCACTTTTTCAGACCGGAGGTGGTGCTGCTGGGGTTGTAGGCACCTTTGTATGTTTCGGCCGCTGCTTGGGGTCAGTGGGAGAATCGAGGGGGAGGGGATGCGTACCGGAGCCGGGGAAGATGACCAGTTTGCCTTTACCGCTGTTTCCGGTAAGAGGGAAGACTTCGTATGTGGCTGCTTGTGTCAGATGGGGCGGGTTTGTTGAGTCACTGGCTTACTGTGTAGCTTTTGGTAGAAAAGATCAAACCACCGCAGCTGATTCTCGATAAACGGCATATAAGGCGTGACATCGAAGCCAGAGTAGATATTGGCCTGCAGAATCATGTCGATGAACTCGTTCGCTGTGTCCTGTACCCAAGTCTGATAGCTTCCGAAGTCCATGGCCGCGGGGAAACCTTCTGGTCGCTCTCTGCTCCCTGAGACGTTGCGGTAATAGTTACCATTGAATTCGTACAAATTGGAGAGACCAGTGTTATCGATCTGCTCCACATGGAACGAGGCGTTGACGTTGAATCCGAGCTGACCACGCAGTAGAACAGCGGGTTCGATGCGCTTGTAGAAATCGAACTGTGCTGCTCCACGTCAGATAAGTCTTCACTGCATGCGATTGTGGCTGACCTCGCATGACGTCAAAGTCGCCGCTCTTCAGCAGGGGCCAATAGAGAAGTCGTTGGTTTTGTGCCGTGAAGGTTCCACCGCCCCATCTCCTGTAGTCGGGAGTCCATGCCTTGGCCGAGGCGACAAAGACAGGATCAAATGTAAACAAACCTCCGTTGAACTTGGTGGGCCATTGCCCGAATCTTTGAGGTGTCAGCACTCGCTCTAGTCAAGTCAAACATTACTCACGCGTTACAGCCCATCATATATCGGAAGAGCTGGTAATTCTTGCCAACCTGGAATCCTCCGTCGGTCGCGCCAGCGTCTTCATTGACGATAATGTACGATCGCTTCCAGTAGTCGTTCCACCAGGAAATACTCGCCTCTTGAGTATTACGTGCGGCAGTATTAACCGTGTCCTTCAGTAATGCCATCCAATCTTCGAGTGTCGAGGTCTGGTTTTGGGCAATGGTAAGCGATATGTCGTACTCCGTTACCGGGCTTGGTGACACCAGACTCCACGCCTTGAAATCCGTATTGATATAGTGGCCATCAGTGACGTCGCCACGTCTCAATTGAGGGGATGATATCAAAATACCGAAAGTATTGTCGCGCATCGGGTTGTATAGCGTATCCTTGTACTCGGTCAGGTTCTGCTGCTCTGTTTGGAAATCCCACAACGGAAGTTGTGAGTTCCTGTGGTAGGCCAGGACATCGTCGCCGGAGAAAGAGATATTGTCGGCGTAGGTAGTCAAAGGGGCGATTGGAAAGACTGGGGCTGAGGTTCCGACTCCCCAGCTCGATTGTGCCTGCTCTCCAGGAACCATTATGCGATCTTTGTATCGCCAGTTCTCGTACGAGAGCGTAAGGCCAACGCTCGTCGCACTCTTGACATTGACATGGATAACTGGGTTGAAAACATCGACCCAAAGTGAAACGACTGTACCGTTGCCGATCTTGAACGTGACATAGCCATCATTGAGGATAAGTCGTTGTTCAAACGTAGCATTGGAGGCGAAAGGGCTAGGATCCATGGCAAGACGGACGCGTCCTAGCTTGAGCATGGAGTTATTCTCGTCGAAAGTCCCGCTCTTTGCGATATAAAATAAGATAGTGCCTACGTGTGTTAGCCATGTTGCACTTGGAGCAGTACTTTTGAAAAGTACCATTCTCCGCCCACGCATTCAGCCCAATGTCTCCTCCACCTACTGGCATTGAACCAGATGAGTTCGTGCTTTGTGACGTCCATACCACATCATAGGAGTCGGGCAATGTACTCGAACTCGTGGTATTTGCGAACGCCTGTCGGCGCCATGGAGGTAGCTCACAGCGAGCACAGGCCGCCACAAAAAGCAGCAAAAATAAATTCAACAGGAACGACGTCATGGTAGAGCGGACGCAAAGTGAAGCTGCCTGAAGTCTTGCAAGTCGCTCATGCTGCGATCAGATATAGGCGTTTGATCGTCTCGCGATTCACCATTTCAACAGCGAGCTCAAAAATTTATCCGGCCGTCTTGTAACTAGTGCAAGGTTCCCCGCAGTACGGCAAACTCTGTATACTCACCCGAAGGGAGTATCGCCCGTTCTGTGATGAAGCAAGCGAGGTACCCGTGCCAAAGTACCTGTAGTCAAGCGGCTGTTTAGCCTGCGCACACTAACGTTAGTTACCGAGTCCGGACCATGTGCAGGGGAACGGATGCATTGCCGGGTTGGGCCTCAGTGGCGATACCTAGGTGCCTACGGTCCTCACTCGTACTGTCGTTTCCAGAAGGTACGTGGACGCGGGAACACCAGTGGATAATCATAGACAGACTTGCCATCTATTTATAGAGGTTTGTTGTGCCTGTCGGTCCGGCAAAGAGAAGCTCAGCTAAGGGGCCCACCATGGCCCAGTTTCCGATCTCCATCGCAGTCCTGTTGATGATGAGGTTCAAGGAAGCGATGAAGACAGATTTACCAGCTGCGACATTGGGTTCGTTGATTGAGGGAGTCGCAATCATGGTGGATTTCGGGATCACTGGAGCCCCAAATGGCCAGCTCTTGCAGGTGGGAAGTTTTTTGACTGGCTTCGCGTACTGATCTTCCGGTTCCACAGGCTGTACTGTGCCGCTGTTGGCATGGACGCTTATGCGTTGAGAAGACTGACATTAAAATTGATAGACGACAGTCTCGCGAAAAGTAACAATCATTGATAAGACAGCATCACGGAGGTATTTAGACGAAAGGAACGATAACACTTACCTACAGGGCATGGCCGCGTTGACTCGTACAGCCTGGTCCCCCTTTACAGTTAGTTATCAGAAGTTTGAACCATTTAGCGTCAGGAGCGACTCCTACTTCCTACAAAGATATTGGGACCTGGAGGTGTACGAGCCGGCGTGCCCCTGTCTCGACCCCCGCTACCAGAATAAAATGCCTGCGGGAATAATAGAGACAGTCATAGAGGTTGGGAGTGTGTATTGGGTGATGATTTCGCACGTATCAGCGGTTTAGAACATGTCAGGCTTCCCGAATCTGGTACCTCCGGTTCTATTTAGCCGAGAGGATGGTAATGATCAATGCGTTCGCTGCCGGCCGGGTATGGTCTAGCTTCTTGCGTCCTTCATGCGACCTGAACGTTATGTGGACGTTAACCTCATCTCCCGACGTGCGTCTACAAACACAGCCGGCAATGGCTTGCTTCGTGAACTGCAATTTTGCTATTGTACCAGGTGTAATTTCTGGGACTGACGACCCGATTCTGTGACCTTGACATCTCGGGGCACCTGAACCCCCATGACTTCTTTCTACTGTCACACCGCCTCAGCGCCTGGGTCCGTACGTTAAATAGGACGGCTCAGGAGGAGGATACCCAAGGATGGCCTGTCAGAAACAAGGGCTTTCTCTGAACGAGCTCGCCGGATTACCTCAACGCTACTGCACTCCTGTAGGTATACTGCATTTGTTGCCATCGGTAACAAAGGTCTGATGCCGTTTCTACAGCTTCCTTGGGAAGATAGGCATCACAGTGGCTAAGGCTCAGATCACTAATAGCGGCCCTCTTATACTCGTGCGATCCAAGAACGATTACTCCAGATACGCTCTCGTCGGGTGTCCGTTTCTCGACGTCAACTATATGCAGTCTATCGAAAGCCTCAAAGCAACTGGTATCATAGTACGGTCCCTGTCTGACGATGCTGTAAAAAGTCAGCGAGGATCGACCCGGGCTCACTCGAGGGGTGCAAAAGGATGTGAAGACAAAAACATACAACAGCGGGTATTCGCTAGTGGTCACCCACCTAACTACCAATCCGCCGGTACGTTGCTTAAATAAGGCTGAGCGAACGGGAAGCCTGGTGGTCTCCTATCCGGCCGACACAAATGCCCTCAGTTTTGCGGTTTCCGGTAGGCAGCGAACAGGGAGCGCCGCGTCATGCATATTGCGCTGGTGGCCTGATGGACCACATAGATCGTAGGCGAATCATGTCACTACGATAACCGCTGCCAAAGACGCCACGCATATGCTCATCGTCTTAACAGCATTCTTCAGCCTTGCTATCGCCCTTGGGATCACGAAAACCTTAAGCGCTATCACTCTGTACCCCACTATACGACATAACGCTTGCGCCCCGGCGAATTACGTGCACTGGCGTGACAGCCTCCGTCAACATGGACGCGTACTCACACGGCTCGCGTAATGTGAGAAATCCTTCCGGATTTTCCTTTCACGACTGTGGATCTATGACTGTACTTCTGCAAATAACATCGAAAGGCGAACGTGAGTGCTTGGGTCGTTGTGCCAAAGCCTTACGGTGTGTATAAGTTAAAGCGAGGACCGCAGTGGAGACGGTATCGGAAACTCGAAGACACTCTTACTCTAGAGACTTACACACGTTCCTACTACATCGGCTGAACCGGTCTCAGCATGACTCGCCCACGCCGGCAAGGCCAGCTCGTGCCAATATTTCAACCTGACGGACGTACATCATCTTTCAGATATGAGCCGTTCAGTCATCCACGGAATCAGATACGTTTGTTTCGTATCCGACGGCATACAAGTACCCGTATTTCCTTCACAGTGCGCAACTACAACTTTGGCTCAGACCCCTACCTGGACCTGAACCCGGACCTACCGACCTATCGCGCACTTTCATATACATGGGGTGAGGTGACTAACTTCGCCCCGGTACCAGTGAATGGCAGTTATCACTTACAAGTGAGCCAGAATCTCCATAGATTCCTCGAGGAGTTATGTCAGGATAAGCATCTTGACTCTGGTATTAGAGACCACTTCCTCTGGATCGACCAAATCTGCATCAATCAGAAAGATCTCAGCGAAAAGACCTATCAGATCCCTTTAATGTCGAAGATCTATGAAAGGGCTGAGAGTGTTATAGTTTGGCTCAACGACGACTCGTTACTACCTGTTCACTCCATCGGAACCACGCCAAGACCCAAAAATCTTGTTAGGGCTGCGCAAGATATCACCATCTACGCACGTGGGCATTACTTCGAGTTCAAGGTGGATCAAACACGTGCGCCTCAACACATAGTGTCTGCCTTTCGACATCTCCTGCAGCACAATTATTTCTCACGAATATGGGTCGTGCAGGAGTTGTGTCTTTCCACAGAGGCTATAATACTGATTGAAGGGGGTGTTTGGCTCGACTGGCGACGAATGTACGACATCTGGACTGAGTGTGATTTCGAGAGAGGGGTCTTAAGTCCAGCGGTGGAGAGCATGCTGAGAAAAGGCTACGGACAAGATCATTTACTACATGCAATCGAGTCGTACTCGGGCAACCACTGCTACATATCTCAAGATAAGGTGTACGGCCTCCTCGGCCTCGTCCGCAAAGAAGAACGACCTGTCGTTGACTGCAAGAAGACGGTGGAAGAAGTCCTTGCGGAGGTCGTGGAGATCGCACTGAGGGTCGACGATAGAGACTTCTACGAGTTCGATGAGAAAGTGTTGTTTAGGTTAGGCTTACAGATGGGACTGACGCCTCTACAACAAAATGGTTGGATTAACTATGTCCGGGCAGTGAAGATCATAGACAATGAGATACAGCAGGCCATCGACTTCAAGGATCGACACAAAGTGCTGGCTAAATTGCGCAGTCTCGTCGGTACGGAGTCTAGTCGCCCTTCTACTACAATAAACGCCATAGGTTTCACTCGTGGTGGCGCAACTGGCACGGGGAAAGGAACATCCTCCAAGATCGACTTCTGGGCTTTCCAATACAAGGATGTATACTACAGCTTTCCATGCCTCCCACTTTCTCAACTTCGACAACGACCCACATCATATCATCTCAAGAGTGAGAACCCTCGAACTACATTCACCGCAGATGATTGCGAACAGCTTGTTTCTTGGCCGTGCGATGAGCCGAGGAACTCAGGCGAGTACTCTCTTTACACTTCGTCAAGGCCACACCATCAAGTGGTCTCGTATTCGGAGCAACGAAGGATGAAGGGAAGGCATCAATAATCAACCTTTCAATTCACAGGATCCACGAAGATGGATAGTTAGCTCTGAATAAGTGTTGTGTTTTATTCCAAACAATCAGAAATAGCAATATGGCAGCGCTGTCTTTGCATGCTCTCCTATCTATGTAGTTCCGTCGCTGCCAGTGCTGACATTGAGTTTCCCAGTCCAAATATCTTCACTTTTGGCATCCTTGGAATCAATAAGGTCGCCCTCTCAGAGATTAGGCTGGTGGCTGTCAAAAACTGCTTGCGATAGCTCTATCTCATCGAGTAGTCCTCGCAGTTGAGCCTATCAGTACACAACAGGCTGACACGATTACATTATCGTTGTCTCCGTCTTCAGCTGCGACAGCCAATGATGCTCTTCTTCTATCATCCACGACATTGGTATTGACACCTTGCGCCATCATGAAGAGTCCAAGTTCATCCCTCACGGCTAAAATACCCCTTTAGCCCTGCAGGTTGGCAATTGTACTGTCGATGGCAGGAATCAAAACTATCGAGCTCCGCTGTTCGTCAACGGCTACTAATCTGGAAAGTCCAGTCAGTGGCAATAAAGCTGGATGCGATGAATGAGGTTGGCTGACTGTTACAGTAAACAACATCGGACCCTGGTAAGAACTTCCAGTCTCAAAAGGAGTATTGAATTACTATGGTACAAATACACTGGCAGTCACGGTTTGGGCAATGGAAGCAGATATGGCAAAAGAATTGGACCGCCCCAATCCGTAGACCATCGATGTCCGCTTCGATATTTGGATGATACGGGCGCACTCCGTCGATTGAACTGAGATCTGGAGCTGAAAAAAACAAGTCTCGCACCAAGACCTCGAACTTCGCGAGACTTTCCCACTTCTGCATACCGTTAATGCGAGAACGACAACTACCTGGGATGTTCTCTGCGTCGACCGCGCAGTGGCTAGACACCACTCGAACATCGATCCTCTACCCTTCGAGCTTGTCAACGACAGTAAATATTGGCAGTGGAGGTACTCTTGGGATGTCATATTTATGAAGTAGAAGAGCTAAAATTTGTTCAACGTCTCCGAAAAAAGTCTTAGGTTTGAGTTGAGCTCCTTACGTTGTCTTCGGAATCGAGCGTCGGCATGGACCATGAATAAAGAAAGGAGCCTTGAAACCCCAGGGTGCCGAGTAGGTCAAAAGATGAATTGGGTCAATGTTGTTTTCCTGCTGCACACTAGTTGCGCTCTTTCGAAAGTGCGATACACGTGACCCTCACCGGCAAACCTCAACACCACGAAAAACCAGTGCAGCTCGACCACGTTCATTACTTCATGACAGCAAAATGCATCGGCCGGGAATCGAACCCGGGGCTAGCCGACACTGTCCTATGATGGATGGCAACGGCTAATTTTACCACTAAACCACCGATGCAGATGATTGTTGTTGTTGGTGTTGATGGAGACTTCGATGTGAACAATCATTATATTGAAATAAAATTTTGCGACGTGGACTGTCCGACTGGGAGCTGTTCTCAAGAGAACAACTTGACTTACTGCATGGAGTTGTTTCTAACTCGCAGATGCAGTTTCTTGAGCACGTTCAACATCTTCCGATGGTTAGCGCGGAAAACTTTGATCAACCTTGCGTATATCCACTCATCTTCGAGGACGCACTTCAACAAGCTCAATTGTTTCCTTTGGGGTTTAAGAGGCCATTTCAAGTCTCTGCGGCTTTCTGGATGACACCTCGATTCCTTGACCAGAAGTGCTGTCTTTCCAGCTGTCTTCTCGAACTGATCCTCGAAAGTATGCCGTGCTCGGGTCACAAGCACAATTGCTACAAGGAAGGATTGGTCTCTGAAAAGCTCGACATCCTCAGGATTTGTGGCACGCTCATTTCGACATTCAAGAACTCATCCGGGACGGTACCATGGGTAAGATCAGAACAAGTGGGGTGAACTCCATCAAAGCGGGGTAAGCTTCGTCCTTTAATCAACACTTGGATCCCAAGGTCCCTTTTACAAACTGGTTAACTATCCTCTATTCATGCTGGTGTAACCTAGCTTCCATCGACTCTGGCGCAATTGCATCGAACAACATATCAACGCCTCCCCACCATGGTGACAGAGACAAGCACAACAACGACTACGGACCCATCACCGCCATCATCAAATATCACAACGTCATCATCTGACCCCTACACAGCGGCCCGTGAAGCTCTTGAAAAAGATGGCTTCGTGATTCTCTCGGCGTTGCTCTTCCCATCCTTTGATCTCGACGCACTTCGTTCGGCAGCGATCCGTCTGACCACTGCTGCCCGCTCAGGATCCTGGCCCTACATCCGCACACTCCCCAAGCAGTTCCCGCCCTGGCCTCAGGACCCGTCGAGTGGAATATGGGGCGTCCAGCACCTTCTGCACCCTTGCAACGCCGACCACGTGTTGTTCGCAGAAAGTTATTTCGACAGCGAGTTGTTGAAGTACGTCGCGAGTCTGATCGAGTGTGGCGAGGAGCATCTCACAATGGAGTTGTACAACATGCTGGTTCGCCCTGATGAGGATTTTGCATTGAGATGGCACAGAGATGATATTCCTGCGACCGCCACGGCAGACGAGGAGCTGCAGCGCTTGAAGAAGCCGGGATACCACGCGCAGTGGAACCTTGCGCTCTATGACGACAGTTCTCTCGTTCTCGTGCCGGGCAGCCATAAGCGTGCGAGAACTGAGGCGGAAAGGAATGCGGATCTATTTGAGCCTGATATGCCGGGCCAGATCACGGTGCACTTGAAAGCGGGACAGGTGGCGTTCTACAATAACAATATTCTGCATCGGGGCGTGTATGATTGTACGAAGGAAAGAATGACGCTGCATGGAAGTATTGGCACGGTTAGGGCGGGGAGTGAGCGGGCGAGGAATGTGTTGCAGCATGGTGTCGGAGAGTGGGCGAAAGAGGATGATTTTGGGGGGTTGGAGCCAGCGATGAGAGCGCGGGCATTGAGAATGAGGGAGAGATTGGTCGACCTGGGGAGGAAGAGTGGGGACGTTGGGTTCTTTTCGAAGGACGAGTGATGATTGAATGGTCGGTTATCTGTACATGGTATGGCAGACCTACGTGTCCGCCGTTGACAGCTTCCGGTCTGACTACGTGGGCACCAATTTCACCTTCATACCCTTCGAGATCTTTGGCAGTTCTTTCTGCTGGTTCGTACTCCCCGCACCCGCCAACTTCCTCCTCGAACTATCGTCCAAGCCATGAAACAGCATCGTCAGCGCACCAGACTTGCAATTGTGATACTTGTTCCTGATACCCTCATCATCCCAACTCTTATGCAAAAGCTTCTGATCGTGCCGGGCCTGCAACACCACCAACGCAAAGAACAACAGCGTTAGCCCCACAACGGCGCCAGAGTAAGCGACTCAAGGCCTGTGGATGTGAACGCAGACGGTCTTGTAATGCACCTTGCCATGTGCCGTGTCACTTTGGTAGTCTTCACCGTTGAGTCATAGGTCGGTTGTCACAGCGTCAGAAATGTTCTTGATCAAGCCAGTGAGGTCGTTCAGCGTGCCGTTGCCCGATCCAGCATTCCATACTGCTATTAGTGCCTCAGGTCCGAATTGCGCCGGGGATGCGTGTGAATAGTACTCTGTAAGTTCGCCCTTGAACGATTGCGCGAATATGTTGGCGTTAAGAGCTTCGCTCATTTGGGGGTTCACGGTGTAACTGGAATATTAGCGGATACGCGTATGTGAAGATGAGGGTGAGAACTTACAGGCACGAAGCTGGAAATAGCCGAGCATACTAATTTTTGAGCAGATAGCATTTCCCTGGTTTGTTTTTTCGGGTCTTGTCGCAGTATTGATCCTGATTTTTCTTTAGTACGTATTAGCACGTGCCTTCGAATTCAATTTGCTGCGTTGTCTCGTTTCGATCGACCGCTACATGCCACGTAGTCCATCGCTGATCAGCAATTATGTTATAACCCATGTTCAAGATATCTTGTCGTTGTGTTTCGCTTATGCAATGGAGGTCAGCTGCTCTGTAGTAGCCGTTCGAAGGATTCCTCGAAAACATGTGCTCGTCTATTACTTCTTCTTTGAGTTGGGAATTGTGAATCGGGTCAGAGTATGTCTTCACGCAAGGCCTTACTTCGCATGAGTAAGCCGTGTAGCTGGGCTTCTGCCAATCAAGCACGCGAATCATGTCAATGGTCGGCTCTCCACATGCCGCAAGCATATGTCGGGCCTCTTCTGTAGAGCCCGTACCGCCGTCGAGCTGTAGAGTCAGACCTTTGTAAGCCATGTTGGGATACTCTGCGAATGACGTTATCTCGTCGGCCGAGAAGTTCATCGGGTTCGGCCATGGCTTGCTGACTAACTCGGAGGTGACATCCTGACATGTGTGACAGAACGCAACAGAGCTGTACTCTTGAGCAAAAGTGCCTGTGACGATAGAATCAGTACGGTGGGTTACAGTCTTTGTTGCAGCTGAGCAAGAGTTAACAGCTACAGTTTCCAGTAGAACAATCCCATTCCAACTGCGGCTTGTTCGTCACGTATATGCCCTGGTTCACCGCATTGCGGAGATCCCACGGAAGACTGATCTGCATGGAAGCCTGATTGAAGTCTGTAGAGGTTGATTTGTGGGATGGCTCCTACTTTGTCCGTGTAGATGCGCTCACAGTCGACTAGTGATACAATTTGCTGTGAGAAGGGTTCCAAGAAGAGTATGACGATTGTGACGATGGCGCCAAGCGAGACCACAATGCGACCAAGACCATGTCGAAGGAGAATAGCCGCGCCCCACGGGCCACGGCTTGCAAGATCGTGAGCCTGAAAGCTATGCAGAGACTGCGGCTCTCGGAACGAGGTCCACTTGACATGGCTGATACCCTCTGCCAGAACAAAGGCGCAAGAGGCTTTGATCAGCACGCTGAACGCAGCGATCAACGCATTGACCGATAGTTGCAGCGGCGACTGGGAGAGAGGCTTGCCGTTTGTCCGAGAAGTAGTTGCGATGATCCCGACTAGACCACCGACTAGCAGAATACAGCTGCCTGCTTCAACCACCATATGAACGATGCCTTCTTATGCGCTGATGGGATCTCATTTATCGTTTGCGATGGTTGCTTGAGGTCTGAGCCGGTGTCTGTTTGACTCTCCAGCTTTTCTCAGATAAGACCAAACTATGGACTTCGCGGACTCATTGACATGTTGGATAGGCGAATTGTCCACCGGAGAGTATTGAGTCGATGAATGAGCCATCTTCAGGAGGTGTATTGTGAAGACGAAAGGGGCCAAACAGTGGAGAAAGAGGGAACGAAAACAAGAGATGGTTTTGAGCCGCCATCACACCACCGTGCATTAAGAAATGACCAAGCACTTTTGGTGGCTGTCCAGGGCGTCCAAAAGGTAGCGAGGTTGTTACACACCGACTGCATCTCGTCGCTGAACAAATGAGCAGGCTTTTCCATTGGTTGAGCATGCGTGGGCCAAGCTTATTACCTACCGGTATCGTTCGCTCATTTTCCGCGCCGCAAGTCACAATGTGTGCTGGTCGCGCCTCCTTCAACTAATGCAAGATTGCTACGTGGACACCCATTGCTTGAGTCTCGTCTATTTCGGCTTGTGCGGTGCGGAGCAATCACCTTGCACCCAAGGCTCCTCTTGTACTGTCGCTTCGACTGCTCACAAATCAGCATGTTATCGTTGACTATGCCCCAACAGGGCTTGACCACACACGTGAGTTCCTCCCACGGAGACAGAAACACACCCGCCTCATACAATGATTTTCATTGTTCTAGCGCATTTATCTTTATTGTTACGCTATGCCCCTGCCCATTACCAATACCATATACACCTATTTATCCCGACCCAGTGCGCGGACCATCGTTTCCCCTTTCAAAAGCGTGATAGCAATACTATTCCTCCCTGTTTCTCGCATCCTCAAGCGCCCTCTCCCAATTATAAAACTTCATGTAAATCCCCTCCGTAATGCTGATACAGCTGCTCCCAACCGCACACCCCGTCCACAATCCCAACAATTTCCAATCGGCCTTGAAACACAGCGCCAGCGCAAGCGGCACAGCAACAACATAATAGACAAAAAGATTGCACCAGCCGCCAATTGCCTGCTTGCCGAGTCCCCTGAGCAGCGCATTGACGAGCGCGGTGGTAGAGTCGCAGAACTGGAAGACCGCTAATAGAGGTAAGACAGTGGAAACGATATCCTGCACAACAGGATCGGTGGTAAACGCTTTCGGCAGAATGTTTTTGCAGCCCGCGAGCAAGGCGAAGTCGAGCAGCCCGATGGCGAGGAAGGTAAGGATGTAGCATTTTGTCGCTATCCTTGCCGCTGTCAAGCTGCCCGCGCCAATGAGGTTCCCCAGACGAGTGGATACAGCGACACCCACGGAGAATGGGACGTGGTAGATTGCAACCGCCATGGTCATCACTATGCTCTGTGCAGCGAGGTGTGCGGTGGACAGGTAGGAGGAGCTGAAGGTCAGAATATCAAACGCAAGCCACTCTGTTTCGACCATGATTATGCCCGGGATGGCGAGGCTAGCCATAGGTCCCCAATTCGTGAATGCGCTTTTTGAAAAACCGCCCCAGCACGATAGACTCGAGGGGTTGATGAAGTAGACGTAGATCCAGAGCAAAACGGGGAGGAGATTGTTGCTCACGACGGTCGCGAGCGCCGCGCCTGTCAGGTTCCAATCCAGAACGAAGACAAAGACGTAGTTGAGCATGATGTTGATGGGTGTTGCGATGAGGAGTACGAAGAGGGAGGCGTTGAAGAGACCTTGCGCTTGTGTGAAGCGCTTCCCGGCTTCGAAGATGGCGTAGCCTGGGGCGCCGGCGAGGAGGAGCGAGAGATACTTTCCTGCGAGGTGGGCGAGCTCCTTCTCTGGGACCAGCGCGGCGAGGATCCAGCCTGAGGTCAGCCAGAGCGCGCCAATGGGTATCGTGACGAGTAGCATAAAGAGACACATGCGCTGCAGATGCAGACCGACCAGCGTCTTCTTCCCACTCCCGTACGCCTGAGCACATAGGGTGTCCAAGCTCGTAGCCAGTCCTTCGTACACGGCCAACCCCGTGATATTCGCCGTCATTGAAGCCAGCGACACAGCACCCAGCTCATCCGTTCCGATGTGCCCGACCACAAAGATAGTCACAAGGCTGAAATTGTACTGCAGTAGGTACGTGAGCATTAGCGGTATGCTGCTCTTGAACAAGATCCTGGCCTCGGCGCCCGCCGTCGTGTGCAACTCGACCGTCCCATCTGGGCTGACGAGTCTTTCCAACTCGCTCGCATCCGGCAGGGTGCCGTACTGCTGGCTTTTCTTCATGGCCTCAGACAACAATCCAACTCTTTCCTCACCGCTGGTGGAGAACCGTCGCGGTCCTGCACTTGCATCCATCTTCTTTTTCTTCGTCTTACTCTTCCCGATGCTGGGGCAGCTGGAGACGAATGGGCAGGGCACGAAATTGAGTGCTAGACTGGAGATGTCGGTGTAACATTCATTGTAGTAAGATTTGTCTTTGAGATCTGTCAGAACAGCCTCGACCTCGACGACGTCGGAGGCGGGCCGCGGTTCTTCTGCATCTGGTGATGATGGGGTTGTTCGTTGGGCTCCAGCCTTCTGCAGCTCCCCGATAGGTGGGGATTGGCCGGCTCCGCGGGGCATGGCGACAGCCTGCTAATCGAGTTGTAGCCAAGCGCTGTGGGTTAGCGAGCACCCATTGTGCCGCCGCCTGTAGCTGCTGTGTTTGTTTTCCCGTAAAAGGTCGAGGGCCTAGCGGTAGGATCGTGAGCCTGCGAGCGATGGAGTGTTGGTGAAAAGGGTCTCCTCATCTCCGGGTGTGGATCAGATGCGTGCGGCGAACAGACTTCCCAGGGTTCTTATCTGTGAAGCTGCAGCAACGATGATGCCCGTTGCGCCTGCCAAATCTTGGGTCTCTCGAGCCATATTGCGTGCTGCGCGAGCACTGCGCCGAGCGCTGACCTGGGAAGAACGGTCGAGGTCCGATTGGCGAGGAGGCTGCGGCTGGAGGTGCGGTCTGCTGCACCTCTGAAGACCAACTCGGTCCATGCGCGTTCTCATCGTATGCATCGTACGGTGTTGGCGTTGTGTCTTACGACAATTACGCATGCAAGTGCTCGAGTCGTGCAACCATGTGTGAACGTGGTATTCTTGTGCAACAGGACGGCCGATTGGTAGGGCGTTGATCAACGAAGGCACGAATGAGATCGTACTCGCGCTCTCCGCAATGCGAGACTCTTAGTAATGCAGGTATGTGTGCTTATGGCACTGCTGTGCGACAAGACGTCTAATTGCTGAACAAGAATCAGTGATCCTGTTTGATTGACTCACAATGCAGCAACCGACTCACCACGCTTACGAGGCTGTGCATACCTATCAAACGATATAAACAATTGATGAAGTATCTTCCTTCCAGCTACATAGGAGTAGCTGACCGAAGACATGTCTTTCCATCTACCACTCTATGGGATATCTTCATTTGAATGGCGCTTGCAGCGACCACTTTCACAACTTGCCTGGTGATCTTGAGTCGTCAGACAGAACTATCGCCAATCTCAACCCAACACCTACTCCTGCCCTTTACCCTTCGGTTGCGCCAGCTTCTCGACCTCAGGATCCTTCGTAACCTCCGCAAAGTCCGGTCTAGGCAACTCGAAAGCCTGTGTTGTCCGCGCGTAGGTAATGCCTCCCAGCCTCGAAATCGGCTTCATGACTGCGGGATCAACAAGCACGCCCTGCTCGTCAATCGCATCCTCCCGGACCCAGAAGTTGACCCCTTCGAGGAAAGCAGTAACGCCCGTTTTCTTCCCCGGCGTATCAGGGTTCTTACTCGTCCACTCTGTCGTATCAACCAGCTTCGCCTCAATGCTGAACACCGCCTCCTTGACCCTGTCCGGTCTGACAACCTTGGACTTCTCCGGCGTCAGCCCGCTGAAACTCCACTCACTTACGCTCTCCGGGGCATTGATAGACGTGAAGTTTGCAGCCTCCACATATTCCTCGCTGATGATATTGATGACCGCTTCCTTTGTCTCGAGCAAGTTCTTCAGCGTGTCTTTCGCCCGGTCCATCCCGCCTGCGAACCCGAGCACGAAAATTGGCGGGTCGTGGTTCACCATGTTGAAGTAGCTGAACGGCGCGAGGTTTGTGCTCTTCCCATCCCCTGAGATTGTGCTTGTGAAACCCACGGGGCGCGGTATGATGGCGCTGATGAGCAGTTTGTAGTTGTGCACGACGGGGCGACCGGACTCGTAGGGGTCGATGGAGCGGTGCTGCTTCGACGCGTTCGAGGCGTCATTCGCACCTGAGCCCGTCTTCCAATCTGGCTTGGGCGTCTGCGTGTAGTGAAAAGATGTATTCGCATCGAATGGCGGGCGAGAGGCTTCCACTGCTTTGAAGTCGCCGTGTGGGTTGCGCTTGATTTCCTTTTCGGCGTCGTATTTGTTGGAGGCCATGGTGGGCGAGCGGGCGAGCGGAACGATCTGAGCGAGCTGGTGGGAGGATGTAAAGGCACGGTAGGTCGGTATAGCCGTGCGGCGATCGAGGTTCTTATACAGACCGGTCAGAATTGTACCTCTGGTCGTATTAAGCGGCAATTTGATCGGCATGGGACGTGGATAGAACATCGGAAAATGACGGCGATGATGACATGCCGCTTGCTGGTAATCATCTTGAATTGGACTCTAATTGTGTTTGGTGTGGGATGTGTTTTCGCCAATTTGTCTCGAAGGAGCAGCCTCACGGGCTCTGTGAGCCCTGCATTTCTTGGACCTCACATCACCTGCCTTCGACACTTTTTCCAGAAACTGATTCAGCGCGTCTACCGTTGGTATCCGGTCCCACGAAGTAGCCGAAGCTATGCGTCGGCGCAGAGGAGCGCGGGGTAGCTGTCATCTACCCCACTACAGCTCTAGCTATCACAGCTCCAAGCCAAATGAGGAGGCAGCCACAGTTCCAAGATAGCAGATCAGGTATTTGATATACGATAGCTCAAATTGACGTTGGTCCGTCCCTCCTTGACACTTGTACTCTCCCGCATCCATTGCTGCTGACACCTCGTCCTTGTCGTGCTACTAATACGCCGTGCAATTGCTTTGGCGCTCGGACATCGCTCGGCGATCGTGAGACCTGATTAGAGAAGCTTTGAAATCGAAGACGGTACGCAGCAGATCAGCACAGCGAGAAGTGGCAGTGGGAGAGCTGACGAGTATAAAGCCACGCTGAGTAAGCTTTCGAATTGAGTATATCACCATCATGGCCGACTTGGAAACATACAAGCTGGGAACCTTTAAGCTCAAGTCTGGCGGAGAGATCCCAGATGCTTTCATTGCGTACAAAACGCTGGGTGATCCTTCACTGCCAGCGATCATCTATCCGACGTGGTACTCTGGCCGTGCGTTTCCCATTTGCGGATTCAAGAATCTCAGCTGACTATCACCAGTGATCGCAGACAACCTCTGGCTCACAGGCTCAGACAAGACGCTCGACCCGTCGAAGTACTACATCATCATCCCTGCGCTCTTCGGTAACTCGCAGTCCTCATCCCCATCCAACACACCCAACCTACACCCCTTCCCAGAAGTTCTCTTCTACGACAACGTCCGCGCGCAGCACGAGCTCGTAACCAAGCACCTCGGCATCAAGCATGCGCGCGCCGTGCTCGGATGGAGCATGGGTGCAGGCCAGACGTACCAGTGGATGACGCAGTACCCGGACTTCATGGATCTCGGTGTGCCGTTCTGTGGAAGCGCGAAGACGAGTCTGCATAATCAGGTGTTCCTCGAGGGCGTCAAGAGCGCCTTGTACGCTGCAAAGGGGACCAGCTCGGCGGGTGTGGCGAAGCCGGATGTCGATATGGCGGAGCAGCAAGGCGCGCGATTGAAGTCATACAGCAGATTTTCCGATGAGAGCACGAAGATTGGGTTGAAGGCGCTCGGCCGTGTGTATGCTGGGTGGGGCTTCTCCCAGGCGTTCTATAGGGAGAAGTTGTACCAGACTGCGCCGTTGCTGGGGTTCAAGGATCTGGATGATTTCCTTGTGAACTTCTGGGAGGCGTGGGCGCTGTCGAAGGATCCGGAGAATATGCTCGTTATGGCGCATACGTGGCAGGCTGGTGATTGCTCGCAACAGGAGCCGTATGATGGCGATTTCGACAAGGCGATGCAGGGCATCAAGGCCAAGGCGCTGGTATTGCCGGCGAAGACGGATCTCTACTTTCCTCCAGAAGACTCTGAGATCGAGATCGAGGCCATGAAGCCCGGAGTTGGGACGTTGAAGGTATTCCCAAGTATTTGGGGTCACTGGGCTGGCGGTGGGTGTTTTTTCCAGGTCGTCTGCGTGAGCTGAAGCTGACAATCTCCAGGTCCTGGACAGAGCACTGAGGATGTCAAGTGGCTTGACGACAACCTGAAGGAGTTTTTTTCGAATAACTAGATCATGTGCAGTGGCTGCCAGGTCGAAGTCAATGTATTTAGCTTAATTGCTGTATTGGCTTTAGATCAACTGAGCCAACAACTGTAAACCGGCCGTGGAAGCCCTTGCGTTCGATCACGAAGACTTTATCAACGAACCAGTTTAGCGATCTGGGAGCAGCAGCGTCTTGGTGATTGTTGAACTCAGCAACCCCCTTACTGATCTCGTTCCTAACTTGTTCCGCTACCTTGTCAGTACGTGCTTGCCCCACGGAAAGGTGAGGCATGAAAGATCTTTTATCGCTGTCGCATTCAGCAAACTCAGCTTGCAGATCGGCTTGCAACTGCTTGATCTTGTCATCAGGGACTGGTCCAAGCCAGACAGTTTTGCTTGTCTTGCTGTGCGTGAATGTACCAGGTGGGTCAGCATTTAGTGCAACTTGAAAAGGTCGAATGCCAGAGATAGCCTTCTCGAGGCGCGCCTGAATAGCCTGACCCAGGCGAGGCACGTTGCTGTCAGACGTCTCCAGCGGTGATGCCAGGAACGGGTAGATCAAGTTGATATGGGGCGGCCATCTTTTGAAGTTCTTGTCATGGACAGAACGCACAGCTTCAATTGGCGATGTGATGCTCGATGGAGGAAGTAATGCAACTGCAGTTTTGTAGGTGAGATGCGCTGGGAGCTTGAGTGCCATATTTGGATCTGAGACGCTGGTGGTGTTCTCACGCGTCCCTAACCTCGAGGCGTCGAAGCACGAGAAGGCTTGGCACTGATCATTACGGAAGCGGCGCATCGAAGCTCTTTGCGACGCATTCTGCGCTTCGATCGGCAGGTCGCGCCGCCATGTGGGAGCGCTCATATCGCCAGTACTAACATCGCAGGATCACGCTGTTAGCGACCCTCGACCCCGACACGCTGCCTCAGCCAGCTGCCCTCTTCTTTGCGCCCAGCCCGCCGCAGCACCTCGGAGCGCGTGCGGTGCGAGAACGTCGCTCCTTCGAAGCAGCAGCACGCAGCCGCCAGTATGGCAGAGACACAGTCCAAACAGTGGGGCGTCACGGCTCCCATCTCGACATCGCAGCCGACGCCGGGCGACTTGAAGCTGAATGATGAGCTTGTCGAGGAGCTCACGCGCCAGAATGTCTTCGAGAGTCATGAAGGCTCAGATATGAGGTACGGAGACGTGCATTGTACATCCACGAAGTCAGCTGACACAGCACAGAGTGCGAGTCCTCAGGCACATCCAGGAAGCTGTCGACAAGTTCTGCAAGCATGTCGGCAAGCTCAAGGGCCTGCCGCAGTCGACCATCGACACCATGAGCGGCAAGATCTTCTGCTTCGGCAGTTACGCACTTGGTGTCCACGGGCCATGTGAGTCTACTGGCGACTCTTCATAATGGCCAAAGCTGACCTCGACTCTCAGCTTCTGATATCGATACCCTCATCGTTGCGCCCAAGTCGGTCTCTCTAAACGACTACTTCGATCACTTCGAGAGGATTTTTAGAGAAATGTCCGACGAGAAACTCATCACCGAGATGAACCCCGTGCCCGAAGCCTTCGTCCCGCTGATCAAGATGGAGTACTCTGGGGTCAGCATCGACTTGCTCTTTGTTTCGCTCCCCTCCATGACGCAAATACCGAAAGACCTCGAGGGCGTAGACAAGAACATGCTGCGAGGGCTAGACGACACGGCGATGCGCAGCGTGAATGGAACGCGTGTAACGCTCGAGCTCATGCAGTCGATACCCCAGATCAAGAGCTTTCGACATGCTTTGCGAGCAATCAAGCTCTGGAGCACTCAGCGAGGCATATATGGAGCCGTCTTTGGATATCCAGGAGGTATCGCCTGGGCTATTATGGTCGCTCGTATCTGCCAGCTGTACCCTATGGCATGCGGCGCCACCATCCTCACGAAATTCTTCAGACTTATGGGCAAATGGCCCTTTCCTAGGCCGGTCATGCTGAAGAACATCGAGGAGGGCACGCTGAATCTCCGCGTATGGAACCCAACCCAGTACCCTGGAGACCGCGCTCACCTGATGCCCATCATCACGCCTGCATTCCCGTCCATGTGCTCAACGCATACAATCATGCACTCGACCCTGCATGTCTTGCGAGAGGAATTCGAGCGAGCGGACCAGCTCATCAACAGCGAGAGTGGTATACTTGAGGGCAAGAAGCAGTGGAGGGACCTTTTCACGAAGCACACATTCTTCACCAAGGACCACAAGTATTACCTGAGTGTCATTGCGGCAAGTCGCACGGAGAAGGCACACTCTACCTTCTCGGGGTTAGTCCAATCGAAGTTCCGTCTACTTTGCAAGAACATTGAGGACGGCCAATGTGGCATCGACATCGCGCGACCCTGGATGAAGGGCATCAGCCGTGTCCACCGATACAACAATGAGGAGGAGGCCGATAAGATCATTCAGGGACACACTGACTTTCAGATAAAAGCGTCAGAGGTGCCTGAAATCGCGCCTGGTGAGGATTCGCCGGCAGGTATCATGTACACCACGACGTTCTACGTTGGTCTCAAGCTGAAGCCTGGTACACATACTCTCTTCTGTGCTTTCGAGCTACAACTGACTTATTCTTAGACGGCACAAAGTCTCTCGACATTTCATATCCGGTGAGCGACTTCAGGAACCTCGTCACTACCAACAACGGCTTCAATGAAAAGCTCAACTCTGTCCGTGTGATTCACACTCGCAAGTAAGAAACACATACCATCCTCATAGATTTTTTGTTAACATTTTAGTAACCAACTCCCCGATGATTTGTTCAGCGAAGGCGAGACGAAAGCCCCGAAGCCCTCTAAGAAAGGGAAGAAGGGAGACGTGAACAAGGCTGCTAAGCGCCACTTTGCCGAGACAGGGCTCGACGTGCGTATAACACGAATCACCAAGACTTCGAGACGTATTCTCACGGCTCAGGAGCAACTCACGCGCTCTGGCTGACAATGGTGCTAATGTAGGACAGCGAGCAATCAGCAGCAAAGCGCCAACAACACGAGAAAGAGAACGGCACCAACGGAGTCCACAAGCCAGAGGGAGCATAAGCTCTCTGTCAGCTAAGCTTGCACATGTTCGATATCCTCCTTCCCCCATCTTGTTCGCTCGTTAAGGGTACTGGACATCTGACACTACCTTCGTGCAGTCACGGTTGCACCATATCACCCACCCTGGGCGACGACTACCCAGACCAATACCATGACGAGTCCATGTTCACAGTCAAAAGGCAAGTCGCCGTCACGTCCACCAAACAGCGATCGCCAGCGGCATTCGTTCAGCTTCTTGCCCATCATACAGAATTCGCATAGCAAAACCGGTAAAAAAAAAAGGTAAAAATGGCAGCAGTGATGCGCCACCTTCCAAACACAAAAAGGTTTGTACAATACGCGTCGCTTCCGACGCAGTCACTTCTCTTCTTTCTCATAATGCACTACTCGGTCAGGTTTGATTGGCTTTCACTCGGATTTGGAGGCGTTTCTCTTCAGCGATTATGCATCTTTCGGCGAAATGGAGGGATGGGGCAGTTGCTACAGCCCTCAGATTTCAGGACTTGGGCGGAGGTACTCACAGAAGGGTAGGGTGATTTCGCACTGTTTGTATCCGGATTGTGTACATAAGCCAAAACCAGACAACAATCCACCACCATTTGGAGCCTTGGGGCTCCGCAAAATCGAATACGAACTCTCTTCCTGACACGGAAATGTACTTGGTGATGGCTCGACAACCCTCTTGTTGATCGTTCGCAACAACAGCCCAGATATCAACAGGCTCTCCAGGCCTGGTGGAGTGTGAGTTGATGGAGAGTGTCATGGCGGAGGTGTGGCAAAGCAAAGAAGGTCTGATTCTAAATGTGTAAGAGAGAGAACGTGGGCGAGAGTGTCGATTTGGTCTGGTGATCGAGTGTAGACATGGGGTCGGTATGTTGAGGTTGTCGTGAACAAGTTCAGGCAATAAGCGCGTGATGCGAAGTATGTGATAGAACCCATTTGACGGTGGAAAGTGATATGCGATGAGGGTGGGGAGGACGATATGGCGGTAGAAGCTGATAAACATAACGTGGTCGGTCATAAGGGTGGGATAGACATGGAACGAATTGCGGGCATGCGACTGCAACGCTGGGTCTGTGGTATTGAGTTCGGTCGTGATGGCGGTGCACCTTATATACGTGATGCTGGACTCGCGGACTTTTGTAGGTGAGGGGAGAGCACCGGTGCTTTGCAGGTAGTGCGTTGAAGAAAATACGTTAACATGTGGGGAACCAGGTGACATGAGCTTGTTTTTGCATGTAGATGGTCTGAGCCGCATATTCACATTGTTTATGAGGTGCTCGTATGGGCATCGTGGTTTCGTCCAGCGACATCACGGTAGAACGATACCTACGGCACTTACATTCAAGCTGTGAATTCTGCATTCTTTTCAAGACGAGTGCTGTGCAGATGTTACTGCAGTTCACCACTGGCGATGACGTTAGCGGTTGAGTTAAGCGCTGTGGTCGTCGCCAGCGTGTATGTTTAGGCTGCGACGAGCCTCTTTCAGTTTTCAGAGACCAAGATCGCGAGATCGATCGATGTGCTCTACTCTTGAGATCGAATTGCGAGACCAAATTGGCTGATCGTGTGTTTCGATTGAGCGGTGGTGAATCATGTTTCGTTTTTTACCCTGGTGGTCTGGATCAGCAACAATCGGATGTCAGGCCTACAGTACCTGGCCCAGATTCGATGTTTTTGTCAAACGTGACAACCGCCCAAGAGCGCGGATACACCTGGACATCTGATAAATTCGTGGTTAGCTCTGCTCTTACAACCGACATTGCTGGAGCTGAAAGCGCCGAGCCTGAGCTGAATGATGGAGAGATGTTGAGCGCAAGGCTTATACAGTGGAGAAGACATGCAGTGATATGGCTGGCCTATCTCGAGGAGCCAAGTACAATGCATGTGTGTGAGAAGCACTGGGGAAGAGGGGGCTGGGGATCAGGGATGTGAGTTGCTATGGCATTTCTACACGACGAGGCTTGCATATGCGTGAGAATGGAGATATTGCAAGTTGAGTGGCTGGTGTCTCCGTGAGCTCTGACCTGCCCAGAGATGCTGCATCGTCCCGCTCTGCAGTGCCTCCTGATCGTGGCGCTAGCTCGGACCCGGCCTAGCCGATGTAACCGCTCATGTTCCACAACCTCAGCTTCTGCAACTTCACGCACGTCCCCTCCTATATCTCATTAACGTACGCTACTCGGGAATGCTGAAACAGGACCGATGAAGATGCCGAACGGTGCGGCTGATCGGCTACGCAAATGGTCCAGTCAAGCGATAGAGTTTTAGTATGGTTCGGACAGCGTGAGTCGTTATTCATTATCTCATACATTACGTGCATACATACAAACAAATTAGAATACATGAAAAGTGAGAGACTGATAGAATGCCTAGGCAGTTGCAGTACAATCGAGAAAATGCAAGCAAAAGAACCTCCAACAAACCGAAATACTAGTTTTTTGTACAACAGTGGTCGGGGCGATCAATCACTCGCACGGCGAAGGATCGACCCCAAGCCCTGAGGCGATCGAGTATGAGCCATTCAAAGACGGCAGCGAATACTGTGCTTCTTGCGACCGATGTGTGCGCTCTCATCGTCGCTTTCCATCGATATATCCTCCCCACATGCTTTCCTGTACGCCTTCTCTAGGAACTCGATGTGCTTCGTGTCGTCGGCGTACTTGATCATCTCTGAGAAGGGTAATCGTGGGTTGCGGCCATCCTTCTTGCCCGGAATGCGGATGTGGGTCGTACCGTGCTGCCAGTAGTTGTCCCGACGATCGAAGACCTTGGGGCAACCTTCGACCCGGCACTCGTGCTCCTTGACACCAAGGTGGATACGCTGGTGTCGCTTCAGATGCTCGGGCCTCTTAAATCTACTCTGACAGTCGGGCCAGTCGCAGTACTTCCATTCAACAGTGGGGCCGTTGATCGGTTCTCGTTTGCCAGTGACGGGATTCACCTCGTAGCCTTCCACGTCAATGTGGCCGTCGTGTAAACGTCTGAATACTAATTGGGACTTCGACTTGGAACCTCTCCGCTTGGACACACCATTGAGACGACGCTCTTTTTTGACAGTCTTGCCACCCTTGGGCGAGACATGGATTGATCTTGTGAACTTCTCCTCGGCCTCAGATGCCTCAAGCTCCTGCTTGACTTGAACCTCTTGTGGTGAAGGTGGGAGCGTCATAGGTGCATTGTCATGTGGGGATGTTGCGAAGGTCGCATGATCAAATGGTTCCGTCTCCATAAAAGAGCTGGAGTCGTTGTCATCGACAAGGCCATAGTCCTCATGGCCGACCATAGCGTCAGCAGGAGCGATGGTTTGACCGACTATGGAATGTGCGCTTGGTACTGGGTGTTGCCAAAATGTTTGCTGCCCAGTCATACCGTACTCCAGATCCGAGTGCTCGGGAGCGGTCGAAAAACTCCAGTTGGAATTGGTCGACGTGGGTGTGAGGTGATCAGATTCAGAGAAGGAGTTCATCTGAGAAGAGAGATATCCTGCACTCGGAGCCATGCTATCCGGTATCCGCATGGGTACTTCGATACTGCCGGCCGGTACAGACCAGTCGTACTCCGTGGTCGGTGTTTTCATCGGGAGACCCACGGTGCCCAAAGGTAGAGCATGGCGAAGTCCGGACATTGTCTGTGTTTGAAAGCCACCAAAGGGGACATGTTGCCAGCTTGCCTCTGAGAACGGGCTTCGCTCTGAGGTGGGAGTTGGTACCGAGTACTCAGAAGCTGAAAGCGACACGATCGAGCCCCTGCGTTCCTCAATGCCGCCGTACGGTGAAGGAGGGGTCAGGAATCCAGTGTAAGGACTGAAGCCCGGAGACATCTGCGGTGTGTCTGTCGACACGCCACGACGATAACCTCTGGCTGCGGAATTCATCATTCTTGCTGAGGTACTATACTTCATTAATCAAGATTCTCGAAGCTAAGCGCAGTCACTTACTTCTGATGCGAGGTCGCTTTTCAGAAGAAGGGATGATGAGATCTCGTGGTGTCGGTAGATGGCTGCTCTTGATTAAGAAGATGGACGTTGGGCAGACTTATGAATCAGGGTCCATGGTGGAAAGACTGAGATCATTCGGCGGCGGCGGAAATGCGGGATCCTCTCACTGACCTTTGTGGCACTTTACACAAGACTAGACAAGAGGCGCGGTCGCGAACGCAGTGGAGTCAGGGCTTTGGAATGGCGTGTAGTCTTGCCTCAACCGTACCGATGGGAATTTGGGTGAACGACACCGAAGAAGCTTTCCACTGGATTGTGGTACGCCTGCAAGGGCTCCGGGCGCAAATCCAGGTACTCTCCGCAGCAGGACGGCCAAACTCAGATCGGATAGTATAAGAGCACAACAGTCTTGCGACAGGAGCGGTATGAAAAGAGTATACAGCCTTGCAGACCGCTCAACGTGTCGATGGACACTGCGATGGGCGTCTGACTTGGGGCGAGCTTGTTGCGCACTGTAACCTGAGAGACTGCCAAACGCCTCCTCGTTGTGATGGAACCTCAGGACCCTACCATGGGGAATGTGCCATCGAGCTCAGTCGTCAGCTCGCTTCGAGTTTCATTGCTCCCAGCGCACCTGGCTTCACTGGCCCACCACATCCTCGGTGGACCCGTGTAAAGCTGGGCTCTCAATTCTCAATACTGCCTCATGGACTCTACATCTACTGTGACGCGAATCGTTGGGCGGAAGCTGCTAATTCATCCGCAGAGGAATGTTTCTAGTGGTAGGGACCGGCCTCATCTGGACTAGCTGGTGGAGAGACCATGTTGTACGACAAGACTCGCCCCGGCCAAGTGGATCTTTTTGGCCGACTTCTTACAGCAATTTCTACTCGCTGCAGCTGATACTAAATACACCAATGCTCATCAATGGCACCACAAGATCTTCTCATCAGTGCGATCTTTCCTCGATATGCCAGGATACGAGTCTTTGTCATGACGAAACTCCACTGTCCGCAGTGTCCATGCATACATAAGTAGACTAGCTCTGATATGTTCTGTCGCATCCAGATCAGTGAGACTGTTTGACCAGCTACTGTTGTTTGTTTTCTGCGAAGGAAGCGACGGGCATGCGTATGCTGGGATCTTGCGTTACACAGCATCAGAGACGGCAGAGCAGTCAGGCTCACCATAACGATCAATCGTAACAAAATCTCCGACCTGGACAAGCCACTTGCCGCAGTGGTGTCATAGGCTGCTTCAAAATCTGCACCTTCTGCTGCACATCAAAGGGAATGCGGAGACCTGAAAGGCAAACGCTGTCTACTAGTCTCCATGGTCCAGCAGGCTCTGCGGCATAGTCATCAACGCCTCCGACCTCAGCAGTAGCAAGGCTGAGTGATTGCGAGACGGTGTCTTTCCTGAAGACATGATACAAAAAGGGTAGCCTGGTTGGTGTACGGTGCTTTCCTCGGCGCAACTCTACCGTTCACCAGGATCTACTCGGGTAGCTCACGGCTAGCAACTGGATCGAACGGAATCCTGCATTTATCCTTGAAGGTACGCCTCTGATACTGTGGATAACCGCTGTCAGACCAAGACGAGGTGTCGAAGAAGTACATCATCCCGACGTTCCAACCTTCCGAACTAGTGCTAGAACGAAACGGGAAAACGGAGTCCAGCGATACGCTCAGCATCCACTGATATGGATCATCAATATTGTATTTTGTGCTACGACCGTTGGCACATCTCCAGACTCTATCCTCCGCGCTACCTCAAAGGGCAAAGCCGGCCCCACACTGAAAATGACGTGCATTACAACGCATGGAAAGCACTGGTCAGTCTGAGCGTAGCACTGCGTCAACCTGCAAGCCAAGGTTCAGCATTGGCCAAAAGTCACAATTTGCGAGTTTGTACTACCTATGCCAATGCCGAAAGAGGCGGGCTTGCGCAAAAAAGCAGACTTTTCAGACAACTCTTACCGGTTCTGATGAGGGGCATGAAGATGACCTGGATCTGTGAGGCTTCAGTTCTCGGTTTGCAGGCTGAGATCCTGCGGGTTCAAGCGCATGGACACACAGAGTTACGCTCATGGTCAGAACCGACTCTAACAATGGCGCATGTTGAAGTTTTAAGAGACCTCCCCACAACTTGTCTTTGTCTAAACATCGTTTCGAGTCTCCGGTTCATATGTGTGTGGATCCAGATTTCGGTTCGAGTTTCCTGATAAACATCAAGAGAGCACGCGAAAGGAAGATTGCGGGATACTGGGCACCTTGCCCCGGCATCTGCAGGTCATGCTTGCTTACGGTCAAAATGGGTCTGGTCGCTTCCAGACTTCCTCGTCGCGTCGACTTCGCGTTTCTGAAAGAAGGGCGCCTCTTAAGCGCTCGCGCAAATATCATTGCAAGAGGCATAATCATTTCACTGCGTCTCCCGGACATAGCACTGCATGAGGTGTTTGAAGGATTGGGCCCATATTCCTCCTCCTCGCTTCAGACTAAGCCCATTCCAATCCTACCATATGAGGCGTGGAGGATTTGACAGCCCGTCTACCTCTCTATCTTGGGGTATTGGCACGCGCATAACAAGCCAGATCGGCAGCATGACGGAGATATTTTGATTCCCACGACCAATCCTCATTGCCTGAAAGCTTTAAAAATCAAAAGCCATGACGGTATCTGCACCAAGATGGCATGGTACTTTCGCATTGCGGTTGTACTCACACAGACACGCTGTTCCCGAGAGAAGCAGAGATCAGCGAGGACAGCGTACCTGCGACGCACCACAATCGCTTTTCCCCACTGTTGATGACGGCGCGAAGAATATGCGCGACATGGCTTGCATACATGACAGCAAGGGCAACTGGTGAACAGTGAGTTCGCATCAGCGGCTGCAGACGCAGGCCAAGCGACCATGTATCTCTGTCTGCTTGACCTCTTGCGTCCATTTGTGCGAGGATTGGCGGCGATGTTGAGAACCTGACTGAACATCGGCATCAAAGTGGGTATCAGTGTGGGCATCGGGATGATCAGCAGTCGAGAGTGGTATGTGCGTCCCATGAAGCTACCGCAGGTACCTGACACAGCGACTGTTAGTCTCACTCGCGACCGTAGTGGGGTCACAGTACTGTCGTTGCGCTGTGGGTCCCCGTTGAAGCAAGTACTCAGGGTGTGCTCGGTCCCCCAACGGTCTGCCGTGTGATAGACCTCTTTTTCACTCTCCATCCACCGTTGAATGGGCTCTTCGTAATCCGTTTTTAGTTTTCTACTTCGCCGACAGCATAATGACCATAGCTTTGGGCACATTCCTCGCCTGATCTGCCATGAGGCCAAACCCGTGTTGAGCCGAGCATTCTTTTGATGTCTGCGGCAGGCACGTAAGCCCGGAAGGCATCATGTCATACACGAGATAGAGCGATCATCGGTTCATTGTACAATGAACCCAGATGATAAACGGCCGCCACCGACAATGAAAGATGCGTTCTCACTGTCGCTCGTGTGTTAACCGCACTGGCTTTTTCCCTCCTCGAAGTGCTGAGCTCAGTTGGAACATTTCAGCTAATGTACAAGAAGCTGAAATGTCTCAAGAATCCGTAGGCAGTTTCCGTTGCAGCAGCGACAGCGCAGGACCTTACATACTCCGAAACGACCACGAGGAGCTCGAGCCTAACCTCTTAAATCAAACTGTGAGCGTGTCGTATGGCATTTCACACAATCCCATGTTGATCGATTGAGAGATCGGGGTTAACTCCGCGCCTGCATGACAGAGCCGTTGGTTGTGTAACTTCATGAGAAGAAAGGGCCGATAGCAACCAGATGAGCGGCTCGTGATGGACAAGTTGATGCACCCTTCTGCTTTGAGGGCCTTCGTCTCATCTTTGACAGTATCTCAGCCTATCATTGTCGATTCCGCGCCTCCGCGCATCGTCAGCTCGACCCATGTGACGTGGCGACCCTCATGATTATGCGCGACATACTTGCTTCGTACACTGGGGAGAAAGGGGTACATACTTAGATGCCATCACTTGTACCTCAGGTGGAAAGACACTGATGGAGTGACAGAAGTGTGGCTGACCGGTGAACTTGTTACGATCAATCGTTCGAGTTTGGCCAATTTTCTAACCATGGCCACCACTCTGATAGCCACTTCGAGATTCTTCCCAGTCGATCTTCTCGGTCGTTCTCTCGCACAGTTCCAATCATCTTTTCTTCACCAGTTCTCCGCGGCCCGACTTCTAGTCCACTACTCCACTTACGCTGCTGCTCACACATTCTAATGATGCAGTGCGACATCATCGAAGTCCTGAGTCCATCCATTTACGAGCTTTCTCTTTTCTGCCTCTTCTCAGACTCAGCGATGCTTGCCAAAAGCCCAACTGTGAGGAGCTGGATGCGCTTGGAAAAACGTTTCACGCATTGGTCATACATCTAGACATGTCAGGGAAGCAAGCCCAATTCCAATAGTGAACCGACCAAAAACGGGACTCCAGCGCATCAGCCAGCACTTCATCCGCGGACAGCAAGGCTGTTGAGATATTGATGAGCTACACTGCTAGCATATTCGAGAGTTGGTACCTTGCGCCTCAACATGGGCTCACTGTCCATCGCTCCATCCCGTGCAGCAACGGCCGAACGACAGTTTCGCATGAAGACGTCGCAAGATCATTGGAGAGAGCTGTATCGATCATGATGGTCCGGCAGCAGCCCCCAACTTCACCTGTGTTTCATCACGTAATTGTGTGTGATCGTCTAAGCTAGACCCATCGCAATGGCTTGCGAAGGTCTCCCCGTCCACACAAGTCACTCCTCACTCCGTCATATTGTCCAACATGAACTTCGGAGAATTGATTGCGAACATCTTCCCAAGACTTCACTGTGCTGTGGCCCGTATGTTTTTCATGGATTGTGCACCCTGGCACACCGATCACAAACAGCTGGCCGCCCTGTTTCTGACTTCACGACGTGATGTCGTGCATGACAACCCCCGCTTTCTGAAGCACTCGCCGTACTGACAATAACATGCCTGTATGCCACATGTCGAGCGATCGCATCTAGGAGCCTTTCACATTGCTCTCCGTACACCGATAAGACCGGTGAACGGTACAACCCTTGCTATCGTGACCATGTGCTGAGGTGTTACTGTGCTCTCACGGACAATATTGATACTTTCAACCTCCCTAGCTAGCTCATAACTGTTTGACCCTTTACGGAAGAATTACCTACGAGAACTCGCGGCTTGCACCAGATCGACAGGGCAGAATGCAAAACTGTGCCACTACCACAAAAATCGAGGCTAATTGTAATAACGAATTTTCTGCTTTTGAGACAATGCATCGCGCCTCACCAAACAACACTTTGCTCGCAATTATTGAAGGTTGATACCGTGATGATCTCTTCCAACCAAAACTTCTTCGTTGTTGTTGCACACTGTGTGAGTGAAACCTCCGTCAGTGCAGGTGCATTTCAAGCGTCGGACAACATCATACAATTAAACTTCGAGGAGTAGATTATTGTGACCAGGTTCGGATATTACCATCCTTTCAAATAGAGAGATCTGCAACGCCATACTGTGTTCAACAATTCCGGTGATGGTGATGGTGATGGTGTTGTTGAATGTCGATGGTCTATCCACATTCACAACAAACTTTCTGAGCTGACTGCCGAGGATGTTCTATCACCATGAAGGTTGAAACACTCATGGTTGAAATGATGAAGGATTGCTGCAGTACGACGTGTCGTGTCGAACACTGTGCCGCATGCTTCGAAATCTCAATACTTACTTCACCGATGTATAATCTACAGACGGACATAAGAGTAGGCACGTCAAAGAAATCTAAGATAGTGTCATAATTGAGGTGTCTTGAGCGGCGTATAACCTCAAACAACTCAACGAGCATCTACAGTTGTGACAATTCAGAAATGTGCAAATGTAGGCAGTATACTTCAGGTGCCATGCATAGCTGGAACTGAAGCGGAAGAGCGCCCAATCGTACGCTGTACACGATGTGGCTCTTTGAGAAACTTGTGCACAGTCGAAGTGCATACTCTTTTCGGACAGAAGTGGAAATCAGACTCAGCAATATTGTCATGTACACAAACACTGATATTAGGTGCTTCTTTACAGTCACCTCTTCCTAGCAATCCAGAACACGGGACGATAAGTATTCTGAAGCATGCTCCTGGGGTTTGAAATGTAACCCGTCTCTATCGTGCCAGATTCCTGCTTCTCAATACAGAATCCCAGATGCTCTACCAGTGCCATTACTTCATCGTTGGTGAGCTCGACAGAGCCCGGGTCGCCGATGCCTGCATCGTGAGCATAAGAATACCCATGGCTGTGATCGTTCTCTTCAGGACTCTTTGGTCCTTGAGGTGGTTGATGCCACAGCAGTGGCCCGAGATTGATCCATAGGCCTCCAGGCTTGAGACAATTGCGCACAGCTTCGATGTACCGGATGATGTTGGGCGCAGTGTCAATGAAGAAGACAGTCGCAACGGCTTCGAATGCACCTTTATAGTCTGGCGAGCTGTACAGAACGCAAAAGTCGCCTGTTGACATGCTCATTCTCTCGTTTGCTGGAACTTTCGAGCCTTCATTTATCGCTAAAGCAGTGCCTGGATGTATATCAGGAATAGCGAATGTCTGGAATTGATCGGCACGAGAGAGGTGGTTCGAGCAGCTCAGAACGAAAGGAGCAATGCTGAACTGCTCAGCTTTCTGAGTGTGATTTAGCACCATAGAGCTCGCCATCAATTCATGATACGAGATCTCGTTTCCTTCGACGCTGAAACCAACTTGAGAAATGTCGAAGACAAAACGACCAAGTCCAGCGCCAGGCACTAAGACCTTGATTTCTGACCTGTCCAAGGTCGGGTTAGACAGTGATCGGGCCGTGAATTCTGCATTCAAGGCCTCCAATACTGGACCAAAGCATTTTTCTCGTTCAACGTTGCCCGCAGCAGTCCAATCACGGTAGAACTGATTGATGCAACTCCTTGCCTTGTCCATATCATTTTGGGTCGTTTGAACATTGAGATGATCCATGACGATTGAATAAATCCGATACTCGTCTCGAGCAAACTTTTCAGGTATGATCGAAGCGACCCAGTCACTGTCAATAGTTGGGGCAATAAAGCCCTTGAATCCAGCCGTGAAGATGGCTTCGGCAAGTTCCGCATTACTGTCAATGAGGTCGTCCAGTCTGTTCAGGGAGTCCAGGAATGAAAACGGCGGCTTCGACAACATCGTCCAGTATTCTTGAGGTAGAGAGTAGAATGCCTGGCGCCGAACATGCGTGCCATTTAAGTGAGCCAGACGGCGATACGAACTGATAATGGTCAGTATTTACCATCAATCTCGGGATTAAAATCGTGTACCGAAAGGACTCCAAGACCGAGAGTAAATGTCTCTTCTCTTCCGGGTCTGCTAAAGGGTCGAAGTCGCCCTCCCACTCTTTCCCTTCCATGTTGGCGTCGTCCATAGCGATGCGAAGTAGCAAAAACAGTGCGATTCGAGGACCCAAGAGATCACATGTCCGTTGGGAAAGGTACGAAGTACGTGGGGTACGTCCGTGCGTTGTGGTTGGTGGGGTGCATTCAAGCTCACCTCTGCGGGAGCACGACACACTTACACAATACTATGGCTACCACAGGCACGAACAGTGACGCGTCACATGCGCCGATCGAGATTTCTGTTCCACTGCCTCTAGCCCCACGAACGGACATCAACATAAGACTTCACGACAACGGTCCAAATATTACACTCTTCCTCACCACGTCCACACCTGATGCAGCCTCCTCAGTACCTCTGGGCTCATTGGTGTATGCTATGCCAAATGTGCGAGCCCCAAATTTTGCTTAATCTGTGGCCCAGACTAAGCTAATAAGACCTGCAGAGGGTCACACCAACCCAACCGCTCAGCACACCTCTCTTTACTCACAGCGCGACGCTCGATTTCACGACACGCCTGTCTAAGCTGCTCGCACGCAGAACCGGCAAACCAATCTACGTCAGTAGTTCGATGAGCTTCGTGAATGCCGGCATGGGAGGCACAGTCGAAGAAGAGATGGAAGGCTTCAAACGCGTGTTACAAGTCGTCATGAGCCTGTTGAACAAGGAGAGCGAGACGGCGAGATAAGAGACAGATCAAGTCTTAATTCCAATCAGAGAGGCCCTGCAAGACATCTGACACTTGGAAAGCCACCCAAAAGAACCTGAACCACACTGGAACCAGCGGAACGGCCTTTCTGGAAGGGACAAAAATTGGCCATACCTTGGGAATGGACACCTCGGGTCAAGGCGAGCAGCATGAAGAGCAGCGCGAAGAGCACGGAGAATTTTCCCGTGTCATGACAACAAAACCAAAAGTCCTGAAAGAATTCTCGAGCGCAGTGTTATTGGCAGACTAGTTATCCAATCCCCACCACGCTCGGCCCAAAATCACGTTACTCCTCATATCTTCTGGAATGGAGCCATGTTCCCGCATGAACCTATTACACCCCCTTGAGATACCTCTTGGCGGACTGCTTAGCCTCATCAGAGTTGTTTGGGTTGTTGACGATTGCTTTCAGACCGCCAGAAACGTTGTTCGGGTTCTTATCTCCCTCATACTTGCTGGCCTACTCAAAGTTGCCAGAGTTGAGGACCTGTAGAAGTCAGTCGTCTGAGAAAATAGACAAGGTGTTATGGACTCACCTCACGGCTTTGCTGTTTGGACTCCTCCGAGGTATTCGGGTTGTTGATGTTACCCTTGTGGCCACCGGCGATTTGAGCGTCTGTAGGCATGTTGATGATCGGGGACCTATGTTTGGTCGGTATTGGAAAGGTTAAACGGCTTATGGGGTGTTTGCTGAAGCTGCCGTGTTGAGTTGATGATGAGAACAAGGATGAAGGCTATGGTACCCGTAAACCTATGGAGGTCTTCAGTTGTCGCCTCTGACTGCTCGCCATACCCTACCGCTACATCAATGATCGAGCTCCCTCGACAATCGGAAACATGTCGTTAAGCCAGAGCCAGTTATCACCTTGCTAAACCATCTCCACGCCCTCTTGGAATCCCAAGGTCTGACAAAGGCAAGCCGCTTCGTTAGCCCATCGCAGCAGGTGAAAGCATCACTGCAGTTTGACCCTGGCCTAGCTGCCGAGGGCTGATTGGGAGACTGAACGGGTTATATCCAATCGAAAAGCCTCGGGCTCGCAACATGGGGGAATTGTGAACGTCGCCAGATTGCACATGGACAAATACAAATCCCCATGAGACGTCAGAGTGCCTGTACCTGGCAAATCGATATACCGAGAGGGGACATCCAGATCGCGTGAGGATCTTGCGTAGATACGGGGACCTTGGGAGATCTCAGCAGCAGCTTTTGCAGCCATTGATGGCTGAGCGGACGTGACCGCCCGTGCATATTGGAATGCTTTCAAGCGTAGCTCCGTCGATCAACAACTGTTGCTCTACTTAGCTACACGTGACGCGATTTATAACAGTGGGCGCTGTAGCGTCTATGAGCGTTGTGGTGAATGCATGATGTCACACTCATTACGAAATCGCAGAAATCGTGACTTCATGAAGACGCGTTACGCGACTAGCTCGACACAGTATCGTTGAACAGCTACCCTCAACCGTCCGTTTCCTTCCAGGCCAGTAATCCGTGCTCAAACAAGCGGTTGACGTACAACCCGGCGATGGAGTTAGATTCCTCGGGATGTCATGACCTTTTCTTGCACACGTACGATCAGTACCAGCACAAAATACCAGCACAACCATTTCTGGCAGGAAACACAAGACAGAATTGTGAATCGCCATCGTAACGACAAAATTTGAGCGACATATGATCGCGATGTGGCGATTTGTGAAAACCGCACTGGTCTGCCGAGCCTACGCACATTGTCATTCAGGTCACTGACGAGGGGGCAGGACATAATGGACCCCAGAAACACAGACGAAAGTACGACCGCGGTCGAGCCCAGAGGCAATAAAAGATGACTTGATGCAGCATAGCTCTCGAGAGGTCGTCTATTGGTCCAAATTGAGTGTGTATCTTCTATATCTAGTGTTTCCCTAAAGAAGAATCGTCAACAAGCACAAACAGTCCAGCTCGTGTGGAGCCGTGTCACAACGGTCCCGTCTCACTCAGACTCGATGACTCCTCCACCAAACACGTGTCCTCGTCCACCGTCTGTTTAGGCAGCGACGCTCAAACTAGCACCTCTGCAAGCGAGCCAGTAGCTCAAGCTTGCTGAGATTCTCAAGTGTGCATCGAGCCGCCCTTGCGCCCTCAACTTCCTTTCACGCGTAAACAAGAGTCCTAGGGCTGAGTTGTATTGGATCATGATAGACCACATCTGAGACAACACGAGTGGTCGTGTGTCAGAAGGCCATCATTGCTACGAATCCTGGCTCAGTGAATCCCACGCCTCCAGCCGGCTGCCAGAGTCATCGCCTTCCGAGTGTTGTTGATTGGGCAAGTAGTTGCTTTGTCTAAAGTGGTTCCACATGGATGCAACAAATAAGTGCATGTCATTGAGTGGAGTAACGTGTCGCTGAAGCGAGCACAAAAGTAGTAGGCCGTTGCTCCGCTGCGGTGGTGGCCATGACGCCTAACTTCGTAATGATTTCAATTGCAAGGCAATTTGTGACTGAGACGAGAGACAGATCTGTAGGACGAAGAGGAGATGTGCTTTGAACGCATGAAAGGAAAACCATCATGGATATCTAAAGTCATCATACCCATCGAAAAGGTCTGTAACCACCTTCATCATGGGCTCGAAGAGGCTGTCTTCGTCGCCTGGCTCGCCGCCAAAGAAGCGGAGCTGGTGAGATTCCACAGCCTTTGCCCTCTCCTGCTCAAGTCGAAGTCGATTCTGCCATGCGAGATATGCTGAATGCCAGTGGTCTGCAGAGATATCTGTGATGGGCGCAGACATTGGCTGATACGAGGCTACCGTCGACTGCGAGAAAATGGTATCGAACGAATTACTCCGGATGTGCTGGATGTCTCGATTTGAACTGTTACTGTCCCGATGACGAGGACGGCTCCTGGTTCGCTTTCTGTTGTGGCGTTTTCCCATGTTGAAGTGTGTTGTTTTTTTTTGAGATTGTATAGATGCAAAGAGACGAAATACGATGTACAAAAGGTAACGAAAAGTCGCTTTCGCAAAGCGAACACTCCTGATAGTGGAATGATGGACAAGAGACAGCCTACCTTATATGCAGCGGGTGGGTACGGAGAACGCAATTACTCCGCGACGACAACCGTCCAGAGGCTGCAGTGACTCAGATGTTGTTAGACAGGAAACGCTGGCGTGACGGATCCGATTGCGGCCTATGTTGACGCCTGATTGGTCGTGGCGTGGCAAAAGCGGACCACCTGGGCAGCCCAACCTGCTTTCAACGAAAATTGGACTTGTTTCGACTCACGAGGATGACTTTACAACGGAAGCGCGCGTTCTCAAGATGTTGACGCAGCGACAATGCGCTCCATACTGGGCGCTTCTGCGCAGCCGTGAATATTCTCGCACGTTCTTTGCGTTGCACGGGTCATGGAACCCCGGGACACGTCAACTCAGGCTTACTCCTTGTGTCTAGGGCTTCTACAACATTCTGCGATGACTACACAATCTATGTATTGTTTCTGGGTACTCAAGGAAGAGTCGAAATGCTGCCTGACAGGGTCACGAAGCATCATGCTGTCGTGCAGGTACTCCCTGAGTACCTGGTTGGGCTGTCGAGCGAGCACAGTGAACAGCTTCAATCAGGCCACAAAACGTTTCTCAGTGACTGCCTTTAGGCCGCTCGCTCCCAGTCACGGTCCTGGTCACGATGAGAGAGAAACAAAGTCACGCTGCGTGGTATCTGCCGCCTGGAGACGGCATTCGTTGCTCCTTCAACACGCTAGCAATGTCTCATCGTGGGCGTCATAACGTGTTCGCGCCCACACATACTCACGTGCACTATACTAACTCTTCTGCCTCGCAGCTGCCCATTAATACTTCAAGATCACATGCAATAACACTGCCCCTGACAAAAAAGCTTGAGGCAGACACAAACTGAAACTATTATAAATTCGGAGGTTGAGCGTGGTAACTCGGCTCTCCACCCTCTACCGGACCATAGTTTGGCAAAGAGCGGCCACTCTCACCAGTCGGAAATAGCTCGAAACGCGTAAGCTGGACAATCAACCGCTATGGAACGCGTCATTTGCGTCAGGAACACTCCATCTTGAGCGTGTAATACCACTTGGTTGCATCTTGGGGGCGGTGCTACAGTCCGATAGCCGCTTGAAGGGGCTAGTTAAGTATATACTTTTGCCCTAGGTCCTTGTCCCTGTAATTCATACATCTTCTACGCTTGTTTCCTCGATCGTATACCCCACAATGACGCTTATCTCGAGGGCAGTTTTGCTTGCGATAAGTAATTGACTGCACAACTCACACTCGGAACATCAGCTCACACTCTACAGCAGCAACGACAGTCTCCGCACAGTACGTTCCAGGCGGTCGGTACGGCCCAGACGGCTCAAACAATGATGGGGGTTTCGGCGGGGGTAACAACAATGGAGGATCCGGTAGCGGGCGAGGCGGCCCTTCACAATCCTTCATCGACAGCCGGCAAAGGATGCTCATCGCACACGGCGTTCTAGCATCACTCGCTTTCGTTATCCTCTTCCCCGCCGGCAGTATCCTCATCCGCCTTGGTTCCTTCCGTGGTGCATGGCTCATCCATGGCCTAATTCAGATCTTCGCATATCTGGTGTATACCGCAGCAGTCGGCCTTGGAATCTGGCTCGCTCATCAGGCTCCTACCCAGGTGGGCCTGCTCCAACGATACCATCCCATCATTGGACTCATCTTGTTCGCCTTGTTGTTCTTCCAGCCCATAATGGGCTATGTGCATCATCTCCGGTACAAGAAGTTCCAGCGTCGCACACTCTGGTCTTACGGCCACCTCTGGCTGGGCCGGATCGCGATCACACTAGGTACGATCAATGGCGGACTCGGTCTACTGTTGGCGTACGATGCACCTTTCGGCTTCGCACCCAGCAAGGGCCAGGTCATTGCTTACGGAGTCATCGCGGCGCTCATATGGCTGCTGTACGTTGCTGCAGCCATCCTTGGAGAGCGAAGGAGAGTGGTTGCTAGAAAGAATATTGAGGAAGAGACCGAAAAGGCAGTCATTAACGAGAGCTCTCCAGTTAGCTCGCTGGCTCCTCACACAGAGCGCTATGGGTAAGCCAATAATCACTTTCATGTACAGCTATGCTGGATTTACACAAACACCGCTGTGAGCAGAGGAAAATTATCGTAGTCATGTGCCATACCTGCTGGGAGCGTTCCCCGACACCCCTAGCTGTACACAGATACATCTCCATCTGCAGACCCATATTCAGATTCTCGAACGTGGCCCAAATGATGAGTGAGATGTAAGCTCATCAGTAAGGGGAGAATTTGCCCTTTGGCACCCCTAGATAAAGCCACAATCCTCAATTCTGAGTAACTTCAGATCACGCATATGAAAACGTGGAGAGCCGCATGATGCGCACCCAATCATGGACCCTGACGCTAACCCTAGGGAGCATGACCATTGAGTCTTGGCTGCCTTTCTGGGAAGTGGCCCGCAATATGCCCGAGGTTTGAATGCATCAACACACGTTCTGGCCGTATTGAATCGGAAAGAGAGCCGATTTCGCGAGCCCGAGCAGCCTTTTCCTCAGATATCTGCTCAGATGTCAGCTCAGATATCTCAGTCTGCACCACTCCTGGGCGATCGATCGAACTCAGGGTTCAGATGAACGTGATGGGCAAACCAAGGCTTGCACTGCAGGTTCCGGCTGATCATATCATTGTCATCACCGCAGATGGCGCATCAGACTCACTTCTTCACGGGACGCTCATCTTTAGCAATGTGCCACTGCAGTGCGATATTCAAATCACGCTTGCAAGAGTCGGCAGACTGAAGAGAGGCAAGGACATGGAGAACGATTCTGCCTCGAAGAAGCTCATGAGCGAACTCAGATTCATGAGATCGCACAAAGAGCAGAAAAGGGAGCTTTTCAACTACGAGATGGCCGAGAAGCTGTGTGGCTGCTTTGTTAGTCCCCTACGAGGGACTCCCACATCCAAGACCACAAAGTGCGACTTTGTTCTGCAAATTCCTTCGTATCTTCCTGCAACAGCAGCGCTCCCATCCGTCGACATCAGCTACGCCATTTTCGCAACATGCAATCTGGCCAACGGGGAAGTCTTGCAGACAAGCCAGGATCTGCGCATCATCCGCGAAATCGCTGGACCAATCCGCCTGGAGCCATCACGGACAGTGTCTTTTCCAGAAACAACATTTGCTATTTGCGCCAGCTTCGGTCTTCCCAGCTCCAACCATAAGAATTCAACCATCTCAGCAACCCTACAACTCAACGGCCTCAATCTTCCCATCACAAACTCCATGCGCGTAAACGAAATGCGATGGCTCGTGCCTCGCGAGATCAGATGGTACCTCGAGGAGACCACTGTCCTCATCACCGGCTGCCCCGACGCCACAGGTCATCTGCCCATGTCGACCGCACAGCGCGTACTCAAGAAGCGACAAATTGCAACCGGAAAAGAGAAGCTCAAGCTCAACTACCCATTCACACGGGCCGGAAACACGCCTATTACGATGTGTCCCGACAACTCCAGTATCTCGATCCTGTTTATGATCTTAGCGCCGAAAGATATCTCGCTGGGTGAAAGCACAGCACTCGCCGTCGCTGGCGGCCATGTCTTGCATACCGTGCTTGATAAATATGCTGGAAACCTCCACGGTCTGCAGAAGAGGTTCGCGGTCTATCTCGAGTACAAGTTGCACGTCTGGCTGCGTATCGGAGAAGATATTTTCGACGAGGCGTCGGGTGATTTGGTAAATCGGAAGATGGATGAGATGGCTTATACGGTAGTCTGTCCTCTCATCCAACAGCGTACTCGTGATGATGAATACACACAAGATCAGTCGGCACAGTTTATTCCACCAAGCTACGATGGGATATGGGAGCAGCCACCTCCGGACTACTCGATGCCGCCGGAATATGCGACGATCGAGGAGCGGCGGCCCAGCACTTGGCATACAGCCGAGGCCTCTACGAGTCTGTCCAGCTAGTCCTTCGTTTCTAAGGATGTGAACTGGCTTGGCAGACTTGATCCAGTTGAATCGACCTGACAACCACCTGAAAATCGCTGTCGATCCACCCCAAAGGCACATCCACCCTAGCCGCACCGAAGGCGCATCCTCTTCAAAGTGCAGTGCATACAGGTGCCGCCGGTAACAGCCGGTCACGTGGAGCTGTTTGCAGCATGACGACAGTAAGAAGGGACTGAAGGAGGAAGAGAGTAGAACAGCCAGCGACCCGACGAACTTGCCTTTTGACGAGTCAAGCATTGGCCGGCCACGTGACGCAGTGAACCCGGTGATTTGAAGTAGAGAGATGAAAAGCACATTAGAATATCGGAATGCAGACGGCATCGGGTAGTTAAGGGAACACAAGATTTGATGCTTGGTACAACGCTCGAACTGCCGAATCATGTGCATCACCGCACTCACAAATCTGCATCATATTCGTCAGGTAATGGTATGGCCGGACCGCCCACGATCTCCCGATAATAGAAATCGGCGTTGGCGTTCGTCGAAGAGAGCCCTGCAACTCCACTGTCACTCCCTACTCCCCCTTCCAAAGCATCAATCTCACAAACGACATGCCCCGCAATCTGCCTGTAGCCCATCCCACTCATCAATGGCAACGTCTTTTTCGTCCCCGACACCACGCTCGCGGCTGTGTTCCAATTGAAAAATTTCTTACACCCCGGACAGAGCATACTCGGACATCCGCCATCTTACTCGATCACGAGTTGGCAGTTGGGACATCGCTTGCCGTCCTTAGATTGTATAAGCATCAGCGTCTGTCTCTCCGGGTCGCTCATCTGCGCAGCGAGCGCAGCAGACTTGACTTCGGCGCAGGTTTGGTCTACGTGCCATGGTGTGAGGCAGGTCGCGCACGAGCGGGCTTTGCAAGTGGGAAAGGGATATTCAACGTGTGGGTAACCGGGCGCATTCGGGTCGAGAAGTCCGGCGAAAGCGCAACTTGGCGAGAGGCAGGTGAATAGATCCGTGCCGGCGCGCCAGTGCTCGAAGGCCGCAAGGTTGAACGCTTCGAGCTTGTCGAGCGGGAAATATTTGAAAACCACCTCCCTTGGTCAGACTTCGTCGCAGTCTGGCTCCAGACAGCCGAGGCCAGCTTTACGTGCGCCGAGCATATCGGGCCGCGCTGCCATGGTGGAGCCGATGCACGTCTTGCAGACAGGGTCAATGTTACGCCGGTACGGGCTCCGCGCGAGATGTGGGATGTATGACATTAGTGCGTCGAGTGGCTTTTCATGCCAGCGCTTGGGAGATACCCAGTGGATGAAGTCTTCGTAGGATAGGTACGAGATACATATCCGGGAGTGCAAGGCTTGAGGCCTTTGCTGGAATTCCGTTTGGGCGTCCAGGGGTCGAGGCGCTTTCGCCACTGTTTCGTCTTCGTCGCTCTGGTGGATGTGGCTGCCAATGTTTCTTGTGCGATGTTCTTCTTGGTTTGAGAACGAAGGACCCGCATTGTAGTCGGGCCTGGAGATGGAGGTGCAGACTGGGTCAGTCTCTTGCGCTGGCAAGACTTGGCATATGATCACCGTAGTTTCCTTATGGTGCGAGCCATGGTTTCGACGAGACGACAAGTCTGGCGAGCAAAGAGGAATAGGATAAGTATGAGGGGCTGAGTTAATGCGCCCGCCCCAAGTTACCAACTCAGTCTTTAGTGCAAAGGAAAAGGCTCAAACCTCTTAGGCTAAAAGAGCTCACGGGTTTCAGAGGTTGTAGTTCGGGATATCGATCAGGCTGGGCCAGCGGTGTTCCCCGACTGTGCATCAGGCAGAAGCGAGCAGGCAATTATGCTTACTTGTGAGGCTACAACGCGGGGATATGCAAACACGTACTGGTAGCTGTGTTTATCGTAGAATCTATTGGACATGTGTTATCTCATTTGTATAGTGCATGGGGATATGCTGGGATGGATATCGACTCCGCTGCGCCGCTGCAATAGTGCAGGTTGAGATAAAGGGTACATTGCATCGATGTCCCCAGGGGCGGTCACTGCATGAGAGCACTAAAGCAGTGACAATGAACCTCGAGGAATATATTACTGAAGGCCCCGAGCCTTCATCATGGCTGTCAGGCATCGTTGATGCTCCTCGCGGTAATGTCCTTGTTAGTCCCCACTCTAGACAGGGGTCCACCACACCGCCTGTACGCTAGCGGGCAGAAAAGTTGGTTCGAGAATTGGACTCTTGCGCGTTTGCGCATCCCACATCCTCAGTACCTCCAGCCTCACATAAATCATGGCACCCAAAGACGATGACTTCGTATTCACAATCGATGACGATGACGTTGTATCAGACGATGGCGGCGCCGAAGACCTACAGGAAGTCGCCAAACTCGCCGGCAAAGGCCAGAAGCGCAAATATACCGAGGATCCGGATTTGCACATCCAGCCCAAGGGTGTAAGCTCCAAGAAAGCTAAGGGGGAGAAGAAGAAAGTCAAGAAGGGAAAACAGGCGACACCAGAGCCTGACGAAGAGGAGCTAGAAATGATCAAGCCTGGAGAGGATGTCGATGGGAATGATGATATCGCTTCGGATTTTGAGTTTGCGGTCGGCGATATCGATACAGGTGTTGTTGAGGACTTCGACGGCTGGGGTCTGAGCGCTGAGAAGCAGGAGGCTGCTGCGAGGACGACCATGGCTGTGGATGTGGACGAGATCATCGAGCGCAGGCGGAACAAGAAAGACAATGCGGCTAAGCGCGCAAAGGAAGATGCTGCTGAGTCTGATGCGGATGAAGGCGACTTTACAGGCTTTGGAGACGACGACGAGCTGTTGGCCGAAGATGGGTTTGGCATGGGCGCCGGGAGTGACAGCGAGGACGAAGTCGACGAACAATCAGAGGACGAGGTCAGCGCCGCCGACGACAATGAAGACAAGAAGAACGAGGCACACAACGATGACGACAACTCGGACGCCTCCAGCGTTGCATCAGAAGTACAACATCCAGACGACGTACCATCAGAAAACGAAGATGAGGACGTGAGCGACAAGGAGGATGCAGAGGAGGCAAAGAAGGCGGCAGCTTTCTTCGCTCCTGAAGAGAGCGTCCAGGTCAAGAAGGGCAAGAAGGGAGCCAAGCTCACAGGCTCTTTCCAATCCATGTCGCTATCTCGGCCAATTCTCCGTGGCCTGGCTGCTGTGGGCTTCACAGAGCCGACACCTATCCAGTTGAAGACTATTCCAATCGCCGTTGCCGGTAGAGACCTGGTCGGAGGAGCTGAGACTGGTTCCGGTAAAACTGCCGCCTTCCTAATCCCCATTCTCGAGCGTCTCCTCTACCGACCGAAGAAGGTTCCCACAACGCGCGTCGCCATTCTTATGCCCACTCGTGAGTTGGCCGTCCAGTGTTATAATGTTGCAACGAAGATTGCATCATTCACCGATATCACGTTTGCGCAAATGGTCGGTGGTTTCTCCATGCGTGAGCAGGAAGCTGTCCTGAAGACAAGGCCAGATGTAGTCATTGCCACACCTGGTCGTTTCATCGACCACATGACAAATTCTGCGTCCTTCCAGGTCGAGCATCTTGAAATTCTTGTCCTCGATGAGGCTGATCGTATGCTCGAAGAAGGATTCGAAAGCCAGCTAAGCGAGATTCTCACAACAATCCCCAAATCGCGACAGACTATGTTGTTCTCTGCCACCATGACCAGCTCAGTCGATAAGTTGGTCCGCGTTGGTATGGACAAGCCTGTGCGATTGATGGTCGATGCCAAGAAGCAGACTGTCGCTGGTCTGACTCAGGAGTTCATACGTCTGAGGTTAGGCAAGGAGGACAGGCGCCTGGCTTACCTCATGTACCTCTGTGACAAGGTTTACACCGAGCGTGTCATCATCTTTTTTAGGCAGAAGAAGGAGGCGCACAGGGTCCGAGTTGTGTTCGCGCTTTGTGGCAAGAAGGCGAGCGAGCTGCACGGTAACATGAGCCAGGAACAGGTAAGTTCACGAACCCAATTTGAAGCACAGAAACTAACTACAGTATAGCGTATCCAAGCTGTTGAGGCTTTCCGTTCTGGAGCATCATCGTACCTCCTCGCCACCGATGTCGCCTCCCGTGGTCTCGATATTAAGAATGTCGCAACAGTCATCAACTACGAAGCACCTCAAAGTCATGAAATCTACCTGCATCGTGTCGGTCGTACCGCTCGTGCTGGTCGAAGTGGTCGCGCATGTACGCTCGCCGCAGAGCCGGACCGCAAGGTCGTTAAGCAGGCAGTCAAGACAAGTCGCGACCAAGGCGCCAAGGTCGTCAGTCGACAAGTGCCCGCCGAGGAGGCGGACAGGTGGATCAAGAAGATCAAGGATCTTGAAGAGGAGATCGAGGACGTCCTCAAGGAAGAAAAGGAGGAGCGTGTTCTCAGCATAACAGAGCGCGACCTTAAGCGTGGTGAGAACCTGATTATGCACGAAGATGAGATCAGGTCGCGACCAAAGCGCACATGGTTCGAAACAGAGAAGGAGAAGGCAGCAGAGAGAGAGAAGGGCTCACAGGCACTCAATAACCCTGCGGGGGGCTCGATCAAGAAGAAGCAGAAGCTCAGTCACAAGGACAAGAAGAAGCTGGAGGCTAGGGACGACCGCACGGAAGGGAAGCAGTGGAAGAAGGGCAAGGCAGACCGAGGCATGACGACAGCGAAGTCGAAGGAGAAGGCCGCGCACATCAAGGCGAAGACAAAGAAGGCTGTGCACGGTAAGAGGAAGCTCTGAGGATGTTGTAGCCTGGAGGCAGTCAGGGATCTGCAGCATGATAGCTCGTGCACGATGACCAATGTACAAAATCTACATCTCGTTTCACGTGTACCAACTGGACGAATGCAGCCAGCCCGTCGTCAGCCTTACCAGCAGATACGTAATGTCAGCGGAGAGGCAATCTGCCAAGACAGCAGCCCCTTTCAAGCCTAGCCGCGTAGCCGCGGGTCGAAGCGGAGCGGACGAAAGCCATTGAAGTTTCTCGAGCCCAGGCACCGATTCCTGCTTCCTGTTGTTCTTGTCTGCTTCACACGTGGCTCTTCCCAGTCTTCACCTCACTCCTCGCGCGGCTAACTACCTACACCAGCGCGACCCCGCGAATACGGCCGAGCCTTCCCCCCCCTGTCTGTACTCTTGCGGAGCTATAGCCTCGTTATCGCTTATCGGCTTCCGACTCTGACAACTTTCTGTCTCACCTGCCCAGTCGCCAGCACAAAAGTCGCGTGTCGTCTCTGCGCGAGTGGGATAGTCTGCACGCGACCACACACCACAATGGCGACTTCACAGCAGCCCATCGACGGCAACGGCGCGGCGGTGCGCCCCACACACGACGAGGAAGAGGCGGAGAACATCTTCCTGTTCGTTCCCAACTTGATCGGTTGGTCCCACCTTCCACGATAATGACCTGCCATGGACATGTATACTGATGGTTGCAGGCTACGGCCGCGTCTTCCTCGCCCTCACCTCGCTCTACTACATGCCCCTCCACCCGCGCACCTGCACAGCGCTCTACAGCATATCATGCCTCCTTGACGCGCTCGACGGCTACGCAGCCCGCGTGTACGAGCAGAGCACCAAGTTTGGCGCCGTGCTGGATATGGTTACCGACCGATGCACAACCTCGTGCCTGCTTGTATTCCTTGCCCAGGCCTTCCCCCGCTGGAGCATCGTCTTCCAGGGCCTGATCTCGCTGGATCTCGCCAGCCACTACATGCACATGTACGCAACCCTGAGCATGGGTGGCAGCGCGAAGAGCCACAAGGACGTGTCGGCGAGCCGCAGCTGGATCCTGAGGCAGTACTACTCCAACAAGGTACGTATCCATATCCTTAGCACCCTGGCGGTCAATTGCATGAGCCCCGCCTGCTAAATACTGATTGTAGTGGGTTCTCTTCACCTTCTGCGCCATGAACGAAGTCTTCTTCATCGCGCTGTACTTGCTCTCCTTCTCCTCACCCTACCTGAGCCCCACGCTCTTCGCCGACGCTGCGAACCCCTCTTCGCTCGCACCTGGAACACCTGCTGCGCCGAAGCCCAGCATGTTCTTCCCGTCGCCGTTCTCTGCGGGAGCTATGGAGGCTGCACGCGCGAACAAGATGGATTCGACCGTGCCCTGGGTCTGCGCGATCATCAGCTTTCCCATCATGGCTGCGAAGCAAATCATCAACGTTATACAGATGAGGAAAGCAGCCTTGTGGCTTGCGGAGGGCGACCGAGCGGCAAGGAAGGCTGCAGGTCTGCCCAGGAAGACGTCGAAGAAGACTCAGTAAAACGGGATGCTTGGGGCTAGACGGCCTACAAGCAGCAGTTCTCAGTCCGCAACACTTGGTTGTGCTCACGAGCACCTACAGCAGCCACATGAGCTGGCCTCGATGCATCCACTCGCTGCACTCGCAGAGAGTGAGGCTCATCCGCTCTCACTCCACGAACTGGGCAATGGCACAGCTCCTTACATCGACCGTCTCTGTTGATTTCCCTTCTAAAGGCTTCTCGTACCTACTTTCGACATTTTGGCGGCATGATGTTCATTCTGCTTAGCGATGTTTTGGTCATTTCTTTTGTTCGATAAGATTAGGGAAGGCGTACAGCCACGATGATACTGGGAGCGAAGTGCTTCACATATAGTAATACAAAGCTCAATACACCAAATGCACCCTTTTTGCGGGTATGGACTGTAGAAGTTGAAACCAAAATGCGAGAATACAATAGAGCGTCGAAGCTTAGGAAATCAACCAAGTTCTTTGGACAGCCATACTGCTCCACCGAACAACATCGCTCTGCCTCTCGCAAAGCATGCAAAGGTAACAAGGCGTGGCGTCCATTGCATTGCGCTAGCGATTGCAATACCAGCTTCTCATGTCGTGGAAAAGACTAGATTCAAGCGTTGAAGTCTCAAAAACAGGAGGCCTTCAGGGTAACTTGCAAGAGAACGGTGAGTTGACAGGGCTTCCAGAGACTCCAATTAGATGTTTTGTCACATCCAGCTTTAGCTGACGTTCGATTCAGATGTAATAATATGGGCATCAAGTTAGCACACGAGAAGCGAATAGCGTGATACAGCAAATTTTCTGCTGGTGGGTCTAAATGTCGGCATCTGCACAGCGCACGTGCAGAGAGTTATGATGCCTCTCGCGATACCCACAGCTAGCAGTGAGATGTCGCAGGACAGATTCTGGTCTTGTTGGAGTGGCGGATGCTGCCCCAGATCTTGTATACTAATAATATTAATGCATTATTTTTCCAAAAATCCATCAATCATTTAAAACGGTTCGATGGTGTAGTTGGTTATCACGTCAGTCTAACATTCTTAGTCCACTGAAGGTCTCCAGTTCAAGTCTGGGTCGAATCATTTTTTTCATTGAGATGACTTCCCAACAATGTAAGACGTAGAGTTGAGGGTGTCGCTTTGGTGCGGAGGAGTGTGCACGCTGCTCACAGCTGCGTTTCGTGTATGAGTATACGACTCTCTACCTTTTTTGCCATGTTTCATTGATTGGAGACGGCAGTGTGCGGTTGCCATGTTGGTTTCCGGACTTGTGCAGCTTAATATGACTTAGCAGACATGGCTAGCTTGTCCAGTCTCGATTCTTTGCAAATAATCTCGTTTCTGTAGGTATAAGTTCCCATGCCTAGCTAACATGTACCTCTCAATTAGAATAGGAAACAGTTGAGGAAGCGCATGACAGGTCGGGATGCAACCCTGGAATGCCGACCCATATTTGCCTTCATGGGCTTGGGTATCGAGACAGAAATCGATCGGAGTCGTCAGTGAAGTGTCAAATGATCGTCCTTCCTGGAAACATACTGTAAGAAAGCGGGTTTGGCCCGAGTATCTCCTGTTCTGCACCCCGTCAATAGCTTCGGTCCTTCACCCATCTCAATACCATATACCGGCATAGCTAAACAGACCACCAGTCACGACCACGCTGTCTGAAATATTGCCTCCAGTGGCCAGATGCGATTTGCGTATCGCATATGTCCGAAGTAATACCGGGTGCAAGCTAGGTGCCCTCCCGAAAAGGACACGCGTGGAAGCAGCGAGGTAGTGACATATCTATGATGTCCGTGTACACGGCATACATTGCTGCCGTTGTCCAGACGCGTATCAACTGCGTTAGGTTGCCTCGTATGAGTGGGTGGGCGGGTGATACATTTGGCGTGTCGCACCAACGGTGGGGTGGGTGTGTTGGAGCCTGACATAACGTGACAAAGGACCGAGCATGGCAGGAATCGTCCGCATCGAGGTTTCTGTGGAAGGTCAGAATTTTACTGACAGTGTGGGTGCTGTGAAGAATAGGGGCACCCTGTCGTTGATCGTCGATGATCAGCTGAAGATCCGATACCGTGGTTGTGGTTCAGGAGTGGTCGTGCATCTGGCGCCTCGCCATCGAGCGGCCATCACGAAGACCTTAGGTCGAGTATTCATGCCAATACTTTCCCATGACACATAAGATAGGCCGTAGCGTCATTGTGAGAGTACTACACCGCGTCACCTTACTCTGCTCGTGAATCCCGTTGCGCAAACGGTCAAGATACCGGAATTAGGGCTCGGTACATGCACAGTGGGGCGTCCTACCCTCAACACTCGCTGATGGTGAGGCTGTCGACAGATTATTGGTCTCCTTTCTTGAAGGCAGGTAGACTTCGGCAGGACGGCTGTTGTGCTGAACGGAGGAAAGGCCAATCATAATCTACTGAACAGCCGATAATCTAGTGAATCGCCACTGCCGTCGATTTTCAAGCGGGGCTTGTGCAATGTCTCGGTGAAGGGTCTTCTTTGACAGTTGCTCGTTCGGATGGTTGCCAATTCGTCTTTGAGGTGCCATCAGCACCTCCACGGCATGCTGCTGGGCTTCTGATCGATCTCTACAAAATCCAGATATCATAAGAGTAATGCAACCCGCTACAGCTGAAAAGCGTCGAGTTTGTTGCAGGCCTGACATAGCCACATCGAAAGTTGTCTCACCGCAAACTTCCCCACATCAGCTGCGCTTGCCTGATCAGAGTCTTCTCGTATAGAAGGGAAGAGGCGTAGTGCATTCTCGGTCAATGTCTGAAAGCTGTGCACAATGCCAAAAGCGGACATAGTATCCGCACTGTTAAGGTTTGACATCCACGTTGACGCTTCCTCGATAGGAACGAGGCGAAGCAACCAGCTTCTAGAAAGCTTGACGTGAAACCTCTCAAAAGTGACAGGAGTGCGAAACGCAAGGCGCGATCGCTCTTCAGCCAAACTTGCGGATCAGGTTTGTAAGGGCCGCATGAACGCAGAATCGCTGCCGGACGGCAAGATACGGTCCTACACAGAACTGAAACGACGGCAGTGCACGAACCTGCTCATCGTTGGCGGCTCCGAGCTGCGCTCAGACGTCGGCTGAGCAAGCGCGCTGGGTGGAGTAGTAGCGGTTGAAGGACGAGTAAGCCCGCAGAGCTGAAAGCCGTACCTGCATCCTCGTCCGACGCCATCGGAAGGATGATGCAGCGAAGAGGATGCAAGAGCTCCCATCTGGGTGAGGTAGCGCCTGGTATGCAGCCTAACTCAGTGTGTCGTGTTCGGTGAGGTTGCCGTGTCGCGCCTTTCGAAACCCAGTCTGTCTGGGCGGCATGATCATCTAACGGTCCGCGCACACCTCAACTACTCTCTCCTAAGCTTCTATCCTAACCTTTCTTCTCACCATCGGCACTTCTATCGACCGCAGCCTGGCTGTCAAATTTCGAGGCAGCTGGGCTATCCTTCCATAGAAGCATCATGTCCGTGCCGACTATGGGTATTGCAAGGTTGCAGTCTGTGTACCAGTGGCGGCGCCTGTGACACGACTCTTCGCCATGGCGCTGCAGTTCACGCGTCCCTCTCCCTGGACCGAATACTCCCTTCGAGTCGCACAGGGTTCACCCCTCCCAAAAATGGGTGATACAGTTGGTCGGATGCTGCCGATTTGCTATTTACCCTCCCTTGCCGCTTATCGTCCGGGGTTGCGCCTGAACTGATTCTTGCCTACTCTCTTTCTCAGAGACCCCAGTCCATGTGCAAGTTTCCATCCTGCTTCATCGGGTCCTAGCATCAGATCGCTCCCTGGCAGGTGTCCTCCTCTCCTTTCGCTTATGTGACATCTGCTTGACCTGCTCCGCACTTCCGGTAATCAGCTGTCTTCCGCTCCTTCTTCCATTCTTCCCCACACTCTCGTTGTATTAAGAAAGAGGTGGAGCCTGATAGTCATATCCTGTTGCACCTCACTACACGCCAGCTGTGGCTTGACAGTGCTGAGGATTAACTCGCACCTCCCTCACCGGCCTTCAGCAACGCCAACCTCACCTCAAGCAGGCGTAACAAATAGCAGTCGATTAGTGTGCCCTTCCCCTAGAGTCTGGGTACATCGACACGGTCGCAACTACCACATTATGGGCAGGATGGCGCCCATTCTCACGCCACGGATGCTTAATGGCGGGAGAAGCAACACGGATGCTCTCGGAATCACATACGTCGTCATCGCTATAATATACACACTTATATTGGCATTCGAGCTCACACTACTGTACCGCAGACGGGATGCGTTTTGCGTACATATCAGGAACATCAAGATCGTCTTCGCTGCGGTGTCGATGCTCCACGTTTACCTCACTCTCGTCTTGCTGGCGTATCCGTGGAATGGCCTGTACCCATGCTCAGCAGAGTTTTGGGTCATGTCAGTCTTTCTGCCATTAGGTATGGCTTTTTTCCAAGGTAAGCACAATCTAGTCAAAGCAGTATGCTGGCACTAACTCGAATAGCCTGCAATGCCAGGGTCCTCACAGCATACGAGAGCCAACGACGTATGACGCGCAACTTCCTGGAAGGTGCTCGTAAGGAGCGTATGTCATTTACACCTGCAGGGCTGTGTAGGGCGTGGATGCATCTTGATGCAGCGTCTAAGATCTATGTGCTCACGCTTATGGGCCTCATAATCTCGGTGAGCCATCTCCAAAGCCGCGCTCGTTGGCTAAAGCTAAGCACCACAGTTCGTACCGGCTCTTGTCCTTTACTTCGGCTCGCGTCGCTTCCATGCCTCTTACGGCTTCTTTGGTACCGTGGCTGGATTCGTGGAGTGCCGCAAAGGATTCGAATGGATACCTTCAATCTTTGTGCAGCTTTTCTGGACAGCAATGGTCGGTCCCTGGATCCTGTGGAAAGTCCGTCACGTCCAGGATGTTCACTCGTGGGCGTGGCAGACTAGACTGGCCATCATCGCTGGCCTACCTGGCACTCCGTTGTGGATTGCGTTTACGTATTCGAACATACCCGAGGTCATTCGCATCAGGAAGTACTTCGCGCCGGCGGGGTGGTTCATTCCGTCCCTGATCATTTGCCAACAGGTTCTGATCCTCATCCCGCTCGCTGGTGCCTTCAAATCGAAGCCGCGTCAACGACGTATGTCACAAGCGACAGAGACTGCGTCACTCACGTCGACCGTCTCCGACTCTTCAGAAAAGTCCGTTCAAGAGCTGTTCCGCGACCTGAAACCCAAGGCTTCTATGCAAGCCCTCGAGCTCAGCATCGAACAAAATATCGAGCCCCTCATTGTCTGGGCCGCAACCAGGGAATTCACCGCGGAGAACGCCATCTTCCTTCGCGAAGTCCGCAACTGGCGCAAGAAGTGGTCCTCTCTCAAAGTCGTCTCGACCTCGCAACGCCGTCAGATGTACAACGAAGCCTCCCTTATCTACTTTACCCTGATTAACCCTTTCACCGCCGAAACACCCATCAACATCGAATACAAGATCTTCAAAGTCCTACAGAACCTGTTCGCCGGCATGGAGTACGACCCCTACATGCCTCGCAGCCAAACACCAGACGATGTCAAATCACCCGTCGTCCGCGAGAATGTCATCTGCCCCTGGGAGGAGACCTTGAGCCGCCCTGCTAGTATCAAATCCGACATCACCTCGTCCTCCACGTCATCAACATCGAGCATCATCCCTAGCGAGTTCACAGAAGACGTTTTCGACGCCGCGTACGAAAGCATCAAGTACCTCATCTTCACCAACACTTGGCCACGCTATGTCGACGCCGAGATGTGTAGTAAGGCATCGTCGCCTTAGAGATCCCCATGACACAACGGAATGGAGCAGTATCAGTAACATGAGCCAATGTCACATTCTTAGCTGAGCATGGACACTCGACGGCCGCACCCACAACAAAACCGATGGCCTGTCTGGCACATGCTATCGGCTAATACATTACATGGCTCCTAGATAGAAGCACAACAGCGAGAAATGGGAGGCAAGCATTTGTATTTGCAAAACAGAGGGGCAGTGTACATGCGTGAGCGAGAAAAATGGATCAAGTTGGTGTGCATTGGAGAATTATACCCTATTGACATGTTCTGCGTTACTTTTCTGTATACTCTAATCCCAGGCCCGACTATGAGATCGCAAGCCCGCATCAAATCCGCACTGGTATTCGCCCTCCGTCAGCTCTCCCCCGGTCGACATCCTGTGCCTGACCCAAGTACCGTATAATCCCAATTAAGTCGTTAATAGCCTGCCTTGCAAGGGTGCTCTGGCTAGCTAGGGAGGCTTTTTGTCTCGATTATATTAAGAGCAGGCTAAAATAGGCGTGTGAAAATATTCCTATTGACTTGCTTAATATCGTTTTTAGGTAAATTAGTACGTATAATGTACCCTAGTTTTTACTCCTCCCACTGTGCGTGTAGGTTAAGTGGCCTTAGCGGCTAGGAACTGAGGGGCTCCGCAGCCCCTCTGGCATTGGCTTGGTTGGTACAGAATTTGCGTCATCCCCAACTACCCTACGTATAGGTTATGAAAGACTTAACTGAGATCATACGGTACCGGGCCGCAGGGGATTGACTCCGGAATCGATTGCTCCGTTGGTGGGTCGACTGCTGCTGGTCTGTTCGATATCTAGATCTGCTACATGAAACGCCGCAGGGTTCTGAGGCCTGTCGCGGATGATCAGGGGTCAATGGACAAGCAGCAAATTTCCGAGCCGTTCGCGTGAGACGATTGACATGTACCTGCCGCGATAAATGTGTTGACAGCGTGCAGGGTAGCTCGTGGTAGCACAGATCGTCTCGTTGTTCGGCGATCTTCTAGTCGTTACAAAGATAGAACGTTGCGGCTTTTATCCAACCCATATCTTCTCCGGTCGTATACTGTAGATAGCGTGCTTCTTCTCGTCATCGAAATTTCTCTGACTGTAGGTACTGCGCAAGCACAAATGTGCAACAACTTTAAACTACTCTCACTAAAGTCGGTAAGTGATGGGAAGTCTGACATGATGCGGAGACCCACCCCTCACAGCGCCCATCAAAGGTCGTACTCTGCGCGCATCGCTTACGGCACTGTGAGTAAAGTCGCAGACTACACCGCTTAACTTGTTGACTAGGCAAGTAGATATCGGCGCCGATAGCAAGGTGTTCTCGAGTCACGTGCAGTCTTGCGGAAAACACATCTCTTATTAGCACCAACTTGTTGCTCACAAAGTATATATATTGTTTTACATACTGCTACAGCACTAATGTACAATCTAGCTCTTATGCTGTTCTCTCGCTGTGCACCTCTGCTTCCTCAGCTTTCTTTGCAGTTTCGTAGCGCTTGCCACGGAAAGCGTACACGCCCCAGTTGCTGCAAGTAACATCATGTGGGTCGAGATCGTTCAAGTCCCACCTCAGACTCCTGAACAGGTTCTCTCCAGGCTGGAGCAGAATATCCATCTCGTTGCCGTAGCGCTTTGTAAGGTGATCGATGTCCTGCTGGACATCCCACGGCGAGTATCCCGTAGCGATGATAGGCACCTTGGTCTCAAGGAGTAGGGGTATGGTCTCCTCCCACTCGTGCATCGAGGCTGCGTTGCCGAAACCGGGGTGGAATACAACGAAGCAGTCGAAGTAGGGATCGTATGGGTAGAAATAACCTGTCTTGTGGATATTCTCGTATTTTTCGACGAAGGTACTGATCTTCATAGCGTTCGATATGCGGTCCTCAACAACAGCGCCGAAGGGGTTGAGAGGCGTGCGCTCAGGCAGAGGCAGCTCCTTCTCGCGATTCGCCATAGCCTCGGGGCCAATGAAGTGTAGGGAGAATTGTACGCGATGGAAAAGGTACGCCAGCTGCATCCAAGTCTCTCGTGGCAGTGACGACTCAGCACGTGCGCCGAGAATAAAAAGGCGGACCGAGGGAGGAGCAATACGGGCATTCTTCCATGTGTCATCGCCACCAGTTCGTGGTGGATGAAGGCTGTGTCGCAGTGCTGCGAGGATGTCAGTTGTTGAAGGTCTTCATACATGACGTGAAACCTACCGCTGAAGCTCTTGAGTCCCTCTGGGGTCATTCTGCCACCCTTGCGGATGTTGTAAGGACTCAGTTCGTTGATGACACTGGCAATGGTCATGGGGTATGTTAGAAGCTTTGTGGCTTGTCGCATCTCCCTGTCCTTGTTGAGCGCATCGAAGTCTCGTGTGTACAAGTACGTATCCCAGCTAGTCATGTTCACGAGAATCTCCTCCATTTGGGGCTCGGCGAACTGGAACTCCTTGAAGAATCTCCCACTGCGCAGGTCGTGATCATCCTCATTTGACTGGCGCAGTACGTCGCAGACCTCCAAATGTGCCTCATAATCGTCCGCCCAGTGCTCCTCGCAGCAGTATACCGGTATCCCACAGTCTGGGCACTCGAAGTCTACGTGGGCTGGAGGGGAGCCCTTCTCTGAGGATTTGCGAGCCTCGAGATCCATAGAGTTCTTCGGGGCTCGAGTTGGCTTGTGGTCAGGATGGGGGCAATATGCGTGCTGGCGCATATAAGCCGCTCGTTTGCGAATCTGTGGTATAGGCGAGTCCGTAAACGAGTTGAAAAGGTTGTCCTCGGTCAGGACAAGGGTCCTCTTATGACCCTCAGGATCGATGTACTCATACGGTTCGAACGGCTTATTGAAACTGCGATTAGGCGTAGTCGAGAGCGCTCTTCGAGGGGAAGCCAACTTCGGTTGCGCCGGAGTTTTAGTGGAATGATTTCGCTGCGACGCGACATTTTGGGCGAAGGGGCGGAATGCTTGCGCAGGCCGCAGCTGGGTGCGCGAGCCCTTCAGAGAGGATAAGCACCGTGTGCAGGTATATGAGGGCCTCATCGTGATCGATTGGCCTCCGCGCGAATGGAGGGGTGACAGCTACAGCGCGACACATGGGATGATGATCCGTCACTGAAAGCTACGCACTAGCGTCGGTGGCTGTGGGCAGCTTTGGCCGACCCGTCACGTGCACACTGTCGAGAGGTGATGATCATGACGGTTCAAAAATCCAGGACAATAATGTGATGTTTGCGTCACGAAGACAATCATTGAGGCGAAACTTCATTTCCGAGATTTCGTATTATCTATGTACAGTGACCGATCTGCCAATGCCTTAATATGTCCTTTCGAACTACTCATCAATCATATCTCGTAAACTCAGCGCACATATTTCCCGTGAGCTATCCTAAACGCCGTAACACCAATGCTGATCTTCAATGAATCGTTTTATTCCCATCATCACACTTGTTTCTAATCGTAAAGATCCATATCACCCTCATCATCCAACTCAGCAACCGCGTCGGACTCATCGTACATCTCCGAGTCCTCTTCAGAGTCAGTGTGGTTGGGAAGGACAACGATGTGACCGTCGTCCAACTCGACGCGCGCAACTTCACCGTCCTTGACAGCGCCGCGCAGGATAAGCACGGCAAGACGGTTAAGGACCTCCTTTTCAATGAGACGAGCGAGAGGACGAGCACCGTAGGCAGGCGAGTAACCAGCTGAGCCAAGATAGTCGCGGACTTCTGGCGACATTGCGATCTTAACATTGCGTCCGTTTGCCGCGAGTCGCTTCTGAATCTCGCCCAACCGCACGTCAACAATCTTGCGGATCTCCTTCTTGGTAAGACGATTGAAGATGACGGTGCTGGAGATACGGTTGAGAAACTCAGGGAGGAACCAGTTGCGCAGAGCGCTCATGACGAGCTCCCTGGTGGTGGGGTCGATCTTGCCGTCTGGAGCGTTGGGGCGTGCAAGATGCTCGGCTCCCAAGTTGGAGGTCATGACGACAATGCAGTTCTTTGCGTCAATGATACGGCCCTGACCGTCGGTAATGCGACCATCATCCATGAGCTGGAGAAGGACAGTCAAAACTTCCTTTGCAGCCTTCTCAACTTCGTCGAAGAGCAGGATTGAGAATGGCTTGCGACGAAGAGCTTCAGTGAGCTGACCGCCAGCGTCATGACCAACATAGCCAGGAGGTGCACCGATCATGCGGCTCAGAGAGTGTCTTTCCTGGTACTCAGACATGTCGAATCGAATCATGGACTTCGGATCGTCGAAGAGAAACTCAGCCAGGGCCTTGGTAAGCAGCGTCTTACCAGTACCAGATGGACCACAGAAGAGGAAGCTGGGTGGCTGATTGGGATTGGCAAGACCGGAGCGCTGAAGTCGGATGGCGTTGGAGACTGCAATGACGGCCTCCTTCTGTCCAACAACCGTAGCATTCAGGTGACGCTCCATGTTGAGCAACTTCTCCTTCTCTGTAGTCTTGAGGCGGGTGACTGGGATACCGGTCCAGCGAGCAACGATTTCGTTAATCTGGTCAGGTCCAACGTTGTCGCTGAGCAGAGCCTGGCCGTCTCCATCCTGGTGAGCCCACATCTCAGCATCAGCCTGAGCCTTCTGTTTCTCAAGCTCAGCGATACGAGTCTCGACATCCGGGATAGCGTAGTACTTCAGGTCTGAAGCAGTCTGAATGTCGCGCGTACGCTCAGCCTCGGCCAACTTGTTCTTGAGACCGTCAAGCTTGACTTTCTGGTCCTGAATCTCTCGGCTGCGGCCCTTCTCGCGCTCGTACATGTCGCGCAGAGGTTTGAGATCTTCCTCGATGTTGGCGGCCTCAGCGCGAGCTTCCTTGAGACGCTGTATTGAGGCCTCGTCCTTCTCGCGAGCAAGAGCGTGGACCTCGATCTGTAGCTGACGATGGCGGCGCTCAAGGTTGTCGAGTGCTTCAGGTTGCGACTCGCGGGTGACACGAACAGCTGCGGCAGCTTCATCGACAAGATCGACTGCGGAATCGGGTAGACGACGCTGCGTCAGGTAACGAGCGGCGAGAGTAGCGGCAGCGACGATGGCACCGTCCATGATGGTGACACCGTGGTGAGTCTCGTACTTCTCCTTCAAACCACGGAGGATCGAGATGGTCTCCGGGATCGAGGGCTCCTTGACTAACACCTGCTGGAAACGACGCTCGAAGGCCTGATCCTTCTCGATGTACTTGCGGTATTCGGCAAGAGTGGTAGCACCAATGCAGTGCAGTTGTCCACGAGCCAACATGGGCTTAAGCAAATTGGCGGCGTCCATTCCACCCTCACCAGAAGACCCAGCGCCCATGAGCAGATGGATTTCGTCCACGAACAGTACTATCATCTCCTTGGAGTCCTCGATCTCCTTCAAGACGCCCTTCATACGCTCTTCAAACTCTCCACGGTACTTGCTGCCAGCAACAAGAGCACCAACGTCCAGGGAGAGCAGCTTGCAGGCTGCCAGATTGGCAGGAACATCTGCATCGACAATTCGGCGGGCAAGACCCTCCACGACTGTAGTCTTACCAACACCAGGCTCTCCGATCAGGACAGGGTTATTCTTCGTTCGTCGTGACAGGATTCGAATAACTCGTCGAATCTCCTCCTCGCGACCAATGACCGGGTCAATCTTGCCTTCCCGTGCCATGGCGGTCATATCGATTGTAAACTTCTTCAGATTCTCGTTGTCTTCCTCGGCATCAGCCGTCTTTGAGTCGACTCGCTTTGTGCCTCGCAGCGCCTGAATGGCATTGTCAATCTGCTTCGCGTTCGGTACGTTTGCGTCGGCGAGGCATCGTTGGATCTGGGTGTCCTTGCAGAGCGACTGGATGAGGTGGTCGACGGCGATGAAGCTGTCCTTTTGCGTCCGGCTGAGGTCTTCGGCGTTACGGAGGACTTCAGCCATCTTTGGTGACGGTGATGTGCGCTCTGGAGGAGGGTCCTGGCTCGGCAACCGTACCAGAGCCTTCTTGAGAGCGCGTTCGAAAAGTTGTGCGTCGCCATTGGCGCGTTCGAGGACTTGCTTGAACAGTGGGGGCGGAGGAATGTCGACCTGGTTCGCCTGGTCCTTAGGTGGATCTATCAGCGAAACAGCGAGATGTAGAGGTGTGAGTTGTGAATGCGCATAGCTCTTGGCCAGCTCGAAGCTGTCTGCCAGAGCCTTAGCGGCGCGGTCGGTATAGGCGTCGAATGAAGTCATTGTGGGGTGTGACTAGAGCCTCGTGTGTATGGCGTGAAAGCCAGCGGGGTATCGTTGGGTGTGTTCAGGTATGCGAGTAAGTGTCGCAAGCACTATGCAAGTATGCGTGAGCTATGTGTAGCTGTAGTTGCTTCTGTGATTTCTGATGACAGAAAGGCAGAGGACAAGACTCGATTGTTATATATCTGTAAGACCTGTTTCGAGCAAGCTGTGGTTTTCACCAGCTGCATCTCGAGTGTTCCTGCCTTGACTGGAACGTTCAAGACAACGCCGGAATTCCACCGAGCCTTCTAGCTACGTCACTGGCTTTTCATCCGAGAAAGGTTAGTGCATCCCACGTGCTAGACCGGTCACTTCGAACACGTGCACACACAACGTCTTACACTGTATTGCGGAGGGCATTCATGCAGCTGTATACCGGTATGCAAATGCATTATAGGCTCTCGTGGTACAAGCTTCGAGTCTCCAGCGCAGACTTTCCGGTGTTGTTGGCTCCTTGCAGCCCGATCCCAATCTGACGGCTCGTCGAATCATCCAGGAACACTTCGATCGAGTCCCACTCATGATAACTGCTGACGCCCAAGGTACGCATCTCCAGCATTTGGAGCTACCAGGCATCAGGCCCACCGGTCATGGCCGGATGTGCGGCTCATTACGACGGCGTTTGGTGCAGACAGCGGCAGACGATGGCAATCACTCATGATAAGTCACTCGCGTTTGCAGTGCAGTCCGACCCTCACGTTCTCCTCAGAACGTTGCCGTCCTCTTTTCACCGATCTGTGTCTGCTCGTCATTGATGCTGGCAATACCAAAGATAGCATTTTGATCCGTCTTTTCTTCCAGTCAAGTAGCCATCTCGGATGGTCAGAGAGCGCTGAGACCCGTCGTCATGGGCAGAAAGCCTCAGCTCTAAGAGTGTTGTGACGCCTAAACGCGGAGCCGCTTGGATGCTTAACGGTTGCTGGGCACACATGCCAGTACGTCATGTCAAGGTTTGAAAGTGTGGGGTGATTGGCTGTGCCGTACCGCACCCGTTCCTGGGAGATCGTCAGAGGTGCGTCTATCAGACGTGCTGACCAGGCCGCTGGAACGTTGCCGAACGTCTGTTGGCGAAGCAAGGGAGGGAAGGTGCGCCTTCGCGCAGATCTGAGGTATACGGTATTGCTAGCAAGATGACAGCCTGTCAATTGGTACACCCCGCCAGAATAAACGGCACAGGTTTACAACTAGCATGCAATGGGGTGTTTGATCGTTGGGGTATATAAAGATGAGATGTAAGGAGGTCGTAGTTTGAGGGCCGAAGGGCCGAAGCGTCAATTGTGTAAAAGAGGATGGAGCAGTGGAAAGCACGTGGCAATCTCGACTTGACCTCCGATCAATCATATAGTGAATTCGGACGCAGAACAGCATTGTACTGTACTATCTGACTCGTGATGATGTTCGATTCCGAGCGTACATTAAGTATCACTTGCAAGCTCATTCGATGTTGTATACAGTTTGTGTCTGCAAACACGTAATGTCCAGCGAATCGCAGCCACCAATCGGCCACCGCAAGTAATCATACTCAGCGCTATTACCTCTCAAAACGCTTAGACGACCACATTAAGGTCTTCGCCCTTGATTGCTGCCTCTGTTGTACTTTTGAGAATCTCCCCCAAGTTCTTGACCGTCCTTTGCGAGAACCACGCAAGATGTGGGCTCAGAGTGAAGTTCAAGTCCTTTGCATTATCCGCGAGGAGAGGCGTGTCTTCCGGTCCCCCCGCAGGCTCGACTTGGTACACGTCCGTCGCATAGCCTGCAATGCGCTTCTCTTTCAAAGCCTGCACGACGGCTGCTTCGTCGACGATACCGCCTCTCGCGATGTTGACCAAAACGGCATAAGAATGCATCCTTTCGAATTCGGGCGCAGATAGTAGGTTCAGCGTTCCTGGGTTTCGCGGTAGCGACAAGACGATGACTGTGGCTTATCCAAGGACGTCGTGGAAGGGCACACGGCTATCTTCCGTTTTTGACATCTGAAGTGCATCGTGTGCATCCCCCTGTACGGGGTCGGAGGACGGCTTACGAGCAGCCACGAGCACCTTCATCCCCAGGGCGCGTCCGACGACTGCGATACGCTTTCCTAGACGTCCGGTCAGCCCTTGTGGCGGCGTGGGGACAGATAGCACGTACCAAGGCCTCCATAGCCCACAATTCCTAGCACTTCATCTCCGTAGGTCAACGGGAGCTTGCCATCGGGTAGCCGCAGGTAGGTGTTGACACTACCCCTCTACTTCCATTCACTGGGCTGGCGACGTGTAATCTCATCTAGTAGAACAGTCCTGCGTCGCGCTGCAAAGTAAAGACTTATTGCACGCTCGGATACTGCCTCCAGATTTGCCCCTGGACAGTTGCATACATGGATGGCTCGGGCCTGGCAAGAATGGAGGTCTACGCAGTCCGTGCCTGTTGCGGAGACAATAACGTAACGCAATCGCGGTGTGACACCGTGGCTCAACGTTTCAGCATCAAGCTTTACGGTTGTAACAATAACGATATCAGCATTACGAATGCGGGCGTGCAGTTCGTCGCGCGTGGTAGAGAGATATGAACTGAGGCTGTAGGTCGTGTCTGGTGGGAGGTCGAGTGTCTCGAAGAGCGGCTGATGCTGTTTCTCGAGCGCGACAATTTCGAAATGCATGTTGATGACGTAGTTGTGGAGTCCTAAGATTTAGCAATTGACAACGAACCCGTGCGCGAGCTTTCGTATTCGCATTATTGTGGATTTTAGCTAATTTGTATAGTTTCTAGTGCTGCTCCGCAGCTGGCTATTTTGCGTGGAGCGCGACGTCTCGGTATCGTAGGGCGCGCGCGATTTACGAGGTTGGTCATCTCCATCATGAGATGAAGAACAAAGTGTTGAGAGACATCGAACAAGGCGTTCACGATGCGTTCCTTGCGGCACATCGTCAAAAATGTTTCAATTAATCGACGCATTCGCTCGCTCAGCTGCACTTACCACGATCCCCTCGCCAATTGTAGCCTACCACATGCTATCTCGAGACCCTGATGCACACGACCACAGGCAGGATCTTTTCGACGCAAACAGTCGCAGGAAGCCGAGCAGGAAGCCACCAAAAGCCGCGAGGCGTCGGAAGCAGACATGGTCAGCCGTGCTGACCTTGGCCATCGGCTGGAGTAAGCGCAAGCCAGATACGAACTAGATAGCGACCAGCCGGCGATGTCCTAGAGACGGCTCCACCACTTCTTTAGGCCTTTCTTCCATTATTCGATGTTCACTTCAACGCCGTGCACGGTCCGCTCGAGTAGTGGATACTGGTAATGCAAATGGAATTGACGGCATGAAAATTTGACAGCTTCTATCTCCCTTCTAGAAGTCCTGCAAGCACGTCGACTCAATAGCAGCGGCTGACCTTCCGCCACAGCGTGGTGGTGATCTCGGTGCCACCAGTACCCCGGCAAGCAGGCCATCCCACCGGCAATGGCGCCAAGGGCGGACGCGGGCTCCCAACTCAGATTCGCGTGGGCGTGCTAACACAGCTTGCCCGCTCTAGGCTAGCAGGGAGCTGATCCAGGCGCGGCTTGACGTCTACCTGCAGCCCTTCAAAGCTCGCGCGGGCCCCGGTCGGGATGTCGCAGAGCTTTTCACGAAAACTCCAGAGGACCCCTTCAACCCCCGGCCAGCCTCAGGACTCCAGCACATCACCGCTCACTATGGCCACTACCGCCCACGCGTATGGCACGCAGTCAGATGCGTATGCCGCTGAAAATGATGTCATCCCTCGCACTTCTGAGAAGGGGAGGAAGATGAGTCTCGGCAAGGCTGATTCTTCTGAGGGTGCGTTGAACGACTCCGACGATCTCCTGGCCGCCATGGGCTACAAGTCCGAACTTGTTCGCTCAAGATCGACTCTACAGGTTGCGTTCATGTCCTTCGTTCTGGCTTCTATTCCCTACGGTCTGGCCACTACGCTCTACTACCCGGTCATCAACGGCGGTCCAGTCACTATCATTTGGGGATGGCTCGCCGTCTCCCTGATTATTCTTTGCGTTGCAGCATCTCTAGGAGAAATCACCAGTGTCTATCCTACCAGCGGCGGTGTCTACTACCAGACTTTCATGTTGGCTGCTCCTTCTTACCGAAAGATCGCTTCATGGATCTGTGGTTGGTGCTTTGTCGTTGGTAACATAACGATCACTCTTTCCGTCAACTTCGCTACTGCTCTCTTCTACGTGGCATGTATCAATGTGTTCACCGACGCGGAAGGCAACGGTATCTTTGCCGGCACAACATGGCAGGTCTACCTGATCTTCCTTGGTGTTACGCTTCTGTGCAACATCGTCTGTGTCACCTCGAACAAGTGGCTTCCGTGGCTCGATGTGAGATCTCCTCCAGATTATCTGTGGATGTGTAACTTACTCAGCGTAGACCTTTGCCATCTTCTGGACCTTTGCCGGTGTTATCGCCATTGTCGTGTGCGTGCTTGCTATTGCGAAGAACGGTCGCCACAGCGCCGAATACGTTTTCACCACACTCGACACCTCTAACTCTGGATGGGTTCCCGGATGGTCGTTCATGGTCGGACTTCTCCACGCAGCCTACGCAACCTCCTCGACCGGAATGATTGTCTCGTGAGCATGCCCTTTACTTCTGCCAGAGCGACACGCAATTCTTGCCCAAGCACTTCATCCCACATCAAACTCCAAAGCAGCCTTCCCACAGCAACTCAGTTGTGTACCCAAGCGACTTTCTCCTCCCATTGCGACACATGCTTTGAAAAGACATGGTAATTTCAAAACGGCATTTGTCCACATGCTGACGAGTGACTAGTATGTGCGAAGAGGTTCGTCATCCTGCGACCCAGGTCCCCAAGGCTATGGTCGGCACCATTGTTCTCAACACTATCTGCGGTCTTGTCTTCCTCATTCCCCTCGTCTTCGTCCTGCCTGATCAGGCCATGCTCGCAGGCCTTGCATCCGGCCAGCCTACCCCCCAGATCATTGTTGATGCTGTAGGCTCCTCCGGTGGTGCCATCGGTCTTCTACTCCCGCTCATGGTCCTTGGTCTATTTTGCGGTATCGGCTGCACAACTGCCACGTCGCGCGCCATCTACGCTTTCGCTCGAGATGGCGGTATCCCTGGCTACAAGATGTGGAGGGTAGTCAATACCAAGTTCGACGTTCCTGTCAACGCCATGATGATGAGCATGGCTGTTCAGCTTATACTTGGTCTTATCTACTTCGGTGCCGCGGCAGCTTTCAACGCCTTCTCTGGCGTCGGCGTCATTTGCTTGACACTCAGCTACGCTGCGCCCATCGTGTGCTCTCTACTCGGAGGCCGCAAGCAGGTTGTTGAGGGCCAGTTCTACCTCGGCAAGCTTGGTCTCTTCTGCAATGTCGTTGCTCTTGGTACGTCGATCTTCATTTCAGTTCGTACTATACTCGCTAATACCATGCCTAGCTTGGTCTGCACTTGCGACTCCCCTATTTTGCATGCCTACCTACCTTCCCGTTACCCCGACCTCGATGAACTACGCCTCCGTTGTTCTCGCTGCTGTCATCGTCATTTCGACTGCCTGGTACTTCGTCTGGGGCAAGCGTAACTACGAGGGTCCTCCAACACACGAGGATGCCGTCCTCGAGGCAAGGAGAGCCAGTTTGGTTAGCACCCGCAGTAAGTAGAAGATAGTCGTGGAAAGGCTTCTAGAAGATCGTACACATTCGGCTCTTTCGTTGCTGGAAGAGAGGGCCTTGCTTGATTCAGGATGTTCGCTTGAGCAACAGCTCGTGAGCTTCCTTGGACAGTGCTACAAATTTTCTACCAATATACCCCAGTTTTCGCGTCCGATTTGTTCGCTCTACCTGTTCGAGTTGCCTGCGAGCCTAGAACATCCTATTGTCCCGGTCGTTGTTGTCACTAGATTTTACCACATTGATTCGTGAAACGTCATGGACCCCACATTGGGGGTCACCGCCTAAGCCACGCTGTCCCGCAGCCACACAGAACCTAAAGAGACCTACGAGAACTTGCGAGAAGATGGCGAGTTCGGTATCACTCGCAAGTGGATGCTGGAAGCGAAGCAGCATTGGCTGGGCACCTTCGACTGGTACGCATTAATCTCACCGATGTCTTGTAATGCTCTGACACACGGGCGGAAAGAAGAAGACCGCATCAATGCACTGCCCAACTTCAAACCCCAGATCAAGGACGATGACGGTAAGAGCTACGGTATTCATTTCGTGGCACTCTTCTCTTCCAGGCCAGACGCCGTCCCGATTACGTTCCTTCATGGATGGCCAGGATCGTTTCTCGAATTAGTGCCGCTCATGAAGCTCATAAAGAAAAAGTACTCGCCGGACGACTTGCCATACCACATCATCGCGCCCTCACTTCCTGGCTATGCTGTGTCGTCGGACCCGCCACACGACAAGAATTGGACCACCTACGACACCAGCCGACTGATGCACAAGATGCTACTCTCTCCAGGGTTCGGTAAGAACGGGTACCTCGTGCAGGGCGGTGATATTGGAAGTATGATCGCACGTGCGATGGTAGCCACGTATGACGCGTACAAGGGCATGTACCTAAATCTTATGCTGAACCCTGGCATCAAAGACAAGGCCAGCGTTGATGACCAAATCACTCAACAAGAGAAGGAATGACTGGAGCGCATGAACAACTTCTTCGCGAAGGGGAGGGCGTAGGCACCAAGCCTGCTACCATTGGCTTCGTATTGGCAAGCTCACTCATCGCGCAGCTGGCTTGGATTGGAGTAAGCCGAAAAGACGCTCTTGTAGTAAGCTGATACTAATTTGTCCACAGGAGAAGTTCCTTCACTGGTCAGATCCGCGCACGACCCCTCGCTCAACACCATCCTCACAGATATCACCCTATATTGGCTGACAGACTGCTTCCCGACGACCATCTACACGTACCGCCAAGAGGGCAAGATGGATCTAGTGAAAAAGCCGAGCGGATACTCATACTTTCCGTACGAGCTGGCTCCGGTCCCGCAGGCTTGGGCTGCTAAGTCGTGAGACCTGGTGTTCTTCAGGACCCATGATAAGGGCGGACATTTTGCGGCGCTGGAGACACCCGAACTGCTATTGGAGGATGTAGAAGAGTGGACAAAGATTGCCTGGAAGTCATGAAGCTCTCATTCTAGCGTCATGTCTTGAGAAATTGGAAATTGGTACGAAGTCAAGGCAGACATGAGTGGAACTTGCTAATGGATAGGAAGATGAAGCGTGCAACACTTGCCCAGTCAGCCCTTTCGGAGTGTTCCTTTTGATCAATGTCTTCAGCACGTTCAAACTGGACAAACGAAATGTTTGTAACTCGGCATTTGCGGACCAGAGCTATGTATTCTGAACAATCTCAGAGCACAGACTCCTGGTGAGCTTTCTGGGTGCACAAATGACATGTGGTGTCCCAAATATGTGTGAATATAGGCTGAAGCTTCGTACTCTTGGTTTGCGCATCCCTGCGGAATTTCCCCTTCATGGATCGAGGGCATATTGGAACATGGTTCACTATGATGAGTGTGTGGCAAAATTGAACGAGAGGCTAGTATGTAATCGTTTTTTCTCGATTGCAACCTGTTCGCATCTCTCGATGACTGTATCCCAGTGTCTCCCCGACAAAGTCTCCCCTTCGCTTCTCTGTTATTCCTGTCTCTCAATGTAGCTCCAACTCCATCTCAAAACACAGAGCTTACCATGCAGCCACCCAACTCCTCGCTATACCCCCAACATAACTTTAAAACATCTTAGGGAACTGCTTGGTATCGTGCTGCTCCTTCAACCACTCCGCCCTGTTCTCAGTGTACACCTCGGCAAGCGGCACGGCATCCTCTCTTGCGCTCTTTTCATCGAGCGTTCCAGCTCTCACCACCTTAGCGTCAGGCGCCATATCGCCCTCGCGCCACAGTGGGGATCCGCATTCGGGACAGAAGACGAAGGTGACAACGCGACCGGACTCGGCTTTGGTGGAGTAGGATTTGGTTTTGCCCGTGGACTTGAAGAAGTCGTTGTTGATGACTATGTTGGTTGTATAGATGCTACCGCTGTTCTTTTGGCATTGGTTGCAGTGGCAGAGCGCCTGATTGGGTCAGTATACCAGGTGGGAACGATCGGGTGTATCCAAAGGGTTGGAAGGGAAGGAGGAAGGTAAAGAACGCGTACCTTATTCAAGGGACCACCCTCGATCTCGTAAGTGACTTTGCCGCAAAGGCAGGATCCGGTGCTCTTAGACATAGTAATGTTTGTGTGGGCTTGATTCCGGGTTCGATCTCTTGGGTACTGGATCGCAAGTGGTAAGTCAATGCTTTACTGTGCTCCGGCACCTGGGAAGTGTACTTATATCCCTCATCGGCCTGTGAGTCTATAGCCGATGAGGAAGGCGGCCGCATTGCGCTTGCCTGCATACCAAGTGACGAAGGTAATTCCAGTTCCTCTATCATCAATTTGTCAAGATCTACAGCCTATCGAAGAGCGTCCATTCCTGAGATTCCCGGATCTGGCTCGAGATCTAAGATTGTGGGGTGGTGACGTTTAGCGTCGAGGATGCTCTCCGGGCTGTCCTCATTGGCTGTCCAAACAGAGTCTTGGATGCATCGAGTGGAGGGGCAGTAGGGTTAGGAATATCGCTCCCTTCAAGGTGTATGTTTCTCCAGAAAGTACTCAAACAAACCTCTTGTACACCCAGAAGCCCGTATACACGAGTCCGGTCAGAAACGGACGTGCCCAGACGGGGATTTCTTCCTCATATGCCTTGGAATCCACGACTCAATCGTTGTCCGCGGTGCGCCCGGTGTCAGTAACATGTCTTTTTTCGACCCCTCAGTCAAGACCTGGCCTCGATGTGCATGTTTTAACATGGCCTTCTCATAGCGTAAGACATAAGTGTCAAGATCTCCGGGTTCTTCGGCTTGTATAAATTCAATCTGCTTGGTGAGTTCCATCGCATCGTAGAACGTCGTGTTGACTCCAATGCCAGTGAAAGGAGTCATGACGTGAGCAGCATCGCCCAAGAGCGTGATGCCCTTCTTGTGCGGCCATATCCAGCCGACTGATAGCTCGTAGAGGTTGCTCCAAATAGCACCCTCATTCGCCGATTGCACCAGATTTTTGAGTTGAGGCGCCCACTGATCCAGCTATTTTAGTATGTACTGCTTCGAAGCCTCGAGAGTTCCCGCAATCAAAGCCAGAACGTGAAGTGAAGTCCTCCGGGTAGGGTCCGTAGTGAGAAATGTTGACGCTTCCATCACCCAGTTACTGGCCAGTCAAACTCTTCCCATCACTATACGCGAACAAACTTCCGCGATTGACGAACGCATATGCTTCTGTCGCGACCTCTTTAGCATTAGAGATGCTCATGGTTCATCCACCAAGTCCAGATTAGCGCGGCTTGTCTTGCGAGAGGAGCGCCCGGCCCTTACTCCAGGCACCATCTGTACCAACAATGAGATCGAAGCCAGAAAGCGTCTCGCCGTTACTGAAAAAAAGTTCCAGACCAGAGACAGCCGTCGCTTGTATGATGCAAGCTTTCAACTCCATCTCACATAGTCTGCCGGCACGCTCTAGACCAACATCTTCTCTGTATCGCACGGTTGATCTTGAGCGCTTCTTGAAGCTTGCTGTGGTTGTGTTTGATCCTTAGACTTCGTCGCATCCACGTTGTCAAGTTCTTGTCGATCAATAGCAGACTCTATCTATCGTAGCGAGCGTGGTGAAGAAACTGCTGCCATAGTCCAGCAGCTTTAACAGCTGCGAGCCCTGTCGAGTTTCGGAGGTCAAGGCTTCCGCCTTAGGAACGGTGGTTAATGGAGTTCTCGCCCTCGAAGATGGTGCTTGGAATTGAGGCTGTATGCAGAAGTCAGGGCATGCAACCTCCTAACCCTGCGTCGATAATGGTGATCTTAGGATGTGACATTTGGCCTTGGAGGCGTGTAGAGCTGGTGTCGCGTGATACGTTTGCTGCGGTTAGTGAGTACTTTGAGAGAGGCGGTGATCCGTGGGGAAGTAAAGACGAGCTCAAAAGGCCTGATATTCTGGTGGCCTAATCGTTGGAGGAAGGCAAGGACGATGTAGCCGGTCAGACGTTCCCGCACCTTCTATCACCTTATTTACCCTCCAGAGCGTCAAAGAAGTACGTGTGCGCCTCACATTGCAATCTTCTCGTGTAGTAGCGCTTGATCTGGCTCTCCGACCAGGCAGTCATTCGCTCGTTGCGCATGCTGATAACCGAGGCGTGCACGTATCGCAACGCTAAACGCGCTCGGTCTAGTTATTGATGCCTCAAAGTGAAGAAGTGATCGGTCCGGTTGAGCCATCATTGCAGGTTGCTAATTTCAAGATATTCGATATGCTCACTGTTTTTTTTTGGAGGATGCCACGAACTTTAGACCATGCTTCTGCCCATCAGGGTTCCAAAAAGAGCGGAATGACGTAGTCAAGCTCGGCGAGATCGATCGATAACGACTTCGAGGTTTCATGCAGCAAACCACATGGATTGTGAGAAGCGGAGATTTTGAAGACTTCGATGATGGCTCGGCCAATTGTGATGTGTGGGTGCAGTTCGTCTTTGGCACCTTCCTTTCGCACACGAAAGCATCGTCAAGCATTTCTCGCGATCCGTGTTCAACGCTCATCGTCACCGCCCACCAATCAAAATTAGCCTTGCAGCACACGTTCTTCTTGGATTCGTAGACCCCTGCAGCGACCATGCGCGTTCGAGCAGTAGCCGACTAGAGATGCTCGGAAACAGCAAATCAGCACTGGGCTATCTCCGCCGATAGACCGCTGGAACATTGTCGTCTCCAGGCTACGCAACTACCATCCCGGCTCCGTCTTTATCGGCACGGCTTTGCAGTTGGATGGTTTCGCGGCATGCTTCAGCTGAGGTCAGTGATTGGTATCTTCTCATTTTAGTGCTCCCCAATGCTCCCGTTTCTGCAGAAATGACGCAGTCAACGAGGGATAGAGACTGAGAAACGGCTCAAAGAGCTCCGGGGGGCTTGCAAATTGTGCGGCTCTGGTTAGGTTACAAAAGGTCCAGCATGCCGATAGCTCTACAGTAGGCCGGTCTGTTTGCACTTCTGATTTTTGGGAGTCAACCATCGCTATGAAGCTCCAGTTTCTATCACTCCTGCCATTGGCGTCTATTGCCAGCGCCAGCTGGTCGAAGAACTTGAACTACCGTTCTCCGTCAGAGCATCACCCCGGGTTGGGAGTCTCAATTCACAGAGTTGTGAAAAGAAATGACCCTCAATCTAGCTACAAGACATCAACCCTGAACTTCACACACGGTGTTGCTTCTGGCGACCCATATCCCAACAGCGTTATTCTCTGGACCCGTGTTGCCCCGCAAAGCGACAACTCACAATCGAACTTGACAGTTACTGGCTACGCTCCTCTGTTCGACCATGACAATGAAAAATACGTCCATGTCTCAAAGTCGCCTGTCTGCGTCGAGTACAAGGTTGCAGCAGACAAAAACCTCACTAGCACGATAGATTCTGGTCAGGTCTATACCAGCTCTGACGTAGATTTCACTGTAAAGGCAAGCAATCGCGTAGGGTATGTAATAGTGGCCGCAGGACTGACAAGATTGCAGGTCGAGGCCAAGAATCTGAAACCATTCACCACGTACTACTACCAATTCAATGTCTGCAACTCGAACAACAAGAGCCCGATAGGTCGGACAAAGACAACGCCAAATGCCGATGACGATATCACTGAGGTCGGTATTGCAGTCTACAGCTGCGCGAACTACCCCTTCGGTTTCTTCAACGCATATGGTAATGTTGCACGAAAGGTATGGTCACATCGATTGAACTTTCGGTCTTGATACACTGACGTTACAATCCAGGACTCCGTTGACTACATTGTGCACCTCGGAGACTACATCTACGAGTACAAGAATGGCGACTACGGTTGGGGAAATAGCTTGGGACGCATTCCTTTGCCTGATCGTGAAATCTTCACTTTGTACGACTATCGCAAACGGCTGGCAACCTACCGTACCGACTTGGACCTTCTTGAGAGCCACCAGAAGTTTCCTTGGATTTCTGTGTGGGATGATCATGAAGTGGCAGACAACACGTACCGAGATGGCATGGTAAGTGAGATGTTGTGCTTACTTACTCGGGTTACTGACACCCTCTAGGCCGAGTTGAACAACACTGAAGATTCGTTCATCAAAGATGGTGTGGGTGTGGCTGTAGACCAGCGCAAGATGAACGCTGTTCGTGCTTACTTCGAGTGGATGCCGATTAGGCAAGTCGACATGGACGACAACCTCCGTATTTGGCGGTCATTCTCTATTGGCAAGCTTGTCGATCTCACCATGTTGGATACACGCCAATATGATAGATCTATTACAGATCTGTACTGGAACACTGACTACGTCCACGAAATCTCAAACGACGCTGGGCGCTCTCTCATGGGTTCTCGTCAAGAGAACTGGTTCTACAGAAGTCTGTCAGAGTCGGCTAAGCGTGGTGCAACCTGGCGAGTCATAGGTTCGCAAATTGTGTTCTCACGCGTAAATCAGTCAGCGGCCTATGGCGACGCCAATCCTGTGAACTACGATGCTTGGGATGGGTATCAAGCGAACAGGAATCGCACTTTGGACCACTTGTACAGCAACAACATTAACAATAACATCTTCCTTTCCGGTGATAGCCACGCCTCGTGGGTAAGTGATCTTGTCTGGCTAGGTGAGAAGGAGTACGACAAGAGTACAGGAGAGGGCTCCATTGGTGTCGAGTTCGCCGGCAGCGCTGTCACCTCTCCTTGCCCGTACGGCGCGAACATCAGTCTTACCACCGCCAACAACTACTCCACATGGCTGCAGAACGCGAACGATGAGCTGCAATGGCAGGATCTGTACTACCGCGGCTACTTCGAACTGCACTTCACCCACGACAAGGTTGACGCGAACTTCTTTGGTCTGCCCACTGTCGTCCAGAGGAACGGATGGGAGATTCCCATCGCTAACTTCACCGTCCTCGCCGGCGCCAACAAGCTGCAACGACCTGTTGCCGGGGGTGTTGTGGAGAGTGGCAGTCTGAAGTCTGGAAAAGTCGTACAGAACAACATTACGCTTGACACAAATAACGGCACATGGTTTTTGAGCCATGCTGATCTGGAGGTGTTGTGAGGAATGCTAGCGTCCCGCCCAGCCGGTTTGTAAAGAGGAAGAAGTTACTTTTGTGGACACCCAAGAACAGTAATCGAATGCAAAGTATACACGCGCACTGTTTTCACATTACATACTTCGCTGCCGGTTCAACCATGTCGTGACAAATGTTCACTCCGTCGCCTCAAGGCGCGATTTCGGCACTAGTGAGAAGTCAATAAAGGGCGTTAATGTCCTTACGGAACGCGAGGCGATACAAGGCTTGCAGTGGAATTAGCATAGTGACTTGCAAATCGAGACTCTTCTGGTGGAAGCTGTCGACACCTACTTTCCAGGACGCTGGAACTCCTGGCCTGATACTGCATCCAGGCGATGGAGACCCAGATCCGAACCCAGTCTGTTCACTATGTCTCTTCCTCATATGAATTGAACATCTTCACATAGCCTTGCGGGCCTCAATCTGGGCAGCGGTAAACGGCCGCTGGCATCGTAGGCTATCCGGTACTGCGGCTAGTGCGATCGCACCACCACTAGTCGCAATTAAACTGTGCAGCTTGAACGACTCCACGAAGTGATTCCGATAGAGTTGTAATTTGAAAGCGTATTCTGGTATGGCTGCTCAAGGGTGTGGACAGCCCAATGATCCCCCAAATTTCCGCCAAGATGCCGGATGCCGTATTTTGTTGTGGAGAAGAAGCTGCCCAAGAGAGTCTTGGCCGACGAGGTTGTGGTGACGTCATGTCTCACGATCTTGAGAGGTCACTGACGATAATTCTCGACGACCTTCTAATCGCCTGTCTTGGCTTTTATGAGCACCCCACAGTAATGATCAGCTTTGTTCAAGCAGTCTGCACCGTCTGCTCTGAATTTGCTTTCGACCGTGGTGCGGGCAGAAGTCTAGGCTCAGCCAAGCAATCCCCGCGCCTGTGGCTTTGATAGTTCTCGTGACAGAAGCCCAGCACGGTGGTCGTTCTCAGCACGCTGGTATGCCAAGAGTATCCGAGCAAGGCTACTGGCTCTCCACCTCACATCCGTCCACACAGCCACTTTGCCGTTCACGTCAAGGCCGAAAGCAGTAACGTAGGGATCGCGCTTGCCTTCTTCAGGACTCATTTTGAGCTACGCTCCACGCTTCTGGATTGCAGACGCTACGGAAAACAGACCATCCGTACCAAGCCATCTAGGCGATATCTTGGAAGGCGATCACGGCTTGTGCAATACAAGCTTGGTACTCTCGCTGCGCGTCTCCTGCCAAGCTATCGTATCTATGGCTCGCGCCTCGTCACTACCATTCGTCAAAGCCCCAGGATTTGGCCCCTAAATCATTCCCGTTGGTTACACATGTAAGGATGGAGATCGTCTGTCTGGGCATTTCGACAGCGGGACATTTTTCCAAAGCCGACCTCACCTTGATTGGTCGTTCCATTGTAGTCAGCACTAGAGACGGCGATTGCCACTCTGTATCAGTGGGAGCCTCAGCACAAATCACAGAAAACTTCTTGGCCCCAAAGCCATTCGAATCTCACTAAGGGCACTAGGAACCAACACCAAGACCCTACCATCTCCGCCTAAGCCCTCCCGTGGTACACCGACGTAATGGCAATACTCACTGGCCGAGCAAGTTGGGATTTTATGGAGCATGCAGAAGGGACTCGGGATTGTATAAAGTAGGACAGAAGTACCTCCAAGACATTCCATCTCCACCCACTTCGATCCTCACTCTAAACAATCACACTACACTCTACCATACGCAATATGCATTTCACTGCACCACTCATCCTCCTCAGCGCGGCTCTTGCCGTTGCCGCTCCCACCGCTGAGCCCAGCAACTACAAGGATGACAAGAAGGCCTATGCCAAAGACTGCAAGAAGGACCTGGACAACAAGTGGAATCAGAAAAACGACGACTGGAAGAAGAACGAGAAGCTGTTTTACTTTGACGCCGAATACGTCGTGAAGGCCACACCCGACCAGGTCATCAACACGACCCAGATCCCCGCGCCCGGCGAGCCCGGCGCAAAGGGCCTGTTCAAGTACGGCATCAACATCGCCGACAACACAATCTGCTACAACATCACCCTCTCCGGCGTCACCGGCGAATACCAGTCCATGGCCCTCACTTCCACACACATCCACGAGGCGGCCAAGGGTCGCTCCGGCCCGCCTCGCATTGCGCTCCCCAATCCTGGACCCATTACCGATGATCGCCGTATCTCTGTTGGATGCCTGACTGGTCCGTTCAAGACTGGCATCATGGCTAACGGTGTCGATACTGGTGCGAACTTCCACGTCCGCCAAATTGTTGCCAACCCTGCTGGCTTCTTCACTGATACCCACACCCGCAAGTTTGTCCCCGGTGCTGTCCGTGGTCAGCTCAAGTAAACGGTTTACTTCTCTGGAGTACGAATGGGCAGATGTATTGAGAGTATGGAGCCATTGCATAAGTCTAGCCTTAGAGGGCGGTAATTGATCCAGTTCAAGTCTCTGACCGGGTTTCTATATACGAGCTTTAATTCAGAATAAAACTTCTTACACCTTCATTGACATATTATCGTGACATCTCCTCTGCTTCACACGCTCACACAATCCACAATCTACCGCGCATTCAACGCCGACAGATCTGCACCCCACAACCCCTCTAAAACGGCGGTTTCGTCGGCTGACGAGTGCGCAAAAGCACCACAGCCATAACACCCACCCACACTCCAGCACCAAGTAAACACGCCACAACGCAGATCGAGAATCCGTGATGCTCTCTCATCTCCTTCCAGCTCACCACCACGTTAGCTTGCGATGACTGGCCACCATTGGCAGTATCTGCCGTTGGAGCATCACTGGCGTCTCTACCTCGGTCGTCCTCATGTCTACCCATGTTCCCCATCTCAAAGCTCTGTGGTGTAGGAGCTGCTTGAACAGGGCATATAAGACGCTTGATGTGTTGATTGATAGTCAAAGGGCGGGGAGGCAGGTGTTCGGGGAAAGGGGGGGAAGTCGTGTTCGATCGTGAGTTGTCCATTCTAAAAGTGGCACGAGTATCTGCAACTGAGAAGAGGGCGGGCGGCGCTGTTCATATACTCTTCCTCGAGTTTGCTACTCTGTCAAGACAAAGACCGGGTATGCAAATCGTAGTGTCGAACAGAAGATTCTCTATTACTACTCAATCGCATTTACCTCGTGTTTCTCATCCCGCCCAATGTCGACACGTCTAGAAAATGTCCTCCAGTCCCTGCTGCGCCCATGTCGTCTCGCCCTTCGCCACAGCATCCCTGACCTTCCAGTACTGATGGTTAAACTCCCAGAACTCTTCACCCGTCGTCGCATCCTTCGACTTAGTAAACCACTTCGGCACAAACTCCCCGCCGTGTTCCTCCCTCTTCCGTCTCGTAGCTCTCTGCTTCTCCTCGACACGATTCTTTTCCGTAGCCGCGAGATCATACGCACCGTCCTCCATTGCGCGCTGGTCAGGACGCAATCTTGTATCAGTGGGCGCAATGACGGGCAAGAGTTTCTCGTTGGGATCATTGAGCGTGACGACGAAGGGCGTGACGTTGAAGGGAATACCGGTAGGGCGCTCGTGCGCTTGCCAGACGAGGAACGCTTTGTTGTCGTCGTGCTTACTTGCCTTGCCGCCTTTGTCGATATCTGCGTCTTCAAAGCCCGGCGTGAAGCGTGCGTAGATCTTGTCGTTCCAGCGTCCACCGATGGACCAACGGACACGACCGTCGGTACCGAGAACCTTGCCGACGACTTGGTATGCTGAGGAGGCTTTCCAGCCGCGCGCTTTGAATTCGAGTTGGCACACTTCGCCGGTGGTCCAGTTCTTGATTTCCATGGGGCCGTAGTTGTCGACAACAGGATTACCTGTGATGATGCCGATGACTGAGGATGTGACCTTCTTCCAGGTGTACAGTTCCTCCTTACCACCAGTCGCGGTGGGGCGGAGACGCAGGAACCAAGTGCCCAGTGGGTTGATGTCAAATGACTTGCCGTAGAATTTGGACTTGACGGCAGACTCGCCGTAGTAGTCCCACTTGGCTGCCTCTGCGTAGGCAGCACCGACGGGCGGGTGGTGGCTGACTTGCTCGATGAAGAAGCGGAAGCCTTTGTCGGGCCTGGCGTACTCGAATGACTCACCAAGCAGTGGGTTGAACGGCTTTGCAACACGGCCAATAGTTGACGCGTACTCGGATGCAGCAAAGGCGGCGACGTAGAGCATTCGCTCGCTAGAGTCTTCCCGCTCCGCTGCAATATCGAGTAGATCAGTGTACTCCATGTCTTCAGCGCAGCGTTGTAGCAGGGACGTCGGTTCGTTGAACGAAACAGGAAGTGTCATCTTAGTCATGTCCTTACCAATCATGGACTTGAGGATGCCCTGCACAAAGTCAGCGACCTAGTCAGTACATTGCAGCGCACCGAACTTACCCAAAGCGAAATCTTCGGTCTGTCATCGGCATCCATGGCAAGCTTCTGTCGCGGCCCGTCTTCGTATCCCTTGAAAGCTGTGGCGACCTCCGCTTGCTTCCTTGCGAAGATGTCGCCAGTACCATCCGTAGCTGGTACCGCTGACTCACGTCTCTCCTCTATCTGGTTCACTGGTGGCATCTCTACAACCTCGACTTCACCAGCGCCAACAGCATCGAAGAACTCCTCGTCATCTTCAGACTCATCGTCTGAGATATCTGCGGCAAGATCAGCAAGCGTGGCCTTCCTCTTGATTTGACCTGAGAAGCTTGGCTGAGATCGAGCCAAGTTCTTCTGTTGTGCCTCGTTCTCAGGAGCTTCAACGAACTCGTCGGCATCCTTGGTAGCCGCGGGACCCTCGTAGTCCTCAAGAGCCTCCCGCAGCGCCTTCTTTGTCTTCCGTCGCTTCTCCTCAGATTCGCCGATCTTCTGTTCCAGCTCTTCTTGTTCCCGTGCGACCTTAGCCATGCTGTCTTCCCACATGCGGCGCACGTTTGCCTCGCGGTCAAGGCGATACTGCCAATAGGCATCACGGTCCCTAGATATGCGCAGAAGGTCTCCGATCAACCCCTTCAGGTTACCGATGGCGGACTCGTACGATATTAAAGCTTGTCCCATGGCAGGATCAGCGATTTGCATGGTCGGATTCTTTGCTACCTCTGCCTGTAGCGCGGAAGAGACTGATGTCAGTAAGTCAAGCTGCAGTTTTGCAGACTGAGCAGTAATGTTGAAAGCGTCTTTGTTGTGAGGCTTCACCTCACGACTGCTGTCGTCGTCGTGGAAGTCGTCGTCGTCATCGTCATCTACGGTAGGTGCACCCAGGTGGCTAGCATATCTACCGAGCTCGGGTCCACCTAGACTGGGCTCGTAGGCACTTCCAGGGTCCTCAGTGTATGAGACGGCGGAGCGTGAGGATGTATCCAGACTGGTGAGCGGCACACCAAGATTGCTGGAGTATGGATGGGTAGAGATCCTGTTACCAGCCAATCGTGAGCTGCTGAGGCTTGACGAGTCTCCCTCCTTTGAGAGCAGCTCAACCTTGGCCTGCTTCAATGCCTCTAGGTCTTGCGTTGCACGCTTCTCCTCCTCGCGAGCCTCGTCCTTAGCCCACTGAATAGCGTTGTTTAGTGCCCAGTACCAGCGTTTTGCCTCAACTTGGTGGTTAGCCTTCAAGTGGTACTTGACTGAAGATTTCCCCTGGATCTCGAAGCGCTGCTTATCCTGGGGGTCCATGTATAATTTGCCAATGCGCATGTTGATGGCGCCACGGCACGCAGAACCAGTATCATCTGTCTGGTTTAGCTTGTGGACGAGTCTATGGGGTCAGCGCGACCTACCCTGGTGCTTGTAGTAGCTGAGAACACCATCTTCCAGTACAAACCATCGCAGCTTGTATCCGCTAGTGTAGTTGGTCCACTTCTTAAGATAGCCCTTCATTTCACGCGACTCCTTCGAGCCCATGCCACCCTCAGCAGCAGCTCCAGGCTGTGCTTGGCCAGCGAGTATAGTCTTCTCCTGGATGCCTCGCTGAGCGGCAGCTGCTGCCGGTGAGCGCTTCAGGATGGCACGTGTACGGTCGTCCTTTGTGTAGTCCTGCGGGAGTTTGCCCTTGCGGTCGCGACGGAAAGGGTCGGCGCCGTTCAGCAACAACAGCTGAGCCAACTTTACATCCTTGTTCTTAGCTGCCTGGTGCAGGAGCGTGCCACCGGCTTCAACGACAGTTGGGTCGGTAGCAAATTCTCCACCGTTGACATCCAGCGTGCTCTGAATGCGCGCATCTTGCAGAACCGACTCCAGTGTATCCAAGTCGCCAGTAGTCACTAGTTGTTGGACCCTCTTCACGTTACTGTCGATGAAGATGGAACGGGTCAGCTGCAGTTGCTGGAAAATATCGGGCGTACGGGCAAGATCCAGAGGTGTCTGGCCGTTGTAGTTGGTGATGGCATCGTTGATGTTGGGCTGGTCAAGCAGCAGTCGCACCACCGGAGCGCGCCCGAGGGTAGCTGCGAGGTGGAGGGGCGTGTTGCCATCACGGTCGCGGCCATTGATGTCAATGGGCGAGTCTGGCGTGCTGTTCGCATTCGATAGTACAAACTCGATGACGGGCAGTTCGGCGCACTGGACGGCTAGGTGCAGGATCGAAGTTCCCTCAGTGCGCGCGTTGGGCAGCTGGAGCGATGCCCTGCCACCCTCGCTGTCGCCCGGAGTGGACTGCTCGCGGATGGCTCTCGATATGGCGGTTGTGTCGCCGTTGCGGAGCGACTCGAAGACACGGAACAGCTTGACCGACTGCTCAATTGACCCACCTTTGATCGTAGGCGACGCCGGAGATGCTGGGTGCTGGGTGCTGTTGCCCTCGCTGGGCACGGCGGTCGTCGACGTCGACATGGTGGCCGGCGCGTTTGGGTGCAGCTTCTTCGACAGGCTGCGCTGGTGGCCCGTCACTGGTGAGCTCAGCGACGCCTGCGACGAGTTGGGCGGCGAGTTGTTGGCTGTGTTCGTGATGCTGCCTTCTGCGGGTGTGGACGTTCCTTCTGTCTTCGAGGTCCTCCTGCTCAGCATGTTCTTCACGCTCTGCGACTTGGAGCGCTTGTGTCTACGAGCGAGTGGACGTCAGTCTCAGTCACGGCCTGACATGTGCATGTCCCCCACCGTCGCACAGTACGCGGGCTTTCGAGAACTCACCCTTCCATAGATGCTGTGATTGGGCACAACGGGCGCCCGTTGCCGGCTAAGAAGCACGGCCTGGATAAATGTGGAGGTAAGAGGGGTATGCGGTGCGGAGATGCCTAGGTACACGCGATGGAGGGCATGAAATTCTTAATGATGCTCAAGTCGAGCGAGGTGCTGCACCATTGTCTGCTTCACAACCAGCTCGCACTCCTTCGATAGCGGCGGGGCTTCCATCCAACCCCTGACGTAGGTAGATTTGGGATTCCCGTGTCTCGGGCCTATCACAAACTCTCCTTCTCCCGCTCTAGCAACGGGTTGGATGTCGCCCACACACGCCGTTGCTCCCCATTTTGCAGCACAGCCTTGCGCTTGGTCCCAGCGACGGTTCGTTGGGAGAGTGAACACTGGCGATCGATATCGTTGATGCTGAGATTTCTCGCAACACCACGACTTCAGATCGAACGCGTTCAGCACGTGCTTCACGAACACCTGCCGCCCAAGCAGTAAATAAACAGTAATTTGGGCACCGACTTTGACATAAGGTATTGTACTGCTACACTTGACTGCTGTCGATTGTGTGTAGAAGACCCTCTCATTACCGTACGGTATCCGAGGAATTTTATCGTGGACAGCGAACTGGAGTCTTCAAAAGTCGCCGGATCCTCGTCGTCGATGCTGAAATTCCAGAAGTCAAGATGGATTAGATGTCACCTGAGAACTCAAGTCACATCAAGTTTACACTGTGTTATGTGAATTGACAGTCATGAACTTTTGGTCATTCATTCGTCCAGCATGGCCGTGATGCTTCCTAGCCATACAATTCTCATGCCCAGCTAGGCCCGGGTATATGCATCCCTCCACATCGCGCAATCCAAAACTAGTCTAGTAGAAGAAACCGAGGATCTTGCCAGCAACGTGCTTGCGGCGGGCCTCCTCATGGTCCATGATACCGGCGGAGGTGGTCAGGACGATGTAACCGAATTGACGAGAAGGAAGGAGCTTGACGACCCACTTCTCAACATCACGGAGCTGGACGTTGTAGCGGGGGGAGATGACACCGGTCTTGTTGATGCGGCCGTTAAGCTGGATAACAATCTTGCCGTTGCGGTGGTCGTCGACCTCCTCGAACTCGCCAATGTAGCCTGGTGGAAACGTCAGTTTGTCAAGATTTGATGTTGCGCAAAATTAAACATCGGACATCATGGAAGGGTTCCGAGGATGTGTAAGTTCTCCGCAGTTGATATACCGGACACTTAAAGCCCAAAGACCGTAGAGAAGACAGGATCATTGGGAAGTTATCAGCCCGGAGAGGGGTGAAGAACCAGATGTATGCGCAACAGAGAGAGATCCAACATACCGTGACGCTGCATGACGGTCAAGAACTTGACAATGACCTTGGAGGAAGGGCGGATCATGACCTGGCGCTTGCCGGCCTTCTCGGCGTTGTTTATGGCGTTGAGCGCATCGTTGAGGACGGAGGTCTTGACCATTTTGGCGGTTTATTGTAAGATTCTCGAGTGGCGAGGGGCAACTGAGGTATCTGTATAGGAATCGTGGTTAGCCTCCAGATGCCAGAGCATGGAGAGTGCCCTCAGCCAGCAGCTTTGGAGGGTTCTTCAGCTCTTGTCGCAGAGGGGAGCAGTGTCAGGCCTATCCTCTCGGACGGGCGCAATTGCTTCCCCTGGCTCTCTGAAGGGCACTCGTCGGATCGAACATAACTTACCTCGTGAGGTAGCTGGTGGGATAGCGAAAGACGTGCGTGACCAGCGAGGAAAAGTTCGAGGGAGGACGCAAATTCGCGTTGCTTAGCGAGTGTGCGCTAAGGTGTTATGGTGGACCGTGCTCGGTCGCCGCTGCCCACTGGGGAAGCCTTTTCAACCTCAACCATTGGATTTGATCATTACACTCATTTTGTGTAGAAAGCAACAAACTTATGCGTATGTCCTATTACTGTCATGCGCAGTATGTGCAACCTCCGAACGACAGTCAATCTGACATTCGCCACCCTCACGTGCTCCTGCGCGTCTGCAACATCCTTAGTCATGACGTGCTATCTCCGAGGTCGTCTTTGCCTTCCAGCTTCTACAAACGTTCCGTTATCTAGTGTCAACTCTTACTGTCCATCATGAGGGAGTACTCTACCTCCGAGGCTTGCTGTACCTGCGCTACACTGCTGTCATCCATTCCTCCAACCTATGACGAGAAGACCGAGAAGCCATCACAGTTCGAGCGCCGGCTTGATTGCTGTGGCCGTGCTATATGCGCACGATGCTTGACCGATAACCCTCGATTTGCGAGCTACTGTCCCTTCTGCCAGATATCTACCGGCCCCTCTCCTCTGCTGGCGCAAGGTCTACGCGACCCTCCAACATATTCGCCACATGCCGACGAGAAGGTGGAGGAGGAGCTACCGCCGTACACAGCACACAATGTGCTGCAACCGCCACCTGAAAAATCGAGGAGTACTGAGAAAGCGCCTGATGTCTTACATTTTGTCGACCAAAATAACGACTCGATAGCATCTTTATCACTCGCCTATGGCGTGCCTTCAGATGTCCTTCGACGGATTAACAAGATGTTTGCGGACCATCTATTGGCAGCGCGTAGGACAATACTTATACCGGGAGAATACTACAAGGGCGGAGTCAGCCTCAGTCCTCGCCCACTTGAAGGCGAGGAGAAGGAGATCAAGAAGACGAAGCTGAGGAAGTTCATGGTGGGTTGCAAAGTTGCCGAGTAGGTACTCCATTGCAAGTCATGTGCGTAGGTAAAGTGAGCAGTGCTAACCAACGCGCAGATACGATGTCGCCGTTCTGTACCTCGAGCAAGCAAGTTACAACCTCGAGAAAGCCATGATCACATTTAGGGCCGATGAGAAGTGGGAAAATGAACATCCTCTACGAGCTGCGAAGAAGGGTAAGGTGCCTGCGCCACCGAGCTCGGGGAAGCGAAGATGGTTCGGCGGGAGTGGCGGCGGCATCACTGGTCAGCTCTAAGGCGCCAGTTGACCGCTGCATGAAACCTTTCCGGGCGGCAATGCGGACGTTTGGCTGAGTTCATTATTCTGCTCCAACGTTGCGGCGCGAGCATTTGGACCATTTGGACCATTTACGGCGTTACTGATAGTATGGGTAGACTCGTGATACACACATGAGGAACCTCGACCCGTCCCTTACAATGTTGCATACATGCCTTCGACTTTACTTTCTGTGTATCGCTCTTTGAATATTCCTCTCCTGATGCAGAAAATATTGGCACCCGTAGATTCTGGTGTTCGCACTCAGGCACGAATCTTCCATTTCAGTGTTCAGCCAATCATTGCGTTGCGTCACCACCAACCCACCCTAAGCGCCGAACTCGTCACCCCTGCTCACATCCCTCGAAGCGCTGTCCATGCACTCATTGGTTTCAGAAGCTCGAAAACCCCCACAGGCATGCGTTTCTTTACTCCCATTCGTCGATGCATCAAGTACCCTCCACATCAGCAGCTACATGCACTCTAGTCTGTGCAACGATCGGAGCGAAACGACAGCCACCATGGTGCTCAACAGCATGTCCAAAAACGCGTTCAGGAACGAATGGCACACCTTTTTTGAGGCCCTCGACGGTCAACGTTGCTCAATGGCCCCATCCGGAAAAATCGGCTGCAGCCTCCACACTGAAGCCTCCCTCCTTAGTGCCAGTATGCGTTTACGCGCTGGGGACTACCAACAGCTTCGCCAACCGCAGAGCCTTGACCCCAGGCAGGCGGTAACGCAAATGACCGTCCTGTCTGTACCTCGAGATGGCTATTTTGGGACTTGACATCCGCATGGAGTGTTGAAGCGCTGAAACATCCACTGCGACCATGTCGTTTTAAAGCATGGTCAACCCCCCCTCAAACTATCTTCATTCAAGCACGCAAAGGCAGCTCCTATTCCTCATCGTTCATTTGTCTCAAGGGTCAGGCACTCCTGTAAACGCAGTTTCTATACATTCTGTGCTCGACTTATTACAACGTCGTCGGCTCCCGCGTACTTCAGAGCATCCAGCCATACCATAGAAGCATAATCGTAAACCGCCAACATGAAGATCAACCCGGCGCCTCTCCACCTCGCTCAAACAGTCCTTGCGGGTCTTGTAATCGTATTCAGCATCGCCATTCTTGGCACAAGCGCGCACACCCTTGATGTCTTCAACAAACAACAAACCTCAAACCCATGGTGGCTCCCCATGTGGCCACAGCACTTCGACATCCAAGGAACAAAAGCCCTCGTCGCTTCGTCCGTCATCACGCTCGCGCTCTCCTCCGCCTTCCTGATCGCCACCTTCCTGCCTAGTGTACGTTCCCCTAAACACAGTTCTCGAACCGAGACTAACAACCAGCAGTTGCAACTCGCACAAAAGCACACCCTCCGAGCCGCCCTCTCACTCGCCACAATCCTCCCTTCGCTCCTGCTCACGCTTATCTCCACAATCTGGGCACACATCTTGAACCGTCAAACCCCAGATCTTGACACAATTCAGACCTGGGCGTGCAAATACCAGCACTCATCACCGCTCAAGCAAGACCTGACCATTCCCTCAAACATGGGCAACAGCAACTTTAGCTCGATCTGCCGCGAGAGCCGGTTCGCGCTCTACGGCACCCTGATTACGTTCTTGTTGCTCGGATTCAGCATGGTATTGAGCTTTTTGTGCTGGGGTGCGGACAAGTATGCTGCCAGGCAGAAGAGGAAGAATGGTGGTGTGGAGGAGGGGAGTGTGAGTGAGTTGAACTATGTGCCTAAGGCGTACGCGCCATGAGAGTCATGATGGGGCTTGTGTGGGCTCTGGTGAGTGACTGAGCGACCGAGGTATTGGGTTGTGAGAATCTGTTATGTCAGTATGATTTGGGAAGGCGTTTTGGCGCAGCGATTCCTGTACGCAGGGTTGAGGTCACGGCAATGTTATGGTGTTAATGTATCTTGTGTTCAACGTTAATACAAGCCTGCAGTCATGCGCTTTGTGGTTCGGCTGGTGTCGTGAAGACTGATTTCCAAGAATGGTATGTACCTCGCAGGCCTGACGTGTTGTGGAGGTATGGACGCTACAACCCCAACTGCCAAATTTATGGTGGAGCCTCATCAGAAGTGGATCTCTTTCTGCTGTTTACCTATGGCGCACGTGAACTCGAGAACCCACGTGGGTCCACTATACATTTGTAATCTCAGGGCTGGTGGTCCATTGCGGACTTGTCGAAAAATGTCTCTTGTCAACGTGCAGGCTCATGTGAGTGACTGACACGGACTATGGCCAAGCGTGCGCAAATGGGTGATTGTAGCGCAAGCACCGATCTGGTCGCACCCGTGTCACTTCTGAGCGAAGATATGTACAGTACTGGTCATGCGGAATTCGGGACCCTTGAGTTCCGGAGCCGAAGTTCGAGGCTCGCGCCGAAAAGTGATGGGAACAAGTCGCGAATACGTCAATGAAGGACGAGACCTGTATCTGAGTCACTCATGGTTTCCTGACCCTATTGTATAAGAAGAACTGACGTGGTCAAGAGTGAGTTTCGCTGCTATCTTCTTAGATTTTCAGTCTCTTTCACCAGTATTGACTCTTCAAGCTAGTACCGGTACTTCTCGGTTGCGCTACCGGTAGTGCATCTGCCAAGATAGATCTCTACATGATATGTTGTGCACACTTACCCGGGCCCTAAAGGATCTGTCAGAAGATCCGAAAGATCGCCCGTGTGTAGTTCTGCCAACACAATGCACGACCATCGAGATTTCCACGGGTGCCTATTACCTAATCAGGCTAGTTTATATACCTTCACAGGCGCGTCCTCTGACGCCTGGTAACAAACATTCTTACACTCCACTTTCAATAACGTTGCGGCAGACGTAGCCGCTGTATAGTCGATGGAAAACTGCGCTGAGTTGCTTGCTAGCTAGGAGGCGATCATACATATGTCCTGAGACGTGCTAGTCCAAGGTAGTCAACAGAGGTGACGATCAAGGCCTATAGCACCGACTTGCACCGCAACAAATAATTAACAACCACGATCAACACCCAATCTTCCTCCGCAATGGCACCTTTGGAGAAATCACCTATCCCGCAAGACAGTGGCTTCGACTTCGTCGGCCTCAAAAACCTCCGCAATGACATCTATCCAGCCATAGATGTCTCGAAATCCTCTGGCCTCCAGCAGCCTGGAAAAGTGGTTCTAATTACCGGTGCAGGCCGTGGAATCGGGCGATCAATGGCCATCCAATACTCGTATGCAAAAGTCTCCGCCATAGTCATCTGCGCACGAACAAGATCCGAGCTTGACGAGGTCGCCGATCGAGTGAAAGAAACTAGCAGCGCTGTCACTGTCCAGAAGGAATTCTCGGCGTGACAGACGGCGCCGCAGTGAGAGATCTGGCGAAGAAGGTCAGCGACAAATTCGGCCGTCTTGACATCCTAATCAACAATGCCGGCCTCTCGCGACCCAGGGAGCCGGTCGGCGAAACAGATCCGGAGGACTACTGGCAGGTGCTAGAAGTCAATCTTCACGGATCGCTGTTGCTCACTCATGCGTTCTTGCCTCTCCTGCTGAAGACTGCAGAGAGGCAATCCTCACACGTCAACATCATTAATGTCACCTCCATTGGCGCGGTCACCGTTTCGCCAGGAGGCAGCTCGTACTCGCTTGCGAAGTTAGCGCTACAGAAGTTAAGCGAATTTGTCGGCCTCGAGTACAGTGCAAAGGGAGTCAATGTTTTTGGTATTCATCCTGGCGGTGTGGTAACCAAGTTGGCGAATGAAATCAAGGAGATCAAGCACCGTAAGTCATTGCGACAATACATAGGGAAGATGATATGCTCACCTCGATAGTCTTGACCGATGAGCCGGAGCTTTGCGGTGGATTCGTCGTGTGGCTGAGTAACCAAGACAGAAGATGGCTAAATGGAAGATATGTCAGTGCCACGTGGGATGTCGAAACATTAGAGAGCATGAGGGAAGAGATAGAAGAGGGGGACAAGCTGAAGGTGAAGATGGTTGTCTGAGACTCAGTCCGAGCATGCAAAAGGGCATCGTAGTCTCCATTTCTCACCTTACATGCAGCCGAGCCGCTGTTGTTCTGTCGCAAAACGTAGGAAATTACCTAGTCAGGGGCCTAACCAACATTGGAAGTGATCATCTATCAGACTCAAATCTTTAGACTTAATCTTCTGTATTTCATGTGTCACAAAGCCCACCGGGATTGCGAAAATAGCGGCTTCATCGGTCATGAACCTGGATGTCCAAGAATAAACGCGATGTGGAGCACTTCGTCTACGGCCCAGTCGATTGTGGCGACCACGAGAGATCTTTCACGAACACTGGTATAGTCCCGTCATTTAGAAGCAAGCCCTAAATAGCGCAGTACCTACTGCATAAGATCGAGGATGGAGGCGTGACTAGCCGGTCATGCGCTCGGTTGACTTTACGGACAACTACGTCCCCATGTTTCAGGGCAAGATTAGGTTTACTGTAAGGAAGGTTGTGCTGAACCATCCGCTGCAGATTGTGGCCGTTGAAGATATCAAATGCTTTGTCGTGTGTGCGCTGATGAAGTCTGAGGAGTGGAGAAGCAACGTGGTGTCGATTGTGGGGGATAAGCTAAGGTTCGGGCAAGCTAATGGAGCCTCTGGGGCGAATACTGAGGAACTTAGAGAAATGAGTTCTGCACTTATTGGTTTTGGAACTTACGTCAAGAGGTCTAGTGGATTCTTAGGAACGAAGGGAGGGCGAATACACGTGCCAAAAACCTTCCTTCTGACTGCATTACTCAGAGTGCATGCCTTGCGCCTCACTACCGTCTTCACCTAACAGAAGTGAGAAAGATCGGCCCAAATAATACTGTCAGCAACGCAAGCAACGCCAGGACAAGGAAAATAATCTTGACCCACAATGGAAAGGTCTCAAGCGCTATTCGCACATTTGCAGCCGCAGACTGCTGCGTTTGTAGCACTCCCTGCGTCTGTGATCCACCATCCTGACCATTCTGCTGCTGGCTCGCTCCAGGCTCTGGGACCAGGCGAAGGTCACTCACGGTCGCATAGCGGCGATGATGGTCTCTCATCTCATGAGTATCCTGCCGTGGTAATCGAACAAAATTGTATCTGAACCATCTCATGATGCGAATCCATGAAGTGTGAGCAAGTGGTTCATTGCGTGATGGTAGCTGTGGCGGCGGGTCGTCTGGGAGGTCTACGCTCTCGAGCTCAGTGAGTTCTGCGGGAGAAAGTGCGGTATTCCTCGTAGTCACGTTTGGCCGAACGTGATAGGGCGAGGAAACAGGGGATGTTGTGTGTTGGCATGTTCAAGACCGGCGACGACGGAAAATACCCAGAACCCAGGGCTCTCAGATTGTTTTGACGATGCGTTATTTCTTTAGTGACAGCATTGGTATTGAATGATTTCGCCCCGGATTCGGTCTGCTGGATATCGGTTGATGGGGTGTTTCTGCGCTCAGGCGACATTGTATCGGAGAACGGCGACAGCGATGACGTCTCCAAATTGTGGAGTTAAGTAAGGGGCGGAGAAGCATCAAGATTCCGCGCGGGAGATGGACGCTTTTGAGAGCTTCCCGCATACGTTGCAGCGTTGTCACCTGGTGGCGTACTTTGAACAGCGAGTCTGATATTGCCGTTGCCGTTCGACAGCACTTCAAGTTCGGTGTTGCCGTTGATGACATCTTGTCGATTTGAAGCGTTGGTGAAATCGCTGGATTGACCAGATGGGACTTCGGCATGGCCTTCCAGGTCGAGTGCGACGGGTCTGTTGTCTCGTGAGACACTCATTGTGGATGGTACTGAGTGAAGAAGTCAATATTGGAAAGCTCAGTGTTATATGCACAACGGCGGTGTTTGCTACTTGCAAGAAACAATAAAGAGCGCTCACGTTGACAAGATTCTGGATGATACTAGAAAGAGACTTTGCGTTCACAAAATCACAAACCTAGATCCATCGAACCAGCGATGCGATACATACGGAGGCTCGCAAACTACTTTCCCTTGTCTGTCAGAGACTCTCATACACAATTCGCGAATAACCCGATTTGATACCAGGAACGCACTACACGAGCAACTCGTCGTTCAACTTAATGCTGACTCCAAGTCAGCTGCAATAGAGCGATGCATCGCAAATAATGACACTGTGCTGCTACGCCTTTGCATACTAGCGGACTCATCTTCGTTGACACTGTCGTCGCTACTGCCACCTTCAGTGATCTTCACAAACACTGGATCTTACAAACAATTCCGTAGCCATCACTATTTGTTGACAGGGACGACAGGGTACAAGATCTCACGTTTGCGCCGGGACGAGACATTGCTGAACGGTCGGTCGACAGTCTTTGAGTCACTGCATGACTCCGGAATTGAACACTACCTAGGCATGTGCGGTGTGCTATCAGCGGAAATGTTGCTGCAAGTACCAAAATATCGTGCGCTACATGCCAGCAGGTCGCAGTAAGTCCGAAAGCGAAGTACCGACCTCATGTGAAATCGATTAGGAAGATACACAGTATGATGATGTCCGGCAGTCGATCGAAGCTTTGTTGAAAAAAAAGCCTTGCTCAGCAAGCCGTGATCTCTTTTCCATCAACAGCTGATTTTTGAATCCTTCTGCGTGTTGCGACACGATTTGATGTTATCCGTAGTACCAAGTATCACCACATTGCAAATGCAGAACTCCCTCTCCGGTATCGAACCTTCAATCCGGGACTCCAACGCTATCAAGAGCATCTTCATCAGCGGCGACGTCTACGTCGACCCCGTGCACGCTGCCGAGGGCCTGAATATTTCCAACGTTAACTTGTCTCTACGTGCGCGCGCACACTGGCACAACCAAGTCAATTATGATATAACTGCGTGAGCAGTGTCGGTCGGGTACTGTGATCAACAAGTGTATTGCTATCTGTTGTCGTGTTGTGATGTGATGTTACAGGAGCTCTCAGCTCTGAGGTAAGCGCACTTGCCCACCGGGCAGTACCTGCTACAATAGGATATCATGTGATATAAGCCGCGTGGTTACATATGATATCGGCAGGTAATGTGTTGTGGTGTCCAGCTAGCACGACGCACTGGCAAGGTGCGGACGAGGGGGGCTATGGCGGCCAGTTTGGGAGGGGCGTAGTGGTTGGACGAGGTTACAGACGAGGAATATGGCAAGATTGAAAACTAATTAATGGAAGGGACTGATCTATTTTGGAGGTATCGAACGATAATACTACATGGATTGGGACGAACGATGTCCAGAAGCATTTTCTCATCTGTTACATGACAGCAATGGCATTAGCTTTTTGCCTCCAAAGAGTGTAATCCGCGAAATCATCGATCCTATGAATAAAAATGTTGAAAGAGTGTGGTCCTATAGTCAAGGAAAAACAGGGGTATATTGTTGCATAATGTGTTAGAAGTGGTAAGCTGGCGAAGGTATGATAGATCTTAAGGATGATCAAGGAATGCGAGAAGCTTAGCGAGCGCAAGAAGGCGTAGCGCATGAGGAATAACATCTGCCGAGGCAGACCGCAACAAGTTCATGAGGATTCGTGGTGATCGTGAGGTGGAGCGTGAAGTGGCAGCGGAAGTGATACAGATCTTGGAAGGTCTCGTTGAGGCTCAAGTTCATCGTTGCGTGATGACTGCAGCTGCGGTTGGGATGCCGACGCCGCAGCACTATACGACCTCAAGGCGCACATCGTTGAGAGCCGAGAGCAGCGATCTGCTGAACTGTCTCTCACTGAAACTACGCTATATCGCCCGGAGTGGTGACAGAACCGACGGAAGACCATAGATCGCCTCGTCCTCGTCGAGTCTGCTCCCACTCCTGCAAGCTGCTATGCATCGAAGGTGGACGAGTCGATCCTAATAAGCGACTTTTTCGGTTCAAGGCTTCCCTCAGGAACGATATGGGCGCGTAGATCAAGCCATCTACAGCCGTACTTTCCTCTGAGGAACGTGTCTCAGATATAGTAAAGGATCGGCGTTTGGGATTGAGGTCACTTCCACGGCCAGTGTCCCAGTGATTGACGATGCCAAAGGCATTGCCGACACCAACGAGTCCGGAATGACGGTTGGTTGGCCTAGCTGCGAGAACTACCAAAGGATGCCCCGGCGGGCCCGGCTGTCCAAAGCTGAGATAAGGCGGGCTGCGTCCAGAGCCCGGGTCTGGGTGGCTGTTGAGGAGGCACGCAGGAAGACGTGTCGCTGCTCAGGGCTCATCGCACTCACAACTTCCTGGTCCACAATCATGAGACAATCTCGATCCTCTTTGGTAGAGCCTGTTGCGTCGGGTACCGCGCTGTTTCCAGCATGAGGCAAATTCTCTGTCTCTCCATCTGGCAGGACCTGTTGCTCCCCTCGTCTCAGTATGTGGATATCGTTCCCTTCGTAAGACTTCATGAATCGACCTATGCGTGTCGCCTTCAGTCTCCCTCCAATCTTCTGCTTCAAGCGAAGGAGTAATTGCGGAGGCTGTACGTTTTTGATGCCACTTGTGTGGGGCTGGATCATGCGGTCTACGGGTGCTCCTACTGGCCTGGGGATGAAAGGCGCCGAAACATTGTTCGAAGCTAAATCAGGACCCACAACAGGCATCCGAACTTGCTTGCGGACGGCGGACCTTAAAGAAGGCCTATGAGACGGTCCAGGTGAAGACCCTTCGGGTATGTTAGGGAGAGATTGTGACAAGACATCTACCCGTGTCGCTACCCGTACCATCTGGGCCAGCGTGGTGCAAATTTCTGACTCCATGGGTAGAGGATCGATTGTCTCTGTCGATAACAACGAAACCTGAGTAGAGTTCCTGCTGCCATGGCCCAACCATAGTCTGTGGCAGTTTTCACAGTCTAGATCAACCAGACGACTGGAATCGCTGACCATATTAACATGTATCTTGACAGAGTTATGGTGATGATGGCATCGCGGACAGTTGCCGGCTATGGGCAGGGTCCAGTGACCAGGAGGGATGGGCCTTCCGCTACCCGTAGATGATATCGAATCTCGGCGCGTGAATCTCGGCTCAGCAAGTTCAGCTCCGTCCCAGGTGGCATCAGAAGAATACTCAGGCTCTTTCTCTACGCGATCAACCTCTCGGCCGGCCGTGATGGCTGGAACAAGGCTGACCAGTACTGGTGAATAGGCTGACAGTAGGCGACCACAGAAGGGCTGCCTGAGTTGCGATAACTACATGGAAGGGCGTAAGTACAGGTGGGGATGGGATGCGAACAACGATGATCGTAGCTTGATAGGCCTAGGGTGCGCTGATAGTGCCGGTGAGTGACTGTGGCTGACAGGCAGGCCGTATAAGGTGGGGGCCCTAGAGTTATGTATTTCGGTGAAGTATGAAAGGACTCCTGCCAGTAGGCTTGCGGTAGTGTCCGCCTATCCACAAAGGGATTGTCGAGTGTGCATGGGTGTCTTGAGGCGCAATAGACGAGTATCGCCACGCACGGCTGCGAGCAGCATCAACCGCGATGTGGAACTCTAAGTGAGCCCACCCAACCTTACATGAGCAAGAACAGACTCTGAAGGTAGAAATGCGGACACCAATAAGCATTAGATATATGAAATAGAAACCTGCGATACATGATGCACGCATCTCACTTGAGTCATTGGGACTTGAGTTGCCAGCACTTTGGTGAACTCACCCTATGTGTAGACGACAGCCTTGTCGTTACAGTTGCGATAGATGCTCACCGCCAGACTGCCGCACAAACCCGCTAACTCAGGCTGAAACCCGTAGCTGAAAGAAGAACCTCCACAGATGTCATAAAGGTAATCCTCATCATGAATAGTAAGCCATCGTCAGTGATTGTCAACGAAGAAGGTGGTCAGCGTGCGCTGCGCACCACGCTAATTGCAGGCAACGGCCTTTGCACTGCCCACTCAATGAATCCGTGCACGAAGAAAGACACACCGACGAAAGCCACAAATTGGTACGCGATTATGGAAGATCGGAGTATCGCAGAGCATGCTGAATGGGATTCTGGCAGCATTTACGAGGCTCAAGCGATGAGGGTTGATGGTTGGTGGATCGACAGGCGCTGGGTCCATCGGCTAGCTATTGGCCACAAAGATCGGGGGGGGGGAGTATCACGTGAGACGCTAAAGAAGCGAGCGCCCACGACGCTTTTGCGTCTCCTCACGAGAACGGCTTCAGCGCTTTTTACTAACGACAGAATAGCCCTCGATAAGCCGCCATCATGTGTGAGTATCGCCATGCTGTGTCTTAGAAAGCAACGATGCAGACTTGTTCTTCCGTGCGCTGTGAAATCCTCGCGCGTACGGGAGGGTAAGAGCAAAATTGCAGTTCGTGGGCACACTACACCGAACAGATGTACTGACAATTCATAGCGCTCGTCTCAGGAGAGAAGTCTAAGTACGTTCCCACGTCTTGAGCATGCCGACGATGCCTTCGTGACACGCACTCGCTTTCGTGCCCACGCCCGTCTGAGCCCGCCACTCGATGCACGGCCTCTCCCCGATCTGCGACAGCATGCTGAAAGAGGAGGATATCGGTACCGACCGTCGTGGACGAGAAATACAATACACACAATAGCGGAGGACTAGCATACTGTCTGGAAACGGGAGAGGTGCTTGCATCGGCGTGGCAGACTCGGTGGGCGCAGGCCTGCGAGCAGCGCGACGATGCACACCTTGACTATAATGCGTGTGCGAACAGCAATGCTGACTTGCCACAGCTTCCAGTACATCATCCGTTTGTTGAACACGAACGTCGATGGAAAGCAGAAGGTCATGTACGCCTTGACCAAGATCAAGGGTGTCGGTCGCCGCTACTCCAACTTGGTCTGCAAGAAGGCCGATGTTGATCTGAGCAAGCGCGCTGGTGACCTCACCTCTGAGGAGCTTGAGCGTATCGTCACTATCATCCAGAACCCTCTGCAGTGTATGTTCAGCCATCGTCCATCTACGACTTCCGCATCTAACACCCGCCAGACAAGATCCCCACCTGGTTCCTCAACAGGCAGCGCGACATTGTCGATGGCAAGGACACTCAGGTCCTCGCCAACGGTGTCGACTCCAAGCTCCGTGACGACCTCGAGCGCCTCAAGAAGATCCGCGCTCACCGTGGTCTCCGTCACTACTGGGGCCTCCGCGTCCGTGGTCAGCACTCCAAGACCACCGGTCGTCGCGGCAGGACCGTCGGTGTCTCCAAGAAGAAGGGCTAAATATTGTGCGCTCCCGGCTGGGGTCAGCAACGGGCTGTTGTGGTGTATCAAGGCTTTACGAAATGGGTGGTGCACTTACGGTGTTTTACGGCATTCATTGGCTGGAATATGCACTTCATACAGTCTAGAATGGACGGCGATTAAGGACAGGGTTTAATTTAACCTGTACTAAAAATTATACCAACGATTTCAAGTTCCATCTAGCTTCTCATATGACCATCATACGCACTTTGAACATCCGTCTCGCTATTTTCCCTTCTAAGCTCAGCACCCTTACTATGCATACTAAAGACTCTGACTGGTACCACGACGTTACACAGCCTCATCGAACATTCGATACTACTGCAGCCACAGCCACTCAAGACATGACAGCTGTTGCCGAGGTGCATGATGCGCGATCCTCCATGCGTGATCAGCCTGCATTCACCCGTATCGACACGTCTGAATACTCATCACGGTTTTCGAATCGCTCGGAGACCTTAAGAAAAAAAAGGGTGGCTAAGGTCGCTATTATTACAGTGAGCTGAATGAATTGAATCTCGCGTACTCTACATAGTACAACAGAGCCATCTAGTCATAATTCGTAATCGTAAGTCGTCAATCGTGATCGTCAATGCCGTCATCCAGTCGTAAGTCGTCGTAAGTCGTGAAGTCATCCGCGAGCGAGCGCCAAAGCAATGCAGACCAGAACCCCAAATGCAGAAGCCAAACCAAACGAAAAACAGAAAAAAAAAACTAAAGCATCGACTCATCCGTCACTCCTACTCCCTCACCTGCTCACTCTCTCCTTCAAACTCAACTGCTCACTCCTTTCTTCTTCTGTTACGTGGTGCAAGCTCAGTCCCACCACACTCTCCTAACCCTCCCGTTTCCGCTCAAAATTCCCAATACCTCCTCACTCCTAGTCTGCACGCCATATACCCTCTCCACCACACTCGCGACATCCATCCAACACACACCCTTCACGTCATGCAAGTCCAGCACCATTCGCACAAGCCACGGACTAGTCATGCTCGACTCTGGGTCCTGGAAAGCAAAGGGTGAGACAGGACCTGTGAGCGAGGGGTCAGGCGTTGGGAGACGCAGGGCGTGGGGTGAGAGGCGGGGGCGCTTAGACGGGGAGTAGGACGGAGGCGAGAGCGGGCGCGAGGAAAGGGAGCGAGGGGACGTGGAGCGCGGCGGGTGAGAGTTCAGTGCGTCGGAACGCTGGGGCGCTTTTGCGGTTTCGAAGAGATGGAGGAGATTGCCTTCTGGTAGATCCGTCAATCGGTCGTTGGTTTCGTCTTCCGGTGCGTCGTGCAGGCTGGTGTCGTGCTCGGATGTAGTGGGGGAGCTCGCTGTGGAGATTGACATGGCACTCGAGGAGTCTGAGAGCGAGTCTTCGCTCATCTTGATTCTAAGTGGTAAGAGAACATGGTGTTGCGGCACTGCCTTGTTGATGTTGATGCTGCCGGTCGATTTGGAGAACGGCAATTCTTCGATAGGAGTGGTGGCATTGAGTCTAGTGATCGATGAGGGCGAGTCGAAAGAGAATGACTGTGAGCGTATGCGGACCTTTGGGCTTGGGGTCCGCGGTGGTGCGATAAGAAGGGCTGCCATGATGACTTCCTGGTGCGAGCAATGCACCTGAGACTTTAAAGGACTGAGATGACTTTTGTAGCTGTCCTCTTCAATGGAGAGTACGATAAGGAGATGGAGGCCTGAGCCTACCGATCACAGCTATCCCTAGTGAGCTTCTTATTTCACTTGCCTCGCTCACCACAATCTTCCATTGCTTACCATAGGGCACCACTGCGGCCATTTCGCTGGCCCTGCATGTCGATGTGCAACCACGCCACGCGCCCACGCACCCGATGAAGCGCTTTACATGGCGCTAATGTTGACATACACGGAATGCGGGGAAGAGGTTAAGATGCCAGTGGACGGACAATAGATGAGGTGCAGTGCGTTGGGGGGACAACGCACTGTTGCAGTTGAGTTTATGTGCCGAAACGATAGGTCGAGATGAAGGGCAGCGATCATGTGGGAAGAGGGGAAATGAGAATGACTGCTGGAAGCAAGAAGGTCGTAGATTTGCATTGGACCTTGAAGCAGAGCAGGAAGTGATTGGCGGCCCCATTGACCAGCAGAAATTTGCACCAGTTCGACGAGGTGTAAGGGAAGTCAGGCGACTACAAGATGCCGCAATGAAGTCGCGACGTTGCCGGAGTGACGTGGTGAGCCGGGGATGGTGGTGCATGCAGCCTCGTGTGCTTTTCGCCAATCAGCAGATAGGCAGGCGCCAGCGCATGGAATGCCCAACGACAAACTGAAACTGGGAGTAGTAGGGACTGACCTGCTCGAACCGGAAATACACGATATGAAATAATAGGTGATATGAAGGTGACTGAGCAAAGGAGAAATTTGGCCTGAGAATGGTTATATTAGATGTCTGCACTTCGCTCGCAACAGAATGCTGGCGATCGATGTCGATCACAGTCAACCTCGTCTCCTGGGCGTCCGAAAGGACCCCAAGGCCTGGAGTACCACATGTCTGCTCGGTACTGTCGAAGAGCCTCACCCTCGTGCCGGCTGTCACCGTTGGGTATCATAGTGTGTGGGTCGGACCGGCGAACGGTGAAGGGGCACACATATGCGCCTAGGCGAAACTGGTCTTGATTCAATGTCGCGAGTGTGGAGGCTTTCGAGGTGTTCAGGCACAGTGCAAGTGAGGCGACCGGCAGCGTACACGTGCAATCGAGGGTGCTGCGCACAACTCGCTCTTCAACGTGTCACCACTCAGTCATCGGCACCAACAGCCATCTCCATGACCTCGACATTTCCTCTGCCCTTGGTCTGGCTCTCGATGAACTCGTTGAGACCCTTGAACGCTCCGGGCTCGACCAGACCCACAGCTTCCCATTCGGCGCCCATGGTGTCCTGGCTTTCGATCTTCTCCATGAATGCCAGGATTGTATCCTTAACTGTACCAGTGGCGGCCTTCTCTTCGCCGTCTGCTTGTGCCTTTGGTGCGTTCTTGACCGCCTGTTTGAGTACGGATGTCGGGCAACTGACACGCAGCTTCATCTGCATACGTGCGACAGGGATCGGCTGGTGGGCAATGAGCGCCTTCATAGCGAATAGAGCTTGTGACTTGGCAGACTTTGTTGTCACAACGCCGCTCCACTTGGGCAGTGCTTTCGCCTTGTCCTCGCCGTCCGGTGTCTCTGTCCCGGCCTTGTGCTCCTGCTGTTGCGCTTGTGTGTGGGTGCTCAACTGATCCAGAGCTTTCTCGATCATGCCGGTGGTGTAGACGCGCTTCGTCCTGGGGTCGACCAACTTGCCGGCAACGATGTCGATTACTTCGTTCTTCGTACGTTCGAGTTCAGCGCCGCGCTCTTTCTCTCCGACCTGTAGTTCGCCGTGGTCGAGGATCTCTAGGATGATTTCCTCCATGGGCTTCTTGCCGAACGCCTTGTCGAGGTCGGCCTTCGGTGCTGCCTGTCCTTTGCTGACGTTCAGGAAGACATTTTCGATCTGGAGGACGTTCGAGAGATCTTTCTCGATCTTGTTGCGCCACTCGAGGACTTTGTTCTTGTAGCATGCGATTTCGAAGCGCTTCTTGCCTGCGCAGCATCAGTGACTGTCCAGCATCGTCAAGTTTGGCGGGGTGTTTGCGCACCCTTCTTCATGCGTACCAACGAGACGTTGGTAAGCTTGATTTGGTTAGACGGCTGGTTGATAGGCATTTTTTGTGCTGTTCACAATGTCTCGTTGTGCGCAAGAAATTGTCGCGGCGCAGATGTAAAAGTTGCGCACGCGCGGCGCGGGGATGAATCACACATCGTCATACTGGCTACGCTATGCCCAATATGGTCGACATGCAGGAACAGGAAGGGGCGCCCCAAACTTCAGGCTTCACCGGGCAAGGGACGGCTCGCTGCAGCAAGGAATGCAAGATCAAAGCTCTGGAATCACATGCGCGAAGACGATGATGCCTCGATGCAACAATGAGGCGGCCGGCAAAGCTTCCATAACCGACGGCGCATCTTGAAACGCTAATGGTTCGGCCTCGTGAGCTGCCCGCGCTCGGACTAGCACCCCAGCTGATAAGCGTAGCTTCGTCATTGAGGTGGCTGGAGGTTGCCTGGTCACCGAGCTGCCTCGCTCCAACACTCTCCATCTCTCATACCCCATCCTCCCCACCCATTCTCTGATTCATCCTCCTTCCCCGAACTTGACGCCCTTTAATTAAGTTCATCGGATCATTTCTTCTTCATTGCACAGCTATCTTTGAGCTCCGGAAGCTCCGTCGTACGCCGCCATGAAGGTAGCCACCTCGGCCCTGCTCATTGGAGCAGTGTCCGCAGCGATCCCGCAGCAGCAGGTTCTCAAGGGTCCTGAGTCGTTCAAGGGCTTTGACACCAGCTCGTGGACCAAGCCTCTCCAGAACCTCGAGGAAAACCTCAAGTCGCTCACTGGCGAGGCACGCGCTATCTGGGATGAAGTCGCCATGATGTTCCCCGAGCAGATGGAGAAGGCCGCCTTCTTCTCCAACCCCAAGCCGCATACTCGCAAGCACGACTCAGAATGGGACTATGTCGTTAAGGGCGCCGACGTTCAGAGCGTCTGGGTTGAGAACGAGAGCGGTGAGAAGGAGCGCGAGATCGACGGCAAGCTCGAGAACTACAGCCTGCGTGCTAAGCACGTCGACCCTAACGTTCTCGGCGTCGATAAGGTCAAGCAGTACAGCGGTTACCTTGACGACGATGAGGAGGACAAGCATCTCTTCTACTGTAAGTAGTACCCTGATGGCCACCGTTTGCCACAGTCACTAATTATCACCTAGGGTTCTTTGAGTCTCGCAACGACCCCAAGAACGACCCCGTAGTGCTCTGGCTCAATGGCGGACCTGGCTGCTCGTCGCTGACAGGCCTGTTCATGGAGCTCGGCCCCGCTTCTATCACAAAGGACCAGAAGATCAAGCACAACGACTACTCGTGGAACAGCAACGCTTCCGTCATCTTCCTCGATCAACCCGTCAACGTTGGCTACTCATACTCCGGCGGCTCCGTCAGCAACACCGTTGCTGCTGGCAAGGACGTTTACGCCCTTCTCACGCTTTTCTTCAAGCAGTTTCCCGAGTACTCGAAGCAGAGCTTCCACATCTCTGGCGAGTCGTACGCGGGACATTACATCCCGGTGTTCGCATCTGAGATCCTGTCTCACAAGAAGCGCAACATCAACCTCCAGTCGGTTCTGATCGGCAACGGTCTTACCGATGGTCTCACTCAGTACCCTGAGTACCGCCCCATGGCCTGTGGTGATGGTGGCTGGCCTGCTGTCTTGGACGAGAGCTCTTGCAAGTCCATGGACAACGCTCTCCCCCGCTGCCTCGGCTTGATTGAGAACTGCTACAACTCCGAGTCCGTCTGGAGCTGTGTGCCCGCCTCCATCTACTGCAACAATGCTATGATCGGTCCTTACCAGCGCACTGGCCAGAACGTCTACGATGTTCGCAAGCCTTGCGGTAGCAACAGCCTTTGCTATGACGAGCTTGACTGGATACAGGGTTACCTCAACAAGAAGGAGGTTATGAAGGCCGTTGGTGCCGAGGTCAGCAACTACGAGTCTTGCAACTTCGACATCAACCGCAACTTCCTCCTTGGTGGTGACTGGATGAAGCCCTTCCACCGCGTCGTCCCCGGTATTCTTAAGGAGATCCCCGTTCTCGTCTACGCTGGCGACGCCGACTTCATCTGCAACTGGCTCGGTAACAAGGCCTGGACCGAGGCTCTCGAGTGGCCCGGCCAGAAGGAGTTCAAGAAGGCTGAGATGGAGGACTTCAAGATTGACGGAGATGGCAAGAAGGTCGGCCAGGTCAAATCGAGCGGCAACTTCACCTTCATGAGGCTGCACGCCGGTGGCCACATGGTCCCCTACGACCAGCCTGAGGCTTCCCTCGAGATGGTCAACAGGTGGTTGGCTGGTGACTTCTGGGAGTCGTAGATGCACTTGTTGGCATTTCCTTAGCATCCAGATTGTATACTGGCTGTATGGTGTAGCGAGTATTGGACCTGATTTGGCTAGATTGTGCCGTGCACATTCGCGTAAGTACTTTCTCGAGACTTCAATATGAGCATCAATGCAAAGAATACACAACACTTCAATGCCCACAACCTTGACTGTGCTTACTTACTGGAAGGCCGGTCGAGTCAACCACAGTCCAGGCAACGGCAAAGCAAAAACAAGGCCGTCGAGGTGTGTCAAGGCTTATTGAGCGGCGCAGACTAGGCTGTGATTGCACTTATGGTATCGGGCCGAGCGAGCGACTTGTTCTGGGCAATTGCACGCGCCTTATTCAGTCAACTCGACTTTGCAACTTCACATCAGCTCGCGCATCGAGGTAGCACATCGACAAAGCTCCGAAGAAAATGGTTTGATTGATTCGCCAGTTCTGGAACACCCTGTTCCGTTCCTTTGCACGAGTGCTTCCACCTTCACATCGCATGGTTGAAGGCAGTCTCTTTGGCGAAACCCCATGTCAGTGAACCGTCTCAAAAGATGGTACCACCTGTGTACTAATTAGCAACTGTAGATGAGCTACCGGGACAGCTTGGTGCGCATATTCTAATGTGTCCTCTTTCGCCATACTACAGCCGACTCATTGTATTAGCAGGCGCAAACTACATTGCCGAGATGGCTCAGCAAGTTGCATGACTAGCAGCATCATTTCAATCGGCACGGTATGGGAAAGGCGTAGTCGCTTACTCACCTTTCATCAGTAAGCTTTCTGCACCAAAAGGTTCAGAACCTCGCGACTCAGTAGAGATCTGTAGCGTTTGTTTTCTTCGAGTTTTCTTGCGAGCTCACCAAGAAAACCCTAGAGAGTGTGGCTTCTGCAGGGGCACTTTATTTCGAAACTCAGTCATGGTAACTGGCTTCCCGGCCCTTCGTAGACCAGTCTCGAAAATTGGTCTCGAGATGTCACTAAACACGATGGCCTATCTCATTGGCGCAGAACAGATGGTGCAGGTTGGCTCGAGGACAGTCGTGAAAGGCTTCAACTCACTCCTCGTCGTGACTTCAGTGACAGTGGATCACGTTTCGTGGCGCCTTCTTGTCAGCGATAATAACATCGAAAGGATATCCTATTTCGATACTCGCTTGGATGGACTACCTTATCTCGGCACTCACTCAGATCCGCTCAACCCAGAGGATAAGAATTTTACCACCCCGATACTAGGTTCGTTGCGTCGCTTTGTGGGCTGGTATACTCAAGCCACGGACTTGTGTGGAAAGTGTTATTGGCATTTGTTTCTGTTGCATTAACGGATTGAACCCCTCAGGTCTTGAGGCGTCACCTGGCTATATTGTCATTGATCACCTGTATTTTGAATTGAAGCAGGGCAGTACCTCATTGCGGGTGCGGATCTTCGCATCAATCAAGAACTGGGCCCACTCCGGCCTCACGGAGAAAGAAGTTACTCCGAACTTCTCGATTCGCCGCTGGTCGCCTATCTGAATATGTAGAACGATGGTTACATTTGAGACGTATAAAATCAGTACATATCTTTGGTATCATGAATCGAGCACGACCTTCATAGAGGCCTTTTTGAAAGTCAATCCACACCCCTACACACTCAACATTTGGCTTACAAGGCAATGACACCAAGGAACGCAGCCGTCATACCAGCACCCATAACAGCGACCTTGCTGGCCGCACCAGTCTGACTCGCGGTAGCACCTGTGCCCGACCTAGTCACAGTTCCGCTTCCACTAGCAGTACTGGTCTGAGCGATACCGGCGCCCTGGAACAGGATGCTCATAACGACCTCGTTGTACTTGTCATAGTAGCTCTTGACGTCGCTGGGGAGTGCGCTGTACCAGTCGGGCACGGAAGTGAAAACGGCGAAAGTGTCGAGGCCGGAAAGTGCCGTGACTTCCGAACGGATCGAGTATGAGGCGGTTGCCGCGAAGGGGGCGAGCTTCTTCTGGATCTTGGCCTTCTCGGAGGCGGTGAAGGACGCCAGTTCTTCGGTCAGGTAGCCGGCGAGCGAGGAGATGTAAGACTCCGACTGTAAAGTCTTAAAGGGGCAGAGAAGAGAAAAAGAGGAGCCGTACATTAGCCAATTGATCCAGGTTTATGGAAGTGGGAAATGCAGTCACGACAACGAAGTCCGCGGCGGTGGTGGCGGCGAGGGCCGCGGCGAAGAGTGTGGCTGTGAATTCCATGACGCAGTTGGGTACGATTGGAACATTGGTATTGATCGGAGAACGACTGAAGACAATGTTGATCTGAGAGAAGTAGTGGCGACACAAAGGGTTTGATGTCAAACACGAGAGGTATTGATAGCTGAGAAGGACGGAATCACAAACAGCTCATCACCCTCGCCCTATAGCTCAGCATTGCACATTTCTGCCACAGCCACAGGACGACCTGACCGATCATATCGGCGGTGGGGTGCCTAGCTTCATCACAGTATCTAACTCGCCCATGACATTGATCCTCACGCTGAGATGTACCTCAACCCTCAAAAAAGGCCGTTGCGCGACAATGGTGGGTAGAGCAGATCGTAAAACCATTGAATCTTCGGACTCGTGGCCGTTGCGAGCGGATAATGTGGCGCACTGAAATTTCGAAGTGTATTGACGACGGCTCCCCTGATGTTGCACTTTTTCGGCTTTCCCTACCAAGGAATGAGAACCCACTTTTGAGACGCCAGTGTCGAAGATCTTATTGCGGCTGAGCAAGGGCAGAGGATGCAAAGATAGAACATTATAGAGTCTGCGGACAATGAAACAGCATGACGAGGTGGACTGGTGGTGTTTCTTGAGTTCCGCGAGCTTCGTACGAGTGATCTTGCCAGCGCCAAGCATACGCCAATTCATCCCAACTGTGGGTAGGCCATGTGTAAGCCTATGCACGCATCTCTGTTACCTTCGACTCAACAACGTGCCCCTCCTCGCTGGTCTTCTTCCCCGCGAATTCAGCTTGGCCGCTCGATGTCTCGCTCATGTCTTCAGCATCAGGAGCAGTTGCAACCTCCTTGCGTTCCTTCCAGGCGAGGAACAGGAAGCCTACGATGACGGCGACCCAGTACAAGTTATACGAGATGACTGAGCCGTATGTGGCACTGTTCTGCCATCCGAATAGAGAGTTGAAGATACCCCAACCTCCAGAGCCATTCTCAAGGGGTGAGCCAAACTAGCAAATCGTTAGCAATGCGTAGGTTCACAGCGGATTGAAGCAGCTTACGTTGATGTGCCACACGCTCTTCCTGATGTCATAGCTTCCCGGGCCAGCGCCTGCCTCTGCAGCGCCTTCACCTGCAAGCTTGACCCACGCATTCTGTTCAAGGTTCCAGACGCCCTTGGAGAAGAGTCCTGCAGCCACAAGATAAAGGAAGCATGTCGAGACCACGAGGAAGATCTGGAGAGATGTCTTGTTACCACCCTTGTAGATCAGGTAGCCAATGAGTGCGCCGGCACCGAGACCAGTGATGGCCGCGAGGGGGATCGACGTCGCCGGCAGGCCGATGCCCACGCCTGCGATGAAGAGTACGGCCTCAATACCTTCTCGGAGTACGGTTATGAATGGCAGAATAAACATGGCGTACTTCTCGGACCACCTCTTGAAGCGACCACCAGCTGGCTTTGTGTCCTTGTCCTCTAGCACTTTTCGAATCTTGTTCCTCCATTTGTCTTGGAGCTTGCTGACTCGGAGCAGCGCGGCACCCATGATAGTGATGATAATACTGGCAACCAGTGCGAAGACACCTTCCCAGATGTTCTCGGCTGCCTCGAATGCGTTCTTGCCTGCCGTGTAGACTACAGTGACGTTAGCGGATGTTGGCCAATCATCAGCAGGCACTCACAAGTTCCGATCACACCAGCGCAAATGACCAAACAGATCAGGACACCCAGTCCTACGCCGACCCAGACCTGGCGAACGAGCCTCTTGCGGACTGCGGCATCATGCTCAGGGCCAAGCGTTTGCTTGAGAAATGCCAGCAGCACAGAGACGATAATACTGCACTCCAAGCACTCTCGGAAGCAGATGAAGAAGACTATCCTCGATGTCAGCAAACCATGTGCTCGACATATAAGAGGCGACAGCTGGAGAATGCCTTGTCGAACGTACCTGGCACAGCAAAGACGTTCGGCATCGTGAGACCACAACGCAATTGCTCCTGCAACGAGATGGGAGACGGGAGATGGGAGATGATCAGATAAGAAGAGAATGATCTGAAAGAGGGGGTGATATCTAATCTGATGCAGAGGCGAAGAAAGGCTCAAATCCCTCGGGCTACACCGTTGCACTTTCCGCACGCGGTGACTCGAAGGCCACCGTCGCCCAACTTCGCTTATCGTCACCTCATTTGCAGCGTATTTGATTTCAGGCTAAGCCACTGACACCGCGGAACGGCCAAATTCCCGCACCTGAGGCACCTGCCATTTAAGATCTGCAGCCTGCCAAGGGCGCCAATTCCAACCAAGCCTCGCGCTACTCAGTCTAGCGTCGGCTTAGGATGCAAACAAGCAGCTCGCCTACTCTAAGCATGGGGCGATCGGAGTCCAGATTAATCAGATGGGCCGATAAGATTGTAAAACTTTCACGCTACAGTCTAACATTCGTGTTCTGGCGAATCAAGTCAGAAGGTGACATCGGAGGTAGGGCGCCGGAAGCTTGAGTAGTGTGACAGCTACGGTGTCGATTCTCGTGGTGTGAGTACGGCGCGCGAATCGCGAGGAAGGCCCCGCTCGATGGCGCCTCTGGAACTGGCACTATCTCCAGATGATCTGATAATCTTGATGCTCTCCTGATCACACTGGTACCGGTAGTCCGAGATTTTTGTGTAGCGAGCGAAGGCTTTTTGCACGGCTCGGCTTTATCTGATCGTTCCTTCTGCGGCCACGATATCTAATCTCTTTCATCTGATCATCTCTGATCTTGCTGAACAGATCAGTTGGTGGTCCCCGTTCAGTATCTCAACCTCGAGCTCCAGCTTCTCCCTCTCGCCCTTCTACGGTCGAGGTCTTTTCACTGTCAGCCATGGCCATCTCTTTATCAAACTTTCTCCTTCCACTAGCTCTTCTCCTCTCAACAGCCTATAGTGCTACTGTCACATATGACTTCGACGTAGCATGGACATATGCCAACCCAGACGGCCAGTACAACCGTCCGGTAATCGGCATCAATGGACAATGGCCCATCCCTCCTATCGTTGCGACCAAAGGCGACCAAGTCATCGTCAACGTCAAAAACTCCTTGGGCAATGAGAGCGCCAGTCTTCATTTCCACGGGCTCTACATGAATGGCACAAACCACATGGATGGCCCTGTTGACGTCACTCAATGCGGAATCCTTCCTGGTTCGAGTTTCACGTACAACTTCACTGTCGATCAGCCGGGCACGTACTGGTATCATAGCCACGTGCGTGGTCAGTATCCCGATGGCCTTCGTGGCCCACTTATCGTCAAGGACCCAGAGAACCCGTTCAAAGACCAGTACGATGAGGAGATTGTGCTTACCTTCTCGGACTGGTATCACCAGAGCATGCCCAAGCTCATGTCGGGTTTCATCAGCATCGCGAACCCGTCTGGAGCCGAGCCTGTTCCACAAGCTGCGTTGGTCAATGACACGCAGAATCTGACGGTGAACATCGAACCGGGCAAGACATACATGTTCCGTATGGTCAACATCGGTGCTTTTGCGGCGCAGTATGTGTGGTTTGAGGATCACACCATGCGTGTCGTTGAGGTAGATGGTATCTACACTGAGCCCAGTGATGCGGACATGCTGTACATGGCCGCTGCTCAGAGGTACAGTGTCCTGGTCACTGCGAAGAACGACACGAGCTCGAACTTTGCATTTGTCGGCTCTATGGATGAGGTATGCTCTCACTGTACGCATCTACAACCTGCCGCTGACACGAGATACTAGGATCTCTTCGACGTTGTCCCTGATGGCCTGAACCCCAACGTTACAGGCTGGCTGGTCTACGACAACAGCAAGCCCAAGCCGGAAGCGAAGACAGTCGACTCCTTTGACGCTCAATTCGATGACTTCACCCTCGTCCCTTACGACAAAGAAGCCATCTACACCAACGTCTCGCAGTCCATCACGCTCGACATGAAAATGGACAATCTCAACGACGGCGCAAACTACGCCTTCTTCAACGACATCACCTACGTCGCGCCCAAGGTGCCCACTCTTTATACGGCGTTATCGACCGGCACTAACGCCACCAACCCCATTATCTACGGCACCAACACCAACTCCTTCGTGCTCGCGCAAAACCAAGTCGTCGAGATCATCCTGAACAATGACGATCCCGGCAAGCACCCCTTCCACCTGCACGGCCACGCATTCCAAGTCGTGGCCCGCTCAGATGAAGAAGCAGGCTTCTTCGACGCCAACAATAGCACCCAGACAGCCTTCGCGCCCGTCCCGATGCGCCGCGATACCGTCCTGGTGCGGCCCAACGGATACATTGTGCTGCGCTTTCAGTCCGATAACCCGGGCATCTGGCTGTTCCACTGCCATCTGGAGTGGCACATGGCGTCCGGGCTGGCGATCACGCTAGTCGAGGCACCGCTCACGCTGCAGCAGCAGTTGGGCGGTAAGATCCCGCAGGACCACTGGGATGTGTGTGCCAAGGGTAGTGTACCTGTGAGTGGTAATGCGGCGGGGAACACGGTGGATTTGCTGGATTTGAGCGGTGAGAATAAGAGCCCTGGGTATCTGCCGGCGGGCTTCACAGCGCGCGGGATTGTCGCGCTGGTGTTTAGTTGTCTTAGTGCGTTTTTGGGCATGGCTGTTATTGGGTGGTATGGACTGAAGCCTGTTGGCGAGAAGAGGACGGGATAGTCGAAGCATTGAGAGGATGGGGGAGTGGTGTTGAGAGGGAGGTGAGGGTTCTTAGCCATCGGCGGTTTCGTGTAGCGTTCTTGTATACCCTGCTTCCCCAATCTGACATTACGAACATTTTCTTACTCTTCCATGTCAATCGCAGAGACTACGTTGATGGCAAACTCGTAGGTGGTTGTATGGCAGTGTACTGGTCTTGACCCGCTGTGGCTTAGACTTACAGCCTCTCGCTCTGCGTCTCCTCATCCCAGTAATAGCTCCACATGTCCAGCCCTCTAAATTCATCCGCATACTTCCTACCCCGTGTCTCAGCTCCCGCCCCCGCACACACAATCAGCGGCAAGAAATGTTCCGCGCCGCCTTGTGGATGCATAGTATACGCATTTGGCCAGTTCCTCCAGCCTTTGAACTTGCCCTCCCTTTCCTTGACATCGTCTGTAGTCGCAGCATCACTAACCGCATCGCTCCACTCGATGTTCGCCTTCTTGAAGTCCGGGGTCGACGAAATGCCAGAGAACATGAGACGGAGGTTGTGGAAGGTCGCAAAGCCGGAGCCGATAATTGCTATGTTCTGCTCACGCAGAGAGGAGAGGGCGCGGCCGATTGCGAAGCTTTGAGAAGGCGATTCGGAGGCTAACACGGAGACTTGGACGATTGGTACGCCGGCTTTGGGGTCGATCAGCTTCATGGGGATGAAGACGCCGTGGTCCCATGCTGGATACTCATTAGCTCGCGTTTTGGGCGCAGTAAGGGAGGGGAAGGAGGGATGTACCGCGCTCCAAATCCTTGACACAATCGATCCCTGCATCTCTGAGGACTCGTTCAACTTCGCCTGCGACCTCAGGTGAGCCGGGCGCGGTGTGCTTGATCTTGTATGACTCGTCTGGGAAACCGTAGTAGTCGTACAGCAGCTCATGTCTCGCACCACTCGATATGTGGACTTTGTCTGTTGACCAGTGCGCTGTGACCAGTACAATAGCTTTCGGCGCTTCTGGTGTGCCTAGCTTGAGGATCTTGGGTACTTTTGTCTGCAGCGACTTGGTGATTTCGGCGTGCGAAGGGTCGCCGAGCACAGGCATGGGGCCGCCGCCGTGCGAGATGGAGAGGACAGGAGCGAGACGCGTCATGTTGCCGCTATACGAAGATATGGGAAATTGCTGGATGCCGGGGAGAGGATTGGAGGTTGTGTTCTCTGCGGACACTGCTTTGGGTCGTATGATGCCGAAGGTTGCCAGGGAGAGCAGCTTGCGGCTGAGGTTCATGTTCCGGAGTGTGAATGCAGATCAGCACTGGCTTTTAACTGGACTGCAAGAGAAGGAGACATCGTGGATGCTGACAGTCCCTATTTGCCGTTCTCGAAGCCGCCAGATGGTCGTCGTGATTTAGTCAGGATGGTTTGACAGCGCGGAAAGGGTCCGAGGTAGCTGCGCTCTGATTGGCTGTGGATCACTCCACTTTCTGATCCACAGGGACTCATGCAGTTCAAACCTTCCTCTTTCGGCAGTTCTGAACTTTGCACTTCGGATGTCCGGTTGAGTAGAATCCGATCACATGAGCACGCGACGCGACTTGAAATCGTTTACACGACAGTCGCACTAAGCTGCTTGCTCGTGCAAGATGAAACGGTGTGATCGCGATCATCTCATAGCTGAGAAGCCGTATAGCCGTGGTATTCATAGCTGGCAGATAGGCGTCCAGCAGACGACCGTGCTGTCCATCACAGCCCTGCCGAGTTCACCGAGGCTGCTTGCATCCGCCTTGTTCCAAGCCTCCACACAGAGGCACACAGCGCCCCTTGGCGACGATGGTTGAAAGGCTGGTGTGTACCTGCATCCAATGATGTGCCTGCATGACCGCTGTTAGCTCATAGAGCTTCAGGCGCACGTCAGATGTGCCCTGGTCGCAGGGCTGGTCGAGGCTGTCACCACGATCATATGTGGATCGACGGGGCACCGGTCAGCGTAGACGGTTTTTCAAGCAGGTCACGTTTTGAAGATCGCGCTGGGTGCCTGACTGGGCCTTGACGAGAATAGTCACAATACGAGAAAAGACGGGTCAAAGTGTAGGTTCGTGTGACTGGTATCTTGTATATATTGATGATTTGTCCCGTTGATAGAGTGTGTTCATCGGAGCAAAGCATTCCCAGTTGAGCTCTTCAAGTCACTCGTATCTTTGTTCTTCAAGTGCCTCCACCGACGTCCAACATGCAGCTCACAAACTTTGTTACTCTCGCCCTTGCTTCTGTTGCAGTGGCAGCTCCAGACTTTGCTATTGGAAGCAAGCAGTACTCTATTAGCGCCAAGGATACAGCACAGCTCAATCAGATCACAAAGGCCGTCATCGATGCTGCATCTTCCTGGCACACTTCCGTGACTGCGCAGCCCGAGTACAGCTCCGCTTGGTCGGAACTGGTCGAATTCCAACAAACTCACAGCGGCGTTCCTGAGGGCGTCACGGCCACCGACTCTATCATCAAATACGCTTCGACGCCAACTTGGTACGTTTTGAAGAAGCTGCTCCTAACGACGTAAGCTAACATGATCTCAGGTACAGTGCTATGCCCACTGGTCTCAAGGCCTACATCGAGAAGAACGTGAAGGAGCAGGACGAGCTCATTGCTAGCGTCATCAAAAAGACCACTGGCGATGCGGCGCGACCCATTGGTATGGGCATGTACGTTAGCGGGGCATTTGCTGCTCTGGTCGGTGGTGTCGTAATGGCGTTGTAGACGACGAAGACTCTGGGAAGTTGAATCATGATCTGATGATTGGCGTTTGGAGATGTCGATACCCTGCTTTAGCTGAATTACGCAATAATGAATTTCAGTCCTGTAAGTCGCTTGCGATTGATCTGAAGGAACGCGATTGGTCGTGATCTTTAATTGCTGACTTTGCGATCTGGTATGCCGGTGATGCCGAGTGGTATTGATTGCATGTCCAAAAGTCCGACCCTAGAGCGCCGCCCAATGCAGTGTGTTTTACGGATGTGCCAAACTGTACGCCCTTTCATGCTTAGTGAGGCCCCAGCTGAGGAGCCGACATGTCGAAGAATGTCGTCTTGTCCCAGAACAGTAGTGTTTCGTGGCTTACTGGCCCTGTCCAATTCGCTCCTTGTATGCCTGCCATCCTGCTTGCCTATAGCGCTGTGCCTCTGCCTTACGATCTGAGGCACGGACGATGCCGCGTCCGACGATGATAATATCGCAGCCGGACTCGAAGATCAGCTTTCGCGGTGTGTTGTATTGCTGACCTAGGCTATCTCCAAGCTTCGCGCCTTCTTGACCAGGCGGTGGCAATTGGCAACCAGGTGTCATGGTTATAAAGTTGTCGTCTGGCTCGATATTCAGGCTTCGCTGAGCAATGAAGCCCATAACGAAGTCGCGATGGGATCGCGCGATATCAACGCTAGCCTGGCGGTATTCAGGTGTCATAAGGTGTCCAGCAGAGCTCATTTCGGCAAGCAGAAGCAACGAGCGCAAGAAGGGAGGTTCGCCTAAGCGGGCAAGCTGCTTGACTGTGTCCAGGTCGAATGTGTCGCCAGAAGCATTGAGTGCCTCCGGTCTTGGCGAAATGCTCTCAGTGCGTGTGGAGATGGTGGTGCTGACACTGACCACGCTCTGTTTCCTGTCCATGGGCTTGATGCTGAGCCGTCTTTCGCCGTCGTCCATGAGCATAGGCGACTCAAGCGCACCATCCATAGGAGGGACCTCGTCGTCCTCATCCTCATCTTCACCTGCGCCGTTCAGCGTAGCGCGAGTTGAAGCAGAGATCTCAGTATGCACGCCAGTGTTGTACTTCGCGATGGTCGATTCGGCGGCTTTCTCAAGGGCGGTAACGATAGCAGGGCCGGGGATGATGTGGGCGTTGGTGATCTCGGCCCACAGCGCGATGCGGTGGTGTCCTGACGTGTACTGCTTCTGCACAGTTTCTGCCAGTAACGTTAGACGTGTTCAGGCTTGTGCAATCAAAGCTAGACTGTTTGGCATGCTCTGTACGGAAGAGGACGTACCACCAATGTCGGCAAATTTGCGGTCCTCAAAAATGAGGAAGGATTTCCTCTTCGCAATCTCCCTCAAGGCTGTGGCTGTCCGGTCTGTCCAGTCTGTAACAATGTCGCAGTGGGTCTTGAGCAGGCAAATCGAGTCACCAACATCTTCGGCGAGCTGGATAAGTTCGGCGGAGGTCTCCACATCTGCAGACAGACACAGATTTGTCTGCTTGATGGAAATCAAGCGCAGCAGGTAGGAGGCCAGAGGGCCGGTGGTGGGGAGGCCGGCTCGCGATCCATATGTGCTGGTGATGGTGAGATGTGACGGTAAGGCCATTGTGTGTGATGTGCGAGTGGAGGTGACAGGAAGCCGGTCCACTATTGACAGTTGACAGATGTTTGTTGTCCCAGGGAACGGGGCAGCGCTTTCTTCGGCGGATGACGCGCGCAAAGATAATTTGCTGGTTGACGTGGGCTGTCCAAGGATGTTATACACCAGGACCCTTGCGGGGATCAGTCGTTTGGAGGGGCACCGGAAGGAGCGAACACGGACGAGACCACAGGATCAGCAGTCGGCGACTGCGGTTTGAGGTTTGAGGTGGGAGGCAGGAAGGACTGTGCAGTGATTGCCCGTTGTGTTTAGGACTCAAGGACCGTGAGCGAGCGTCACAAGCGCCTTGAGGCACAGAAAATTGCCGCAGCCCGCTTGCGCCTGGCGTACTGGCGGGCCGCAGATCGCTGCGTCTGCATTCCGCCGTTTTCGGGTGTCTGAGAAGCAGCCCATCACCAAACCTCCGCCAATTGAGCGTTGCCAATAATGTGCGGAACCGTCCTTAATCTGTATGCACGTATGCACCCTTGGGGACCTCCCCTGCGGCCCGCCGTGTGCGACGTAGCTGATGCAGCCGCAGTGCAATCAGGGTCTCTTTTCGAAAGTCGTGACGCCGGACGTCTGCTGCACTGTTGACGATTCATACCCATCGAGCTAACAGTCTCTTCTACTCGACCTCTCGAGCCTGCCAGCTGAACTCTGCTCCTTTGCCCTGCATTACTATCCTGGCAAAGGTCCGATTGTGACGAAGGGCGAAGTCAGCAGACCACTGCATTATTGCCGTTACTCATCTCCTTACACAACTCATTGCCCGTTCCATCCTCCGTACGATGCTGTTGTGTGCTGAGAACCGGCGCCACAATAATGCCGTGAGGCCTGCTGCAGCTATTCGTCTCATCACACATCCACTTCCCTGGACTTCTCCGGGGCTGCGCTGCTGACGATTTGCTCCGGGTAATCCCGTTCAGTCTTAGATGGGAAGTCGCCAGGGAAAGGTTCCAGAAAGAGGATTCAACGGCGTTCACGGAGCCAGCTCATTCGTGGCAATTCCTCATTTGCGTCGTAGTCTCGTACGACCTTTACGACCGCCTCGCTGACACCGACGACTATTGTCTGTGGTCAAAGTCGAGACGCAGATCGATACCATTGCATCGGGATCGGTGGGTGCGGACCGCAGTCGGTTAACATGCCGTCGCCGCTTGCTGATCTGGTCGACAAGGCACCTGGACTCTGGCCGGTTGTTGACACCCGGGTTGCTGAGGTGTCTTTCGAATTGTCCACCACTTGTTCTTGTCGTGTGACTGCTATCGTTGCTTGGTGAAGAGATAGGAGAGTGCGACGGTTTCACGATAGCTCTCGGCGCATGTCTTCCCTCGCCGCACATGCATTTCTAATCCCCGACGAGACTTGTCTTTTAGCATGTCGACAGTCTCATACAAGGTCACTAGCAGTTGGCGCTATAGCATCGATGCCACACCACCGTCCACTATAGAGAAATCTTGATCGATGATTTGACATTGCACCCAAGGGTTATCAGGGTTGCTTGCTCGTAGCGCCAAGGTAAGAGGACCTTGAGTAGACTGGGTGCGCCCACGACATTTGTTTCCAAGGGACATTTCCTGTAGCTGATGGCTGCCTCACGCAGCAGGTGTGGCTCTGGGTCACGATTGCATCTGTGCAAAGACAGCCCAGACGGCCCAATGATGATTGACAGCTACGCCTCAGACTCTCCAGAGTCGGTCCAAGAGCCTACTCAAACGACTAGCAGCCCGAATACTGCCACACGCTCCGCTTGACGGTGAGGGAGGAGCTGCGCAAGGAACTCGACAGCGAGGACAGCTAGCAGACGCCTTCACGACGGCGAGCGGCAAGTCTGGCGCTCTAGTCTTTCAATCGTCAGGCACGTAGAGTTGGAGCCTGAGAGGGCGTTTCGTTGGTCAAGCGCCAACTTCACCTCATCTTTACGTTGAGTTCATTCGTTCGTTCGCAAATAAGTGGCCCGCATCGTTCCCACCAAAGTCTCCTTCATCTGCATTCTCCATCTTGCGCCCTACGACTTCAACATCTTCCCAACCCCAGCCCAAATAGTCTCCAACAGCCGCCAACATGGCTCCTAAGAAGGTGGCTCCGCCACCAAACACCACCATCGAGGGCTACGACGTGAAGGAGACGCGCATCCTCGCGGCTGCATTCGTTTCCTCTCTCGGCGCCGATAAGGTTCGTAGATATTCAGCCTTGACAGTCTCCGCTTTTGTATACACACTGACTCCCCGCAGTACAACTGGCCGCTCTTCGCCACGCTCACTGGCTTCACCGAAGGCTCGCTCAAGAAGTTCTGGCCTCCAGTGAAGAACAAGGCACTCGAGCAGCATGAGAGCTTCGGCACCTTCCTCAAGGGCGGCGCTGCTCCCGCCAAAGCTGCAGGCGGCAAGAAGCGCAAGGCTGCCAATGCCGACGCGGATGCCGACCTCGATCCCAAGATCTCCTCCGCTGACGCCATTAATGGTAAGGCACCTGAGGCTAAGTCCAAAAAGGCTCCCTCGAAGAAGCGCGGCAAGAAGGCGAAGACCGAGGAAGATGACGAGGAGAAGGTCAAGGTGGGGGACGACTCCGTTGATGGCGGCGACGGTCTTGGTGAGTTTGTCTACAAGAAGCACGTGCTGGATTGGTCGGAGAGTACTGACGGGACTGCAGAAGAGGCCTAATGCTGCACTGGGAGATGTCATGTGAGGTCCCGTGAGGGTTTGGACCGACCACCGTAGTTGGTGCACTCTCCGGGTGTCTCCTTACTTCATCGTCTACACTCATATCACTGACGTCGCACTTCACCGCTATACTTATCAGTGATGAGGTTGTCAACCGGCATGCAATATTCGTATAGGAAACTGGGATTCTTTGGATAGGCATCCTGGTACTGTCTTGCATAGCTAGCATGGCTTAGCAAACTCAATGAACGAAGAACGATCAAATACTCAACCCCAGATTGGTACCTATGCGTTTCGCAGTGACCAATTCACTAACAAAATCTTTGCAAAGCAGTTAGAAGAAGAGCCCCAGGATTCGGCATTCGCGCACTAACGCAAGGCTAGCTGCACTGTCCCCGCCAACTGAGCTCGTTCATCCCTCCAATCCCAACACTGTCGTCTCTTGTAGAAAGGTAAAAAGCGTCACAGATATTCACATCTATCGTTCCACATTGGAGTGTGTGTGACTGCGCGGCATCAATTGCAGTGACCTGCAGCACTGACTAACTCCATGATGAACCTGCGCGCACGGCCTCAACCAGTGCCAGCCTCCAGCCTCACCACCAACATATCACAGTCGCGCTGCCAAGGCCGCTCTGATCAACCGAGCTTCCGCTTTCGAGATGACCTTCTGTAAGGAGTCTTGTTCTTCTGGACCGAGCGCAATGATATGATCGCCGACTCTCACACTTTCTTTACTCTGGCGTACGACGGCTGTGCGAGTAGCACGGCATTGCACCACTTTCCAATGTTTGTTCTTTAGCCTTTCCAGTCCATGAGCGGAGACAAAGATTTTCGGCAAATGGGCATCGTTATCTAGAACATCGGATCCACCGCTGATAGCCTGTGGGATGAGGCTGGGCATTCTGGGCATCGTCATGTTTCTCAAAAAATTGAAGTCGACCTTCCTAACTAAGCAAGCAGCTCTCACTGCACAAACACTACATGGACAAGCTTATCAACAAGAGCTAGAAGTACAAGACATATAAGAGTTCGGGATGGGCCAATTGAACGGTCTTCGCGTTCCGCACGGCCTCGCTTGATCAGATCATGCAGCTCCTCGCTTCTGTCGCTGCGACTGCTGCAATTCTTGCGGGCAGCGTCTCTGCCGCAAACTTCACGGGCGATGTCTTGAATGGCGTGCCGGTCATTCATGACCTGAACCTTGCCGACGTGCCTGCTCAAAAGGTTTCGCGATACTATCTGCGCGTCGGCGAGCTCAATGGCGGCCACCCGGTCCACATTCCCGTGATGGTCGCACGAGGTACCCCAGAGAGTCTCGAGACAGGGCAGAAGCTGTCGCTGTCCGCTGCAATCCACGGCGACGAACTCAACCCCGTCCGCGTTGTCCAGCGCATCTTCGCGCAGCTGGAGGACCAGGTCGCGACGCTGAACGGCACTGGTACGCGTTCCATGGACCCAAAGATTGTCTAACGTACTCTAACATCAACAGTCATCGGCATTCCCACGGTCAACCCCATGGGCATCTATCTCAACCAGCGCAACTACTTCACCGCCTCGGCATCCGGCTCCCTCACAAACGTGAACCGCGTCTTCCCCGGCGTATCCGCCGAGCTTGGCGGCAGCGGACCCAACATCCTCGCCTACAACATCTGGAATTACCTCTGGGGCAACGCGTCCCAAGTGGACGTTGGGATCGATCTGCACACGCCGTCGTCGGGCGGCGAGACCAGTCTCTGGTGCTACGCCGACTGGCGGCTACCGTACGTCGAGCGCCTGAGCAAGCTGCTGCAGCCGGACACGCTGAAGATCGACGTCGGCGAGCCCGGCAGCATCGAGACGACCTTCGTCGAATCCCAGATCCCAAGCCTGACGGTCGAGATGGGCGAAGCCAAGGTATGGAACACGTCGCTGATCGACCGCACCGTCGCCTTCGTCGAGCGCGTCATGCTGGACCTGCACATGACGCCGCGCAACGGCACCGTCGAGCCGGACCTCAGCGCTGTCTACGTGGCCAACACGTTCCACGACTCGTACACACAGCACGGCGGCTTCGTCGAGCGCCTGGTCGGCGTCGACGAGCCCGTGACCAAGGGCCAGCCCATCGCACACGTGCGCAACGCGTTTGGTGATATCCTCGAGACCATCGTCTCGCCCGCCGACGGCCGCATGTTCCAGAGCCCCCGCGATCCGTCGTGCGAGCCTGGCAGCAGCGTGGGGCAGATTGCGTACAACTCGACGGACCCTGAGTGCGCTGACGGATGTATTCTCAGCGGCCCGGGGAGCGCGCGCAGGAGGTAGAGAGTAGTCGCTTGGGAATGAGAATGTGTTTGCGTATTGCTCGCTTGAAGATTGGTGCTTGGGCTGTGACGCTTTCTACCAGAGCAGGACTTGCTCGATCTACCCCCGCGCCGTGCCCTCCCAACATCCAGTGCTTCCCAGCAGTCGAGCCTAACCCACAGCGATCCGCACACACCTCCCCGCATCATCTCCACAGCCGCACATCTCATGGTGCGTACTCGCCGGTCTCCCCCCCCCGATCGACCGTGGCTCTACACAGCACACGCGCGAACCAAGCCTCTGTACCTATCGACCCCCGCCGCGCTCGTGAAAGCGAGCCGCACTCTGTATCTCGCCCGCGGCCTGCGGCCTGCGATCCTGCTCTCCCCGTCCCTCCCTCCCATTCTGCTCTCCTCCTCCCCACCCCTGCCTCCCTCACGCTTCCCCTTGAGCTCCCCGCACAGCTGGGCATCGGCGTCGACGTCGGCATCGGCATCGACATCGGCATTGGCATCGACATCGACATCGACATCGGCGTCGACATCGGCTTCGACATCGGCATCGGTGAAACGCACACCCTCGCTCGCCCGTCCGGGTCGAGCAACGCAACGCGTCCGGGGCGTGTCCCGCCATATTGATCCGCACAGGGCGGGGGCGCGGGATGTATGCAGAGAGGGTGCGGCGGTGCTTGTGCAGCTTGGACTCGACGGCGTGCATGACGACGTGCATGGTGCACATCTCGGTTCCTCGTGCATCAGGTGCTTGTGGCGGGCGCGGCAGTCAGTGCACGTCGGGTGCAAGCACGGCGTCTCGAGGGTGATCAAGTCCGCGAACTTGCCTCGCGCGCGCCTGTCGCGGCCGCCGTAGTGGAAGCGCGTCAGTCGTGCTGTGCACTGGCGGCGGGTGGGGCTGTGCTTTGGCGCTTTTGCGGGAGGCTGCGGTGGTGGGGATGGGGTGTACGAGTTCCACACGTCTCTTCTGAATGTGAGGGAGAGCTTTGGTGCTGGGTCGTTAGGTGTAGGAGAGAATCCGGCATCTGAACGCGAGGCAAGCGGGAGTAGTTGATGCGCCATCATCACGCTGATGCTCTCTGCAGCCTTGGTCTTGCTGGCGCGCGCTGTGCGGTTCCATGACATGCTGGCGAAGGTTCTGTCTGGTAATCTGTTCAGCTTGCGTTTGCTGCGCAATTGTCAGTTGGTCGATTGCTTGTGTATGAATTGCCAGCTGTGACCGGGACCTCTGCCAGTGCGTGACACATGAAAGGACATTGTGCAAACCCAAGAACATTGTGCAAACCCAAAGATATTGTGCAAACCCAAGGGCATTGTGCAAACCCAAGGACATTGTGGCTACGTCGCCAGCCCTTTGTTTGCACCCGAGTCTTTGTCGCAGTGCGAAGGTGCAAGTACATTGTGAGCGTGAAAAGCCATTCGAGTCAAAGGGACTAAAGTCTAATTGGTGTATGGGTGCGGTCTACAAGGCTGCAATGCACATGTCGTGTCGCTGGTCCTACTCGTAGCACTGGCTCCACAAGCCGCCAGTCCTGGAGAAGCTTTGGCTCTCTACAAACTTAGTCAACGTGCACCTGCCGTGCTTGTCGGCGCCGCAGAAGTCGAGTGGCTGGACGCGGTCGTTGACGATGATGCGCACAAACTCTTCTGCCGCGCCGCTGCACTGCAGCTTCTCGATGTACAAGCGCGATGCGAACGGAACTGTCCAGGCGGCAGAGTAGCCATGCGTGTCTTTGGTGCTTTCTACCGTTGTATTCGAAAGCGGCTTCGTCTGGTTGTAGAGTCCCAAAGCAGCAAGGACACCGCTGATGTCGTTGTCGTGGCTGAAGTCGGCGTAGACTCTGCGATGGAGTGGGAAGGTTGCAGGGTCAGAGTCGAGCGTGCGGTTCGTGCTCGTGTTGTCCTCAACGGGCTTGTCCTGGAGCCTGGCCAGGAGCTCGTTCACATAGCCCACGCCCTGCGTGGCACCGAGCGGGTTGCCAACGCCATAGCCGTAGTACTTGCCGAGACTCTGGAAGTAGTCGTACTGGCGCCATTCCTTCTCAGTGAACAGGTGACAGAAGGGGGAGACCTTGGCAGTCGGATGCGCCAGGGTGTCAAAGGGACACATGTCCATGAGGTAGACCACGTAAGTGGCGCTCAGGTTGGTGCCAAGCTTTGCATTGACGCGCTCCTGGATGGGCGGGACGAAGTTTGATGCAAACGTCCGCTGCGCTTCGTAGCCACGTCTTCCCGTGAATGCTGGACAGACATCGTGGGACAGCGTGTTGTTCCACTCGGTGCCCTCGGGGATGATGACGTCGACCTTCTTGGCCTTCTCGTCGAGTGACTGTGCAACGCCCAACAGCCACTGCTCAGCCGACTCAACGACACGGTGCTGGCCTCCTGCACGCACAAAGGGGGCGTGCTTCCTGACGAGTTGGTGGTAGCGGCGGGAGAAGTGGGCGCCCGAGTTGACCATCTCCTGCCTCCCAGCCGGGGTCAGCTCGTCGGCGCCGAGGGAGTATTCATAGTGCTTTAGGAAGGCGAACTCGCCGGGGAACGCGGTGCTCGTGTTCCGGATGTCGGCGACCAGGAGCGCGTAGGCCAGCGACTTGCCGGCGGTCGGGTCGCGGCCGCCGTGGCGAGAGAGGACGTTTGCGAAAGTGACGTCGCAGCCGCTGGGTGGCTCGACGTGCATGTCCGACGGCACCGCGAACCACGGCGCATACTGGCCCCAGAAGTGGCTCGTACTGGGGCTGCAGCGGTAGCCGTCATTGACCGTGTCGCAGGCCGCGTTTGTAGGCGCGGCGAGGGAGCTGGCGGGTCAGAACGACGCGACTTGCACATGCGGGAGACCTACCGGACGAGCCCATACAGGGCGAACAGGCAGCCGGCGATGCACAGCACCGTGAAGCGCGAGCGCGAGCGCGAGCGCGCCTGACAGCGCTGCTTGACCTCTGGATGCGACGCCTTCTCGCTCAGCGGCAGCGGCGTGTACTCGTGCGAGCGGCAGCCGCGCACTCTGTTCCACGCACGCGCCATCATGCTGGCTGTATAGTGCTTTGGATTCAAGAGTTCAGTCGGGACGAGTATCAACGTCGACGGCCATGACAACGGTGTTCGTCTCGAGAGGTTCCGCTAGGGCCCGCTTTTACGGGCTTGGCCCGAAAGCTTGACCGTCACAGATTGTGGGGCAGGCCGGCCGGCGGGTGATTCCATCAGTCATTATGGAACACGACGAGATACGCCATTGACGCCGTCGTGATGCCCATTGACGCCGACGTGATGCCCGTTGACGCCGACGTGATACCCTTTGCAGTCGCCCACGTCGGCTCCCAGCTCGTCCCGGCCCCGGACTCTGCGCGTCAGCCCGCCGAGCTGCATGGCACTAACGGCCGCGGCGTCCAGATCGTCAGCCGGTCCCTGCCTGTTCTTGAAGATAGCTGCGCCGCGTACACGCCTATCACTCGCACATGTCACATGGCCGACACCGAAGACAAGCACTGACAAGCCTTTATCGCCCGAGAGGCCTGGTGGGCATGCCGCATGGGGAATGGCTGGGTTCAGACTCGGTCCTGTTCCGCCCATCTGCTCTATTAATGCCTCGACATGGTGCCAGTACTGAGTGACTGTGAACGTGGACTGCGACACATCCATCTCTCGTCCTCACACAAGGCAGTTGTGAGCGTGCATTGCGACACATTCATCTCAGACAGTGCACTTCCCCACGTCCGGTGCGCAGTGTCACCATCAAGATGACGGCTCCTCACAGCGACGACGACCTCCAGCTGCAAGCCCTCGGCCACAAGGGCGAGCTGCAGCGCAACTTCTCGCTTCTTTCCATGCTGGGTCTTGCCTTTGCCATTCTCAACTCATGGACTGCCCTCTCCACGTCGCTCTCGCTGGCGCTGCCAAGCGGCGGCTCGACGTCGGTCATCTGGGGCCTGTTGACGGCTGGCATCTGCAATCTTGCTCTGGCGGCGTCGCTCGCAGAGTTCCTCTCGGCCTACCCTACGGCTGGCGGACAGTGAGTCGTCTCGAACACGGACCAAGCCAATGTACTCACACGCGCAGATACCACTGGGTCGCTGTCATCACACCGCGGAAATGGGTCCCGCTCGCGTCCTGGATCACGGGCTGGATCAACGTCTCCGGATGGATCGCCCTGACCACATCTGGAGGTCTCTTGGCTTCTGAGCTCATCGTCGGCATCGTGTCCCTCTTCCACCCCGACTTCGCCATCAAGCCCTGGCAGCAGTACCTGATCTACCTCGCCTGGACCCTCATCGCCTTCTTCGTCAACGCCTTCATGAACAGGCTGCTCCCGTATCTCAACAAGGGGGCGTTCATGTGGTCGATTGGCGGGTTCGCCATCATCTGCATCACGGTCCTGGCGTGCTCGTCGGGCGAGTTCGCTTCTGCCGAGTTCGTCTTCACCGAGTTCATGAACAACACGGGCTGGCCCGATGGCATCTCGTGGCTGCTGGGCTTGCTGCAGGGTGGCTTCGGAATCACCGGGTACGACGCGGTGGCGCACATGATCGAGGAGATCCCCAACGCCAGCGTCGAGGGACCCAAGATCATGATCTACTGCGTCTGCATCGGCACCGTCACTGGCTTCATCTTCCTGATGATCCTGCTGTTCGTGTCGGGAGGCGACGCAGACACCATCATCGAGGCCGGATCCGGGCCGCTGGTGTACATTATCAACCACGCGACCAAGAGCCGCGCCGGGGCCGTGTGCCTGCTCATGTTCCCGCTCGTCTGCGTTCTCTTTGCGGAGATTGCCATCATGACCACGTCGTCGCGCATGTCGTATGCATTCGCGCGAGACGGCGGTCTTCCGTTTTCCACGGTGTTTGCAAAGGTCGACAGCCGGCTCGGCGTGCCGCTCAACTCGCTCATGCTCGCGGCGGGGCTCGCGCTCGTGTTCGGGGTGATTATGATCGGGTCCAGCAGCGCCTTCAACGCGCTGATTGCGGCGTCGGTGGTCGCGCTCGGCGTCAGCTACGCCATCCCCGTCGCCATCAACGTCTGCCGCGGGCGCAGGATGCTGCCGGACCGCGCCTTCACGCTGGCGCCGTGGCTGGGCTGGTCGGCGAACCTGCTCGGTCTGGCCTACGCCATCGTGACGACGGTGCTGTTCGTCTTCCCGCCCGAGCTCCCCGTCACGGGCAGCAACATGAGTAAGTCTGAACGTGGACTGGTGTGTGCTGTGCCCGAGCTAACCCGCGTTGCCAGATTACTGCATCGTCGCCTTTGGCATCATCCTGTTCATCAGCACAATCCAGTGGTTTGTCGACGGGCGCGCGAACTTCACCGGCCCCCGGGCAGATATGAGCCTCGAGGTGCTCGAGGCGATGAAGACCAATAGTTCGAGCACGGCGGCGGCGGCGGTGCTTGAGCCCAAGTTCGCGGGTGAGGCTGAGCTCGAGAAGTAGGTATTGCATGTATCTTGGGCAGTATGCAATGTGTCTTGTCCTGCAGTATGCAATGTGTGTTGTTGGCAGTACTGTAATGTGTGTTGTCGGCAGTACTGTAATGTGTGTTGTTGGCAGTACTGTAATGTGTGTTGTCGGCAGTACTGTAATGTGTGTTGTCGGCAGTACTGTAATGTGTGTTGGCAGTACAGCAATGTGTCTGTCTTGTCATGCAGTACAGCAATGTGTCTGTCTTGTCATGCAGTACGGCAATGTGTCCGTCTTGTCACGCAGTACGGCAATGTGTCTTGTCCATTTCTTCGTCTCGTGACTGCTGTCCACTTGATGTCAAGCCGAGTTGCGTCTCTGTGTCACAGTCCAACTCCCGCTCGTGCCTGATGTGCACAACGTGCGCGCGTGGGCGGAAGCCGTAATGCCAGCTAGCGCGGAAGCCGTAATGCCAGCTAGCGCGGAAGCCGTAACGCCAGCTAGCACGGAAGCAGTAAGGTCGGCAACGCGGCCGCCCGCGTTAGTCAGCCCGCAACGTCAGCCAACGTCAGCAGCTAGCGCGAAGCATGTCGCCTCTAGTCGTCCCAACTCCAAAAGTGCTGCGCTGGTTTATATAGCCCCGCCACATGTTGCGCGACGCTCTCCCTCGACCGACGCTCCCTGCTGATGGCGCCCATGGTTAGACTCGGGATGCGGCCGGGCCCGGGCGTGCTGGGCGCGCGGCGACGACTGCAGCGATGCATAGCGACGGCCGCCGAGCGCGCCAGCAATGCGCGGCAGACGGCGAGAGAGCGCATCCAGGCCGTCGACCAGGCCAAGCCGTTCGCCGCAGCGCTGACGGACGGGTTCCAGCGGCAGCACGACTACCTGCGCATCAGCGTCACGGAGCGCTGCAACCTGCGCTGTCTGTACTGCATGCCCGAAGAGGGTGTGCCGCTGTCGCCGCCCGCCGCGATGCTCACGACGCCCGAGATTGTCTACCTCTCGTCGCTCTTCGTCTCGCAGGGCGTCACCAAGATCCGTCTGACGGGCGGCGAGCCCACGGTGCGCCGCGACATTGTCCCGCTGATGCAGCAGATCGGCCGCCTCCGCCCAAGCGGGCTGCGCGAGCTCGCCCTCACCACCAACGGCATCGCGCTGCACCGCAAGCTGGACGCCCTGGTCGACGCGGGGCTGACGGCCGTCAACCTCAGCCTCGACACCCTGGACCCCTTCCAGTTCCAGATCATGACGCGCCGCAACGGCTTCGACGCCGTCATCAAGTCCATTGACCGCATCCTCGAGATGAACCGCGTGGGCGCCAACGTCAAGCTCAAGGTCAACTGCGTCGTCATGCGCGGCCTGAACGAGCGCGAGATGCTGCCGTTTGTCGACATGGGCCGCGACAAGGACCTGGAGGTGCGCTTCATCGAGTACATGCCGTTTGGCGGGAACAAGTGGAGCGAGAACAAGATGATCAGCTTCCAGGACATGGTCGACACGATCCGCGTCGCGCACCCGGGGCTCGCGCGCCTCCCAGGGCACAAGAACGACACGAGCAAGACGTACCAGGTGCCCGGCTTCGTCGGCCGCGTCGGCTTCATCTCCAGCATGACCAACGACTTCTGCAGCTCCTGCAACCGCCTGCGCATCACCAGCGACGGCGCCCTGAAGGTGTGTCTGCACGGCAACGACGAGGTCTCGCTGCGCGACCTGCTGCGCGCCGACAACAACGGCGACCCCATCGACGACGCCGCCTTTGAACGCATCAGGCAGATGGAACAGGACCGCCACAACGGCCGCCTCGCCGCCGAGACCACGCTTGGCTGGGGCCCCCGCGAGCGCAAGCTGCTCGAGGTCATCGCGCGCGCCGTCCAGCGCAAGCCCGAGAAGCACGCCGACATGGACCAGCTGGCCGCCATGCCGAACCGGCCCATGATCCTGATTGGTGGGTGACTGCTTTTCTTTGGTCGAGGCGGTGTTTTTTTTTTTTTTTGTTGATATTCCACGGCGGGACGTTCCATGTGTTGTGTGGTCTGGCCTTTGAACTAGGGCGTCGCCGGCTATATACGAATTCATTGCCTGTTTTTGTGATTCAATGTCGCTGGACTGTGTATACCTTTGTTGTCGACATGTCGTTTAAGCCTGTATACCCGCATTCTTCATCAACACGTCTACGCCTGCATACCTCCATTCTTCATCAACACGTCTACGCCTGCATACCTCCATTCTTCACCAACACGTCTACGCCTGTATACCTCCATTCTTCATCAACACGTCTACCTGTCAGTCCAGCGCTGACGTGTGTAGACCAGCAACGCTCGCTCAACCCCACGCACACCCGCGCTGCGCCGACGGCGACAAGCGTCCTGGCGTCACATGCCTACTTGAATCCTCTCCTTGGACGTCATCCCAGCTCCGCGAGAGCTTTCTCGACGACGTCTTGCCCCCGAGCTGCAGCAGCCGCAGCGGCGGCGGCGGCGGCGGCGGACGAGTACAATCCCTTTGACGACGAGATCAACCACATCCAACACCCCCAAGACCTGAACCGAGCCCGGAGGAGAGAGAGGCTGAAACCAAAGCACCCATCCCCACAGGCAGTCCAAGCTTCCGAAGCGCCCCAACTACTTCGCGATCTGCAGCCCTCCGATGCTCCCCCAGCGCCGCCGGCCCTCGGCGAGCTCGAGCCCGAGGACCTCGAGCGCAGACTGGCAGAGCTGGGCGCGCGCCTCGAAGCCGCCCACGCCGTCGACTGGCACGAACTCGTGCAGGACGCGCAGCGCGAAAGGAACATTAAGCTGCTGCCAGGGTACAATGGCATGGATCGCCACAAGAGGCTGCACGAGATGCGGATCCGGACGGACGTGTACACGGCGCGGGTGCAGGAGCTGCGGCAGCAGAAGCAGGACCACGTGACGGCGACCAGGGAGCTGGAGGCCAGCATCGCAGCGCTGAAAGTCCTGATTGCGCGCCACAGAGAGACGCAGCAGCAGAGAGAGGCCGAGGAAGACGAGCACCACCACGTCCGGCTGCAGCTCCGTGCAAAGAAAGAGCATATTCTCGCTAGGAAAGACGAGCTCGCAGTCCGCATAGCCCGCCTCAAGGCGACGCAAGCACGCATCCCCCTCGCTCCCCTCGACACCCTCGACACCCTCGACACCGACGATGCCGACGAAGCTGCCCCCGAATCCACACTCCGCACCGCCCCGGCCCAGTCCCGCCCCGGCCCCCTCGCCTCCTCAGCGCTCCGCGTCCACCTCCCCGGCGGCTCGTACGCGGTCGACGCCGAGCTGACCATCAACCTCAACGCGGCCCAGCCCGCGCTGAAACAGCAACTCGCGCAACTGCGCCACCGCCTGCGCGCCTTCCACCCGCCGCTGGACGCGCTGCCCGCCGACCTCGAGGGCCGCGTCGACCCGGACCTGAAGCAGAACCAGGCGCTGTACCGCACCTGGCTGAAGATCCTGGCCGGGCGGTACCGCGCCAAGACGGGCGTGCTCGGGTATGCGGGCGAGATGGCCGAGGGGGGTGCTGCTGCTGCGGCGGCGGCGGCTTGTGGCGACAAGCCCGTGAGCGTGGGCGATGTGCTGGCGGCGCGGATGAGCGAGCAGAGCAAGGCGCGCATAGCAGCGCGCTGGAACGACGTGTTTGCCGCGAAGAAGGGCTTCGTCATGACGCCTTCTGCGCTGCACGGCGCCGTTGCGAGGCAGCCGCAAGACCGTGTCGAAGGGCTCGCGGTTGATCATGATCAGACTGCCGGGGCGGATGAGCACTTCCAGACCCCGCCCACGCCGACGCGCATCCAGCTGCAGCCTACCACCCAGACGCGCCCGAGACGCACACCCACGGTGCGCGAGGTCGTGCGGCGCGCGTACTCGACCAGCTCCCCCTCCTCCTCCTCCTCCTCCTCCTCCTCCTCCTCCTCTTCCTCTCTTCCGGACCCCCCAAACGACCCCCCGGAAGCTCCACCCGCCCCCCCAGCATCCCTGCCACACCTAACACCCACGGGCTCCGCGCACATGGTCCCCATAACCGCAAAGTCCTCTACAGCACGCACCGCCATAGCAGTAGGGACGGTGTACTTCTCGACCCCCCTGCCACTAGCGCTGATCTCCCGCAACACTTTAAAAAAGGGCGACGTCCTGGCCGTCAGCAGAGTGGCTGGCATCATGGCCGCCAAGAAGTGTCCGGACCTGGTGCCCCTGTGCCATCCCATCGCGCTGACCCACGTCAGCGTCGAGCTGCGCACGTTCGAGGGTGCCTCACCACCCACCCACTCCTCGCCCTCGCCCTCACACTCACCCGCTGCAGCACAGGCCCACGGCGGCGTGGCCATCGAGTGCAAGGTCGCGTGCACGGGTGCGACGGGCGTCGAGATGGAGGCGCTGACGGCCGTCATGGGCACCGCGCTGAGCGTGGTCGACATGTGCAAGGCCGTGGACCGCTTCCAGCGCATCAGTGACGTGCGCGTAGTGCTCAAGGAGGGCGGGAAGAGCGGCACGTGGCGGGAGGAGGCGTGGGAGTCGTGGCAGGACGAATGAAGAATAGACGTGTACGATATGTAAATCTAGGATCCAAGCATAGCCTGGCGTTGTTAGCCTGGCGTTGTTGAGAGTAATAGGAATCAGATTCAAGAGAGCAGAGCTCAGTGTCTAGGTACGTGGTTGACCCTGCCGTCGTACACACCCCGGAACGCACACCAATACGCCAAGTGCGCGAACACAATCCCGACCAGACTCCCAAACAGCACATCAATCGGGTGATGCCAGCAGTCTCTGACCTTACTCGCCGAAATCAAAAACGCCAAAAGCCACGGGAGCACCCAGACCACCACTTTCCAATGGCGCGTCCGCCCATCTCCTGCAGCACCAGCACGGCCCTCCTCACCGCCCTCCTTGCCGCGCGGTGTGTAAAAACCCTGTGTCCCCCCATCGCCCTCCAAGACTCGACCGCCATCTGGTTTCCTTCCAACGACCTTGAGTTTACTGTTGAGGTACAGCGCCAGGAACCCGAAGCCCGCAAACGCCGCGCTCGAGTGCCCGGACGGAAACGACATCTGCGCTTCCTTGACCTTCTTCGCATCGCCCGTGCACACTGCTGCTGTGTACTAAACTGCGTGGCCGACTGCTCCGAGGGCGGGCAGCGGCGGCGGATTGAGCGGGACGCAGACGGCGAGGAAGTGCGGACGGAGGCCGCCGATGAACCACTTGATGAAGGATTGGAAGAGCGTTGCAGTCGCAAGGGCGTAGCCAAGACCCATGATCTGGAATATCGGTCATGGTCAGCCTGGGAATGATAGATGTAACGTGGAGCGTAGATTTACTTACAGCTGCATTGCTCTCCCAAAAGTCGCGGACCCACCAGAGCCCGATCGCGCCCATGACCAGAAACGGGACGGCGAACGAGATGATGGCGCTCACAAGCGTGGTGATGTATTCGGCTAGATACGGTTTGCCGTGCTGCAGACCCCAAGAGGTGGACCATATATTGTTAGAGAGGGGGAAGTAGCGCGGCATCAGCGGCGTGGCCAGGAGGTAGATGAGCTCGGCGATCAGCAGGCAGAGGAGCTGGGTCGCGATGTCGAGCCAGGAGGCTTTCAGCCAGCTCTTGAACGGCGGGCGATTATTGAAACCGGGCTTGAGTTGGCTCATCTTGGAGGTCTTCTGTGGATCCATTCTGGGGGTTGTCGAGGACGGTAGAGTCTCCTCAGGAATAGTGGGGAGGTGGTCAATGAATGATGACATGCTGCTAGCGATAATCGACCGTGGAGAATTGGTGACACCGGCGGTGGTGGTGACACATGCGGGCGATCGAGGTTTTGTATATTAAATGCCTCCACGGTCCTATTCGCACCTTCCCTCTAGAACCCAAACACGTTTTCATCTTCCTTGAAGCCCCACTCCTTCAGGGCAGGCAGGGCCGCCTTCTGGATCATGGCAGGCGGCCCGCACAAGAAGACTCCCACCTTCTCACCTGGCTCGAACAGCGCTTGCTTGATAATGTCCGCGTTAATGTGGCCCTTCGTACCCTTCCATCCATCTGATGGATGACTCAACACGTGCGTCATCTTCAACCTACCATTGCTGTTCTTTTCGAATTCGTCGAGTGCCTCCCTGAGCAGGATATCTTTCTCACTCTCGTTGGCATCGACGATGCGGATCTCTGCCTTGTCGTTGGAAGACAGCATGGCGCGCGCGAGCAGTGCGTAACCGGAAGTGATTCCGCTGCCGCCGAGAATGAGGTTGATGCGGTTGAATGTGTACTCCTTGTCTGATATCGTGAAGGAGCCGTTGCCGTTGTACTCGATCTCACCTGTCGGCCCGCGGATCTCGATCTCCTCGCCAATGGGCATGCAGTCCAGAATGTTGGACATGGCGCCACCGGGCTGCTCGTCGGTGGGGAAGTAGGTCTTCACCGTGAGCTCAAAGGTGCCATTACCATCGCAGAAGTTCCGATCCTTGTTGTTGCTGGACTTGCCATCCGGAAGCAATGGCTTTGTGGGTGTGTATGAGCGGATCAGCATGCGGTCTTTCATATGGAAACCCAGCTGCACATGCTGGCATGTGCCAAGGCCAAGGTCCGGTTTGCCGTCAGGAAGCTGGAAGGTGTAGGCTCGTGTATCGTCGGAAATTGATTTACGCTCAAGCAATTTGATTGGTACCCATCTGTGTTTCTGCAATGTGAGTTTGTCTGAGCCGTGTGATGATTCAGCCTTTTCCTTGGCTGCAGTTTCAACGCTCTGCTTGATGAACGCCGCAGCTTTGTCGGTCACTGTGCCGAGAATGCATTCTGGCGTGGTCAGTATGAGATGTGCAATTCGGTCGCGTGATAACTCACCTTTGAGCTTCTGGTATGCATAGCCATCGTGGATGCTCTCAAACTCACTGCTCGTCTCGGCGTGCACCTTTCCAGCGTGACTCATGACCGCTGTCTTGCCACCGGGGTGCCAGTCTAGCACGCTTGTCGCGTCGTACACCTTGTTATCGACGACGATCCAGCAATCACTGTCTTTGTTGTGCTTCTCGATCTCCTCTCTCGTGAACTGCTTCGACGGTGCGCCAGCCTCTTGCTTCGCCGTTGCAACCTGGTTCTCGGTGATGGGCTTCATCCAACCGTCGTCACCAGTTCCTGGCTCAATTGGGTGCCTGTAGAGAATGGATGGCGTCTCGGCATCATCGTCCTAAATGATGGAAGGCTTGACGACATACCATCCATTATTCATCATGCCCATGACATTCCAACTGCCATGCTGAGGCTCTGTGTTTTTAAAAACATTGAAACAGCGGGCAGTAATGCTCTTTGCTCGCAAAAGATGCGTAAAGTCGACATCCACGTGCCAGTGCAGCCACGTCCAGAACTTCTTGCCGTGACGGATCGGTGCATCGGGGAACTTTCGAATGCAGTAGAGCCATGTCTCTCCGTCGTCGAGTGAGACTTCCACTCGTTGCACTTCATGGCCTCCGCCATCGTATGCGTACCCTTCGATGCGATATGTCTCGCCTTTCTTTGCTGCTGCGAGTGGAATTTTCTCACCTTGAGCTGGCTTAGCGATCACGGAGTTGAGATTCTGTTCGTTGCATGCTGTGTCGGGATGCCTGAAAAGAGTCTCCGCGAACTCGCCATCCTTCTCGGTGACAAACGAAGGCAGAACTCGGTTATCCCAGATGTGGTAATACGAGTCATTTTCCTTCTCTGAGACCCAGATGCGCTTTAGCCATTTGACACAACGACCACCCACGTATCCTGGAATCATCAGCCGCACGGGATACCCATGATCTGGCGGCAAAGGTTTGTCATTCATCTCCAATGCCAGTATCACGTCATTTGTTGAATCCATGGCGTAGTCGAAAGGTATGCAGGTAGCATACCTGCCCTCGCTCGGTTCGTCGGCGCCTTCGAAGTTGACCCAGTAGCGCTTGCCTTCTGCCATCTTGTGCTCAATCCCTGCTTCGAGAAGGACGTCTCGCAACAGCTGGCCTTTCCAGTACGCACAGCTCACAGCTCCCGCGCCCCAGCTAAAGCCCTTCGACTTCTTGACCAGGTTTAGCTCTTTGCGACGATTGCCATCGCAAGCTAATGCGACGGGAATGCTAAGTGTGTCGAGTTTGTTTTTCAGATCATCCATAGAGAGTATGAGTTTGCCGTTCTCGATATCCAATTTATGAAACTCCCACAAAAACCGAGGGACAGCGCCTTGATTGCGGACGTAATGCAGCTCATTTGGTGTGATGAGGCCAGCCTCGAAGAGATGGGTAAGATGCGCTTCAGCGTTCAGAGGATGTTTGCCAGTCAAGCGGATAAGATCTGGTGAGCGCGGGAGCCAGTTGTCAGGTGAGAATTGATCTGCTTCGTCGATGGAAATAGTGCTACAGTTGTTGTGTTGCGGACTTAGGCGCTTGCCATCATTCTGCTCCAGCTTCGTGATGTAGTCATTCTCATGTTGCAACGCCCGCAATAGTGCAATCTCTTGAGGTGTGTACCATTCCCTCAGTTTCTCATACTTTGTTTTGTGCTTTTCCGACTCATCACTTGAATAGCCGGAGTCTGATGCGCCCTTGCTTGCGTAGGCATCGTGGTGCTTGCCATTCTGGCCAGTCTCGTGCTTCCACTTCTCTTCGTCCTGACTTCCCTGATCTTGATCATTACCATCTTTTGAGTCTTTCGCATTGCTCCTATCCTCTTCCTTGTCATCACCGCCTTTACCTGTCTCTACCTGCTCCTTCCTCTTCTTTTCCTCCTCCTGCTGCTTCCTCTTGATGTTCGCAGGCCACTCCTCCTCATTATTGATCCAGTCCTACTTGAACTCGACCACGTATCTCCATCCCAGAGACCTATTTTCCGGATGTCTGAGATGCAAATCCTTTTCTCCCTCAATCAAGTCCCTGAAATTGACCAAATCGCCCGTCTTTACCCGCTGCTTGAGCTTCTCGTACTCAGCCTTGGCTTCATCGCCCATCTTCTCTGCGTCTTCGATGCGCTCGTCGTCGCGGTGCGTGATACCCGGCAGGCGATCACCTTGGTTGTTCCTGAAGCCCACACGATGACTGTGTCCGTGGATGTTCTTCCAGTCCGGCTCATTTTTGATGTCTTCGGCGGTTGAGCCGGGGTGGTCGGTGACCTGGACGCGCCAGGGGATGTGGTGTGGCATCTTGCTTCAACGTGCTGGCAAGTTGCAACGATGCCAATTGAATAAGTGAACAATGCAACGAGGATACAATGGATCTATGTAGGGGTGTGAAAAGGCACTGCTACCGACAAAATTAATATCAATGTCTTGAAGAGGCCCTTCGTCACGTCCATGACCGTTGCGAGATGTGTCGTCATAGCTTCCATGTCTTACATTGGTCGCATTGGTTGTGTGGGTGGTTCCGGACGCTGTTCAGGTGGCACGAGAGCGGTTCGTGAATGGTCGCTGGTAGCGGCCGCTGGGCGATGGAACCGGTCTTGTTGGAGCTTGTTTGTCAGTGTAATTCTTCTCCGCGGATGTACCGGAGCGCTCCCGAAGCCACCGAATCTGGAATTGCAAACTTGATTCTTCGTGTCAAAGTGCAGATTTTGGTAGGCAGGGTTTTTTAGCGGTTCATTTGCGGTGATGGCTGGAGCTAGGTTGAGTTGTGGTGAGGCTGGAACGAGGAATGCAGACGGAGGCGGAACAAGTGCGGGGTCTTAGCGTAACGCTTGAACCCGGTACGAGGGATTCATGATGCAAGTATACAGTCTTGATTGATGGAGGCTCCAAGTCGCAGAAGGTCGGTCACACCAGCAGAACAATTGCAGCCTCCAGAACGTTTGTCAAGTCGTCAAGTGCTCTTAGATAACCATTGAATCTCAATATTTCAAGCATCTCTGGCCTGCAGCTAATCGCTTAAATTTGTTGCTGTAGATTTGTCGCTGTTGAGGTATCATTGTAATCGCACATCCAACCCATCCAGCCCGATCCTTCCCTGTATCCAACGTGAAGTTCTTCTCCAAACCTATCCAGTATCCATCACACAATGCCCATTGGATTATGCAAGCCCTTCCTCGTTCAGTAGACTTCGCCCTTCTCCTTCCAGGAACCGCGTTTGCACACCGTCCACTTGGCCTCTTCACCTCCTAATGAACACAAGCCCCACCCATATTCCAGTGAGCAGCAGCAACGCTATCACTGCAGCCATGGCCACCACCCGTTCAATCGTGAAACTCACATCATCTGCGCGCATCATCTCAAGCGCAGCCTCCTCATCCAGATCCACAATCACAGGGTGTCGCGGTATATGTTGTAGAAACGTCTCGCGGTATGATTGCCGTACGACAGTCGAGTACGCCGGCGGCGCATCGCAGGGGTAGAGTAGGAACTGCGCCAGCGGAACATTCCTGTCTTCCTCCCCATCCCCATCATCTGAGTAAGAAGAACGACTCAAGGGTGCGAGGTCGGCGGCGGGTGAGTAGATTTGGAAGGTAAGCGATTGCTGGTATCCTGTAGGTGATATTGGGCTTGCATTTGTTGGCGAGCTTTCGCAGTGTTGCGATAGTGGACTATCGAGGTATGGCGCACTCGTATATGCTGGTGGCTCGATTTGGTGCGGCCTGACGGTAGCTTCTGAGCATGCTGAAGTAGGCGATGTTGTTTGTTGCGGCGTTTGAGGACGCCAGAATAGCTCTGGTCTTGAGCATAGCGGCTCGGAATATGCATTCTGAGCTGTGTTCTGTAGCAGTGCGTGAGTATGAAGCTCGCAGCTGAGCAGGCTGTGAGTGTGTTTACCTCCATCTTGAGCGAGTGACTGCAGCAATACTCTGCTAAACCTGCTATACCGCGATATCCAAGTCAGTCAATAAGCACCGATGCGATAGCCTCGATCTGGAATCGTATCACAGTCCTGTTGTGTTGTCCATGCAGCTACGCTTCTTATCACACCGCGCACGCCGGATCCGTCCTCACTGCAGCTGCTCGGGGAATGAGGAGAGCAGCTGCTCTCGGTGATGGCGAAGAAAGCGCGGCGGCAGCGCAGTGCGCCTTCATAGTGGACCTACACGCTGCACGGCAGCGTGGTAGTGCGTGATGCATGGATGGCTGGGGTGCTGCAGCCGGGCTCCATCCGTAGTTGAGGTCCAGTGGTGACGCCTGCTGTGCAGCTCGCTTATGGCTGGCGGCGATCATCAACCTGTTTTGAGACTCGACTTCCAAGTTTGGACTGTGCATGAGACCTACTGCTTTGCTTCTTCTTTTCGTCATGGCGAATGAATCGAAGCTGATCAAATGCTGGCCAAATTTAAAACCTACACAGTGGACATCAAATCTGTTGTGGACCGCTCTGTGCAACCCAGCCTAAACGGTGTTACGCGGAGCCGCACACGCTAGTCCCACCTCGTTTCAAAGCTAAAATAGAGCTGTACAAGCATCAAGTTGTAGTCACAATTTCCAAGATAATGCAAGATATATTGGGATGCACTATCGTCACCACATCCAAACACCTGCTCACACATCTTGCCGAAACATACTATTTCAATGTACCCCCTGTGCCGTTTCAACGGTATTCTCCGCTCTTCGATTACACCAGTCTTAGATACATAGCTAGTGATAAATTCTACTAGTGTGAACAAAACTACAAGGACAGTTCCAGCACGTGACGTTCCCTTTACAGTCTCTCTATATCTTCAAGCGCACATGCACTCTCAGCCCTTACATTCTACAAAGTTACTTGCACCCATCAGTCTACCCACTCAGCCATTGCCCGTCGATACTCAACACTGTCAGGCGGTCCCTACTTCTACGACAGGAGGAGCGAACCGCTCCTGCCCAAATTACACTTGTAATACCCAGCACATTGCGTTCTGTCGATATTAAAATGATTTGACACGTGGGTAAGATTTCCATGGCCGGAAGCTGTGCTGTTGCGGGTCTGCCTGCTGTAGGAGCCATGATTTTTCGTTGGGTTTGCGCCGTAGCTGTAGTCTGAAGAAGAAACAAATACAGAGATGGGCCCACTGTTGTGATTAAGATCTGCAGCACATCATGAAAGAAGCCAAAGTTTACAGGCTCTACCACAGGTAATGCATCATAATGACAATGCGCATCAACAAGCGATCAAGGGCATACATATGCAGCAACCGGCGGATGGTAGTGATGGACTCAGTAAAGTAGCACACTCGCACAGAAATGAGCAGAGATGACTGTGTATTAGACCACAGCGACCGTCCGTTCAGAGTGAGATATTTGTTGAAAACATCTGCTCAGATTTTGACTCCTTTCCACCACCGCCTCCCGTACTGCTGTAGAGAGCTTGAGGGGTATGCAGTGTGTCTGTACGGGGGTAGCTGGTTGCACCTATGAAGTAGTTGTTAAGAGATCGCGGCTTATGATTTCCTAGATTAATAGAGATCTTGTTCTGATTTCTGATACGTAAAGCCTACACTGACTCGCCATCCTACTCGTCTTACCAGTAGTAAGCCGGCTATGTGTCGTATCGTGCGAGTTTCTGGGGCAACATCGTTACAGGGTCATTGTGAAGCGTCTCCGAGGGTAATGGATGGAATTTGAGAGACTGCGGTGAGTTGGGAAGGAGCTCACATTCACGTTGTTTGTCTTGGCTTTCTCGTCGAGGAAAGCGCCATGGACTCTCAACCTACACATGTCTCAATTAGGCGCCATAGGCTGCAAGGATGAAGCTTTGATTGTTACTGAACGTTTGGGGTATGCTTAGCTGAGCCGCAAGATGAACAAAAAATGCCAAAAGAGAGAACCAACCCTTCGTCACCAAACCCCCCCGCTCAGCACCGCCAAACCCTCCCTCCAGCTCGCCAAAACCTGCCTCCAGCTACTCGCCACCACAATCACCTATCCGTATATCCATGCATTATATTTGTCGAAATGAACTTTTCGCAGCCTCGGTGCTGTGACTATCTGAACCGCGAAGTGCAGCGACCCATGACCTCGCCCTGGCAGACAAGCTCGGCGTTGAACTCGGAGCCGTCGAGCGTGAGGTAGATGTCGAAGTAGACGCGGTAGAAGGTGCCTTGTGGGGTGTCCATGCGCTCGAAGTCCTTTTCGAGGTTCTTCCGCGAGAGGTCTGAGGTGAGGGTGACAACTTCCTTTATGCCTGGCAAGCGTTAGTGACGGACCTGAGACAGAGGGAGTTGGAGGCTTACGAGGGTCCTTTGTGTACTCTGGGCAGACGTCGTCGTCGCAGGCGTACAATATATCTTCGTACATGAGGGTTGCTCCGGGTGCTACTTGTCTGAAGAATGAAACCTTCACAGGCTCGCCGATCTTGACTCGTTGACCCTTCTGCACAAAGATCTGTCGTGTGTACTTGCATCGGTCTTTGCCATCGAGAGACGGCACACGGTATTGCTCAGGGTGGTGGCCCTCTTTGAAAGGCTGCAGTGTAGCCATGAGGTAATGACGACGAGCGACGCGGTGTGTGACGATTCGTTCTGTAATACCAGCGGTGACGGCACCCTTGACGATGGCGGCGACGGAATCCATGGGACGGACGACCTTGGACTGGAACTGAGGTGGTACGTGGAGCTTGATCTGCTGGAAGAGGTACTCGGAAGCGCCGAAACCACCAACGACTAGCACGTTCTGTAATGCCCTATTTTGTGCCTGAATGGCGATGATCTGATTCCTCACGAGCTCCAGGATGCGGTTGACGACAGGCTCGAAGCACTGCAGGATCTCCTCGTTGGTGAATGTCATGTAACCTTCTTCGATACCGGCCTCGGGGAACTCAGCCTCGATGCCGACATCGACCGCCCACTTCTGGCCGTTGTTCCGGAAATCGGCCTTTATTCTGTTCTCAAAGTCCATGATGCACTTGGCGTAGACCTTGCCTGCTGTCTTTGAACCGTCAGGCAATTTCATCTTTCGAATCTTCGCCCGCAGGATGTTGCTGAAGTTGCGGTTGAGCGCTGTAGAACCGCAGGAGTCACCAGATCCAGCTGTGCACTCGGCCACAGAGAACGGCTGCTCCTCTTCGACCTCGTACGCGATCAAATCGACGGTGCCACCACCGCAATCGACGATCAACACCGCATCGTGCATCTTGAGGTTGAGCAGACCCGTCTTCGAACAGAACATGGCGGCGGCTTCGGGCTCGGTGATGAGTGTCAGCCTGTTGTCGTTCTCGTCGCGCAGGAAACCAGCCTGAATAGCGGCAGCACGCGTTGCGGCCTTTCCAGCATCGTTCCAGATAGCAGGGACCGTCAGGTAGTAACGAATGTTGCGCTCCTCACGGTTGAAGACCTCGCCCAGTGTCTTCTGCAGCTGGTTCCGCATCGCCTGTCGCAGGTGGAAGAGGTAGTCGGCGGCCACATCAATCTCAGACTTGCCCGGGGGTAGAGGAGGCAGGTTGATGGGGTCGATGTATGTGTTGCCGGACAGCATGAGCTGCAGCTTGAACCACTCGACTTTCTGCACGCCAGGCTTGGGGTAACCTGTGGGTGCGAGTGCATCGGCGATGTCCGGGCCCCAGCCTACGACCTTCTGGTACTGGTCGTAGTAGAGCACAGTGGGGATCTATGGTGCGGTTAGCTTGCGTGACAGGCAGCGCTTCGGACGCACCCACCTTCTGCTTGGTCTGGTTGCCAGCGCCGGGCCACTCAGTGATGATGTCCTCTTTGGCCTCGGTGTTGGTTGCGAAAGCGAATGCGACACCTGAGAAGGTCGTGCCCTGTGTCCAGTCAGCCCCACGCAACGCCTGTGCACTGCGCTCCGCTTACAAAGTCAATGCCCACGATGAGCTGGGCCTTGGAGCGTCCCTCACCGGCGACCTCTGCCATGCCTGGCGGGCGGTACTGCTGCACCGGGCCCGGGCCGTGGGCAGCAGGCGGCGGAGGAGCGCCATAGCCCGCGCCGTACTGCCCAGGCTGCGGCTGCGGCGGATATCCTGGCGGACCGCCCTGTGGAGGGTAGCCTACGGGCTGCTGAGGGTGTGTTGGGTAGCCAGGCGCGCCCGTGTTGATGGGCGGGAGGGGGCTGGTCGGGCGGCCGTGCTGCTGCTGCGGTGCGAGGCCGCCCTGCTGCGGCGCAAAGGTGTACGAGGGCGGGCGCCCCAGGTTGTTCTGTGGGTTCATGGGGAGCGACGAGCTGCTCGAGTTGCTGGCCTGCGGCGACAGCGACGTCGGTCGGTTCGAGCCTGTGGGGGTGGTGCCGCCGGGCGTGCTCTGGGTGGGCTGCTGGGAAGAACTCTTGCGTTTCGAACCAACCAGGTTCTTGAAACGGGCATTCATGGAGTTCATCAGTCAGAGAGGGGCGAGAGAAGCTGAGAATGGGTGGGGGGACGACAGGTAAATTGGCAGAGAGCTGACAGCCGCAGCGCTGGGCACCTCTAAACAGACAAGGCTGAGAGCAACAGCTAACACTCACTACTCGCTACTCGGGGCGCAGTCCTCCAGGAAGTCGATCGGCTTGCCTAGCTGGCTCCAGCGCAGACCCGGGACGTGACGAGAATACGGCTGCTGGGGCTGCTGGGCTGCTGGGCTACTGGGCTACTGGGCTGCTGGGCACGCTCGAGCCGGAGATGGTACCTGAGCAGGCGCGTGTGTGTCCCTGGAGCTGTAGAGAGGGCTGGAGGGGTAGCGCGGGTCATTCTCTCACCGGTTTACGGTCGACGGGCCCTGCCACTGCTGCAGCCCCAGGCCTGAATGGTCATTGATCAACCATCTTGCCGAGCCGGGGTGCTGCTGTCAAACGTCCCGTATCCCGCTGTCCCGCAGGCGCTCTCTGTCCTGCTAGCATCATGTATAACTGCTAGCAGGGCTAGATAGCATCTGCATGCACGCATACCTATTTCTCCAAGATCCCAGGACAAAGCTGCGACTCTGCACCGCAAAGCGCCGCCAATCTGCGCCTCATTGGGCGCTGATGCTCACCTCATCCGCTCCACTAGATACGAAGGGATCCCTCGCCGTCCTCGCCATGACCACCCTCGCCATCCTTCGCCAAACAACCCGTCAAGCGAGCTGCGCGGCTGTCAGCACATAGCTCGCAGCACGTGGCATGCAATTTCTCTTGCTGTGATGTTTCAACTTCCGCCGACTTCTTTGTCTCTGGCCTGGCAGCATGGTCGAATGACGTGTGCGTTGCTGCGATCATAAGGCTGAATGTTTCTAAATCAGGACCCAATGAGACGCTACGGTGGGACGTTAGCGCTGGTCGACTTCGTGGTTCTACACGGGTCTTGCCCTGGGACCTGCTCATCCTGGAGACGAACACAACCATGGTCACTGCAGCAATGAATGTGCGACGACACGGCAGAGTGTAACATTGCAGCGATCTCAAGGTCGTAGTAATTGCTCACCAGGAGGCATTCGAGCCTCGCAGAGTAACGAGCTTTTTAACAACCCCCAGGACACCACTCACCCTCGGACACAACCTCCTCCCAACAACTATCCCGTCCAAGGCCAACCTCACACTCCTCATCAGCCCCTCCTGCATCTTATCCCCATCCCCATCCCCATTCCTAGACTTACACGCCTCAACCCTCTCCAAATTCACATCCTCAAACCCCTCCGAGTCCGCATCCACAGACCCCTCCCCCTCCCGCGGCACACTCCGCATTTCCTTCACCTCAATCTACTGCACCCTCCCCGGCGAGCCACCCGCCTCCATCTTGCAAGAAGCCGGTACCTGCGCAGGCCGATCAGACCGAGCCACACCAGCGCGGCAGCCGAGAAACCGCTCTGCCAAATCCTTGTTACCGCTGTCCACCATCGAGCTCAGCATACGCGAAGCCGTCGGGCCTGCAGAAGGTCCACGTAGCCGCCATGGAGGTGAGGACGCGAGTGTAGCTGTGTGCACCCTGTTTCGTTTCGTGTCGTAGTGTGGCGGGTTCCGGTGGTATGAGGCTTTGTATGAGGTCGGACCTGTGCTGGGGCGTGTGTCTTTTCTGTTTGTCGGTCGGTTTTGGCTAGACACAGGAGGATGTGTCTGCGTGTGCTGCTGCTGAATTTGGGGTCTTTGTTTGCGGTGCAGAACGTGACTGAGCGAGATGCGAGGAACAAGTCGACATATAATCGTGGGCTTCGTAATATTTGCGAACCAGAACCATGGTCGAGATGGGGACCGTAAACTCATGACCATCAGGGTCCGTTGCTTCCTCGGGGTCGATTGTGAGCCTCGAGGTAGAGAACATCGATACTACATGGGCAATCACGAGCTTGTGAGATATAAATGTAGCAGTGAAGCCGGTTGATTCAGTGAGCACCACGTGCTGTTGTTACAAATATCGTCAGAGTATTGCAGCTCATCCCAGCCCTTGGGACGCAAGAACTCCGTGAAGACCTCCCGCCTCCTTTCAAGCAAACGCCGTCGCTGATGTAAGTTTTTGAATCGAATGAAATTAGCCACCCTCCCAGGCAAGAGCGTGGAAATAGTAAGCATAAATTCTTCCCCTGGAAATTACGCAAGTGTCTGTTGAATTCCACTCTGAGCGGAAAAGTGCTCTCCTGCTCACAGATTCGTGACACACTCGTTGCCTGCAAGCCTTGCGGATAGCATTCTCGTGGATAGCAGTTTCTGGTAAGGTAAGAATCAGACCGGTGCGAGGCAGGTCTGACGCGAGGTTAGCGAGCGGGCGCTTGCGTGGCTTCGATCGTCGCTTCTTCATCGAAGTTAGAGGCTCCTATCACTTTGCCTCAGTATGTTGGCCTCCAGAGTGTTCAAGTTGCTCCCGTGCTCCTATCGCACCCCGGCTGCAGCTCCAGACATCCTCTGGTGCATGTCGGCCGCGAGTCTAGGCTCATCCTTCTCCGTGTTCTTGAGGCGCGCGAGAATCAGTGTTAGAGTCTTCTTCTCCCTTCCGTCGTTCTCCAGGATGTGTACAAGATCTCGCATTTGGATCTTTTCGCCAATCTCCGTGTTCTCGATGTTGGCACCGTAGTTCCGTTTCTTGGCCCTCAGTCCTATCTCGGTCTGTGCGGCGGCAGGTGTAGCCGCGCCACTACCGCCTGTAGCAGTGGTCTGTCGAGCAGGTATTGATGCACCAGATGCACTTGCACCACCGCCGCCTCCACCTCCGCCTCCGCCTCCTGTCATCCACGAATACTTCTTCTTCCTTCCACCTCCGAGTGCGAGTGCAGCTGTCTCGTTGGCTTTTCGGTGCAAAACATCTTCGGTCTGGCCAGCTTTATTCATCGCGTCTCGCTGCTTCTTGGTAATCTTCTCTGGGATTGGTAGAGGCGCTATCTCGGCGGCGTCAATGGTCGCGGCAGATTTGCCCTGCTGGCGTTGCTGACGTTTGCGGAGGCGCTCCTTTTCGTACTGCTCATCTTCACGAACACGCCTCTTCAAGGCGTTGGCAATGTGATTGACATTCTGCAAGGTAGGCTGTGGTGCAGGAGGAGCTTCGCTTGGCGGTGTAGGTAGTCGTGCAGCGTTTGGTAGTCCTATATGAGTCAATAAACACGCCTGCAATGGTTCTGGCCCGTGCAAACTCACCTTTGCTCGCAGTCGTCGGAGAGCGAGTAGCACTTTCGGGTGCTTCCCACGGCGTCCTGAGAACATTCGTAGGCACAGCCATCTTCTGTTCGGCATCTGGTTCCTTCACCGCAATGTCAAGCATCTGAGGTGGAATGATCCCGTGTGATGTGTTCTGTCGGCCCTGGCTCAGGGCGAAGGAGTCTTCGACAATTGTGCGGATGCGCTCCTCGGCAGCCAAAGAGAGCAATGACAATATCTCGACAAGCGGAGCGTTCTGGTTCAGGAGGCTAGCAGCTTCGAGACCTACAATTTGCTCACCGTTCGCACCGGCCTGCGTCGTCCTGGTCACATCGCGAGGGGTCTTGTCGGGAATCTTGTCGAACAGGCCATCGACGTTAACCTGTATCCCGTTCTCGTATGCGCGCCTAGCCATCCGGTGACGGAGCACATTGGCATCACAGAAGGGGTCTGTAAGACACTGCTGAGCTGACTCATTCAGAATCCTCGCGGCTTGTTCGTGCTTCCGCATGAACTCTGCTTCGTGCTGCTCCTGCGTCATGGATTGGCTCAACGGCCCTGAGCCCTGGAAGGCGCCGTGACCGCCTTGCTGACTCCAGTTATTGAAGCTGCTATGGGGAGAGAGGGTGGACGCTGTAGCCTGCGAGTTGAACGGTGTGCCATAGCCGCTGCGGTTTCCATAGCTATGAAGCAAGTTGTCCTCCTCAGCACGAAGATCGATACCAGAGCCTGTCAGAACGTCGCTAATGTTATTTACGTCCAGATCACGCGCGTTCGCCTTTTCCAGCTCAGCGTTATCAGTAGCCTTGCTGTAGGGCACTTTTGGCGGCGGCATAGAGCTCGGAGGCGGCTGCTGTGGTTGCTGCTGCTGTGACATATGGTTTGGATGCTGATAGGGCTGGGGCTGGTGGAACGGCGGGGGCTGCGTGCTGGCGGGCGATTGCGGTAGGGACAGATAGCCGGTGTTCTGAGGAGACGAAGCGTAGGGCGACATGGGATACGATGGTGCTGCGAAGGGCGACTGGTATGGCGCGGGCGATGTTGGGTTCGGCGACAGACGCGGGCGCTTTGCGGAGGGAATGCCACTGCCCATGGTCGGCGACATGGCACTCGGCGACTGGTTGTACGAGGGCGGCGAGAATGGTCGCTGCGGCTGTTGGTTCAGGTTCTGCGTCTGCACAGGCGGCGGGTGCTGCCCGAACTGCTGCGGGTACTGGTTGTAGTTCTGCGCCATGGTGAGCAGGCAGGCAGCTCTTCCCCGGAGGGAGTGCGCGGCGGAAGCTGTTTAGCGGCGTGTCATCAACGGAAGAGGCAGGTCGCGGTGAAAGGAGCGATGTGGCGGGCGGTGCGCGGGGAAGGAGCGGCAGGCCAGGCGCGTCTGCAATAATGTCTCGGTGCTGTAGTCGCGAACGCAACGGCACGCCCGCAGACGAGTGACGCCTGCGCACAGACGATTTGATGACTTGGCACGACGCGCGACAAAGAGCACCGCGACCGCTCTCTCACCACAATCGCCTCTTTATTCGCTGCATTTCGCCCGCGCATCACCGCCACCCTCGATAACAAGCGTCTGCGATTGCTCTTGCGACACCTGCCATCTGACTAATGGCCCTAGACTGAACCTACGATTTTGCTGGCCAACGCGCCCTTTTTCGACAGCATCTCGTGCCCCTTTCATCTGTGGCAGTACCTAGCCAACTCCGCGCGAACACGATTCTCCAAGGCAGTCCGACTCCTGGGCACATACCGCAACTTTGGTCCAGACGCGTTCAAGCGGATAAGTAGATATGGCGTCCAAGAGGAAGCATGCGGCGGTGGAGCCGGAGGATATGGAGCCCATAGACCCAGCTGATGAGCTGATGTTCTTGTGCTTGGGCGGCGGCAACGAGGTCGGCCGTTCCTGTCACATCCTCCAGTACAAGGGCAAGACCGTCATGGTACGTACAACTAAGTCCAGAGGAGACTTGCCAGATGCTGACTGGAGCAGCTTGATGCCGGTATGCATCCTGCGTACGAAGGTCTCTCCGCCATGCCCTTCTACGATGATTTTGATCTCAGCACAGTAGATGTGCTTCTAATCTCACAGTATGTATACACATTTGCCCTTAGATCTAGCATCAACATGGGTGGGCCAGGCGTATCACTGCAGTCGCACATGCATGGAGGACAAATTTGGAACCAACGTCTTGTATATCAGAAACAATGGAATATCATTTGCACCATCCAGTCCGACTCCGGTGACGTGCCTCCTCACCCTGGCCCCCCATGTACATAGCAGCGCTTCTCCTTATTTTACACCGACAGCACGTTCTTATATCACAAAATCTTTGCTGACGCCATACTAGTTTCCACGTTGATCATGCAGCTTCGTTACCGTACGTCCTGGCAAAGACCAATTTCAAAGGCCGAGTCTTCATGACACATCCTACCAAGGCCATCTACAAATGGCTCATCCAAGACTCCGTACGTGTTGGCAACATGTCAAGCTCGTCAGAGACCAAGATCCAGATGTATACCGAACAGGACCACCTCAACACCTTTCCGATGATCGAGTCCATCGACTTCTACACAACGCACACCGTCTCTGGGATACGAATCACACCATATCCTGCAGGCCACGTTCTGGGCGCAGCTATGTTCCTCATCGAAATCGCCGGCTTAAAGATCCTGTTCACAGGTGATTACTCGCGAGAAGACGACCGACATTTGGTGTCAGCTTCAGTACCCAAGGAAGTCAAGATCGATGTCCTCATTACCGAGTCAACTTTCGGTATCTCCACACACACACCGCGCGTCGAGCGCGAGACACAGCTGATGAAAGCCATCACCGACATCTTGAACCGCGGAGGCAGAGCGTTGCTTCCCGTGTTTGCCCTTGGACGAGCTCAAGAGCTGTTGCTCATCCTGGACGAATACTGGGGCAAACACCCGCAGTACCAGAAGGTGCCCATCTACTATAACTCCAGTCTAGCGCGACGATGTATGCAAGTCTACCAGACCTACGTGGGCGCCATGAACGACAACATCAAGCGCCTCACCAAGCAGCGATTTGCTGAGGCTGAAGCTGAAGGAGATGTTGGTCGACGTGGAGCCTGGGATCTCCGGTTCGTGCGTTCACTGAAGAACCTTGAGCGATTTGACGACATGAGTGGCTGCGTCATGTTGGCTTCGCCAGGTATGATGCAGTCCGGTACGTCTCGCGAATTGCTTGAGCGATGGGCACCAGATCCAAGAAACGGTGTCATTATCACTGGTTACTCGGTCGAAGGTACCATGGCGAAGCAGATCGTCCATGAGCCTGAGCAAATCCCCGCTATCATGACACGCGCTGCGAATAACAACCGCCGTGTCGGCCAGCGGGAGAACGAGCAGATCATGATTCCGAGGCGTTGCACAGTGCAGGAGTACAGCTTCGCGGCCCACGTCGATGGAAAAGAGAATATGGAGTTCGTACAGGAAGTTGCTGCACCCGTAGTGGTAAGTCTAAGCATGATTCCCATGAGACAAAGCACTCAAGCTGATGTGCATCCAGATCCTGGTCCACGGTGAGAAGGGTAACATGACACGTCTGAAGTCCAAACTTCTTGGCTTCAACGCGCATAAAGCAGTACCTACCAAGATCTACTCACCAGCCAACTGCGAAGAGCTCCGGATTCCCTTCAAGACTGACAAAATCGCCAAAGTCGTTGGCTCGCTTGCTGCTATCCAACCACCTTTACCTCGCTCACTCAAATCACCTGGCGAGGACCGCGAACCCGATCAAGCCAGCGACGATAACAAGAATCTTGCTCTAATTAGCGGTGTCTTGATCCAAAACGACTTCAAAATCTCGCTCATGGCGCCTGAGGATCTCAAAGAGTATGCTGGCCTCACGACAACCACGATCGTGTGCCGTCAGCACTTGACGTTGTCCGCCGCAGGTACAGATTTAATCCGCTGGGCGCTCGAAGGCACATTCGGCGCAACCAAAGAAGCAGAGATTGCCGATGATGCAGTCAAGGGCAAAGAGACCAACGGTAATGGTATAAAGGAAGACGCAGACGAAGACATCAGTCGCATGAGCAACCAGTTCACAGTCATGGAATGCGTAAACGTACTTGTCAAGTCCGGCGGCCATGTCGAAGTATCATGGGAAGGCAATGTGATCAACGACGGCATCGCCGATGCCGTGCTTGCAGTGCTCTTCACTGTAGAAAGCTCGCCTGCAGCTGTTCGCCGTAAGTTGTCCCAAGCACATACAAGCCCTACCAGATCTCTAGCTAATACTCTCCCTACAGAATCATCTCGCCAGCACTCCCACTCACACGCCCACCCCGAGAAACCAAAGGAACCCAAACATCACCCCCACGCTACCTCCGACCCATCAACTCGACTCGCACGCCTTCTCCTCTTCCTCGAAGCACAATTTGGCGAAGACGCCGTCACCCCTATCCCGTTCCCGCGCTCGTCCGCACTCAACCCGTCAAAAGCCACTAACGGTACCGAGGCCCCCAGAACAGACGGAGAAACTATGGACAAGGGTGGCGCAAGCGAGATCAGCGCCGAAGACAAAGCCACGCTCCAGCGCCTTCATGCTCTGGGCATCCCAGTCCCTGGTATCGAAATCAAGTTCGACCGCTTTGTGGCGAGGGTGTGGTTGGAGGATTTGGATGTTGAGTGTGCGAACAATGCGCTCAGGGCGAGGGTCAAGGCGGTGGTGGAGAGGGGCGTTGAGACGGTCAGCGGACTGTGGCGGTAGATTGGTGGTGTGCATACGATGTATCGCCTTGGTGAGCGCCAAGAGAAAATGGAGATTTGATAGTAGTGACGAGCGGGTCCAAAGAGGCGAGAGGATGGAGAGTATGTGTATCGATAGTCTGCATTTCGTAGCATTCAGAGGAATGGTTACTTTCTTTTCTGCAAGAATTCTCCATCGTCAAAATCCACGCTTAGGAAGGGGTCTCATTGAAGGGACGGGAGAGACACACCATCCGCAGATGTTGGAGTCTGAATCGGGTCGCGCCTTTGTGTTCGACGGATGCCATTGATTGTGATACTTTGGTTGGATACAGGGTCACAAGAAGAGTATCATTGAAACCCATCCATATTCACGATGTTTATCTTGAAATCTCTGCAACAATTCAGACATTAATTCCATAGTTCAGTGTCTGAAGAGTTTTAGCAGCTGACATACTCACCTCACCTCCCTTCGTTATGCTCTCTGCTTCCCACACCAAGTATCATAATTCTCTCTGAAATCAAGTCCGTCTAAAACACACCTCGACCATTGTACAAACACATCTTCATATACACTACAACCATCATCAAGATGGCCCTAGAAACAATTTGCCCCTCTATCTACTCAGAATGGCTCGAAATTCAGGAGCCATGGCACTTCCGCGAAATCGACGAGTGCTGCCCCATCTGCGCCGAAGACAACATCGAAGCAGTCGTCAAGACAATCTGCGGCCACTTCTTCCACACAAAGTGCCTCCGCAGCTGGCACAGAAGCCAACAAGAGCAATTCTTCAAGCCCGAGTACCCCTGCCCAATGTGCAGGACCGTCCTCGCCGTCAAGGAGGATGGCCAGGTGGATCGTCAGGAGCTTGACGACGCCATTTACGATGCTCTGGAGCTGTTCCGAGACGAACATGTGGAGTGGGAGGTTTGTGTGTCGGCGGATTTTAAAGCCTGCTTTGCGCATCTGTTGTCCCAGGCACCGTCTGCCCCGAGGATTCCCGAGCGCCCACGCGCAGAGTAACCCCGATTTCCGAGTGAAACCCTTTTGCCACGCACCAATCAGCAAGCGAGCAGCTCTAATGCACAACTCGGGGCGACGGGCCTTCAAATTTGCAAAAAGGTCCCGTGCTTTTTGCAGCTCTTGTGTGTTTTCGTCTTGGCGGGGTGTTTGTATGGATGGAATTTGTGTGAAGCTGCTCGGCGATGGCTCGGTGGGGATATTGTTGGGAAGGCGGTATGACCGACTTTTCTACTGGAGGAGTATATAGCTTTGAGGTTCTCGAGCAATAAGATGTGGCTGCAGGATACAAGCATTCCAAGCATTTTCGCAAACGTTCACTGTCTACGCGCTTTACCAATCGCTCAGCTATCACATTACTCAGCCTACCACCTCGCACATCAACAATGTCGACACCATCGCCTTCCTCCTCACGCAGCTCTTCTTTCACCATGCAGACTCGCCGAGCTGCCCACCTATCCCACGGCTTCACGGCTGCGCTCAAGAAGCCTTTCCAGGGCTGGTCGAGGGAGCTACTCCGTGCTCGCAACAACGACGATGATGACTACAACTTCGCAAGTGGTATGCGCCGCGGCGCTCACTTGTACCGCGAGCCTGAAAAGGACGACGCTTGAATAATGCGCACACCAACCAGCGGCCAATTCTGTCAGCCATGACACCATGATCCTGCATGCAAGCTGCATCAAGGGGCGACAGAGAAGAGTGTGAGGAGAACAAAATCTGGGGCCCGTATGGAGATCTCCACTCGCAATAGACCTGGGGAGAAGGATGAGAGGAGATGCATCAACAGATATGATGCAGGAGTCGTCGAGAATTTGTTTCGCACGCGTATATACCCACCAGATCCAGAATACCTATCAATTCTTCCATATCATCTCCACTGATTTACCTGATCAGAAGATCACATTCATGCATGTGTGTTGACGAAGGAGGCAAGAGTAGGATCTCGGGAGGCTAAAGCACGCCTGCCGCTTATGTCATTAGTGCAGTTGCCCGTTGCGCCCTCTCAGCTGCATGGCGCGAGACTGTCGAAGGCCTGTCCATCTTCGAAAGTCATCAGGAGCGCTTGCCACTCATCTCTCAGGTCTGACTGCCCATTGAAGAAGACTTCAACATTCCCGTAACATACGGTAGCCAAGCACCAGTCGATACGAAGAGCCTTTGTGCTGCGCGCGATCATCGCTGCATCCTCACAACTTTATCAAACACCGCAGCGCAATTGCATTTGAACGCTGTACCTACCATTCATTTTCTCTTCGACAGCCTTAGAGTCGCTTTTTATGCCCAGCCGCATTTCCACATCAGGCGTCCAGAGCTCATTTTATTGGCAGGCGATTGCACCCAATCGAGCACCTGTTCCTGGCTCGAAAAACATGGTTTGAAAACACGACGCAGCCCGTGAATCCTCTGCCAAGTGCCCAAGTCCATTTCAAGGCGTGACTACGCTACTTTTGCGATAAATTCGCCAATTTTCCGGCATCTGCAAGCCATTAACCGCCTGTGCGGGTCAGCTTGTCTGCAAGATGCGCTGTCTAGCCGTGCGCCTCCCGCCTTAATATCATATATGTAAGTCACCAACGCCCCTTTTGCCAGCCAAATTTGCACTGTATCGCTCTCAAGGTCACCTATTTCTCCGTCGAACTTCACCTGCCCTGCTGTTTTTGCAATTTACACCCACCTCAAGCGCGTAGCCATGTCTCTTCTTCTCAAATCCACTTTACTTGCATCGGTTGCTGCGGCTCAGTTAACAACCTCCATTTGGATGCCTGGAGCAGCAAATGCCAATCAGAGTTTCGTCGGATCTGTTGTCTCCCTGCAGAAGGATCGCACTACCATTTCAATGGCCTTTGATGGCGAGGCTATTGAAACAGAATACTACGGATCAGGCCCTGATCTTGTGACAGTAGGAGGCACGACCTATGTGGCTTACGAGGCAACTGCAATCGACGAGGAGGGCTCCGTTACAGTCACTGTGAGCCTTGCCTGCTCGCGAGCGGACGGCAGCGCGGTCCCAACCTGCACGGCTGCCACCAAAATCGACGGCGCAGCAGCAGAAATTGTCAGCGGTCTCGAATCTGCTGCAAGTACCACTACCATGAGCGGCGACGAACAGTACTTCTTGAACAACTTCAAACTTGTCATCACAGCCGGAACAGAGAAGCTCAGCGCCTCAGCTGCCGCTACCCATACTGCGAGTGAGCCTACACCTACTGGAAGCAGCACACGATCATCCAGCGCTTCTGCAGCCTCTGCAGCTTCCAGTGCTGCGAGTTCTGGAGTTGCGCAGGCTACTGGTGCAGCTGTCTCGATGCGCTCGCTGGCTCCAGTCTTGGCGGGAATGGGCGCTGCAGCAGCCTTCTTTGTTTAATCAGCCAGTATATCAGCATCGCACTTGCAGACTTCTTGTATAACATTTCGCTTTTGGAAGATACTGCATAGACTTTAGTGCAGAGTATGTGGACGTCGTGCAGTACCCAGTCTCGTGCGTTTTAAGTTGCTTGTTCCAGATCAACGGTTGTTTGTCTTGCGCGGACACATCGAAGTGTCAATCGATGTCTTTGTCCATCGCTCATTGCGACACTCTTACTTTCACGGTGCAGGTGCGGTGAGCGAGGCACGCGGCTGCCTATATCTATAATACCTCTCGCACACCGCACAACTACCTCTTCAAGTTTAACAACGCAGCCATAAAGCACACCACAAGTGCACGCCTGACATCGAACGTGGATCATACCCATGCCGAATTTGAAAGATGATGGGCCCTTATTTTGACATGATGGGCGACACTGAGCCTCACACAACCAAATACACACTGACAGTCTTCTGCCCGCCCCGCCCTCCACCTCGCTGGCTACCTGCCATTTTCACGCGTCCAGGGTCCTCTAAACCTAACGTTGGCACAAAATACGTCATCCGTCCTTCCGACTACGATCCCGCGAACCCCAACTATGACTGCTTCGAGGTGCGACATCTCTCAGACATGACGTCGAAGACAGTCAAGCTTATTAGCGCGTGGTTCCCGGCAGATCTGCGCTGTAACCATGTCTACGAGGGACACACGTGCGAAGAAGGGTGCTATGTGCTTGAGAAAGGCGGAGATATCAGCAGGTGGAGGTGCAAGAGGGAAGACTGTGAGGGACATGTGTACTGTGGGAGAGTGCTGAAGGACAGTAAGGGTGTGGTTTGTTTTGGGAAGAAGGGCGCGAGGATGGTGTGCATACAGCGTTGAATAGTCAAGGATATGGGTGTGTGCATGGTGCGATGAAAGTGCATTTCCTACCAAGAAGTATTGATAATATTCAGACCCCTTATGTAAGTCGTGGAGAGACGTGAGTTTCTGGTGGTGAATCGCGCTGAAAACACACACTTGCTGACCTCGAGCCACATGTTGCATTATTCAAGATAGCCGCTGAGCACATGTAACGATAAACGACATTTTCGACAATGATGGTGTCACGGCTCTTCAAGGGCTCCAAGCTTTTGCTTCCGGACACATCAAACAACTCAGATTGAACAAACGCAATCACACAATGCATCTCTACGGAACCAACTACAGCAGCCCTCGCAATGGCAACGCCGACAACAGCATTGTGATGAAAACCCCACCTAGCACCGCGTTCACACTGACAGCTCTGGTAGCTCCTATTTTGATGACCGGCTCTCCCACGTTTCGAGCCGACGAGCTTCACACCTTGCAGGAGAGCACAGCTTTTCATATTGATGCCAATAAGATTCCAACGGATATTTGCTGCTCATGCCTCCAAGGCGGACGATTTTGCCTGAGTGGAACACATTGGCTGCTAGAATACGGCCCTAACAGCGACTTTTGGCTGGACGAACATGGAAAACCACGGAAGAGCTCGCTGATCCAATATACCGGTAAGAAGCAGGGCAATCACAGCGTTGTCATCAACAACGAGGGAGACCGGATTTGTTGTGTTGAGGGCCTGGCGATAGCTGCGCCGGAAAGCACCTCGCCCAAGGAGAGCTGGCTTTCGTTCTGGGGAAAGTCGTTAGGATGGATCTGGACACTGAAAAGTAACGTAAATTCGTTTTCACTTTTCAAGCACATCTCATTATTCGCTAGTCTTCGTTATGGCCAGGCGTAACCGTGAGGGCCTTGCGGAGTACACGGCGCGCAGTTACTATCAGGCTGGAAGGCATTGACAGAGCATCAAATCGCTTCAACCACAGGTTTAGCAATCAACGGTAAATTACAGACTTAACCTTCGCAAAGCAGCATGGTCGACAACGGGAACCCAGAAAACTAGGTCAACCGCCCGGTCCACAACATAGCTTCGAAGAGCGGTTAAGCATCTCACAACGGCGACTTTACTTCCCTGTTTACAGACAGGCAGGCATGAAATCGGTCAAACCAGTAGTCTCTCTCAACTTTGACAAAATTGTAGTGCGAGATCGCCTCCTAGGGCGGACAGGCATCATGTGGTAGCTTCGAGCAGGGATCTGAGAGGACTACGGAAGCTGGTCGCAAGGGCGGACAGTCCTCTTAAGGGCCAGCATTTTATAGTGTCACAGCTTGCAATAGCGCGAGCTCGATTCTGCCACTGTCCTGAACTGTGGCGTTGATGGCAATTTAATGAATTGGATTTCCAACAAATCCTTCACAATGCGTGACAATATGGAGATGGTGCACAATGATACCAGAGCAGTGAAAACCAAGCGTGTGGAAGTTCTAAAGTCATAGCAATGTTGCGTTGTGTATCTAAGTAACAATATCTCATAATCATGCTCATCATGCAAGTAAACGAAAGGAGCCAGGAGCCCTTTTCCCCTGCGTTGTGTCGTGCCAAACTCTCGAGCTGCAGGGAAAATTCACCCGTATTTTGTGTAACCACCACTCGGCGTGGGACAAATGCAGAAAGTGACCGGTATCTTGGTGCCTTGTGCGACCACCTGACCTCGAAAAGAAACGAACGGGACCATGCCTAAGAGTGTGAACGAGTGGATAGAAAGTAGAAAGGGGTATGTAGTAGAAAGAAGTCATGCGTGAACAGGGTTAGTCAGCGTCTAGCTGAACATGTTGCAGTCCATCTCCTTGATGGGGTACTCGCCATCACCCTCAACGACACCGCAGGGCTCACTCCAGCCGATCTCGAAAGTGTCGGACTCAGGAACGTTCATCTTGGCGTTGGGCGCGCAGGCGGCGTCGACGGTGTAATAAGAGACGACCATAGAAGGAGCAGAATTCCAAGCGCACGCGTCGGCACGCTTCTTGATGGCGTCGCGACGGACTATGCGAACGGCCTTGCGCTCAACAAGGGCACGCTTCTGATTTGAGCAACCGCTTGTAGCCTTGCACTCACATTCGGCACGCTTGGTGACAGTGTCAACCTTGCACTTGTGCTCGTCGATCATCTTGTACTTGATAGACTGGTGGCGGTTAGAATTCCAGTGGCCGGGGTGGGACCACTTGTTGTCCGTTTCCTCGTTGTCAGACTCTTCGGAGTCCTTGTAGTCGTTGTCCTCCTCCTCCTCCTCAGAATTGTCAGTGCCCTCGGAGTCGTCGGTCTCCTCAGAGTCATCCTCGGAGGGAGCGTCGTAAGAAGGTTCCTCGGTGGACTCATCATCCTCAGGCTGAGCAGGCGAAGCGGATGCAGTGGGGTAAGAAGGTTTGCCAGCGGCGCGAGTTGAGGTTGGCTGTGGTGCTACTGAGTACTGAGGCTGCTCATCATCAGGCTGGTATGTAGAGCTGGAAGGCTTAGATGGCTTTGTAGCCGAGACAGAAGGGGCGGCAGGGTTGGTAGGAGTAGTTGTGTTGCCGGAGCCCTCGCCGATTTGGACGGCGGCACAGTTCATGAAGCTCTCGTGCTCGCGGTTAAGCCAGATCCAGGCGAAGAGAGCCTTACCCTCGGGCATGCCCGTGGGCACCTTGAAGTCGAAAGTCTGTACCTCAGGTGAGCCATCCTTGCCACGAAGAGGGCAGTTGCCATTGTAGGAAGCCGCGACCTTCCAGGTCTCGCCGCGGTCGGTAGAGAAGCCAACCTGGCAAGAGCCACCGTAATGGGTGCCACCAGGTGCATCGGCAGTGTAAGTGTAGTCGGATAGCTGGAAGTAGGCATCCTGACCCGGTTGCCATGTGACTTGAGCATCCTCAGTGTCGAAGAGATCGAGGTGACCGCGGCAGACGCCAGGGCTAGGAGCAGTGGGCTGGCCTTCGCTGTCACAGCAACCAAGGGGGAAGTTGAGCTCCGGATCGACGTCAGAGTCAGTCGAAGCTGTGTTGGCCTCCTTCGCACCACCAAGGGGACCGGGGTACCAGAGCGACATGTGTGCTTGTGCAGCACCAGCCAGGGCGAGCAGTGAGATGGCGTTCGTGTACATCTTATATATGTCGTAGAGAATCAAGTCGTAAAAGCTTTTGGGTTATCGAATGAAAGACTGGAAAGATCTTAAGTAGATCAGAAATTGTACAGCGTTGTGCAATGGTGATGGCACAGCTTGGTCAGTTGACACTGTTGAAAACGTGTGAACACTGTTTGTAAAGTTCGAAAGTTTGAAAGTGGCCTTGAAGCGGCTACAAGAGCGCTGGAAAAGGGAAGGGAGGAAAAGAAGAAAGACGATCCTGCGCTTTCGACCACAAAAGGAGTGAATGTAGAAGGAATGTTGACGAAGGCTTGCTTGTCAGAAGAGTTGGTGTGTCACTGAAGTGATGCGTCTTCCACAATAGGCGGAATTTGGCTTCTTAAGCCGCCTTCAAATGACCATTGATCAATTTACCAAAGCGCCCGGTGGACTCACTTGCGTTTCCGCTCCGGTAGGATGAGATTCACACCTGGAAGCCGTTGTGCGACCCGCATGCCGTATTCTCGGCACGGGAATGTTTCCCCTGGCATCGCCTCAGCCAATCTGGATCAGTGTTTGCATTTGCCTACCGATCGCCAATGTTTCACCGTGGCGGCTCAAAGTGGTCTTGCCCAAGTGCGTTGGTGTGGTTAGGACTTCGCCAGCCAAGCGCGGAGGAAACATCAACGCGCCGTGTTTCACACGATTCCGTAAATGGTTAGACGTCGGCGCTTCGTGCTTGCGAAGACGATGAAGCGGAGACTGTCATTGCACATTTTTACTCATCTGCTGATGAATCAATATGTAAATATGCGTGCTGGTTGATGAGCGTCAAGTTCTATGTGGTCTCCGAGCATCGCTGCCCTTTGTGATCTTCCGGTTGTGGCTGCGGCGCAGACGAACGATGTGCCCGGCGGCACCTGATCACCACCAATCGCCTAAGAGGATGTTTTCCCACGTGCTTCGACCACCCCTGCCCAGCCGACCTTGTCAGATGTCTCCACACCGTCATCCTTCAGAGCCCAAAGACCTGCCATGTTGGTCTCAGCGTGCATCACCACGTCGGTTGCACACTGTCATCTGTCTGATCGTTACCTGAGACCCCACATGACTGACATCTCGAGGGGCCGGGAACAATCCCCTTGAGTTCATTGATGACAGATGTCCGTTCCGAAGCCCGGATGAGCGCAGATGTTCCTCCCACAAATATGCAGGGGCACACAAACGCGCAGAGGTGCAGGAAACCCTGACTTCACGATCGTGTTCCTGACTGCGAAGGTTGTGTCGGCCCTTAGCAAGGCGCGTAAGATCCTCCCTCAGCGACTAAGTGTGGCAGGATACGAGGCCCCATCCTCGTCGTCGGCCTTACAGCAACCTGAGGACGCCGCCCCTCTTGGCCTGTGTTGATCGACCTCGAGGTGCGCCCTCCGTTTGAGGTGTCGAGGGCGGCTTTTCGACACCTTGCAGTCGCTTCCATAACCGGGTATCAGCGTTCCCCTAACATGGAAACCTGCTGGAGGCCAACTTGCATACGCATGCGAGTTCTTCAATCGTACCACCTCATTTGGCGCGTTTGCGATGCTGTCGCATTTGGGCACTGCTCACTTCTATCTGACGCTTCGAAATGACGTCTTACCCTCGCATTTGCAGCTAGCCATCCACGAGCGCAATTTTTCGAACTCAGAGTCGCGCTGAAGCAGGTGGTCACATTTGCCAAGGGTACAACCGCCTTGCGTTTCACGGGCCCCGGTGTGTATCCCGTCGATGGGGCTGTTCGCCTACTGGGATAATAATGGGTACAGACCCGGCCCACCCAAATCTGTGACAGGCGACGTTACCCTTGCCGGCGCTCCCCCACATAATTCTCGTCCTTCATTTCAATCTCGTAGAACGTTCGTTGAGAATCTGGATTGCTGACTGATAAATAGTGTCCGTCTTGAACAAAACAGGGCATTGCAGATCGAAACTTGCCTCCAAGTGACCGCATGTGCAGCATCGCAGTACCTGGAACTTAATCGCAAGTGGTCGACATTCTTCCGCGAACTGGATTCGGCCTACGAGCACCACAACGCAGATACATTGCATCCGCCGAAGCAAATCCGATGTGTCGTCCTCAAACTTGGCAATAGGAGTCTCATTCGTTTATCTCCGGCGTCTAGGAGATAGTCAACTTGAACGGGCCGAAGCAGGGAAAAGTAAAGTCCACCGTGGCGGCTACAGACTGGCACGCCCGTACTGAGAACCCTGTCTGCCGATCGCTGAAGTCTGTAGTATCTTTTTGCCATCAATTGAGCACATAAGGTGCAGGCAAATATTGCGATCCTACAAGAGCGCGGTACAGACGCTGTGGCAAAGCGCTCCATACATAATTAAAGTGTATTACACTCTGCTCGAGTCCAATCAATCGCAATATCGCCATCACCGTCTCAGTTGCCTCATCCTCGCCCCGCCGTCTGCACAATGACGGTGCGTGTAACCACAACTATGCAAATCTCCGAGACACTTCATTGAGCGATCTACTTCTTCTCGCTTATCACAAGCGGGGTGTTGAGAGCGAGGTCTGTTTGCACCTAGTCGTCGTCCATGTATTCGTGCTGGAAGTCAGATTTTTCCTCGAACAACATTAGCAAAGTAGTTGTTGCCCAAGTCACCAGAGCTCACCATTTCGAGCCCCATTGCCTTCATGATGGTAGCTGTATGTTTTTCTGGATCTTGGTGTACCCGCAAGTGACACATCAGGCCCCACATCGGAAGGATACATAAAGTCGCGGAGAGCAACCGTGACGATAGATAGACGTTCAGATTCACCTTGGCAATCGTTGCTTGCCAGGGAAGTATCGTTGGAGAATCCGAACTCTTCTGGCGATATGGAATCAAGGGCCATACAGAACTTGAGAGGGCTTGCGGTGAGCTGAATCCCAGACCTCGCAGACCGTTTGCGCAGGTGGCGGGTGCCCACCTTCCTTCCAGCTCTTCTAGGCAGACATGTGCTACCTTTCACATATAGTACTAGTATCGGCGATGATTCTCCCTGTAGAAAAGCTGTAATCGTCCTGATCTACTACCATGAGTGTCCAATTCACACGACGCAACCCGTGCGGCGCTCTGCTGAGTGAACATACGGCCACGATCCAGATGCTAAAATGAACATACAAGCTGATAGGTCGCGGTAGCTTCAGCTCTTCTGTGTAGTTGCAAGTGAGTGAAGGCCAGCTTCCGCGGAGAAGGTCCACAGCTGTTCTGTGTGAAGGACTTAGCGCCTTGGCGAGTCGAATAGTTACAAGAGCTGCGCCTTTTCATGACTATACAAGCTCTCTATTGGTACTACACTCGTGAGGTACTCCCTTGTCGTATCTTTGCGTCTCCTCACCATGATCTTGAAGCCCACGGGCTTATTTCTCCACGGTCTGTATTTCAGGGACCGCCATAGGGAGGACATCTAGGCCCTAGACGCTTGGATCTGAAAATTCCCTGCACCTGAAGCCGTGGTTAGCATGTTGCTAATAGCCAATATGCCGAACAACTAGTAATTGACCACTTCTATTATGCTGTTACGCATGTAGTCTTAGGGATAGCCCTCTGTCGCCGGCCCTGGGGAGCCTATATCAGAGCTTCGCTGACAAGTCTGGTGCACTGATCGAGGGTCGGCGCATATTTGGATGAGAATGGGGTATTTGCTGTGATGAGGGTAGTCGGAGCTTGTTGAACCACTTTCCCCTGCAAGTCTGGACGCTGGCAGTGAGGGATATTTCTGACATCATTGAAGACTTGATTTTTTTCGTCAAGTGCTGCGGCTTGCGTGAGCTTGAGGAAAACACATTCTCTGGTGAGAGTTCACTTGCAAGCCTCACTCCAGTTTACTATCCTTGCAACCCTTAGGCGCGTTGACCGGGTTACATCTCGCAACCCTTCCATCCTTCAATTGCACAACATAGTCCCAGCCCCACCTTGCACTCATACCCCACGAAGGGAAGTCCGTGCTGACGATTTGTGCACCAGATACAAACGCTGAATCACGCATCTCTGTAGTCTTATTGAGCACAGTGTCAAGCGGAACATCGCTCCTCGTGCGCACAATGTAGCCTTTCTTCACTAGACGCTGAATCTCAGCTGTCATGTTACCGCGCGGCTCATTGGATTTGATGACAGCACCATCAGACGATCCTTCAAGGGAGTTAGTGAACACAGTGCGGTTCTGGAGCGACTCGTGACCAGCAGACTTGTACAGCTCGCGAGGAGAGCTGGGGTCCATGGGCTTTGGGTCGTTGTCGAAGAAGAACATGAGGCGGCCACGAGCGTCGCTGAGCAGAGGCCAGCCCTTCTGGAGCACACTCTGCTCGAGGGTCAGGTTACCTTGACGAACGTCGTCTGGACGGATAAGCTGCTTCTTAGGGAAGACTGAGAGGATTTCTGCGTCGACGTTGAGGAGACGGGGAAGAGTCCAGTTTGTAGCTTCGCCAGGGCAGACACCGCCGATCACACAGGCCGGTGCATCGGTTTTGAGCTCGAGATCGATGATAATAGGGACATGGTTTCTGTTTGCGTCTGACCAGTTCTTGAGCTGTGTCAGGCAGTCCACGAAGGTGTGGCACACAGAGTCAGGATCGAAGTCCGTGACGTGGAAGACCTTAATGCCAGGCTTTTGCAGGACAGAGCCGTCATAGGGAGTTGTAGCGTTCGTCAAGTTTGAGAGCGTCCAGATAAGAGGGGGGTAGTAGAGACCACCTTCCTCGTCAGAATGCAGGTCGAGTTCGAGTGAACGCACAGCCTGGTGCTCCAGCTGGTTGGGCAGGGTGGCTTGCGAGTAGTAGTAGTCCTCCGGCGACGGAACGTACTTCTCGAATACAGCAATCTCAGCCAGTGATACCTGACGGTGGTAGGAGTTGTGAGTCCCAATAACCTGGATATGGTTCATATGAACATCAGAGTTCGCTGTCTTGCTGGCGGCAAGAGCGCTTTCTACCTGTTGTTAGCTTCAGCCCTTCAATTGCGACATTCATCTTCCGTACGTGCAATGAGCATAAAGCTCGCGAATCCCTGGTAGAATCAGTATGAGCCTTCTTTAATACATTGTAGTCGGCACTTACTGACTGGCCAAACATGCTGTCTACGCCGCTCACTGTAGGGTGGTGTGAATTGACACGCAGAGGATCACGACAGGCAGCAGGAAGCACGCCTTATGTACCATCTTATCCATGCTCAGCCTACCCTATTGTTCCGCGTACTAGAGCTTGACAGGTGAAGTCGTTCACGCCTGCCTCGGAAGCTAGTGACCACATGCGCCAAGGATAAAAGGCTATTGGCCACTTCTACGGCTTTTGGATGCCAGTACCCTGCAACGCCTGCTCTATGGAGAAGGCCGATAGCGCGAGCCTCAACACGTGGTGATATTGTAGCAAATTTCCGGGATAATCAGATTCTGATGGTGATTAACGGTGTTGAAGTGACTGATCGAGACTGTCACCAGGCGTTAGGAAAAGCGGGGTAGCTCAGCCGCTAGTTACCGTAAGACCAGTGGTGTGAGGTGCGAAAGTTTTGCAAACACAACCACAGAAAGTCATTGTTCATCGTCAATGCTGTACACGCATACATCGATGTTTGTCTAGACACAGGATTCTACTCGGCATTATGTACCAGTCGTAGCGCTTTCCGTACCTCTGGAGGAACATGCCAGCCTCTCCGTCCCTCTGCCCTTCAATGATTTCCAGGATACCCTGTACGCTTGTCTCCGAGCTATCACAGCTTGCCATGTTATTCCGCGCCTCCCTATCCTTCGCAAGGTCTGTGATGACGAAACCAGGGCAAAAGCTCCAAACCTTGAAGCCTTCCTTGTTGAGCTGCTGGTACTAATAAGCAGTAAGCATATTGAGCGCAGACTTGGTCATGCGATATCCAGGTACGCGTACAATAGCACCAGAAGGATCATTATCAGATGTAGCAACGCAGCGGGAGATACTGCCCAAGTCCGATAAGACGTTGATGATCTTGGGTGATTTTGACTGCCTCATAAGTGGGAGGAGAGCAGCACTCAGAATCGTAGGACCGAAGATATCGGTCTCGAACTCGGCGCGAAGTTGGTCGCGAGAATGCCATTGGCCATCGTACGTCTCCAGGGCAATCCCAGCGTTGTTGGTGAGAACGTCGAGGCGGCCGAATTCTTGTCCAATGTGCTTCACTGCCGCATTGATAGAATTTTCATTGTCTGCATCAAGCTGTACGAGACTGGCAGTACCCTTGGGTTTCCTGTCTTGAATTTGCTTGAGTGCGGCACTGCCCTTTGCGGTGTTAGAGGAACCAACGATGACGTGGTTTCGAGGAGAGACAGACGCGAGCAGTGTCGCAGTGTCGAAGCCAATACCATCGTTGGTACCTGAATAATTAAGCATATGTTGCATACGGTGTGGAAGTCTATGGACTCACCTGTGATGAGGATGATTTGGCGGTCTGTGGTGGAAGAAGGCATCTTGTGGCAGAACAATTGCATGGGCAGCTCTGGAAAGGTATCAGAACCATATGGCTTATCTGTGCAATAGCAGTCAAAATATATGTGCACCCGGTGAGATTAGTCTCACAACACAGCATGGTGGACTTAGAACGCTCAAGTCCGCATCTTGGAACGCGGTGAGCTCTTTCGAGCAGACCGCCCAGGTCTGTAGCTTTTGCGCTTCGCATAAGCCCGTATGTTCGGCTCGTAGTTTATGGAGTTAAGGTCGTAAAATGGTCATTAGGGTAATGCAGGAGGCCTGATATGTGGAAGCTTCCTAAAACCTGACTGGACGACATACTAGAGTGCACTTAGCATAGTGAAAAGGAGCTTAGTGCAGAACGACCAATCTACAAGATCTAGTCCAATTATTGCATTGCCCAAGAGTTATGTTTGAAAAATGCTTCATTGCGATCGGTATCCTAGACTGACCATGACCCATGAAAAGAAGCGGAACGCCACTACGTAAATTGCCTATCGATGCAGGATCTAACCTTCGGTGGGAGTTGTTGTAGTTGGCCTTGATCTTCCAGGCAGGAATGCCCTCAATCAACGTCTCCTCGATATCTTGAAGGATCTTTCCAGCCGTCTCAGGAAGTAGGAAGAAAATTTGGACTGCCATGGCTGCGCAGAAGACACCAAGTATGATGTGCGCCTTCCACTGGGTATTGACGAAAGTGGGAGGGACAAAGTAGGACAGAGCGAAATTCTAAGAATACTGTCAGTGTTTGGTGCTGCAGAGCCGCCCTATAGACGCCGAAGAGCCGTGCTTGTGGCAGACCTTGTCCGGATCAAAAGCGGCGCCAATGCTCATATGCGTGGAGGTAGTTGGAAAACTTCCGTATTTTATTCGTAGGCAGAAAATGTGGCATCTCAGTATTAAGGCATGCTGCGCATCTTATAGGGAAGGAACTACGAGCACAGTTCTACAAAAGGCTGGGTTGAAAGCTCAGTACGACCTAGTCAACATGTTGGCATTATGGTGGTCCGAAGATCAGAGCTTTGTGTATACCCTGGCATCTTTGGTCAGCGTTCAATACTCAGACTCGATGTGCGCAGCAGGTAGTAACCGATAATCGATAATCGATGGAGGCGCAGAATTGAGAACTGATATTATGCTCATTACCTGGATGTGCGTATCTATACGTATACACCCCCTTAAAAGGGCAGGATTCTTACCAAACAAGCTTCTTCAACGAATACCCAATTTGCTCCAGATACCCTGTGCTCTTCTTCGCATTCGCTAAGCTAATGATGTCTTTATCCTCAACTTCCAGTATCCTGTCTTCACTCTCAGTGCCGGACGCCGTCTTCTTCGCCTTGTTAGCGACTCTGATAATTTCCTCACAGATACTCTTCACCACTTCTCCCTCACTCTCCGCCTTCTCGCCCTCGGTCGGCACGCTAGTCCTGGGTGGCAGCGCCTTAAAAGCTAAGAACCTCCCCTCCTCCAACTTCGCCTTCTTCTCGTCTTTCTTTTGCTCGTCGTTGGCGGCGCCTGAGTCTAGAGCTCTTGTGTTGCGGCGTATAAGCTCACCCTGAGCGTCAGCGCGGTACCGGATCACGAATCCTACGTTCTTCTCCGCATCCATGTGGCGCTGAGCTAGCGTACTGGTGATATACACACCATGCATGAGGCCCTGCACGTTTTCCAGAGCAACATGCTCGAACTCGCGAACCTTCTCTGTGCCCCAATCTAGACGGCAGAAGTACAGTGCTTTCTCGGTGAGGAGAAGGACAGCCTCCTCGAATGTTGCCGTCTTCACATGGTTTGCACTTGTAGGAACAGACAGTGTCCAGCCATGGATGAGATCTTCGTCTTGATCCTCGATGACGCGCGCAGCACAACGCTCGATGGCCGCCTGTCTGACCTTGCGGACGTCGATGAAGTAGTCGCTGCTCTTCATGTCGGCTTCGAATTCGGCAAAGATAGTCTCTGTTGCGCGACCAAGGAGGTAGTCGATGACAGCTTGCGCGAAGTAATCATTGACGATGTTGTTGTAGTAGCGGGTGAGAGTAAGACCGAAGTCGGTCAATGCACCGGTTATTTGTCGTTTGCGGGTGCGTGTGAAGTCGCCCTTGAGAGCGGCGGTACCGGCATACTGGCGTGAGATGTTGTCGCCGTTATCAGCCCAAAGGATATTGAACCATGAAGTAGATGGATCAGTCTGTAGATCGATCGTGTAACTGCCAGCTGAGAGTTGCTGTTCGAGGGCGCTACGTGCGGTTGCGCTTTGAACGACATTGGTGCGGTCGAGACAGTCCATACAATTCGTGCGCAGGATGCCTGACTGTTTATGTGCGATGGAATCGTTGGAAATCTCTGTCCACCCGGTCGATTCAAGGAACGGACCGAGGGTGTCCATCAGTTTGGAGACGTTTTCGAAGTGCATTCCTCGGCAGACATTGTGAAAGTCAAACCACTCGAAGCCGAGTTGCTTTCCTTTACCATTGATGCCGCCGTGATCGTTGAGGTCCTTGGCATGCTGCTCATAGAGTTCGCCAATCTTGGCCTCTGTGCCGTGTTTGTCGATTAGTGATGCGACATAGACTTCGCTATAGCGCATGGCCAAGTCGTTGAAATGTCGCTTGAAGGCTTGACCATTGGTCTCAAATGAGCCCCAGGTGGAGACTTGAGGCTTCAGACTGTAGGGTGATTGCGAGAAGAAGAGCGGTATTGAGCCACGGAGCTGGGTAAAGGAGAAGATCTTATCTTGTGATGTGTTCCATGAGGGTGGTGAGAGTATCTGTTCAGTCTCGACTGTGTTGGCAGTGCGACCCTCATCGTCAATTCCACGTCGCAGGTAGCGCAGCCCAGCACGCTTGATCGAACGTCTCGAGACGAGAGTAAGAAGGAAGTCCTTGCCATCGACTAGAGCCGCTGCTGGTTCTTCCCTGTCCGACTCAGCCGCAGCCGTATCTTCTTTCTCCTGTTTCTCATGCCACGACTGCAATTGTATGTCGTCTGGTGTTGCATCCTTATCAACGACCAGACTGTCTGTCTTGCCGTCTGCAATCTTGAGTGTGAAGGGGCGCTGACCAACGAAGCCTTGAATGACTGGTAGGACAAAGGAATTTTGGCCGGCTTCTATGAAGGGTGTGACGATATGTTGGTTCCAGAAGAACTGATTATTATTAGCCACCCGGGTATGAGCATAGATTCTGGAGACACTCACCAAAGGGTCGTACTGCTTGAACAGTGGGATGCTAGCATTTGTGGACTGGTTGGCGATTGCATGCGACAGGTCGTAGTCGTACGAGTAGAAGAAGTTGCCAGACGAGAAATACATTTTCGTTGTCTGTATTACACGCGGCAGCAGTGCTACTGTCGTCGCGTCTTGCTCTCCCTCCAAGACCCTCGGGATGTCCTCCGGTTTCACCGAGCCTGGAGTAGTCTCCCCGTCACTTGGAAGCTTGTCTGGTGTCGAGGCGTCTGCGTCCTCTGTAGGCCCTGTGGAATCAACATTCTTCGGGACGTTCTTTGCAGCAAGATCCTCTTCTGAGCTCAGGCCCTGCGTCCGTCTGCTCTCTGCGCTCCAACCCTTACGCGAGAACCACCTGTCGGCGAATCGTCCGTAGACACCCTTCTTTTGCATGACATCTTCGGCGACGCTGGACCTCTTGTCTGCGGGGCCCCTTTGGCCTGTGACCGGATCCTTCACCTCGGTTGGTGAACGTGGCATCTCTTCGACTAGCGAGTCGGTAATACTGGACGCCTCATCTTCGTTCTCACTGTCTGTGTCATTCTCACCTGTCCCTCGTCCTTTGTTATGTCTGTGAAGGTGTTCGCGCGTGGAGGTGATGGCTTTGTCAGCCTCTGCTTGAGAAGCGAGAGGGATAAGTGCGACGCCAGTAATCTTATAGATGGGTTTACCGCGTATTTGTGCGACTTGTTCGCGACCGCATATCGATATGAGGAAGACTGAAGTAGCTACCGTGAGCAGCCCTGTTGCGCATTAGAACCCTAGAACGCAAAAGTGGGGTGCACAAATCTCGGAGACATACCTACAACACCATGCGCTTCGAATGACGATAGTGTATCGTCGTCCTCATGGTCATTGTTCAGTAGGGGGCCTACATTGCCCTTGTAGTCGATCCCTATAGCCTGCTGCTGCTGGGCTTGAGGATGTGAGCGGGGCTGGAGCACGAGCCCATCGACGGCAGCGAATATCAGGAGCTTTCTGACAAGTGGCATGTTTCCGGGAGAGCAATTTGCGCAAACAGAACCGTTACCCAAAAAGCATTGATAGGCCAAGTTGGTGTTGATGCCCCGGTAGTGCGGGCAAGATCGGTGTTCGGATGACGTCGTCGCGCTTGCTGCAGCCCCCACGCCGTGCATCCCAGCTTTGCCTGTTTCTATTCATCACCCACATCTCACTTTCAACGTATCTCCGACTCAGAGCAAGCGCAATTGGCATTTGTCTAGACTTTGATTGTTGCTATGTACCTAGTCCGTACATCGCCCTGACGCTAAGTCTTCGATGCATCCATGGATATTTCAGGCGTCTAAAGCTCCTATACAGATCACTCCCATCCCCGTCAAGTCGATGAGTGACGCTGGCTTCCGTCCGCGCCGCGGGCTGTGTATCTTACATCTATGGGCCCAGTCTCAAATTTGCTGACGTGTCAACCATCTGGCATGTACAGTACCCTCTGCACGCTCTGAAGCGGCCGCTTCCCCGTCACTCGCAACATACGAGACCGGCCTACAAGTCCACTACGAAGCGCTAGTGCATCAGATCATTTGAGGTCGTTTTGGATGGATGTGTTCTGGACAAAAGTCTTCTACTGCTCACGCGCGACTGCTTTGAGGCCCCGATGCAGCAGACAACGGCTTTATGACAATATCCAAGGATATGGCGCAATCACATCCCGAGGTCGCGCTCCAAAGACCACTTACACGCGACGACTTTTTCTGTGCAGGCGTTCTTGTGGCTTGAACATAATTCTCAATTGGGGAAGAGGTGACTGAAGCGTACCCGTGAAGCGCATCTTAGATGCATAGCGTGAGAGCCCTGCGGAGCAAGTGCACGACATCTTGAGGTGCCGTGAAGAGCGTAAGCTTGGAGTTTTGAATAACGGTATGCTTGCTTCGATGCAGTCACACTAAGCTCTCGAATTTCGTTCATGTGTGTGTTTCCTGGTGCTTCGATACCCTACGTTTTCTGAAAGGTGGGCGAATGTTCTGAGATGGGTATCATGTAGGGAGAACCATTAGGTGGAAATGCTCGTCGTGTAGTGAATCACGAAGCCTACATCCCAAGCTGCCGGCTTCTAGAAGGCCTTGCAGATATTGCCACATGCAAAAAGTCTCTCATTGGGCTGCTGCGCCCCCGACAGCGCTTGCCTGCCGCGCGCCCCACCACTCGCACAAATAGTTACAATGCCACAGGATGATACCTTGAACGCCAGCCTGGTACTTGATCATTGTTTAAAGCTTTACAAACCGCCGAGCCCCAGAATGTTCATCTTGGCCTGACGCTCTCCGCCGGAGAGTCTTGGATCAACATCGCACATCAATTGGGTTTGGTGGCGCTTTGGATCAGGTATGTTAGCGACCCCTCTAATATGTAAGATTGTGGCTGCCAGGTCGATAGAAGCAAGCGGGTGTCCAGCCTTGTCTGCTGACAATCCAGCCTTTGCATCAACTTTAGCTTACACTCACTTGTATCCAGCTCACAGGACTCCAAGATGCCGCTACTCGATGTTCAAATACACAGGCTACATACCTTTTACGGTGACAACATTCCGCGCTATGCCATTTTATCTCACACTTGGCTTCAAGACCACGAAGAGGTCACATTCGCCCAACTGCAGTCCCAAGCGCCAGACGATTGGAGCCATCTTCCTGGTGCGCAGAAGATCGAGTTGACATGTCGGCAAGCAGCCCGAGACGGATACTGTTGCGGTATCAAGGGCAAATGTAAACGAGTGTATTGTGTCTTACCTCTCCAAGGCTCGCTGCGGGGTCTGTTTTGATGACGTGTTTGTGATGCAGCTGAGGTAAGAGGTGCTCAACAACATGAGGAAGCAGCACTAGACCACCGCTAACAACACGTGATCTACTTCTCCTCTTAACCGTTACAGATACTCTTGGGCCTGGGCTGACACCCGCTGTATCGATACCCTGCTGCCCGGCCGTCCGAGCCGCCCGGCCGTTCGAGCCACCCCACCAAAACAACAACCAGACTTCAACACGCGATAAATCTATCAATATGGGCTCAATTGAGGCAGCGATTGCAGCGATCGAATCGCTAGAACCAGGAGAACAGTTCAGCTATCGTAAAGTTGCAGCAGAGTATCACTGTAACCGTACAACGCTCGCGCGGAGGCATCAAGGCATTGCAGGCTCACGCAGTACCATGGCAGAAAACCAGCAAGCGCTCCACCCCCAGCAAGAGCAGGAGCTCTTACGCTATATTGAGCGCCTTACAAGGCAAGGCCTACCTCCCTCACGGCCTATGATACGACGCTTTGCTTCGGAGATCGCGAAAAAAGAGCTTGGAAAAGGCTGGGTTGATCGATATATCCAGCGCCACGACGTCCATCTCATCTCACGCTGGACCACTGGCATCGATCGCTCGCGCCACCAGGCTGACTCTCTATCACAGTATAGCCTCTACTTTGAGCTTCTGCGCAGCAAGCTCAGCCAATACGATATTGAGCCTCATAATATATATAATATGGATGAGAAGGGCTGTATGCTAGAAATACTTACTCGCTCAAAGCGGGTGTTCAGCAGGAGGCTATATGAGGAGGGGAAGATTAAGGCTCACATCCAGGATGGCAATCGGGAGTGGATAACGCTGCTGGCCTGTATATGTGCTGATGGATCAGCCCTTGCGCCTGCGCTGATATATCAATCAGCCTCAGGCTTAATACAAGACACCTGGCTACAGGCTCTAAGGCCAGAGGATCGAGTGTATATATCCTCCTCACCTTCTGGCTGGACGAACAACGATATAGGACTATCCTGGCTTAAACAAGTGTTTAATCGATCTACAAAGGAGAAGGCAGGGCGGAGCTATTGGTTACTTATCCTTGATGGCCATGGATCTCATCTCACGATGGATTTTATTGAGTACTGTGACCGGAATAGAATCCTCCTTGCAGTATACCCCCCTCATTCAACTCACACCCTCCAGCCGCTTGACGTCGTCATGTTTAAGCCATTCTCAACAGCCTACTCAAACTAGGTAGCTGCTTTCATGGAGAGGTGCCAAGGGCTTACTTCTATGAGTAAGAGAGACTTCTATCCTATGTTTATGGCTGCCTGGGAGGCCTCGTTCAAGAAAGAGACTATACTCAAGGCTTTTGAGGCAGCTGGCCTCTCACCTCTCAACCCAGAGGTGATACTCAAACGATTCAATCAGCCAGCTTAATCAGGCCAATCAAGTGATAGCGACTCCTCAGCCTTGAGCGCCTCTAACTGGCGGAAAACTGAGCGCCTTCTACGCCAGGTAGTGCACGATAGGAGTGATCCACGAGCTCAAAAGCTCAGCCGAGCCTTCCATTCTATCTCAGTTCAGAAAAGCCTTCTTACACACGAGGCTCAAGGCCTTATGCAAGCTCTTATCAATGAGAGGCAGCGTAGAAAGCGAGGCAAGGCTCTGCCTCTAGAGGCAGAGGAGGAGTATCACGGTGGAGCTAAATTCTGGTCCCCAAGGAAGGTGAAGGAGGCACGTGATCGCCAGCTTCAACAATGGCTTGAAGAAGAGCAACTACAACACCAGAGAGCTGAGGCAGCTCGCCTACGTGAAGTGAAGAAACAGGAGAAGCTTCAGGCAGCTCAACAGAAGCGTGCAGCAAGGGCAGCAACTCAAATAATAAGGCAAGAGGAGAAGGCTCGTAAGGCTGCTGATCGAGCCTCACGACAGGCAGCTCGTAGGACTCAACAACGACTCCAGCAAGCTCAAAAAACCGCCCAAAGAGGCAAGAGGGGAGACCTCAAGGCAGCTACTAAGGCAGGCTCAAAAAAGAGAGCAGCTGCGCAGCCTCAGAGTGGTGATGATGCCTCAGGTGCTGCAGCAGGCCCACCACCATCTCAATCACGACACGGCCGAGCAATCAAGCTCCCAGCTAAATATAGATAGCTATATATATCAATCAATACCTATAGAACTCAACTCTAGAATATATCGCGATAATAGCTATCGTTCGTGGCTCTACAGCCTCAAGTTAAGCTGCTGTTTTGGTGTTCAGGGTGGCTCGAACGGCCGGGCGGCTCGGACGGCCGGGCAGCAGGGTAAGACGAACAACGCCGAAGTCTCAGAAGCGATTAATTCTATATTCCGCTGGTACAAGAGATCAGGGGCATGCTACGTGTACCTCATAGATGTCGATCTTATAGAAGGCAATAAGGGCATTCTTGCAAGCCGGTGGTGGATTCGTGCCTGGACATTGCAAGAGCTTGTAGCGCCAACAGACGTCCATTTCTACGACACACGATGGCGGCCCATGGGATCAAAAGTTGGTCATGCTCAAAACATTGCAGAGACCATGAACATTAATGAAAAACTCTTCACAACCCAGATACTATCTTTTATAGAAGTGTTGCGCGGAGAATGTCGTGGGTTATACGCTACCTGTCCACGCGATTTCTCCAGCGCCCAGGACGTTGTTTACCTGGTTCAACACGTTAGCGGCATAGGAACTGAAGAAAGACATGGGATGCAAATCGTCAATACAGCCATGACTATTTCTACAGAGTGGACTAAGTCTGGGAGTAATCAGTGGGCAGTCGCATTGCTCCCGTGCATGGTACTGAGCAGTCCTCACTCATTGGTGGGTATCCTACTTAGAAGATGGCACCGCGGTCATTAACGTACTATATGACTTTCTTTTTGAAGGAACATGTACAGTTGTTTGGTATCTGGTAGTCTTATCCGCGAGGCAGACAAACAGGAGCTTAAGGTTGATACCATGGACACGCAACATTCAACGTGATTCTCAAAGATGGACTCATCTCCTAGTCGTACGCTCGGCGTCTGGTTTGAAAATATTCAAGATTATACATTCGAGCTCCTCGGTTCCACTCCTTGGCAGAAGGATGAGCGTTACTCTCGTTGTTTTACACTTCCATGTTTCTCTATTAAGACCACGATCCTTCTCTTTCATAGACCGAACTCACCATTGGCGGTGTACGCTGGATTCAAACTCGGTCCTACTATTAGCGATCGTCTACAGGTAGCGGAAGCGGAAGCTGTGAACATCTTGATAATGGCGTCGCCAGCGTTTACAGGGACGACTCCATTCTTGGAAAATATGGAGGCTGCTGTCGATGTGTCAAACAACACCAGAGCGATCGGTCCTCGGGATGGGTGTGGGAGCATCTGCGGACATAACCGTGTGTACATTGCTGTCTCACTCAAAATGGTCTTCAACCAAGCAGTGACAACAGTCTCTCCACAAAAGAGCTGCTGGTACTTGGGTCTCGATTCGAGACGCACTGTATCTGAAACACGAAGAATGGTTCTTCGAAGAGCCGCAAATTCGGCCGAACGGGCCACGCAAGAGAGGGCTTCTAAGCTGGACTAATTGACAGTGCTGTACAACCACCGGAGAAGACTCTTGACTAGGAAACATATATGCTTTCGAACGGCTTGAAATATCTTCGTTCCGTCATGTTCTACTGTGGCCTGTCATCACACGCTTTAAACACGCCATATTCGAGATCGCTTCGCCAATAGCGCAATGACAATGCAATATGTTCAAAATTTACTACTAAAAGATCTTACTGCATCTTGGAGACGCTTAGGAAGTCTTCGCCGTAAAGCAATTGAGGTCCGTCTATCAACGTATGAAGGCAACCACAAGCCAGACGTAGACCTCAAGTCATCTCTTTCGTAGAAAATACAGATGCTTAGCTGACGACGTGGGGTGTTAGAAGTGAACTGCACATTCGGACGTGGGGAATCGACCCTGCGGATAGCGGTTCGCCTCAACAAGTCATTCCACTGCGGAAGGGACACGGTATCCCACCAGAAGACTCAAATCAGTCTAGATCAAATGAAACAGCTCTTGAATTAAAAGGTTTGGATGGACTGAGAAATTCGGAAGTAGACTGAGGTTCAGTAACTGCATCCAGTGCGCAATTGAACCACGCGACGCAATACTAACGCTCTGCGTCCTCTTACTTGCAGTCTCAGACTCTGAATACATCTTATGGTTTGCTTCTCTGCAAGTTGAAAATGAGGCCTGAAGAAACTAACTTCCCTTAAGTAGCTCCAGCTTGCTCGCTCCGCAACAGCAAAGTTTTCAACCTGTGAAATCCCGGTTTTCGAGTCCATTCTGTTGACTCCTTCGCGAAACTCGCGATCTCATCTATGTCGCATACACCTCAGTATCTCGTTGGCTATATAAACCATGCGCAACACATCAAGCTTGCTTAGGCGGAAGGTGGCGGCGGTATTGATGGATGCTTGCTGCGCGCTTGCTATAGGATCAGTAAAGAGATGGGAAGTATGCCAATGGAAAACGATTCAGTTCTTTCCTTTTTTTGCACACCAAAGTGGAGTGTCCAAACATATATACTACATACAATGCCACAACGTATGAGGAAAGGCACATAATAAAAGTTTTGCAAGATCAGCTCTGCTTTCCTGAAAGAGAAGATTGCGCAAACCCTGTATGGAGAACACCCGCAATTTTAACCTGTTTTTGGAAGAAATATGAAAACCGAAGATGTAAGAGCGCTCGACGATCAATTTACCTTCTAGACGCGAGCCCCACACGACTGGACAGAGACTCCATTTGTTTACCAAGAATTTCTGAAGCGTATTCACTCGTTCTTGTCAACCTCCTAGGGTTGGAGGAGGCTTGGTCCCGAGATCTTCCTCCTGTTTATTACAGGACTCGACTTAAGAAAGCTCTAATCTTCTACCTTAATCCATACCTGTCACAGCTGAAAAGTGGCAGAATGTAGACTACACTTATACCCCTGAATGGGCTGCTTATGAGGCTGATTCTCTGCGACAATAACCACAACAGCAGATGTCGAACGTATCAAAAGAACCCTCTACCCTATAAGAGACTGGCAATATCGCATATTTATTATGCCAAGTAACAATAAGCATGCCGTTTCCGCTGCAACGCTGGTAATCAATTCCTTTGACCCAATTTCAATTGAAGCACGCAGGTTTTTGAAACAGTAAGCTCTTTGAGGCTTGAGTGGCAGTTGCACATCCGGGAAACCACGGCCGAGGTCTGATCTGGCTGTGAACTGGGAACCTGGGGTCTTGCGTCTTCAGAACCGTCATCCTAAGAAGATGGAGTTGCTTCCGCATGAAGACTTTCTGTTTTTGAATAGTAGGCAGGCGGACGCGCCTCCAATGCGGCCTTCTTGCACAATGTGTAAACATTTGGCTGCCCAAAGCTAGAGTACTATCAGAGTTGGAAATTCTTAGCAATTGTTACACTCTCCTATTATAGTAAGCCACTCGCCGCAGAGGCTGAATACCTAATCAAAATTCTTAAGCACAGTGTAGGATGTATTGTTATAGAGCGATCCTTATAGATAGGTCTCTTTAAATAAAAGCGACTCAAGCTTAGGACTGGCGCTAACAGCTTTCAGATGTGATACTCCAATGGTTCCAGGAGATATTCCGAGCTCTTTGTAATAGATGGAGGCTTGATCAGGTGCAACTTCAAGTTGGGAGGAAGGGGGAGTCTGTCCGGACAACAGTAGGCTGGAGCCTTCATGTTCATACGTTGGTGCCGACGCCCTCTGGATGGATGTGGTGATGTCTACAGCGACAGTTTACAGTAGTATATTAGTATTATATCAAGGCAGGAAGCGTTGTAAATAGCCAATGTTGGCTGGTACGCACGTGTCTCCCCCGGAAGTTCTTAAGCAACATCCCATCAACACACGCCTCAAACCTCTCATCTACTTTTAAGACCAATCATGATCACAATTGGTATCTTCCCCTGCCTCTGCTCACGCTTTCATGCTCCCCTACTGACGTCCTCCCACCAACATAATCTCATTTGTTCAAATGTAAAGATTTTACCTAAAGCGAGGAGGTAGTCACGGTAGTAGAAGTCAAGGGAAATAAAAAAATTATAAGCTGAGTAATCCGTAGTGAGGGTCATGCTGTTATTGTGCAGTTGCGAACCGGAATGACGTAAAGCTGTGACTAGAAGCCTGGCTTGCGATGCAGTTCCTTTGACTGCCTATCAAGCCTCCTATTAACTGCCCCACATACGACTTTAAGGACTCCTTCGCCCGTAAGCTCGGTATCGTCGTCACCGGTGAGGGGCACAGTATCGACGATATCCCTCAGCTCGTCGTCGCCAGAAACTTCTCGCAGACCATCGTCGAGCTGCTTGAGTGCCTCTCGCGCGCCGGCCTCCTTGCCAACCTGGAAGAACTGTATGCCGATCTGCCACGCTGGCGCATCGAGCTTATCGAGCTTCTTTGCGCATGCAATGATGGGGGCTTCGACATCGTCTGATGGCTCCCCGTCGGTGATGACAATGACGTTCATGGGCTTAGTGGCCTCAGGGTCCTTCTCATAGCGCTGCAGGTAGGGCTTGAGAATTTTATGTAGTCGCTGACCTGTAGGTGTTGCGCCACCGGGTCGCACAGTCTGGAAAATTTCGATGACCGTTCTGGCGGCTGTAACGTTCCTATAGATGGAAGAGTCTGGGTGGTTCAGAAAGTAGATGTCAATGCCGTCGGCATCGCGCTCCGTGCAGATAGGTGTGATCGTTTCGAGAGCCTTGCCAGTTTCACGCCAGGAGCGGCCAGCCATAGATCCGGAGTCATCGATGAGAAATATTGTGTCAAAGGACTTCAAGAATGCATACTGATCGTCTGCGGTGGGAGCTGTGCTAGACGTATTCATGGTGAGCTGTGCGTTCTGTGCCGGACCTGGGCTGTAAGCAGGTGGAGCGTCGCTTGAGCTTGTGAATAGATTTGTGTTGGCGCTGTCTGCTTTATGTCAATACCATTGGCTTAGACGTGCCTCAGACAAGGAGGCTGGCTGCGGCTTACTGGGTCGACGTGTCACAGGCGATACTGACGAGTACGGATTGCTGACGGGCGGGGGCGCGAGACGTGAGCTTCCGGACCCCACGCTTTTGGCTGGGTGAACAGGCGTTGTATCAGACAGTAGGTTCGACGATCGTCGCGAGAGCTTCTTCTTGAGGCTGCTGAACATCTTGATGAATGGTGGTTGGATGGTTTCAGGAAGCTCGTTTCTGCTGAAGTAGACGGGGGTTGTAAAGACTGCCAGAATGCATAGGGTAAGAGTTAGGTGGCTTATATGCTTGCGTGGCAGGAACAAAAGGCGCGCGATCAAAGCTCAAGGGCAGGTACTGTGGGGTAACTTGCGTTCGGTTCCCTTTCGACTCACTGTTGACTTATAATAATGAGATGCAAGATTGTTCGGCGCCCCTCGGTTGCCCATTTCTGCCTTGCGTCAGCCGCGAAAACACCTCTCAATTCAACCCGCCACAGGTGCCTGAATGGCATGGTGCATTAGCAAAGGCTTTCTCTATCACGAAACGCCTCGCTGGAGCTCGCACGCAGCCCGACAATGAGATTGACTGTTTGGGGCGAAAAGAGGCGCAGTACGCGCTACACCGAACGCACAGCCCCACTTCAGTCAGTCGGCTGAGTAGCCGCTCATGTGACGCCCATGTCTTAGTCGTACCTGCAAGCAGCAGCCAGAAGCAGAATATAACCAATCACAGCAGACTCCCCGTGCACCACAAGCATGGCTGGTGCAAGCGATGAACTACAGCACTGAATAGACGAACATGTGCAATGTAGTCGTGCTGATCCCATTCCGTGTCTGGCTTTATGCATCTTTCTGGTACAGCCAAATTATGATCAATGCTAACGCTATTGTCTACTCTCTCCAAGTCTCTGAAGGGTTCGGAAACCCTCTTGAAAATTTTGCGCAAGTTGCTTGAATGAGCTCGACGGTCAACCTGACGTCATATTGGATGCTCTTCGACGCCTCGTTGCGTGCCTCGATTGCAAGGACAAGTTTTGGAGGCTATCAACGCCCTTCAGCCCTACCGCAGCGGCAAACTGTAGCCTAGAGTTCACAGGCACTTTAAGGCTTCGGTGACGTCCGGATAAGCTTAAATCTGCAGCTCCGTGATCAACATCACCTCCTGCCACCCGTGATCCTTGGATCTAAGCTGAGACTCATGTTGGCCCAGCCCAGCGCCTGACCATTGACCTGCCCGTCTGTCCAATTTCTCTCGGCGGCCATGAACAGATCCCTCACCGCCAGGTGTCTTCCTGGACATACTGCATGCCCGTTCAATTGCCTCTTAGCTGAGCCGTCCGTAGCGACTGGGCGAGTAACTGGTAGGTGTCGTGGTATTGTCCAGAGGATAGGGCGCTTCGCCAGACTCCAAGCATACTTAGAGCGGTGCTGCGCCCAGCAATCGCCGCAGATGCCGATGTCCAAGTTGCCGGTACTCAAACTTAGATGTTCCTGCAGCATGTCCAGCAAAGGCATAAGCCGCACTCGAAGACCGCAATGCGCATGGTTGCTATCGACCTGGTAGCTCGAGATCTGCCGAAGCGTTGACAGCAGACGCTCGATGTCTCCTTGGTAGTATGTTGGCTCGGTGTTATCGTAGATCTTGCCTTGCATGCGCAGCGTATCGATCTTCGTGAAGAAGCGAATCATCTCGCCCAGTTGGAATGAATCACATTGTAGAGAAGTATCGTAGCCCAGCTTGCACTGTCGATCCCCAGACGTGTATATCCGAAGGAAGTGTGCCTGAAGAGAGTTGACGGTCTCCAAAATGTACTCCCTACGCTGGATCATCTCGTCTTCGAGGCCATTCGGTATGTCCCACCACAACGCCTTTGTATGATCCTCCTCGGCATCTGCTTGCCATTGCACCGAGTCGCGCATGATCAAGTGTTTCGAGTAGCGAGTCACCCACGGTGGGTGGTCGAGGAGGAGACCAATCAACAGCTTCTGTCGTGCTCGCTCTTCGGTTAGAGTCGGGCTCGTCCGTCCTTTGGCCTTTGCTTCCGTCAACTGCATGAACTTCTTCCGCTGCACGTACTTTGCCACACAATCTACTGCATCGAATCGGTCTGCGACGACGGCTAAGTTGGCGATGTTGGCGACTGGCGGGTTGAATACTGCGAGATCGAGGCCATGAATGGCACGGAGGAAGTCTGCAATGAGGTTTCGAATCGAGGATGCCTTGGATATGGCAATACGGCCGGCGTTCACGATCGATATACGAGGAAGGTTTTCTATAGGCGTGTCTCCGAGGCTCGCGTGCCCCGCAAGCTTGAGATCCTGAAGGGCTGCGGCGAGTTTCTGGCCCTCACTGAAACGTTCACTCAAGAGGTTTTCAAAGTATCTTGAGTTCTGCTGCAATATCTTGGAATCGACACGGTACGAATACTGCTGGCTGCCCTCTTCCTGCGACACATCGAGAACGAGGTCGCCACCAAAGGCAATGACCAGCAGGTCGTCTTCGTCCGGCATGGCGGGGGTTGGTAATCAGTAAGCGAGTGTCCAAGGCGTATTGTCTCATGGGTAGGGCCAAAACATCATGCAGTAACTGGTTGGCGATGCGCTGTGGTGGTGTTGAAGCGTGGAATCAAAGGTTGGCGTCACAGCCTCGTGGGGCGCATCGAGCAACAGCCAATTAGAGAGCTTCATTACAGGCAAGCCTCCACTACGACAGCGCTGCGGTCCCGCCCTCCATCATCCACGATGGCACGACATACTGAATCAGAAGAGCACAACTCCGTAGTCTGGAACTTCTCCAAGGTCTGCTCTATGTCCTTTGAGTCCAGCCAGGCAGAGTGCACTTTGAGCCTGTTTGCGGGGTCCAGCAGGCACAACAGAAATGCGCAACGTGAGACCTCAAGTCTTCAATACGTGGAGAACAGTAGAGTATGCCCAGAGCCATGTAAGGCTTACTGTGGGAAGCTAGAAAGGTCGTGGATTGCTTAATTAAGTGAAGTAAGTCTTGTACGCTATCAGGTCGGTTTAACAGCGCACTAGAGTGCACTTCTACGAAATATGCAAGAGCATTAGCAGAATATGAAAGCAGCGAGAGGAGGTGAGATGGAATACGTAAGGGTGAAAAGGAAGTAAAAGACAGGCAATGAGGATGAAGTGCAGGTAGGGCAGGGTTAAAAGTGCGATGCTGCAGGCGTTAGTAGTAGGAAAACATTACATATTGCACTTCACGCAAGAGGAAGAGGAGGACACATTGGAGAAGAGATATCCGCTCCACCAGTGTGATCGCCACGAAGAACTGACCTTTGAGATGGGTCAGACCGAATACATCGGGGGATCGGTCAATATCTGTCGGCTCCGTTAGCAACTTTAGCACTTGACTCCTGACATGGGAGGATTGTGTAGGTTGGGAATGCGAGGAGTGGCACATAGCGCGTCTGTGATCAAACCCTAAGCTTCAAAGCATGTACGCAAAAAGAGCTCTTATAAAAGTTTAGTCGAATTTTCACGCACTGTGGTTACATCATCCACGCGTCCAGAGCATCCCGGCTGAGGTCCTTCAATTTTACTACCACCTTATTTGTTCCCTCGTATTATCTCGAGGGACACAGGTGCTCCGTCCTACTATACCCTCAAACTCAGCCACATTGAATCACTCGTTACAAAGTCGTAAAGCCGAAACTAGCTGCATAGATGATCGATAGTGGAAGACTGTGAACACTGAACAGTGAAGCAGGATTGACTGGCCACATGACCTGCTAGAAGCGGCAGTCATACACTGCGTAAAGTTTGAGCCCTTTGTCTCGGTTCTATTGAAGACATGCAAAGCTCGAACGTTTCGTCAAGCATGCAATCGTGCAGTGTTGATGTAGCAGCAACTGCGGACAAAACTCGGACTTCGCATCGCTGTCGCAATTTCCGCAATCCACCAGGCACCTTCCACCGCTGCAGTCCTGCTGCACCATGTAACTCGATCAAACATCTCGTAATCCACTCTGAGGCCTAAAATCGCGCTAATTTACTGTATCGCGTACGATAGTTCTTTGAAGCAAGAGCGCAATGATTGACTGCGGTGGCGGTGCTGCACACGCTGCCGTTTCAGGCTGCCTCTTTCGGGCAGTGCAAGGCACCAGTTCATCGACATCGCATCTACGCATTCGTCCATAAATCATCGCCTACATCTCTCCTTTACCGCACAAGACCTCTGCATAACTTTGCGCATATCACACGTCTCTGTTACTGATCTATCCCTCCCGGACATCGCATCCGGCGCACCCCTGCGAGTCGGACATTCAGGCGGCGAAGTATTGACCGGACATCACAGACAGGCTCCACACGACTCTCTGCATCGGAAGCCATTTTGAACCCGTACGCTCGGAGCAAAGCATCACAGTAACGTTTACTGGACCGAACCTACAGTTAAAGTCCGAAGTTGGACTTCTGCTGCTGCCAACATGGACGAAACTGTACACGCTAGACATTTTTGGACTGCAGCCAATGCCACAATAAGAACTGGTCCGCAGTCGGTATGGCAAATCGATTTCCTCGTAGGTGTTGCCGCCAGTACCTTCATCCCAGCCCTTATCTTTTTTCTTGACATCCTTCATAACCTCTTCTGCCGAGCATTTCAACAACTACGAAAGATGCAGGAGAAAAACAGCAAACCTTTCCCCTTCGAGTCGCTTCCGCAAGAGCTGCGCGATATGGTTTACAAGAACCTACTGGAAGATGTGTCCTACCCTTTGCAAACCGCAGCTCAGCCTGCATCAACGCTGAATGGCATATTCTCAGGTCTCTGGGGCGCTGCAACCAGCACACGCTCCACACCTACACATAAGCGTAGTAATTGGATCTTCCTCGTCAATAAGCAGCTCTACGCTGAATACATGGACATGCACTGCAAGCAGTCGACCTTCTGCCTAACCGTTTCGCCCGAGAACCACCAAACCGCCGACAAGGACGCACGGATCTGGACCATCGCGCCCTCGACCCTAAAACAGATCCGCAAAGCGCACCTTGAGATCATCACCACCAGCGCAATGTTGGGCTGCACGGACCCGCGCAACATGGAGTCCTCATCTTGGACGCTCGCAGAGCGTATACGCTCTGAGCTCAGTCGTCTGGAGTCGTGCACCCATCTCACACTAGGTGCGAAAGCGATCGGCGATCCCCTGTGGAATCCGCTCTGGATATGGTTTCACTCGAGTCAGAGTTTTAAGAATATTGGTACCGAATTGTCAGATCACCATGGCGGGCCGACGCTGAATAAGATTACGTTTAGTCTGGATACATGGAGTCCAGGGGAAAATTATCTGGAAAGAGACGCGCTGAATAAGGGTGCGTGGACGTGGTATTGTATGAAGGGACATAGCGTCGGTATTGATGGAGGGAGTGAACAGACGGTCAGGGAATTTTGTGGCATGCTGTATCGTGAGTGTCGGACGTGTCGGCCTGTTGAGGGAGGTGAAGAGGAGGAGTGACTGCCTGGCGTAGTTGCCTGGGTCGATTTGCTGTTGCGAAGTTTTGAGATTTTGGAAGTTGTTGGCGTGTAGAGAGCTGCTGGACGATTTTCCTCATTACTACCTGCATTCTCGGCATTTTACGTTCTTGTCACACCTAATAATAACTACTCATACATGAGCTTACTTCTTCCCGTTCATCTCCACCAGCATCTCCCCCGCCGGCATCGTCGCAAAGCTCGCCATGACTTCCAAATTCTTCTCCTTACTCATCTTCTCATCGCTCTTGCTCATCTCTGCCAGTATTCTGAAATAGTCAATGTAAAACGCCGGCGTATATGTATTGAAAAACTTGGCCTCCTGATCCGTTGGATTCGAAAACGTGTGCGGGGCTCGTATGGGGACCGTGACGTAGTCACCCACCTTCGCGTCGATGTGCGTGTTGTCTGGCGCGTGGAACCGGACCTTGCCCTGTGTGACGAGGAAGGTCTCGTCGTGCATCTCGTGCCAGTGCGCGGGCGGGCCGGCGGTGTTCGGTGGGAGTGTAAATTCGGCGCTGCCGATACGGTTGTCTGGAGTCGTTAGCGAGATGGAGCGAGGTGGTATGGTGGGTGTAAGCACCTGTTCGTGAACCGTCTTCCATGATGCGACATGTAATGTGTCCTAGCTTTAGGATCTCGCCTTCTTTTGCAGGCACAAAGTTTATGGGCCGCCGGGGCATCTTCATGGTGGCGAGGGCCTGGCGTGCTTCGTTGTCCATGATGGCGGATGTGTAACTTGATCTGTTTGGCTGCGGTAATAAGATAACTTAGGTCCTAGTAAGCAGAGTAGAAGAGAAGAAAGACAGATAGAGATTGAGGACGAGGTTGGACATTGTAGGCTTATATGCATGAGCTAGAGCTGAGCGACCTGATGCGGAGAGCCGGTCGTGCTACCGGACATCGAGAAGATCGTGTCTTCTCCTGAAGACATCTGGGAACCTTCTCGGCCACTGCGAGGGTCCTAAAATTTGATTATTCAATTGCAGCTTCAGAATTGTTTTGCCGCAGCATGGCCACACCCGCAGTGACAAAAACGTAGAGAGGGAAGCTATGGACGAGTGAAGGCCCCACAACGGGAGCTACCTACCCCGCGCTAGCGCCCCTCCGAGCTCCGGGTCGCTCCTGCACGCCGAAGGCCCGAGACGTTGACCAAGGCGCGCCCTGCTGCCTGTCGTTAACAAACAGCGCGTGCGACAAACGCATCAAATACGACGAACGAATACAAGATCTCGTAACCCATCACAACTGACCTTTCCAGCACTGACACCGCAAGATCTCATCAACAGCACGCGTAGCCCCCCAACCGCCTCAAATACCACAACTTCTTGCCCAACATGCCGAAGAAAATGTTCACCGTCCTCGAAAACAACCCTTCTGTCATGAATCACCTAGCAAAAGCGCTTGGCATGGACGAGAGCCTCTCATTCTACGACATCTACTCGCTCACAGACCCCGATCTGCTCGCTTTCATCCCGCGCCCCGTATACGCACTGCTCGTCATCATCCCTCTCACGCTAACATGGGACGAAGCCCGAACCACCGAGGATGCGGATAAGAGCGATTACGAGGGCAAAGGCGAGGATGAGCCGGTCATCTGGTTCAAGCAAACAATTGGCAATGCGTGCGGGAGCATTGGCCTGGTGCATAGCTTGCTGAATAGTTGGGCAAGTGAGCGCATAGTGTCTGGGTCCACGCTCGATCAGATCAGAAAGCATGCGCTGCCAAAGGGTATGGTCGAGCGTGCGAAGGTATTAGAAGATTCAGATGCGTTCGAGAAGGCGCATGCGGAGGCTGCGCGAATGGGGGATACAGAGGCTCCTACTACGACTGATGAGTACCATCTGGGACAGCATTTTGTCTCCTTTGTAAAGGCGAAGGATGGACGACTGTGGGAGCTGGAAGGCGGTCGTAAGGGCCCGCTTGATCGCGGCGCGTTAAAGGACGACGAGGATGTGCTCAGCCCTGCGGCGCTAGAGAAAGGCTTGGGCAGGCTGATGCGTATTGAAAGTGAGAAGGGCGGGGATTTGAGATTTTCCGCCATCGCTCTGGCTTCGAGTCTCTATTGAAGTGCTTGCTGGTCGTCAGACGCGGTTACGAAGCTTCGCGTTACGTTCGAGATCAAGTTGGTATCACAAAGACAGTATGCACATTGTCATTAGCCTTGGCTCCTTCATACTAGTCTTCGACTCCGGGAAAGTCCGCAATATTGAGCACGTCTTCACCCTGATGCGCCTGACATCTGCCGCAAGGGGGGAGAGGACTGCGCTCTCGAGGGCAAAGTAGGATTCCAACCTGGCTGCTTAATGTATGCCAATGCACGTGACGACCTATCACGACTGTGGGGATGCGCCACGTATGTGCCCTACTCACCGTGAGAAGTTGAGCTCATCGCCCCTCCGCAGATTACAATCTTGCAACATTCCTTCGGTGCTCCTGCGCTGAAAAAGTGCACCAGCCGACTTTGCGCTCATTTTTTGGGTGCCTGGCAACTGCTCTGTCATATCTCCATGACCGCCATATCAAACACAGGGACATTAAGCCTCAAAATACTCTCGTTCACAAGGCTAAGGTCCTCCTTACTGACTTCGGGCTCTCCCGGGATTTCTTAGACACTACGTCTGGACCCACGCCTGCATCGCTGCGCTATTGCTCTCCAGAAGTCGCGGCTCAGGAGATTTAGAACGCATCTGCAGACGTCCGGTCCCTCGGTTGCGTATTCCTGGAGATGTTATCCGCCCTTCAGGGGTACAACGAAGGCTGGCTGAGGACATAATACCAGGGAACTGGCACAGAGTCATCGAATTTCCATGCCATCCCGGAGGCTACTATAGAACTACTGGGGGAATGGCGTTTATGTCTGAGCGAAATTGGGGCAAGGCCAATTGTCTGGATCGAGGATATGCCCGTCCGAAGCCGGCAAGAAAGACCAAAAGCTGCAGAGATAAGTAACTAAATCACAGCAGCTGGCGATATGATTATGTTCATGTACAGTTGCAACAAATGCAATGGTCACTGGTACGACACTGACTCTATAACCAGTCTGGACGACAATTTCAGCGCCACAACAGATGTATCCGAGCCTGATATGGCGTCCTGCTTAAATCTCCTTAAAAAATGACAGCCACCACATATGTAGACCAGCACGACTCGAATCTGGGCGTGGAGAAGGATTACTTGAAACCGACATTTGAAGACTCAAGTATGACCATCTGGTACAATACTCAACCAATGCCAGATGATAAGTCAATGAGAACCGAATCTGTGTTGGATACACTATCGGATGTGTCAGATGTGATCCCATCATCTTCAGTCACTGTGATCATGACTTCTGACGCACACGATACCAAGGAGTCCATTCCGGCCGCTAGATCGAACATGCTTGGGTCAGTGGGTCAGGACGAGGACCATCGCACGACAGTGATCGGAGCTGCAGATTCCGCCATACATTCAAGTGCTGGGCTGAATCTTGGAATTGGACAAGACAATGCTATATATACAGCAGGCTACGACCAAGCAGTTAGCCCCTATCTATCGATCGATGCCCCTTCAACAAGTGTTGTCCACCAAACAGCGAAACCCTGCCACACGACTAGCAACTGAAAATACTCCAACTGTGCGTCAAGCAGTCCCGACAGAGTTGAAGCCATTGCTGAACTTAGTTGCGCCTGCCTCAACTATTCCACTGGCCCGGCACGTCTTAGGGTTGCCACTTCAGATCACGCTCGAGCATCTTGGCCATGATAGCGATCATCTACGGTTCACGCTCTACCCAGACACTAATATATCGAACGCCTGTTGCAAAGTAAAGATTCTTCTTGAATTCACCCAGATCTCCGTCGCGAGGAAATGAACGACGATCGCATGGGGCGGCTCAGACAAATTTTCGACTCGTCTCCAGGGAATGGTATGGACTTCAATGGGATGGCCGCAGCTCTCACGATGCTGCGAATATCTCTAGAATGAAAATGCCTAGGACAAAGAGAACAAACGTGTGGAGGCTTCCGTTGAGCCTTGCTATTCAAATCGCGGCATATGATACTGGCCAAATACCCTTCATGGCTCACAACAAAAACACATTTTTGTCAGTTCGTGTACCGGTATTGGTGGGCAAGTGCATCGAATACATCGTCAACGCGCAAGAAGAGGAACGTAAGTATATCGACGAGCCATATCCTGAGCAATTAATTCTCATACACTGGGCGAAAGCTGAGATCAGGACAGAATACACCGCCAGATCTTGTCTGACAATTGAGGACGACCAGCCGAGACAAGCTCGACGCTTACAACTAGGGGCAACTTTGCTCGCGCTCTCATCACAAGCAACCGAGGTCATCTGGACAAATTATACAACAAGTGATGTCGCCTACATTTTGTTTGCATACTCCAAAGCGTTGCCCGAGCCCCTCATACCGCAAGAATTCAGTCGCAGCCTTCCCCCTGTCGACGAATGGCACTCTCAGAGAAACTATGTTCCCTCTTCTACCTCGATCCTTGAAGCTTATGAGATGTGTTTGGCCAAATTATCGGAAAGCAACTATCACCTATTGCTGTGTTTGATTGCTTTCCTGGCGACCGAGACGCATTTTGCTCAAGCTAATGTCGTCAGTACCCGGGGCTGGGCGAAAAGCCGCAGGACTTTGCAGCTCTAGACTTATGCCAGCTGATGAGCCTCATTTTGCAACCCTTGTCTTACTCGTCACGAATGCGGGATATTTTCTGAGCATGATAAACGGCAAGAAGAAATCTGCGGCTGACTAGGCCAGAGTTATGGTTGCCGAGCATGAACGAGCGAGGCGGGTAGAGCAAAAGACTTTGCGTTACGAGAGCAAGAACCGGATGGTAAAAGAAGCTGCAAATGAAAAGAAAAGCGATGCAACGGCCACGGTTCCCCAAGCGAACTATGATAGAACTCCGAACCCTACGCAGCCGCCATTTCAAGAGAATGTTAGACTCCGATGCTCCGTTTCGGAATGGCTCAAGGACGTCAGTCATGAGAACACGACAGTTGTAATGCAGGCTCCCGACAGAAGTTCAGCACAGAGAACAGGTTTCCCTACTCCAAAGCATTGAACGCCGGTAGTTTCACCACTGGTCTATGGCGAGCTCCAACTGGAAGCCACGAAATCTCAGTTGTCGGGCTTCACGATTATGGAGCATCCATCCACGAATCTGAAGCCACCACATCAACCACAACGAAGCAGGGGCGCTGACCTGGACAAGCTCCAATTCCGTCCACGCAGCACGATACACTTATGTCTACGGGATGAGGAGATCATTTGCAAGCCGCCATCAGTAAAGTCACGCTCAAAACCATCTCATCACAAGCGACAGTCAGTTGGATGGGAAGCAGTGACAGGTATTCTCGGTATGATGCCATCTAAGTCCAAACGAGAGAAGTCCTACAAGTGAGTGGGAGCATGGATAGGGGAACTGCCATTATGTATGAACGGCGCAGCCAACACTGTAATGGCTGGTGACACGGTCTATGAGATTGGGTCTAGTCAATATACAGTGCACTCTTCAAAATTAAGCTCATCAGTGTGCAAATCAGTCTATCTCTCAAGTCAAGTTTCTCGCTGGATAACAAGGAACGATCCAACGCGTGCCTAGTATCAATTGGTCACATCGGACAAGATGCGATCGAGAGAGATGGAAGTGGATCCAAACACCTCTCGAAATTCTTCGTGTATGAGCCAACGCTTCCTCCTTAGCCTCAGCCCCAAACAGCCCCTGGATCTTGACGAAGTTCTTCGTCAGGGTTAGGGCTCCCGGACGATTTTCCTTGGTAAGGCGTACATAGTATCCTTTCGTAACCTCCAACCTCCTAAGTACGTCCCGATTGCTGTGATGGTGTCTCGCTGCGTGGCCACTGTAGTTTGTGATTTTTAGTATTTGTTCTGTGCGGTCCCGAGATCCTTAGCGAGCTTATTGTTCTTAACCTGCCAGGCTAGGGGGTTGTGTTTCTCCGCGAACAACTGACTAAGGAGTCTGTCAGGGTTGAGCCTATATAAGAAGCCAGCTCAAAGCGGGAGTGCCAATGCCATACCGATTCGCAAGGTTGTGTCAAGTCGGAACATACGGTGTGTCCATTCGTCGCAGACCCAGTCATAGAATTTGCGGTGCAAGTCGGTCCTATAGGCCTTGATCGTCACCTCTGTTGACCATCTTGGACTAGCACGTCTCAGGGCATGTATATATGGTTGCCTTCTAGCTAGCAAGCAATTCAGCGCAGTTTTCAATCGATGCATACAGCGGCTGCGTCTACCGCGACAATAGGCATTGATCCGTTTCGAAGATATCTCAGTTAATCCGGCAGAGGCCTGATGCGTGTAATGGAAGATAGTCTCTTCAGGTACTGTCCGTTCTTTGAGGAAGAGGTAAAATTCCATGCGGCTATCCTTTCTGTTGACTGCCACGCGGACACTGCTTGGGTGAAGTTAATGCAATTCAGTGATGTCTTTTGTCGCAGCCAAAAAGGAGGCAAAATGTACATACATTAGTACCCCAAAGTAGGCCTGCTAAGTAGGCCTATTCTGCCCGCGACATCTTTGATCTGGATTCCAGGGAAATATGTATGAGGATATCAGACTGGAGACAGGAGGGTATTGAGAGGATAGGGAAGTGTGTACTCTGCGCGGCTTAGGGCAGTATCCACGAGATATAGGAGCAGTTAGTCGCCACACCTCGAAGCAAACATTTACACTCGTGCGGCTGTTGCCTCTCACTTTTGTCTCACTCTTGCTCTATTGTACGTCTTTCTCTATTGTACTTGTGTGGTTGGTGGTGTCTCACTCTTGGTCCTTGCCAAGTTATCAGTGCATATCGTACCTTCTCCTTCAACGTGGTCTGTCACCACACGAACACCGCCCACATAGCAAAATATTTGAAATTGTGTACAGTGGTACTATTTTAATATTCACGTCGTGATGATCCAGGCGAGGTATCACCAACATAAATCGGACACATAACATCGGCCCAGGCAAAAGATGCATCAGTAGCGAGAATCCCTCCAACATTTCTTCGAACTATTGTGGCCCCCACCACGCATGGAAGACCATAAGACCGGGAAGCTTCCACGTAGCTCAAGTTGGCTGCGCGCCGAACTCATCCCCAAACTGTCTCACCGCCAGCTTATCCGCCTCCTCTTCACCATGCCCATCCTTGACAAAATGCATCCTCCAATCGAAGACCAGAACCTCTCGCAATGCCTTGGACATTGTGCGGTGCCCGTTATCGCCAACAAGGCAAAGCACAATTTGCCCTGTTTGCCAGGCTTAGATGCGATGTTGAAAACAGGCACAAACATGAATAAGAGGGGTGAAAATCGAAAGGCATAGTCGTGATTTGTCCCAGCCTGAACATAGCGAGCAGGCGCCTTGGGCAACCCCGTCCATGTCTCATCATGCCGTGCCATGCTTCGCACATGATGTGTCTAGCTTTGCAGGTCGTCAGCAGAACAGAGCATTGGGTCAAGGCAGTGTCAAAACCACATTGTATGGTTGACAGGAAGTATTTTGCGTCCAAGCTTAAGAGGGTCTGGTAGTACGCCGAGCGCAAGTCCAATCTTATGATTGAGAGAGGGATGGCAAGTGAACCGTGCAGCAATCCTCACTCGTCCGCTAGACCAAGTGCGGAGGGCCCAAATACCGGCCCACCGAAGCCCGGAAGACGATGTATCCTGGCAGCAAACGAACCATGACGGGCGTTGATGTTTTCTCGCTTAAATTTCCCGCTGTTGCTCGGTAGTCTACACTTGGGGTTAGCAGTTGGCGCGCGGGCGTGGATAGGTCTCAGTGTGCGACACGCAGGTCTTGAGCAGAAGCGCGTGGAGAAGTTGATCGTGTATTGATGGAACAGATTTCGTCAAGGCCGTCCAATTCGGCCCAAAACACCACAAACGCCTCGCCGGGAAGGATGCCCAGTATGCCATCTCATCATTAGGAATTCGGCTTAGAACTGGTCCAGAGTCATGCTCATAGAAACGTCTGTGTTTTCAACCATCTTTGTGAACTCCTCAAAACTGATCTTGCCGTCGCGGTCCAGGTCGGCTTCCATGATGGTCTTGTCGACAATCTGCGGCAGGGGTAAGCGGGTGTTTGCTTGCATTGCAGGCTCCTTTCTTGTCTGACGCACTTGCTGTAATTGCTGGTCCTTCAGGTTGCTGCCAACCATCATCTTAAGCACAATGAAGAGCTCGCCATTGCTGATGTAGCCGTCGCGGTCGATGTCGTAGACGCGGAAGGCGAAGCGCAGCTTCTCTTCCTTATTGCCTTTGCTGCTGAAGGCCGAGAGACCCGAGACAAACTCCTGGAAGTCGACGTCACCGCCACCGTCCTCGTCGAAGATGGCGATCATTCGTGTTGCCAGAGGGTTCGAGGAGATCTGGGGGAGGGCTAGGAATTCGTCGCGCTCGATGGTGCCTGAGTTGTCCTGCTCATGTCAGCAGACCATAGAAATGGCAGAGCCATGAAGTTTCGCACCTTGTCAAGCTTCATGAACCTCTTTCGCAGTCTGTCCACCTCCTCGCGGTCGACTGGCATGTGTTAGCTCCTGGTTTTCAGCCCCGCAGACATGCACTCGAGCAGCGGCGTCCGCTCCTTCTGCACGTACAATTCGAGCCGGAGGCGATGGTGTCGAGAAGCGCAGACGGCTGGTTCCCCATTTTGGCGTGTGTGAATGGCAAGAGCTGCGTGGGGTGGGTGCTGGAGTGCTCGGGGGTGCTGGGAGCTTTCGTGGGGTCCGCTGTCGAGGGTCCCGCCGCCGCTAGGCAGGGGGCAATCGACGTCAAGCCCTACGGACGCCAAGCCAAGCTGGAGATGCTCCGAGGGCTTGAGGCATTGTGAACGCCGCCATTAGCAAGCATCACCAGCTTCAGCAATACGACACAATGACGGAACCAGGTGTCATGGAGCTTGCGTCGACACTGCAGTTTGGCTCCATCAAGCGCCACCCTTCACCGCGACACGACCTCAATCCATCGACCGCCGCGTCCAAGAGGCAGCCCGTCACGCTCGACAAGAACACCGACATCGACTCTGACATTGACGAAGATGAGATACCCATCAGCGTCCTCAGCCCCGTACCGCGCAAGCAGACGATGCCGCCACTGCCCGACCTGCGATTCGAACAGAGCTATCTCAAGAGCATCGAGAAGGCAGAGTCATGGCAGGGCGTAGCATGGATCACGTTGCGGGACCAGGTTGGACAGATGATGGAGCAGTGATTGAGTCAAATGCTGATGCAGTGCAGGTCCTCATGTGCTTCGCGCAGGGCGTGGTGTGGACCCTCATCCTCAGCGGCTGGCGGCATTGGAACAGGTCGGCCAAGTTCAGCGGGCAGAGCGTCGGCGCGAAGATACGGCGGTGGTGGTGGGGCGTCAACAACTGGACTATCCCCGATGCCAAGTCGAAGCTGAAGGACACGAAGCTGGCCAAGAGTGTATCAGAGGTGAGTGCCGCCTTCCTCGAGGTCTGGCATCCTGGTGCAAGAAACCCATGCCCAGCTGGCCATACGCTAATCAACCTTACAGTACTACAAGGGCGAGTTCTCAAACGCTGCCCAAGACTAGCCGCAGCTTATACATGCATCAAACGGCGTTTAGGAACAAGGTTACGGAATATCACTGTTTACCCATTGCATGCAGCAGCATCTTGCCTTCTTTTACCTTGACCCTAGGCTACTGCACTCGGCTCCCGGCAGTATCACAAGGACGCTAATCCCTTCACTTCTGTCTCGCTTCTGTCACTTTCCCAGTCGTCAGGACCTCCTTGCCCCACTTGCACACTAACACACCACTCTCCAACCCAACTCAGCTGTCGATCGCTCACACTCCACGACTCCTATGTCCCACACGTCGCGCCGAATCATCAGCGATACCTCATCAGCGGACTGCGATGGATAGATGCAGCTCCAGCCCCTCAATCATGGGCGACACTCCAGTCTCATTGCTCGAACCCCCGCGGAAAGTACGCCGCGCCACGTTGGCAGGCATCAGGTAAACACCTAATATACTTCGCCCGAGACTTGCTAGCACCGGCAGCGACTTCGGAAGCATCGCTACCATCAACGTAGGCATCAAGCCTGACAAAAAAGCCTTTATACTGCACAGTCACGCCCTACGCAGTAGTTCAAACTATTTTGCCATCGCCATGGACGTTAACTACGCAGTCGTCGATGACGATAAGCCGATCAATCTGCCAGATGTAACCGTTGAAGACTTCGCTGTCTATGCAAAGTTCCTCTACACAGGCTTCCTCTTTACGAAAGAGACCAATGTCGCCGAGCTCGCGCGGTGCCTGCATCTGTACAAAGTTGCCAATCACCTGGAGGCAATGGACTTCCGCGATACCATAGTAGATGCTCTCATCGAGACCGTCCTTGACTTCCGTGCACTCAAAGGCCAGTGCCGCTTCACGGCAACTCACATCACGACCATCTACGCAATGACCGAGGAAGGGTCTCCGCTGAGGAAGTTCGCGCAAAGCCTGTGCCTGCAGTCCAAGGTGCCTCAAGGCTTCGAGAGGAAACGGTTGAAAGACTTCCCAGTCGATTTCCAACTGGACCTGCTGACAGCCGCTGCCCCTTTCATAACTTCGTCCACCAAGTCAACTGATATGCCAGATCCGCTGGACCTCGACAAATCCTGCAAGTATCACGAACACACCCCGCTCGGCACACCTTGCTACAAGACGAAGTATCAGTACATGTCTGACGAGCCTGTTGTTGAGGCGAACGTCGTGCCTAAGCCTCCACCTGCCCCCGTGAGCAGACGGCAGTCCGAACGACAAACCGAACGACTGGCGAGTAACGACTTCGAGTTAAGGGTTTGATACGGAGCAAACACTGTCTGTGATTTGAATGCATCACTCGTGTTACAATGGATTGGGCATGTCTGAAGTCAAAGTGGGAAGGCCATGCTGCAATGTTATCGTAGGTCGGAGCCAAAATGTATCTACTTTATACAAAAACTGTACGTGCCTAGAAGGCTCGAACTGACCTACAATGTTTTCATCGAGCTACAACGACGATAACACTCATCGCATAACCAGCAGAAGGCTATGCTGGGCGATCCGTGGATGATGTTCAGCATCAGCACACGACTCGTCTACGCTGGTATTTTCCGTACTCCTCCGAACGAATCCAAGACATCATCAGCGAACACTGCTGCTCGCTCTCCCGTAACTGCATCCAGCGCCTGACTTCGGTCCCCACTACTCCAACTGACCTGTTCCGCGTTTCCGCCCATCATCAAGCAATCCTCGTCCAGACTCATTGACGCCTGCACCTAGCGGAGGAGACAGTCTCCGCAAGACATGTGAACGTGCAGAAGGAACAGGGTCTGGTGGAAATGAATTGAGTATATACAAGGAACACAACAGGATATCCGCACTTGTTTACGCCCGCGCAGGCACCCCCTTCACCGACGTCACCGCTACTCGCTCGCCTCCATGCCCTTCCCCATGCTCCTCCGCGCCTGCTCCTTCTCGTCCGTACCCCGTCGCTCCGTACCCCGTCGCATCTGATCGTCTACCGGCCCACTGCGCGCCTTCGCAGCTGATGCCGTGCGCCTGCTCATCCCCCGCCCCGAGACCCTGGCTTTCACGCCATCGGTCGTCGCATCCGGGGTCGCGGTGGAGACGTGGTGCAGAGCGGCGTGTGCATCGTCTGTCTCGCTTTTGTTGAGCTGCGGAGACGCGCTGTCGTGCTCAGCTGCTCTTCTTAGGTGCGTGGATACCCGCGATTTCGTGATGGGGGTCGGTGCGTTGTTGATTTGGATGTGGGTGTATGATGGGTTTGGGGATGATGCGAAGGCGGTTGTGGAGAAGGTGAAAAGGAGCAGGGCCAGGGTCAAGAACTGCATTTTGGTGTGTAGTTGACTGGTTTTGGTTTCCGGTTGGAGAGGTTTTGCGACAATCGTGGGATGTGCAAGGGTGTCTGGAGTAGAGACTAGAGAAAGCCGATGGATTGATGGCTTGAGATGGTGTGTTGATGCTTGCTGGAGCAGGTTGTGGGCTGCAATCTATAGTAGGGTAAAGCTTCTTATATTATTACTTTTCCTGCGTACGTGCTCATCGTGTAGACATGGGGTCGTGCATCGACCTGACCATTCAGTCTCGGGGATATTGGGTGTTTCGAGTAATCCTGAGTTGCATTCACAGCGCTTGCCGGCTAGGGTCTAGCGCCCGCGCGTCTGTCAAGCACATCGTTGATTCGAAACGGGGTGGATCCGTTCATGCGAAATGGAAGTTCTTCAGATCTGTAAGGGCGTTCCAACATTGCGTTCGTTCACAGGATTGGTAGGCTGCCAATGAAGCTATCAGTCTGTTAAGATGCTCATGTCTATATCTTGGGTTGAAATGGGCGTAGATTTTACGCACGTCGATTTTCTCAACGGTTCAACTCTCGATGTTTCGTGCTTCACGTATGCGGCTCTCTCGCGACCTTCGTCCGCTGAAACAATGTCAAACTTGACAGTTTATGCCGATCTCTGACATGCGTCAGCGACGCATTGTGACAGGTGAAGTGATGCCAGGTGGGATGTTTTAGAGGTGTTCGAGAAAGTTACCGAATTTGATGAGATGGTTGTTCAAGAGAGAAGTGGAGGGGCTGTTTCTTAATGTCGTCACGTGCCAGCGCGCTAGCGCGACGCGTCGGTGGCGCCTTCCTTCACGCTTCACTACTGTGCAGCTTCTTGACTCACATGCCAGCTGTTACGCTTGTGAGAGATGCTGCACAATCACCATACACACGAACAATGAAGCCGTTCAAGCCGTTCAAGCCACTCGCAGTCGCCGGCAGAGTCAACACCCTCAATGGTCCTCCACCGCCAAAGAAAAGACGGCTATCCGAGTCCGACGATGATGGGCCACTCGCACGCACTGCACCAGCAAATCGAAAGCCCCTCACAGACGTCGTCAATCCCACGTCGCCTGAAACGCCGCCCATCGACTCCAGTGGCAGCTACTACACGGTGCTATGGCGGAAGTTCACCACCAAGAAGAACAAGACGTGGGATGGAGACGGCGTGCTGGTTGTGACGAATGGCTACGGTATCCTCACAGACAGCGATTCTGGCAAAGAGATGGGCAAGGGTGTGTGCAATCGGCCGCTGCTCCCTGGCTCTCAGCTGTCAATCGGCGGCAAAGAGCTCGAGATCGACGGCGTCATAGACAAAAAAGACTACCTGTCTGGGCGCATGTTCATGGGTAAATCGGCAGCTGCACCCGCGGAGCAGGCAACAAAGCGTGCGGAGCCTGGGTACAGATCGCTTTCCGTGGGCAAGTCGGTCCCGGCCAGCAAGGCGAAGGTGAAGAGGACCGAGTCTTCGAGCAGCACTAAGAGCGCTATGCCCGAGTACACTCCCTCATCCAATAGGCAGCAGCAGTTCAAAACACCACTGCTGTCGAATACAGTGCTTCCGCAGCGCAGCCCATCGATGCCCACGCCCCGCCACGATCCGAATGCACCGAACGCATTGGTCATGAAGCGGCCTACAGTCATACCGAAGGGGAAGCGGGTTGTAGATGTCGTCGTGGACCCTGTCTTGAGCAAGCACCTCCGTGATCATCAAAGAGAGGGCGTGAAGTTCCTGTATGAGTGTGTCATGGGCATGCGAAGCGAAGGCGAAGGAGCGATCATGGCCGACGAGATGGGTCTCGGAAAGACCTTGCAGACTATCGCATTGATCTGGACTCTTCTCAAGCAGAACGCGATACACGATAGTGGGCCGGCTATTACGAAGGCGCTCATCGTCTGTCCAGCCGGTCTGGTCGACAACTGGAAGCGCGAGTTCCGCAAGTGGCTGGGCAATGAGCGAATTGGCGTATATGTCGCTGATGCAAAAAACAAGAAGATTGCGAACTTCACTATGGGCAAGGCTTATAATGTCTTGATCATTGGGTATGAGATGCTCCGGACAGTGCAAGAGGAGCTCAAGAGAGGTGCGGGTGTCGACATTGTTATCGCAGATGAGGGGCATCGACTGAAGACTGCGAACAACAAGTCTATGCAGGCGATTCAGGGGCTCAACACTGAGAGACGGATCATTTTGTCAGGCACACCGCTGCAGAATGACCTGGGCGAATTCTACACGGCAATCGACTTTGTCAATCCCGGACTTCTCGGTCAGCGTGCCGCATTCAAGCGTGCTTTCGAGGCCCCTATTATTCGAAGCCGTCAGCCCGACGCGAGCGAGTCGGAGCTGGAGAAGGGCGAGGCACGATGGCAGGAGCTGGTGTCCTTGACCAGCAAGTTTATGATCCGGCGCACGGCGGACGTTCTGTCAAAGTATCTGCCGCCAAAGACAGAGCATATCGTCTTCTGCCGACCGACGAAGGCGCAAGCTGAAGCGTACCGCAACATCCTGTCCTCGCCGCTATTCACGGCCGCTTACGGCAACATGGACATGGCACTCCAGCTCATCACTATCTTGAAAAAAGTTTGCAACAGCCCATCGCTGCTAAAGTCGAAGAAGGACACGGAGGGGAAAGAGTCGGAGACGATAGAGTCGATTCTCCCGCTTATTCCGCCACAAATCTTGAACTCACACGCATCCAGCACAAAGCTGCGTCTGCTCGATAGTCTTGTGCATCGCCTCTACACCACAACAGAAGAAAAGATCGTCATCGTCTCGAACTACACAATGACTCTCGATATGATCGAGCGCCTTCTCACATCCCTGTCGTACACCTACCTGCGCCTAGACGGCAGCACACCCGCCAGCAAACGCCAAGGTCTCGTTGAGAGATTCAATAAGACCACCAAAGCCACGAATTTTGCCTTTCTACTCTCCGCAAAATCCGGTGGCGTTGGTCTGAATCTCATCGGCGCATCGCGGATCGTGCTGTTTGATATCGACTGGAACCCCGCCACCGATCTACAAGCCATGGCACGCATCCACCGCGATGGCCAGAAGCTTCCTTGCAAGGTCTACAGATTCCTTGTTCAGGGTGGCTTGGATGAGAAGATCTACCAGCGCCAGGTCATGAAGATGGGCCTTGCTAACGCTGTTGTCGATAACAAGCAATCCGCATCCTCATTCTCGAGAGACGAGCTAAGAGATCTGTTTCGGCTGGATGAGCGCGAGACGTGCCAGACGCACGATTTGCTCGGATGTACGTGTGACTGTATGGGTGCGCCGGAGGTCAAGCTCGAAGATCTGCTCGAGGTTGTTGATGAGGATAGTGATGATGACAAGCCGCTTCTACTTAGCTTGAAGAAAGCGAGCGAAGTCAACATGGAGGAGCAGGAGGCTGACCTTGAGAGTCGGAGGAAAGCGAAGATGCCAAAGCTCAGGATGCTGATGGAGTACCATCATATTGACACAAAGCACATCTCGGAAGGGCTCGTTGACGAGGAAGAGCTGGCCGTTGCCGTGGACGATGATGTCTTCTTTGAGGTGGTGAAACAGAGTGAGAGCAATGTCGGGTTTTTGTTGACGAAGTCAAGTTCGTGAGTCGACTATGGGTGTGAAAATACATCATCGCACAGCATCGGCGTTTTAGGATTGCGTGGGAGGCAGATGATACAAACGAATGATGAAAGCGAAAGCGTATGGCAGCACCACGTGAGCGATATACCCTAGATTTGCATGCATATAAAGACCCTCATACACTCAGGTCCTCTTCTTTACATCATCTCTGCTTTCCACGAACACCGAAGGCGGCAAAAAGTCAGAGTATGTCTGTTGCCCAGCTCCGTTCCTCAAGAGCTCCCTGGACCACGTCCACGTGGTCCATCAGATTCGAAAACGATGATTCTTTCAAAAACAAAGCCTCGACCCTTTTATGGCTCTCCCTGCCTCTTGTCGACCACAAGCCCCACGAAAAGTCCAGATGATGCAAGAGCATGTGGACATCTTCTGCTCTGCGTTCAAGATAAGCGACGATGAACATGTCACTCTTCGAACTCTTCGAACTTGGGCCATCTGCCACGGCCCACAATACATCTGCATATCTTCTGACACATTAAAACAGGATCCATTCAGCAATATGTCTTCGTGTGCGCCATTGTTGAGAACGAGTCTCTCGAATTGCTGTTTACCTTGTGCGAAATTGCCTCCTGCTGATCTTGGGTCTACAAAACGTGTGCTGCTAGTCACGATGAGTCTATCCCTCGCTCTTCCTGTGGAGAATCTCCCTGAGAGGAACATCAACTTGAGTCATGTATGTCGTCTGAGACGTGTCTTCACTGTTGCGCTTAGAATCCGTATGGCCTACATTCAAGCTGCGTTCGTGAGCCTTTGAACGCTCATTCAAATCTAGTCATACCTCATCCAAAGTCTGTGCTTTATTTCTCTTTTCAAATTGGGCATGATCAGAGTCATATGGTCCTCGTTATGCAAAATAGTCTGAACAACTTTGGAAACTGTACATGATGTCGCTGATGGTATTCCGGAATTTTTGTGACTAGTAGTACTTCCACTCGGCTCTTCTGTGCTTATCTTTGCGCCTGCTGCTCCAGATTTTGCCGAACACACTGTAACTAGGCTCGACTTTTTTCGTCAAAACTCGAACCAAGATTCGTGTGATCAAAACTGTCAAGGGCTAAGACCATGCTTCTTTCTTGGCAAACACTTATGCCCAATTTCTGGAGGCATAAGGCTTACTATTTTAGAATTGCGTTGTCAAAAAGTGTTCTAGCTGTGCGGCATGAGATCTTGTTGCGGCAGACGTAGCCGCTGTATAGTCGATGGAAACTGCGCTTAGTTGCTTGTTAGCTAGGAGGCGACCATATATACATACTCTGAGACGTGCTAGTCCAAGGTAGTCAACAGAGGTGACGATCAAGGCCTGTTGGACCGACTTGCACCGCAACAGATCTGAAGAACAATTTATCCTCGATGAGTAGGGGCCTGACTGCGCCAATATTACTAATGTCTGCGTCCGCAGCTATGTCTGTGCCTTCCTTGGATGATTACATACGTTTCGGGAGCTAAACTCTCTTCCATAACTTCTTCTCCTAAGATTTTCAACTGAACGTTTCTTCAAAGCTTGATAGCGTGGATCTGCGTCTTCTACTGTTGTCAGAGACTTCCCAAGCTTCGAACCTCATACAAGACTTGGCGATGCTGCTCGAAGTAGTGCCCATTCCCGATGTGACATGAACAGAGATCCGCAAACTTACACTTTATCCTTGCCCGCCCGTGGGTTCGGACTACGAAAAATTCGACATCAGCAGTCACGACAGTTGAGTATATCGATACTTCACGTATGCGCATTGTTGACTTAGCAGTCGCTGAACATCTGCTGACCGGCTCCGGCTTTCCGTATCAATCATTGAACCCGATCAGGTCCTTCTGTACCATTACTGCGTACCGCAAAGTGCCTGTTTCTCGAAAATTACGCACTTGACCAAGTATATTCTGTGTTTCTTCTAGTTGACTGAAGGAGCTCGAATGGGTCAATGTATCACTCCAAGATCCTGCGACTGCCGGCTCTCTTCACCAAAGTCGTTAAACATATACCGCTATTCCCTAATGTCTTAGATTTAATTGTTGATCAAAAGGCAGACATGGACGTTGATGCTCTCCCGCCACGTCGACGCTACTTCGTATGTCATGTGATACACGTCTCAAGGCCGATCCATTCACAACGCCTCGAGATTTTCAGACCCCCGTATCAGCAGGGCAGCTTCGTCGAGAGAAAATTGGGATGTTGTGTAAGATCATGGCGCTGATGGCATGTCTTCGAAGGCTCGGGAGTGCAGGGCGTGGATCGAGATTGCTGTTAAGCGCCTGACAGCTGTTGATGGGAGAAGGAAAAGATGGTATGCAGGTGTCAATGCAAGGGTACGCAGAACGTCGCAAAGTGGAGCTGTTTCTGACGCGTGTGTTAGTTCATTGGCTCGCTTCGCCGCCCTGCAGGTCTTTCGGACAGATTCCGACTCGCGCGTCTTTCACGGATCGACCACAACATCAAAGGCTACCGTTCAGCGTCAACGCGATGTCAGCATTGAATTCCTGCAAAATGATAGATTGCACCTTGTACTTTTCTACACAGCAATGGTATACAAAGCCGGTGAAGCTCAAACCTTTCTGTCCCTCCCTTGGACCATACTTTCCGCCATGCATTCTCCACGAAGCTAAGTATAGTACGCCAACAAGGCAAACGAGTGGTCACCAGCGCAGGATCTCATTTCACAATACGAAGTGCGACTTTCGACTGAGCTGATACATTTAATCTGCCCTGACGCTTCGACCCTTTCGAGGTAATCTTCACACGCTCCCGTGCCACGGTGCCACCTGGCCATGCTTTCATCGAATCCATCGACCCCGCGTAACTGCGGCTTCCTATCCGAGAGACTTTGGCTTTGGCATTGACTGTACTTTCCTAGCTAGGCAGTTGCTCTATCGAATTCCCTTTGATACCATGAACCTTGCTTTCAGTCTTACATTCCTTCTGCAGCTGACCACCACTCCCTCCTGTGTGTTGAAGGATAGTAAAGACACGGTCATGGTACTTGTTACAATGCATCGAGAAAGCACACATATAAGACTGGACATGCTCAGTATTCCACCACGGAAGCATCCACCCAACAACTTCATCGGCACGACGAACATTCGAGCAAAATGAGGTTAATGGAAATGAACACCACAGTAGCTGCAGTAGCCGGTTACGCTACAATACTGGCTGAGCCGCTCGCTGAGCCGCTTGTTGCACCCTTCGTCCCCATGGAAGCCCCAGGACGCGTCGGTGCTGCCTTCACTACCAGTGCGCCGGGTTCCAGCAACCTGATGGCTGATTCACGGTATGGGGGCTGGGGCTGGCCAGGAAATTCACCATCAGCAGTATCTTCGGCCAGTCGATGCTCCACCACTTATGGCGCATCGGCTCCTCCCTGGGGAGCGTCCACCGATTACTTCACCAGCACGTCGTACGCATACAGGGTCAAGACAGAGGTTCTGACGCCCAAGCCATCCACTACAAGTGTTTCAGCCACCTCGACATACACGCAGTGGGAGACAGCCCCAAATAATTTAACAAAGACAGTCTGGACTGATACATACACCTGGACGAACTACCTGACGACGACTGCAACCGTATCGGAGACTTCCACTATCACTACGTCTGTTCTCTCCACAACTACAGTTCCCACCCCGGACGGATTTACTCCAGTGGCAGCTGTTTACCCTGAGGCAGCAAAACACGTGGACGACTGGGGCGACCGCGACAACTGGGCTGTCGAAGATTCGTACTGGCAGGACGAAGGGAACGACCCATGGATCCTGCCTCTCGCCGCCAACACTGCCCGGGAAGGTGCACTTCTTGACGCAGCAGTACCTCTTATCGCGGAGAGTACGCCGGTGCGGACTGACCAGGCATCCAAAGTCGATTGCCTAGTTACCATGATCAACATCTATGACTCAGGAACTACCACCTCCAAATCGTTTGTGTCTCCTCCAACATACACTCGCACGAAGTACGTAGCGACCGAGACCACTACAACAACTGTGACAACCAAGATCAACCCTACGGAAACTCCGTATACGTACACAATGGCATCAGGTCTAGAGATCAAGTCATGGTTCACAGAGACAACTACCAAAACGGAAACGGTAAAGCTATCCTGGTAACCTCAACCACCAACTTTGACTGACACTGTACCAGACCACAACCACGGAGTACCCCTCGTCAACCACTACAGAGTATGCTGCTTGTGCCACAGACAACGTTATCGACACATACGAAGGCTTCCCGCTCAACAATCTCGCCAAAGACTGGTACAGCAAGAACAGCACCGTGACCGTCATCCGCTCTAGCTGGTGGGAGTTCCAGAATGTGACAGCGTGCTGCAATAACGCTTCTCAATACTCGAACGCCATCTTCTACAAATACGACGGCACTTGCGAGGTCTTCTTGGACGACCATACTAATACCAGGTACAATGCAAGCGGTAAGATTGATGTTGAGGTCTGGTACGAGCCGAGAGAGCGTGGTTGGTGGGGTCCTTCCGTGGGTAATGGACCGCGCGGAAGTATCAGCTTTTCGTCTTTGTGGCTGTGAGGAACACTCGATTGTACCGCAGTCGTCGGTGACGATCAGTCCTAGTTTTTGGAAAGGCTTTCTCTTGTTCATTCTGCTGTTTCCGCGGATTCATTATCTTTTCGTCCCAGCTATTCCCTTAGCAAAAAAGCGTGTTATAAGCGACCAGTGCCCTGAAAGAGTCTGCAAGCTTATGGTGGGCGTCGTCGTATCATCCGATTCGTTTTCTAACATAAAACACCCAGAGCACGAAGTCAAGTACTATGGTCGTGATGAAGACGATGCCACACGCATATACCATTGTCTTGCCTTGCGACCGCCGCCTCTTCTCCATGATTTCTGGTAGCGGTGGGTAGCCCATCGCCTCAGAGTCAGAGGTAGGCGATGTATCCGGTGACAAAAGTGTTGAGCATAGATCAAATGTGGTGGGAGAAGAGGTGTAGAACTTAGACATTGGTGTATGCACTGTCACCGTGTCCTTGATTGAGAGCGACCCGATACTAGATATGAGAGACGCGCAATCCGCACTTACGGTGAGTTGCTGATACATTGCAAGATGTTCTGTTTTCGCACTGCAGTATTGTAGCGCCCCGATTACCTCCAGGTTCTTCAGATGCGTGTCGATGTTGTAGCAGGGTGCGGCGGCTTCGGTGACTTGCGGCGCTGCAAACACTGACAGGTGGGTCGCAATTGCAGCAACATAGGACACAAGAGCTTGTGACGGCGTCGTTCTCATCGTTCCACTTTGTGGAGACCCAGAATGAGTAGGGTGTCCAGACTCTGAATATGACAGATGTTGCAAAGCCAAAGATCTTCAGAAAACAGTCGAGGTGAGGCAATATAGGCGGGTCGGACAACTTGCTCTTCCCTCGTGGCTTTTTGGAGCTCATCGTTTACCTAGATGTATTCGATCGACTGCGAGCCTTAAATTGATGCTGCGATAAATGGTACTCATTCCGAGGCGGTCGTTGGTACTCTAAGTCATCGTTGTTAGGTCTTTGGCGGTCCGCCATCCTGAAGGACAGTGCGACATATGCAAGTAGAACCCCGACGACCAACGCTACCTATTATGCTATACTCAATCATAAATGCTGACTCATCTCCTCTCGCTTTGAGGCATGGCATGGGCTCAGAGCTGATAATGCCCACGCGCGCTTTCACTGGCCATGCAACCGAAGCTGCGCTGACCACGTACAAGCTCGCGATCCGCGACGAGTCAAAATTTCTGGAGTCATGCTCACTCGCTTGATGATATATCCTGAGAAGCCATCATGGTGTGTACTGTGTAATGGCCATGGGTGGAAATTTTGGTCGAGTAATGACCTGCACGGTGACGACACTTCTCGCTTGACTCAACAACGCTAGATACATAAATCCCCTCTCCATACGGCTATCAGAGACGAGACTCTCTCCATCTCCAAGTTGTTGATGGGAGTGGGCCGATGGGACCGACACGTGCTCAGCTCAAGACTTCAAAATGTAAAGAAAGCAGAGGTATATGCCACGCCTCTTCTGAACGAAGTGGCTGGAGTGAGGGATCATGTTTGAGGTTGTCTCCGCACACAATCCTGAAATTGGAGAGTACCGCTTTCTAAAACTATGTTGTTGATTTCATATGTGTTGCGAAAGGCATGTGCGAGATATCAGCTGCAAGTACATACGTTACTATTTCTTGGCTTAAGAAAGCGGAATACTCCTGCCTTGATTCCAATGGCAACTCACTTCTTGCAGTGCGAGGCTCAACACTGCCGTTTCAAAGAGAGAGAGAGAGAGGGATTTGCCATGTCAGTCCTTTTCCTCCTCTACTGTGTGTTCTGTTCGGCATACTGGCATGCGCACTCCATGTTACGAGAATACGACCCTTAGAACCCCGCAATCGGGCATATTGCTAGCCAGTGCAAATATAAAAAGCACGCATTGTATCTACGCTGAACTCATGGGTATCTGCTACCAACGCTCAAAATGAGCCACAACACATCTGTGGCAACGATCATAACGTGCTCGTCAGCACGCTCAACAACCCCATCGCCACAACTGCAACCAGATTAACACTGAGCATTCCAGCACCAGACCCTTCGCCCTTTTGACCTTCTTTAAAGCCCTCGCCCATATACAGCGCACCAAGCTCTGTCAGACCACCATCATCGTCGAACAAGGCAACACCATCGCCCGTCCACTCATTAGCGTCATCCGTTCTGAACGCACCAAACCATGCATATCGCTCAACGTAGTCGAGTCCGTCAAGATATGGCAATGCCTGATTCATCATACCGACTGTGTTTTCTGCAGACTGCTGCGGCAGGCCCATCTCAGTGATCCAAAGCTTGAGAGTCGACTGGCTTGTCGAGTTTGCGTTGTAGAATTCATCGAGCGTCCCCAGCCAGCTTGCTAGCCCGCCGAAGTCGCCATACCAGTGCACAGCGACGAAATCTGTTGGGCAGCCGTTTTCAGGATCGATGTCGTAGCAGGACGAGTTGAACGATCTGAGCCATTCCAAGCCGTTGCCTGAGCCGGTGGTCGATGGGTGGCTGATTTTCCAATCTCTCCCACCCCTTGAGCCATTTCTGAAGGGTACGACGTAGTCGATGTACGATCTTGCTGCATCTTCTGGGCTGATGCTGGATCCTCCGCTGCCAGTTGTGCCGTCCGGTTCATTGAATGAGAGCAAATGCGTACTTGACTTGTCGAGACTGCTAATCATTCGCTCCGTGCCAGATTGTTCAGTTGCTTCAATACCATGGATCATGGGGACAAATTCCAGGGATCCGGTGGAGATCAGATCCGTGTTTGGGTTAGGGCTCCAGTTGTAGTACCAGGAAATTGGGCTGTTGTCTGACGACAGAAGCTTATTGTCCGAAGCATGTGTATCTCCGATAAACGCAAACCCCTTCTTGCTATCCTGCGCTTCTATTGTGGCAAGAAGACTGAGTGCTAGCGCTCCAAGGAGTCGTGGATGTTTGAAAGTTGACATGCTGAATGGAGATACTAGAAATACGCTTGAAGAACAAAAACAGCTGGGTATCACACATATATGCGCAAGGAGAAGTAGGTAGAGGAAGCAAGTGGCGCATAGGGGAAGCGGATATATGGGCCACACACAACGGCCACAAGACGCGGCGATGTACATGGGTGTGCTGGGCTTGCGTCATGACAGCGCTGTCTTCAAAACTTGGCATGCGCCGAGGAGCAAGATAACAGCCATCCTCGAGTCCGAAGAAGCGACCTCACCAATCGCGCAATGCTCGAGGAGCGCACAGATGTTGCAGGGCCGTTTAGGCAAAGTACTGATGTGTTGTAAGTGTACGAAGGTTCGATAGTTGGTGCTAGGCTTGGATGCGTGCTAGCGCTACTTGCCCGAATTTCAAGAACGAGGTGAGGGTTGCCGTCCGACATCAAAGCCTCAGCTCAAATTAGATGTAAATACGTAGCGTTGATTCGTGAAAGATCAAGATTCATATACATTGCATTAGGCGCTAGGGAGGTCGTGTGCATGCAATGATGGTGCACAACGACACTGCGTACACATGTAGAGAGAGCGCTGAGTTTGGGAATCAGGCCGTGGCCCTATTTGTTTGCTGACCAGACACCGGAGAAATCGAATTCCCAATCATGCACACATGATGAGTGAGTATGAAAGACCCTATAATTCATCGCTCATTGACTCCTAGACCCTGCCCATGCCGTGTCCTTTTGTCTTCGCTTAAACTTCAACACCTCCTCTTGCGCTGCTTACGCAGCGGTGATGGCCTTGCGGACCTCACGGCCACGCTGCCTCGAGTTCAATCGGCGCTCGACGGTCTCATTGGACTTCTGGACAACCTCGGCACCCTCGGTGAGGATGAGCTCGATGTGGGAGGGGTTGGACATGTATGGGTTGATCTGTGCGCTATTAGAGCTGGAGCTGTGCGTGTAAAATGCCGTTACGTACACGACCGTGGGCACGGTAAGTGCGCCTGCGCTGCTTGGGGGCCTGGTTGACCTGGATGTGCTTGACGACCAAGTTGGCGGTGTCGAGACCCTTGGTGTCAGCGTTGGCCTCAGCGTTCTTGAGGAGACCGAGAAGGATCTCGGCGGACTTGACGGGCCAGCGGGCCTTGGAGACACCGAAAGCCTTGCCTGCGGAAGTCAGCCATTGCCCACGCAAAATTCGATCCTAGCAAACGCGACGCAGCGCAATCCTCTATCCGGCGCAGTTTCTCCTCTTCTAGTACATCCATAGTCCATGCTCCAGATCCTATTCGTCCCTCCTTGCGTTCGAAATAGAGGGTCACTCACCCTGGGCGGTGCGTCCAGTGCTGCCGGCGTAGCGCCTCATGGGAACGGCCTCCTTGTGGTCGAGGACATTGCCAAGGTAGGTGAGGGCGCGGTCAAGCTTCCATCCGTTGATGGCCTGGGCGGTCTCGCGGGTGTTCTTGAAAGAAACACGGAGGTAGGAGCCGCGGGCGCGGGCGCTCTTTGCGTTGTCGAGGGTGGATGCTCCGTAACGAACCTGTGGCAGCAATTAATTTCGCATTCGAGATTGACAGCAGCGCATTTGTGAGCATTGCAGTGGCGGATGGCGGCGACTCACCATTTTGGCGGGCGATGAGGTCCTGTGTTGTTAGCGAATCTTCAGAGGTTGGAGTAGGCACGATGTTCAGAGAATTAGAAGGTGCACTGTGGGTGCACGGACGCGCTTGCCTGTTTGGCCAATGGCGAGTGCGAAAGGAGTGGAGCGCTAAGCGAGGAGAGAGCAGCCCTTGCCCTTGGCCGAATTTTGTGCTAGCGCAGTAAGCTCGCAGAGAAATTCTCGAACTTTGCGCTGAACTTCGAAGCTCTCCATCGCTTTACAGTCGCACACTTTCTACGACATATACCTTCTTCTCCACACATTTAGCAATGGCTTTCACACCCAGGTACGACTCCATCCATGTTAAGGTCGAGCATACCTGTCATTGCGCTGCAGCTGGGATGCGCAGCTAGGTCTTGAGAGCACAGCTGCTTTGTTGCGCCAGCCCTCGAGAATTACCTGCGCGTACCCAACACACTGCGCACTGCACATTGCAGCTTTTGATCACTCACTCCTGATGCATGACTAACACAACGTAGAGGCGGACGTGGCGGTGGTGACCGTGGTGGTCGCGGAGGCTTCACTCCTCGCGGCGGTGCTGGCGGACGTGGTGGCCGCGGTGGAGGTCGTGGTGGCTTTGGCGGCGGCTTTGGCGGCGACCGTGGTGGCCGTGGAGGAGCTCGCGGTGCTCCTCGCGGAGGTCGTGGTGCCCCTCGCGGTGGTGGACGCGGTGGTGCCCGTGGCGGTGCTCGTGGTGGAGCGTAAGTCTAATTCGACAACACACAAGTACACGCAACTAACAATGCATAGCAAGACTATTGTCGAGCCTCACCGTCACGCTGGTGTCTTTGTTGCCCGCGGAAAGGAGGATCTTCTCGTCACCAAGAACCTGACACCCGGCGAGAGCGTCTACGGCGAGAAGCGCATCAGTGTTGGTGCCGATAAGCCTGAGAACAGCGATGATGCCGCTCCCTCTGCTGTTGAGTACCGTGTCTGGAACCCCTTCCGCTCCAAGTTGGCTGCCGGTATCCTCGGTGGCGTCGACAACATCTACATGGGACCTGGATCCAAGGTCCTCTACCTCGGTGCTGCTTCTGGTACCTCCGTCTCCCACGTTGCTGATATTGTTGGTCCTGAGGGAACTGTTTTCGCTGTCGAGTTCTCGCACCGCTCCGGTCGTGATCTGATCAATATGGCCACCCACCGCACAAACGTCATCCCCATCGTCGAGGATGCCCGTCACCCCCTCAAGTACCGTATGCTCGTCGGCATGGTTGACTGCATCTTCGCCGATGTTGCCCAGCCCGATCAGGCCCGTATCGTCGGTCTCAACGCCGGTCTCTTCCTGAAGGTTGGCGGTGGTATCGTCATCTCCATCAAGGCCAACTGTATCGACTCGACCGCCGCACCCGAGGCTGTCTTCGCTCAGGAAGTCGCCAAACTGAGGGAGATGGGCATCAAGCCTAAGGAGCAGCTTACCCTCGAGCCCTTCGAGCGTGACCACGCTATGGTTGTTGGTGTCTACGAGCGCGCTGCCAAATAGAGTACTAGCATGATCTTGTTGTTTTGTTAACGATGCATGGGCATATACCTGTACTTCTGGGATGGGACCGGCGTTTCGGGGGCACTGGAGCTCACACTATCTACCAAAAGGCCTGGATGAATCTATTTCAAAACGTTCAACATACGTTCCGTGTTGAATATACGATGTTGGTGATCCTGCGTTCATCATGCAGTTGACTACAGAGCCGCAATGTACTGTCGACTTGCTGACTACAACCAGAGGCACCTTGCGCGCTCGATCACGTTGAGCAAGCGTCTGCATCCCCGATTGGACTATAGTCACCCACTCTTCTTCGGCCATCCCCAGATAAAATCACACCTCACGCTCCTCAACTGATTATCAAAGTCGTACTTGTCAAAATTAGCAATCCCCGGATTGGTAAATGGGATCACTTTGCCTTGACAATTACGATTCCTGGTGCGCGATCAGCTACAGCATACTTGACGGCCTCCAGTCATCTTCAATGGACCTCTGTGTACTCACGAGTGCAGAGTGCAGAACGTCCCCTCGTCAGGCCCAGTGCTTGACACGTTCTTATCGAACGCTGCGGGCATGTTGTAGCATCTGCCAGCGGTGACTCTGACATTCTTGCATATCCCGGACCAGGATTTGTCGGTGCAGACGTAGATGCTTGTTTTGGCGGTTGCGCGGATCTTGAGGTCTGATGCTGCGCATGCAGTGGTGGCGAAGAGGAGGACGAGGCTAAAGGCGAGTGTGATTTGCATGTTGGATTGTTGTGGAGGTGTCGGGAAGTGTCAGGGTCCAGTGAGGATTTTGTGGAAGGAGGGAGGGAGATGAGCGCGACGTAAGGGAGGTTTCTCGAAGCGTGACACGGTGTCTATTGACGACTCTCATGCAGGAAGTACTGCTCGACTATCTTGTACTGATTTCAGGTATGCGGATACAGTTTTATTGTGTGTAAGCCGCATACGCGCCGTATTGTGGTGTTGTATCCATGGTCGTGCACCGTCGAGCCTCAATCGACTACTCTTCTGCCACATCCGGTGGCCTTCAAACCTTGAGATTGAGCACTAGAATACAACCGACGCTGGAAACAAGCGCATCGAGATAGAAACTACCCAATCAGTTACGTCAGACAACGGTCTTATCGTATAGAAGGTATGCTAACTAGTGGGACAAGAAATCATAGCTGAACACGCTCCCCAACGAAGTGCATTTACTTTTGTTCAACATATCCAGCAGCAAGATAGAGCAAGAGCCGGTTTTTCTTAGGGAAGAACATGCTGAGATCGTAGCTGATTCTGAGACTGGCCCTGTCGCCAACGCACATTAGCAACTGTTAGCTGAGGGCAGCGACTTCCAAGAATGCTTGAAGTACTTAGCCTACTGTTTCGCCCAATAAGCACGATCAGAGCGTTAACCTGCATCGAAGGATCTCTTAAAACCTCTTTCGGATCGACTAATTGAAGCTTTCTCTGATGATTTTCTTCAGTTCCATCAAAGAGACTGTTCAAGATCAGGCCTGTGATGATCTTGACACGTCAGTGGTGCGATTGGTACAGCTGAGATGTCTTCACTTACTGGCGCACCATAAAAAGAGACAAAATGGATTGCAACTTGATCTGCACACGCCTTGATCATCCAAAGGATAAATCCGCAACAGAGGACGGGCACGATAAGTGCTACAAATTTATGCAAAACGAGAGGACACTTGACAACTACTACTACAATGGCAACTTCAGCACAACCGACATTGGCTACGATCTTCAACTGCGTATTGAATTAGTATGCAACGAAGACCTCCAGGGGTGCAGTGACTCACGAGGACACAGATGGCACAAGTTAGGAAGAAGCCACAGTGTTCTACGCCGCTTGGGTAATTAATGATAGCGATAGATACGACAATTGAGGCGCTGAAGGACGTCGCAGCCGTTGCTACAAAGGGTTGGCGATGCACTGTGGCAGTCCATTTGGTGTGAATGGGAGAAGCATTGGCTCTCCTCATCTCCTCTTTGGGATCATAAATTTGCCTGTAGTATGGTGGAAGATTTGAGGATACCATTTCGGAGTTGTTGTAGATGGTTCTGGAAGCTTGCAATCGACACAAAATAGCAAAAGAGATACTGTTGTCGCTTGTTCGTAGCTCTTGTATGACAGACCGCGATCGTGACGCAGGTGGGGGTAAAATCAAGCCAGACTGAACCCGTGATGTAATGGAAGGTAGCTATGCGATATTGTGTTGAGGGTATGTTGCGTGGGTAGCTGTATCTGAATTGGAGGTCGTGGCGCAGATGGGCAGATTACCGAAGTTTGGAAGTTTCGCTGTTTAGTCAGGGTAAATCACACGAGAAGGACACGTGGGGAGGGTCTGGATTTCTTTCTTTTTCCCGAGTCGTATGTCCCAAGGATATTCTGCTGCTGATTTGCAGTAAGAAGCCACGGTCGAGCATGACACTCGCGATGCATGGAAGATATTACTTTCGCAATAAAAACTTCTTCGCATTCACAAGCATGAGAAGATCGCACGCGAACTGTGGATCATGCATATTGAACATGTTGTTGTTAGTTGTTGAGTCCACCAAGTCGACATGAATAGCGTTATACTGTTGCGGTGCAAGTCGGTCCGACAGGCCTCGATCGTCACCTCCGTTGACTACCTTGGACTAGCACGTCTCAGGGCATGTATATATGGTCGCCTCCTAGCTAGCAAGCAACTCAGCGCAGTTTTCCATCGATATACAGCGGCTACGTTTGCCGCAACATATACGCTAGCCTTAGCGCGGTGAATGGACATGTGCATTGACCTGTGATCGAGGCAACGTTCTCTCCGCTGCTAGATGTCAGCAACTCAGAACATGAAGCTTCTCAGCCAAGATTCTGTGACTCTCAAGCGTTTCTTATCGCGGTTGCTCAAAGTGTTGAGAATTGCAGGCATGACGTCAAGCCTACGCACGTATGAATCCGCAGTGACACACCTGTAAATATCAGTTCGCAGTCTCTCCAAACCCCACGCCCCAACTTCCCTCAACTCCAAATCAATCAACTCGAAAAATGGCATTCCAGGCACCACCAAAGAACATCGTCGTGAGCGGCGGAGCTCGTGGCATTGGGCGAGCCATGTCACGCATGTTTCTCGAAGCCGGCCACCACGTCTTCATCCTAGACATTGACGAAGAAGAACTCACCCACACCACCAAAGTACACCTGAAGAAGTACTACGAAGAGGAGAAAGTTGAGTCTGCGATCTGCAACCTGCGAGACGTAGAAGACATCCGCAATAAAGTCGTCACAGCAGCGGAGAAGTTCTTTGATAGCCGCATCGACGTGCTCATCAACAATGGCGGCATTGCGAGCCCACAGTGGAGAGATGGCAAGACTATGGAGGACAAGAGCAGCTGGAACGAGTGGCAGGCGTACATAGAGACGAACCTGAGCGGCCCGTTTGCGATGAGCCAGGCATGCATCCCGTACATGAAGGCGCGCGCTCACGATCGTGAGAATGGTGCTCATAAAGAGCAGGGTGCCGGACCGTGTATCATCCACATTGGCAGTTTCCGCGCACATCAGTCTGATCCCAACCAGGAGGGGTACGCTTCGAGTAAGGCGGGTCTATTGGGCCTGATGCACTCGATGGCGATCAGTCTCAGCGCTCTCGGCATCCGTGTGAATCTGGTAGCACCAGGCAGGATCAAGGTGGCGCACGAGTGCAAGGAGGGGGATAAAGCTGGAACGAACTGGGAGGAGCAGATTCTCGAGAAGGACATCGACGATCACCCAACGAATCGCGCTGGAAGGCCGAAGGACGTGATCGACGCGTGCTTGTGGTTGATCGAGGCTGGTTTCGTGACCGGCCAAGATATCACCGTGGACGGAGGAGCTCTGAAGAAGAAGAACTGAAAGTAAAAGAAGATATTATGACGTGACGGCCTCTCCTCTGCGACGGCACAAATAGTAGAGTACACGTAGACTTAAGAAAAGCAGCGATCTGGAACCGTGCAACATTTGAAAAACTCCATTCAGGTATGTCCATAACCTCCGCAAACATATAGTGTGCAGGACCAGGGTATCGTGCAATGAGATGAAAGCGACCGTCTAGCACACTCCTTTCTACATCGTGGGTTTTGTCCTCAGTTTCCATGCATCCAATACGCCCCATCCATGCCCGAGTCTTGCGCCGCACCCGTAAAGTCGTAAACATTGCTTATGCCATATGGTGCATCTTGCATATCCGGTAGATTCGTGTCCCACATCATGTCGTCCCAAAAGTAATTTAGGTAGTTCGGGTCGTTCATATTCGCATTTGGCCAGTTCTGCAGCCCAGCAGCGTTGAAGTCGAAGGATTGCTGGCTCGTTTCGAAACTAGGGTAGTAGTTGTTCGACATGGCATATGCCTGCTGTTGCTGCAATTGTGGTGTTGGTGGTATCGATGATTGTGGCGGGGTCGTCTTTTGCGCTTTGTACGCTGTGTAGAGTCTTGAGACTGCGTCTGCGCTCCGTTTTGCTGCTATACTCCAGTCTCTTATTCGATCAAAGAAAGCCAAAGCCGTCTCGATGCTAGACTTCCATTTCTCGACTTCTTCTGGTTGACTCGCGTCACTGAACAAAGAAACGAGAGGTACCATGCAGGCCTGGAAGCAGAACCAGACAGCATTCCACCCAGAGATCAGATCAGACATACAGTCTCTGTTGAGTTCCTCGATCGTAGTGCTAGCTACTGTGCGGCACTTTTCGACAGCAATCTTCTCCTCCGTTGTCAAGTTGGCCCATGTACATCTCCGAAGAGCCGTTGTCAGCAGTATCGGTCGGTGTAGTACGATTCGAATATTGTGCCAGCGCCACCTCATGACGCATCGCACTCGGTGGAGGAACTCCGGGCATTGTTCCTCGTAATTAGATAGAATTGACGGAAGCTCCTCATGCCATTTCATGATCTGAGCATCATAGGCTCCTATCTCTGCATGGGGCAGAAGAGGTGACTCCACCAGTCGGTCTTGAATCTTCGTAGCAATTGCACAAAATGTGGATGCATGGGTCAAAGGGAGCAACTTCAGTTGGTCCATGAACTGTGGACTGTTGGGCATGATGATGGTCGGCACCTGGTCGATATCAGTATGAATGTACATCGATTTGCTTGATCTACTTACAGCATTAGCGGCTGTGCCAGGCTTCAGCACCGTGATGGATGGCCCCATCCTCCCCAAAGATGGTCTGCCGGTTGTTGTAGATGCCCAAGCATCAAGACAGAACAAGCTCCACCACAATCGTCGCCTCAATTCGGGGGAGATGGCTTCCTCCTCGTCCTCGTCCTCGTCTTCGGGCCGCGCAGCTTGTCTGCCAGTGTCATTTCGCTCCGAGTACTCTCGATGGAGACCTAGTGACGTCGCCATACGGAGGGTACCACCCATGAGTGAGTGTGCTTCATTCGGTCGGTTCAGGTAGTGCATGTAGTAGCCGCACATGATACCCAGAGCTTGCAGCACTTCGATGTTGCCACTGCCAAAGGAATCCAGAGAGAGATGCCCTCGCGATCGGTTGAAGTATGTGTAATGTGCTTGATTATCCGCAGTCGATGATGCCAAGGAACCCACTGCAAACACAATGTTCAGGAGTGCCAGCCATTGAGAGTCGGTCCGGTTTCCATGCAGATAGGCCGCCCAAAATTTGCGTTCGTCGATCAGTGGGAAAAATGGATGACACCGCTCGAAGTAGCTCTCGATAAGGCTTTCTCCTTGTTTCTGGGAAGGTAACGCAAATGGATGGTTGGTTCCGAGCTCCGGCGGGGGAGAATTGACTCGGCTGGGTAGTGCTGTTTCTGTTTGGTTGTTGTGGGTGAGCAGTGGTCGTGCTTGCGGTGCGCAGCGGACAATGACCTTCAGAGCTGCTGTGATGGACGAGATTCCGACATAAGATGACAGCCTGTCCACAGACATAGAGAGACCATTTACGTCATCCGATATCCCCTGGACACGGATCTGATGTTTTCGTGCTTCGTCCCAATACGGGTCTTCAGGGGGTGCTTGCTCAAGCGCTTCCAGGCTGTCGGCGCCGTCTGATCCGGCATGGATCTCCGACATAGCCCGCGCATTTGCTACAGAAGGCGAGGTCCCTTGTGTGACCTCCGGGGAAGCCAGTGCAAGTTGGAGTAATTCCTCTCGTGAAAGATTCGCTAACAAGTCGAGCTGCGTATTGCCAATCAACTTCGTTAGAATGCCCTTGTACAGCTCAACATTATTTGAGAGTTTGTCGACTAGTCTACTTGTTGTCAGAACATGTAATCGTTGTATGCGTTTGTACCAAGACTCACTTGCGACTAGGAACGACTCGCTGCGCGGGTTTTGAGTAGCTGCAAGCCTACGTCAATGTCAGCCTAAGGCACACATACCCATTGCAACCTCAGGGCACATCGAGCTTGAGGCTTACTTCTGGATGTTGATACCAAACGCACTGTCCGCATGGCTGATTTCCATCGCATCGTATCTTCCGCCGTCTACACTCGACGCACGCATTGCTAGTCGATATCCGTCGAGAACCAGACGACCGTATTGGTTTCCCCGCTAACTCACCCTCGCCTGCGGGTTGTCGCTGGCCCGCAGACGACTGGAAAGTATGGAACATATTATGAGCCTTCCGCGCCGCGAAGCATTTGAGAGGTCAGAACAGCACAAGTGCAGGGGCAAGGTCCAGGATATGGTTGCGCTGTGCAGAAAGACGATCCAGGACCAGAATCCAGCGCGATGGTACTTACAAGGTGTTACGACGGCCCGGGGACATAGGATTGGGGTTGTTATATCGGAGAAACCGGCACGAGAGTCAAGTGAGTGGCCGAGGGTCTGCAGCGACCCAGCTGTATGGACGTTCAGGTTGGCTCCACAATCGAATCGAGAATCTGCATGGTGCACGGTTGCCCGCTGTGCTTTATTCGGTCCGCTTTGCTCTGCACACCATAATTAGCAATCTCGTGCAGCAAGAATTTCACAAGACCTACGGTCCTACACGGTGACACACCATTTGCCCCGCAACTAGATCTTCGTGCAATGCGGCAGGGAGCATGCGGTGTGGGGACGGGCGGACGGAAAGGGGAAGCGAGATTGAGGGTAGCCATTCTAAAGCTCCACAAGCTGGTGTTTTGGCGCGGCGACTAACTCACGTCAAAGGCTGTGTCAAATCATGCTCCCGCAATTATTCAGATGCCAGCGGTCGAATGGCGATGGTGAGAGATCACGTAAGTTCATCATCCTCCAGATACTTCGGAGAAGCCGGTCCCGGCTGCTTTCGCGGCACCCGCAACCCCAGCGCCTCCGAGCAGAGACCGGCAAGATAGGAAGATTCCAACGTGCACTTCCTCAATTAATGGCGTGAGCCCATTTGCGCACCCCGAACTGAATATCTTCGACGCATTCAAGGCATATGCGCAGCCCTCCAATATACTAGTAAGATGGCAGACTATGGGTGTTTCGGCCCGGGCGTGTCTCCTCCCTGATGTTCTGCCCCCTTTTCCAGCATTTTTCGGCTTAAAATTTTTTACAAAAACCAAAGTATGCCTTGTCGTGTTGCATAGCTTGAATGCGAGTGTCTAATTGGCTGGCTGGTCCAAATGGACAAGCTATTTGCCATGGGGGTGCGCTTCAACAAGTCCAGACAAAACGCCTGTCCAGTGTGGCGGGCGGCCAATGACTGTGGGTGGCGGTGTTGGCGAAGCTGGAGTGCAGGTAAGATGCAGCTACGCAGAATTGCCTCATTGGTGGAAGGTAAGCCAATACTCACTTGGACAACTGAGAACATTTGAAAAGTGGGAATAGGGCGCATCGAGACCACCCGACTGCTACCAAGGCTCGTGGAGCTTTTGCCAGCCAACGCATCGCACGCTGGAAACTGGTTGAATAGCCCAGCAAAATTCCAAGAGTGGCGTTCATATGAGCTGCTTGGCCAGATACACAATCTATATCTGCCTCTCATATGATCATCATCAGGTTGACGCGGCCGTGGATGCAGGCGCGCCGTTGGCGATGAGTATTGATGCAGGATCATCGTTGATGCATGCAGCCCTGCACAAGTGACGACCTTTGGTGGAAAACTTCCTCTTTCAATCAGCGGGGTACCCGCTGTGGCTCAATAACCACCGTCAAATCTGTAACGCCCAGTGCATCTGACATTAGTGACTTCTTGCGTTGGTACGATAATTGAGCATTTCCTTCAATGAGATGCGAGCATGTAACGCTGTGGGCGACCCCCTCAAACTCTGTATGCATAGCTATTGCTGCTTTCGAATCTACGTGCAGCAGTCTTACGTTGTGTGCTCGAGCACAGCCTAAACTCAGTCCTGGCCAAGATATCTCCACTTCAAAGCCTGGTCTTGTTTACCCAGTCCTCGGACCTTGATGACTTGTTCATCGCCAGGTACAACATCGATCGCGCTATCATTGACAAGCACACCCGATCTCTCTTCAAACACGAGACCCTTAGTGGGCTTGTCTGCCTTCACCAGGATTGTGCTACCCTGAGGCACAATCTCGAGACCTCTGTCCTCAAAGTCGAGGTACTTCAACGGCTGTGGCCAATCGACATCCCTCGATACGACTTCGCCGTCCACCCATATGCGCGCTGCAAGCACGTGCGGCTCCTCGTCGACGTTGTCAATCGTGCCGGAGAGAATATCCGTCGTGCCGTTCTGAACAAGGGTGATATCCTTCTTCACAATCTTGTCTTTAATCTCCTTTCCGGTTTTGATACTGATAAATCTCAGCTCAACTGTTGCCCTGATGTCCTTCTCATACTGGCACGCCACCCATAGCTCGAAGTCGCTCTTCGGTGGCACCCGGGCGTGCACAACGCTCCAGTCGAAGTGTGCACGCTTCACGGCCACGGCGATGGGGGCGAGGACCCGGCGCATTGCATAGTACGCAGGCTTCTTGCGCTGGAAGTAGTCGACAATGGACCATGAGGTGACTGGCCAGCAGTCGTTCAGTTGCCACACAAGAGCACCTCCGCAGAAGCGCTCCTGGCCCCACTGTCGCCTCCATCCTCGGTAGCCGAACATCAGCGCTTCCGCCTGGGACAATTGAGTCAGATGGATGAATGCCTGTTCTCTGTCAGTGCGTCATCCGATAATTGTACGACTCGAAGGTAACTTACCTCGAGATCTGTCTTGGTGCGGAAGTTTTCTACAAGGTATGTTGCTATCCTTCGCTCATGGCCATCTGCCTTGTTGTGGAAGTCGATCATGTGGCTCTGAGGGAAGAGCTGCGTAGGGTCCGTGCAAAAATATCTGATGGTGTCGATATGAGGGAACGCCTCCATGCCGAACTCACTATTGAACCTGCCGCCCAACGTGTCGAAGATCTGGTACTTCTCTTGTGTACCGTGCCAGACGTTCCACTGATGCATGTCTCCAACTGTAGTGTTCGAGGTCTTCAGCCCATCGCCCCATGGTGACCCCGGGTGGTATGGTATGTGGGGGCTCTCGGCAGCAACGGCCTCAGGAAGAATCTGCAAAGGATACAGTTAGTATTGACACTTTGTTCGTCTGAAGTGTGGTTGCGTGCCTTCTCGTAGATGTATCTCGCGGGAAAGTCGGTCTTGAGCCAGTTCTCCGGATCCTTGTCCTCGTAGTTGTAGGTCAGCCCGAACGACTCTTGGACTTGGTAGTCCTCGTTATTGCCAGCGTATATGACCAGCGAAGGGTGGTGCCTCAATCTAGCTACGTTGGAGATGCATTCTCCCTTGATCGACTTCAAGATCTCCGGGAAAGCAGGATAGTTGCCGCAGCCAAACATGAAATCCTGCCAGACTAGAATACCAAGCTCGTCGCAGAGCTCGTAGAAGATATCTTCTTCCCATATACCTCCACCCCAGACTCTGATCATGAGCTGGTAGCCGTCTATCATCATTTCTAGCCACTTGCGGTACTTGTCTTCTGTGATTCGCGGCGTGAAGTTGTCCGCTGGGATCCAGTCTGAACCTCCACAGAACACATCGACGTTGTTGATGCGAAAGAAGAAAGACTTTCCAATCTTATCAGGCTGCTGTACAAGCTCACCCTTGCGGAAACCGGTACGTCGTGTTGTCGAGTGCAAGTCAACTTCGTCTGCCGAGACTGTGGCGGTGACTTCGTAGAGAGGCTGCGCGCCGTAGCCGTGTGGGTACCACAATCTCGGGTTTTTCACGTGGAACTCGACTTTAGCGACGCCATCGCTGACTTTTGCTGTCTCTTTGAATACCTGTTTGTCGCCATCTTGGACTTTGAAGATCACGCTCTGCGCCGAAGAGCCTTCGACAACTGCAGAGATTGTGCCCTGTACTGATTGCAAGCCATCGTCCAGCTTGTAATCGACCCGTACATCCTCGACTCGTGCCTGGTAGGTCTCAAGACGTACCTCTCGCCATGGGCCACAGGTATTCAGGATTGGTCCCCAGTCCCATCCCCAGTGGTACTGCGCTTTCCTGACTGCAAGTCTCGACATATCGCCATTGAAACCCACCCATGTGTGTTCCGGGTGTGCTTCGCGAATCTTGATCGCTTCCAATCGCGCAGATTTGAAGTCGATTTCGAGGGTGTTCTCCGCTTGCGGCTTCAAGTCGTTCGTTACATCGACACGATGGGGAACGAACATGTTATCACTTTCGAGGATAACCTTTCCATTGAGCCTGGCAGTAGCAAATGTGTCGAGACCGTCAAATGCCAGGATATGGACAGTGCTGTGTTTAGCTTCTTCGACCTTGGGTAGCGTGACCTTATAGGTCCAAGCCTTGTCTGCAACCCATTCTGCCTTCAATTCGTTGAAGCCTAAAAAGGGATCCGGAATTCTGTAAGCCGTGTGAGCTGTAGACCTTACGCCAAGCATGAGTTGCTATGCTTACTTTCCATGCTCTATAAGATCCAGGTGAACGTTTGTGGGGACTGTCTTGACTGAGAGCCAGGCATCATCTGCTGTATCGTCCGATTGCCTGAATGTCCAGCCGTCCGTCAAACAGTGAGCCTTCAATACCTGAGCTTTTGCCATGTTGTTCGAGCTTCAGGTGTCCAGTGTAATTTCAGAGACGCTCATATAGAAGCTCACCCAGATCGCGAGCGGGGTAGAGCGATAGTAGCAGCGCCTTCTTACTATAATTCAAACAAAGGGTCCTGTGTCTATATATTTCTGCCGGTGTACAGGCGGCACAGATACGGTAGAAGCTCGGCCGGAGCAACTGGGGCTACGTTGAGGTGTGCGATAGTGGGCGAGAAGGTATACGGAGGGTGCTTTCCGTATCGAAAGCGGCTAGCGCAGCAAATATAGCCTCGGAGAAATAAGCCCACGCCCGTAGTGGTCAGCTGCTCGCCCGCTGTGCGAAGCTGCGGTAGACGACGCCACCACAATAGGAGCGGGGTTGGGGTCTCCGTGAGCGAGCCACGCTGTTGAAACCGATTGCGTTGATAATAGAGGTTGAAGACAGTTAGAGACATTTGCCGATTGAGCCGGCGCGCCCATCGCGGTGGAGCTAGGGGTATTCGCATCCTCGCAAGTTTGCCGTTTCTCTCTCACCATAGAATGGCAGGTACTACTTACGGATGTGAAGAGTTAGAGACCCGGACGACATTCACGGCGGTTCAGACGGTATCACTTCCGTATTGAGATGCAAGTTCGAACCACACCATTGTCCAATGACATCTAACGGGAGACATGTGAGAAAAGCAGAGCCTGCGAGGCTATTGAGAGGGCAGTGCATACCCCGGGCATTGCGGCACCGCAATCCGTTAAGTGTGCCCTTCATGGAACAGGGCAAAATGTGGCAGGAGACCCAAAAACAAACATTCTACGTTGTAGCGAATATCAAAAGGGTATAGAACTGCGAGAGTACGTACAAGTTTGACTATCCCAGACCCCATCAGCATAAATGGAGCATCAGCCTCTGAGCGACAGCCATCTGGAGAAGAGGCCGGGCGAGTAATAGTCCCTTCGGAACATCTCCTGACTCTCGTCCATCATCCTCTTGACCTTCTGGTGGTCGACCTTTCCTTGCTGTGAGAGCTGTTGCATCTCAGCCATACTCGTGGCCAAGATGTTAGTCGAGCGGGCGCCTGGGCAGAACACGACTTCAAACCCGGCTCCTGAGGGGATGATAAAGGTTGAGGTCTGGTCATCGAAAGCTGAGATTGATCAGCATGTGCAGGCTTCGTTGAGCCAGATGTAACACTCACCAAAGCTATAGGCATCTGGGCAGATCTCCTTGACATTCTTCGAATAGTCTCCAGGTCGACATTTACTAGGGGAATTGTACTGTCCTGTGCAACAGTCTTCCGGCTTATTGTTCTTCGCGCACGCCGAGAAACAAGGGTTGAAAGAGGGGCGCTCGATGTTGTCATCTGGATATGGATATACGCCATCACCAGGCTTGTCTGGAGGTGTCTGCTGTAGATCCCAAGGGCACCATCGATCGACCTTTTCTCTGTCTACCTGGTCCTCCCAAGGCAGAGGGTACGATGTGTTTGTCCTGAGGAAGTCAGGGTACTCGGGATAGGGATCGTAGCCTTGAGATGCCAGCAGATCGCGGGTACCTTGACATGAGGGATTGGTCAGATTGGGAGGTATATCGTCAAGCGTGATATTCTCGAGCGGTTGAAGTACCATGGCTATTGGAAGGTTGTAGCCGTCGACGAGAGAGATGTCGTAATAGGTATGGCCATCTCCTGCGTCCAATGTAAACTCAGCGAGCGAGACAGGAACGTCACCCTGTAGTTGTAATCAGTCCTGTCAAACCGAGCAGCGCATCCTAATGCAGGCTTACACCGACTTGGCAGTTCAGTTTGCCGTTGCAGTCACCAGAATAGCAGGCCTTCCCGCTTCCGCTGGCAGGACCAGTCCCGTCGCTGTTGAAGGTACAGTTCGCCCTGCCCCAGACTCGACCTTGCCAATCTTCAGAAACAGTCTGGTTTTTGGTCTCCCCCGGCGAAAGCTTGAACCCGGTGGTTGCAGGTCCGTTCCCAGATTGCGTCGAGATACCTGGCCATATATTGTCCGGGCAGTTATTTGTGACAAGTAAAGGCGTGATGTCCAGCTTTCGTCGATTAAGTTTACGAGGTGCCTTCCTGGACATGTGATGGGCTCCATTTGCTATACGGATTTCGCTGCAGAGGAGAAGTGCGGCGCATAGGTACTGGGGAGCCCAGCTGGGTCTGAAAGGAGAGTGCATCGTAAATTTGACTGCACAATGCGATCGTGTGCAGACACTGCGAAGTCTGTTGTACAAGGAATGTTTGCGAGGTAGGAGGCGCAGGATTGCAAGCCAGCTGGGGTTCGTGAGGATATGCAAAGTCGTGAAGGATGCAGGGCGGCCGGCGCACGCTGAAAATCAAGGAACATGGCGACAGTCCCAGAGTCGATCACCGACGTTGTGAGGAAGTTACAGCTTGTCTTCATGGCAGTGACGCAAGAGGTTGGCCAGGGTTGTCGCTGGCGAGCCAGGGTCAGCAGAGGACGACGGGGCTGAGCGCCAATCAACAACCCTAGCAACACTGCATCTCAAACAGCCGTGCAGATAAGCGCCAATGTTTGCCCTTTGCGAAGATTGGATCAAAAATATAATTCAACATCACAAGGAATTTCGGGACAACAAGAAAACAGCAAAAACATACAACAGCGGGTATTCGCTAGTGGTCACCCACCTAACTACTAATCCGCCGGTACGTTGCTTAAATAGGGCTGAGCGAACGGGAAGCCTTGTTTTCAACGTCCTGTGGTCGTATGTAGAAGTTATAACCATTGTTAGTAATCATATTCTTGTTAATCTGAACAGTAACGTACTCCACAAGCGAGCCGGTCACCCAAGCGAGCCGGTCACTTTTGCCAAGACCACACCAACACTGTAACTACTTTGCAACATTATAGCACACAACAACTATATATCACACTGCGTAGTATATTAGACTAGTCTATAACGTAGATTATCACTAAGCTGGCCATATCACCAAACCAGCCATTTTCTCTTGGCACGACTAACACAAGTTACTGCAACTACAACTACTTACTATTAAACAGTGACCTAGCATACTGTGTGCTTGCATTAGATTTAGAAGATGTTTCTGCACCCTCCTAGCACGTTTGTGCGTTGTGTCTAGTCTTGCTGCAGTTCCTACAGCGCTAAACAGTTGACTAAGCTCCTAGTTGACCACCTCTACCCTAAGTCTTCTTAGATGGCTGAGCTGCTACACACGCCTCAGCAGCTACCTGCGATGCTGCTGGGCCATACTTAAGTGTGCTACTATGCTAAATCTGCTTTCTCTTACGCAATTTTCTCTTAGTTATTACTACTAATTACTCTTTAAGCTCTTGCACGTGGGCCTTAATAAGGATGTTTTTATATAGTATCTCTTTAGCCTCTTTTATAAGCTTTAAGAACCCCTCTTATACTATACTTAGTAATTGTTAGAAGGAGTTACTTATAAGCTTAGATTAAGACCTAAACTTATGTGTATTGCTTAGTGTCTTAGATTGCTATAGTGTTTTAGGTAACGTACCTCACGGGCGAGTGGCCGGCCCGGGCGAGTGTCCGGATTTTGCCAAGACCACACCAAACTTCATACAACCCGCGATGTCTCAACGCAAAAAGGCTCAAAGCGTCTTAAAGGAACCAGATATACAGCTTGCAATCTAGGCTCTTAAATAAGACGCGACTCTTACTATTCCACGCGCTGCAACAATCTACAAGGTGTTAGAAAGAACGCTAAGACGACGACGTGCTGGAACGCTCTCAAGACGCGATTGTAAGGTCAACTTAATGAAGCTGACAAGCACTGAAGAGGAGGTGATTGTGCAGCATGTTCTGAAGCTGGACGAGCGAGGATACCCACCCCGGCTTACTGATGTGGAGGATATGGCCAACTCTCTACTCACTGAGCGCCACCAGCCTCCTGTTGGCAAGAACTGGGCTAGCACGTTCGTCAAGCGTCGCCCAGAGCTCACAGTCAAGTTTAATCGAAAGTACGACTACAAGAGAGCCCTCTGCGAGGATCCTGAGGTAATCCAGGGCTGGTTCCGCCTAGTGGAGAATACTAAAGCCAAGTATAGTATCCTAGATAAAGACACCTATAATTTTGACGAGTCTAGGTTCATGATGGGTGTTATATTAACAGGAGCTGTTGTTACAGGCTCAGAGCGTCGTGGAAGACCAAAGACAGTACAGCAGGGCGACCAAGAGTGGACCAGCATTATCCAGGGTATTAACGCGTCAGGATAGAGTATCCTACCCTTTATTATCTTCTAAGGCAAGCACCACCTCTCTGCCTGGTATAAGGAGCCGTCTTTACCTCACAACTGGGTTATCACTGTCTCTGAGAACGGCTGGACCAATAACAAGCTTGGTATTAAGTGGCTGAAGCACTTTAATGAGCACATAAAGGAGCGCACTGTTGGCAGCCATCGGCTGCTCATTCTAGACGGCCATAAGAGCCACAATTCAGTTGAGTTCTACCAGTACTGTGAAGAACACAAGATTGTTACCTTGTGTATGCCTCCACACTCATCGCACCTGTTGCAGCCGCTTGACGTGGGTTGTTTTGCCCCAATGAAGAAGGCCTATGGTCGCCAAGCTAAGCTGCTAATGCGCAACAAGATTACTCGCATCACAAAACTTGAGTTTTTACCGTGCTTTAAAGGAGCTTTTGATGCCTCTATTACTAGGAGCAATATCTAGGGAGGATTTAGAGGTGCTAGCTTGGTCCCCTTTAATCTAGAGGCTGTAATATTAAAGCTTGAAGTGCGCCTGTGTACTCCACCACTACCTACTGTGGATAAGAGTATGTGGCACTCTTAAACCCCACAGAACACCCTAGAATTTGGGTCGCAATCAAAGCTTATTAAAGAGAGGATTCAACAACATGGCAATAGCTCTCTAACTTTAATAGTTAATGCTCTTAATTAGCTTACTAAGGGCGCAGAGATGATGGCGCATTCACTAGTTTTAGTGCGCAACTAGGTCGCAGAGCTTTAAGCTGCTAATGAGGCCGCCACACGCTGTAAATCACACAAGAGGAAGCGGATCTAGAGGGAGGGGACTCTTACTGTTAGTGAAGGAGTGCGCTTAACTACCCTAAAGGAGTTTAAAGCCTGTGATGATGGGAAGAAGGCAAGCAAGAAGAGGCGCGTTAAACCAGGCACTTAGTCTTTACAACGCTGTAGCAGGTGTAGTAAGGCAGGGCATAACGCGCGAACGTGCATAAAAGATGCGCAAGATACTGTAGATTAGTGCTGTATACTGTAAGTTACAGTAACTTGCAGTAACTTGCTGTAATATGCAAGACAAGTTGAAGTTTGGTGTGGTCTTGGCAAAATCCGGACACTCGCCCGGGCCGGCCACTCGCCCGTGAGGTACGTTAGAGGTACTACTAGTAGGGTATGCAGCTGCACTTTAAGGCAATCTAATACTACCTGCACGTTAGTAGGAAGAAGCCCTAATGCCTTAAAGGCCTTTTAGTAGTTAACCTTTATAAATATATTAAGGAACATGTCCCTAAAGGCTAGTAGGAAGCCTTCCTTATTAATATAGAAGATGTGTTAGTGTGCTAAGTCTTAAACATGTTAGGAGTACTTACACTTTAATAGCAAGAAATAGACTATGTTAAGTAGCTAGAGGATATATAATAAGTAAGGTAGTATATAGAGAGTAAGGATTTAGTTCTCTAGGCAATAGTCCTTAAACTCCTAGTTAAGATAGCTCTTATAGCTATCTAAGATAAGCAACCTGTATACTCCTACCTAATGCGTCTTTATATGCGTGTTAAAGTGCTTTAACTACTTAAGGCTAAGTATGTTATTTATCTAACTATTCTTAGAGACTAAGAGCTTCTAATTGTAGGGTATATCTGTCTCCTTATACTAGGCAGAGATGTGGACACGTCCTTTGTAGATAATAAAAGGCAGGGTTGCATACCTAGCGGCGCAGATGCTCTAGATAACAGTAACCCACTCGCGATCACCTGGCTGAACAAGCTCTGGCCAAGCACGTCTAGGCTGGCGGAATGGGTATACTCCAACGTCCTTCGTGGGTACCCCCCAAAACTTTGTCAATAATACATGGATTCTAGCGAAATAGGGCTTAAAAGAAAGAGAAAAACTACCTCTACATTTCTGTAGTAGAGGGTTTTGTTATAACTATTAAACTGCACAAGCTAGAGGCTAGAAAAGGTTAAAAAAGGGGGGGTACCTAGCGAGCATACCTATTAATAGGTATACTTTGCTAGGTAGTGTTGATAACTTAGCTAATACTAGGCAGAATAAGCTAATTCTTTTTTTATTAGAAGGCGCAATACTAGGCGCTTCTATCGAATAATAGATTATGTAAGTGTATCTCTGCTAGTTAAGAAGCTATAAGCCAAAACGTAAAAAAGCATACCCTACCCATCCGCCAGCCTAAGCACGTCTCTCTAAGCCTGTTACAACCTTTAAAGATAAAGCAACACCTATCTAGAACCTAGTTTTATTAAAGTTGTGCATGTTATTGTTGCAAACACTAACGTACCCCACGGGCGAGCTGATCAACGGGCGAGCTGATCACTTTTGCCAAGCCCCCACCAAAGTAACCTCTACATACTAATGCCTTAACAACAACCTAATATTAACACGTTAAGGGAAGCCTAAATACAGCTTGCGCTTCAAGCTCTCAAACAAGACGCGAATCTCACCTAGCAACACGCTGCAGCTATCTATAAGGTGCCTTAGAGTACACTAAGCACACAACGCGCAGGACAACCTTCACGCGCTAATTCTATAGCTAACTCGCAAAAGCTAGACAACAATAAGGAGCAGGTGATTATTGAACATGTCCTTGAGCTAGACGCGCGAGGATTTGGCCCCTGGCTGGCAGATGTGGCTGCTATGGCCAATTCTCTGCGCGCTGAGCGCAATCTAGGCCCTATTAGCGTAAATTGGCCTAGTACGTTTGTTAAGCGTTAACTAGAGCTTAAAGTAAAGTTTAATTATAAGTACAACTACAAGCAAGCCCTCTGCGAGGATTCAGGGGTTGTGCAGGGCTAGTTTAGCCTAGTAGCTAACATTAAAGCTAAGTATAGCATCTAGGATAATAATACCTACAACTTTAATAAGACTGGCTTTATAATAGGCCAGATCTCCCTAGGAGCAGTTGTTATAGCTTTAGAGAGACAAGGAAGGCTAAAGACAGTCTAGCAAGGCAACTAGGAGTAGACAACAGTTATACAGGGTATTAATGTAAAAGGATAGGCTATTCCACCCTTTATTATCTTTAAGGCACGCTACTACCTCTCTAGCTAGTACAAGGAGGAAGACCTGCCCTAGGATTAGGTTATTAGAGTCTCTAGTAACAGCTAGACTACTAATAAGCTTAGTCTTAAGTAGTTAAAGCACTTTAACACGCATACAAAGGAGCGTACTATTAGTAC